CTGCTGGCAATAAAAACACACACACACACACACACGCGCGCACACACTTGGACTGAGTGGAGGCTAGCCTGCTATTGTGCTATCCATGCATACACGAGACATACGAAAATGCAGTCCCCGGTTGGACTTTGTGCTGGCCATGTTTATGGTGGTATCGTATTCCTATTCCATTTTTCTTGACAAACACTGTTAGGAAAATTGATGCTAAGTGTAGGCAGTGCTTAGGTCAACCTGATGACCAACACGTCACGACCCGCTCGCGAGACCTGTGGATTCACACTGTGCCACGATATGGTGTTGTCTATCACGCATGAAGGAACAAGACGATAATACAGATGGTGGCAGGTATTCTGTGTATTTGGGCTCCATACATGCATGTCCAATTATGTATGTGTATTCTTCATGCCTTTCCTTCTCCATGTAGGCTCTGTTTGGTTCTGTGGTCCAGCCATGTCGCTAGAAGGAGTAAATCTATTACCCGATGAGCCACCTCTTCATGATCTTCCTGAGTCTAGTAAACTGGAGAAGCCAGAAGAAGTGAGGCTATTGCCTGACGAGCCCCCTCTTGATGCTCTCGCAGAATCTAATAACCTTGAGAAGCCAAGTGCATCATCAGACCTTGTTGCTGAAATCGATGAAAGTCCAGAGGATGACTTACCGGCTACTATCCCTGCTGAGCAGATAATCGACGATGAGTTGCCCCCTACTATCCCTGCTGAACAGATAATAGCCGATGAGTTGCCAGCTACTATCCCTGCTGAACAGATAATCGACGACGACTTACCGGCTACTATCCCTGCTGAACAGATACGGAAAGTTATTACTGAGAGTGCGGCCGCTCCAGAGGCAGAAGTACACAGTAACGTTATACCAGCTGCTGCTGTTGCTGCTGCTACAGCTACGCATGTTGTTGCTGTCCCACAGGCTGTTGCTATTACACAGACTGTATCAGCCGCGCCAGTTGTACAGAACGAAGCAAGTGCTGAGCATTCTTACGTTGAATCACTCCTGCAGTCGTCATTGTCATCTACCGGTGTTCAGAATGGTACCCTGCTTGTTGTAACAGAAGGCTCCACATTTCCAAGTAAGTGTCATGCATAGTGGTTTTGCAGTCGTAGCATAGGACCGGAGGGTGCACCCGGTTTGCTGGCAGTACTCAACACGGCGTAGGCAGGACGTAATACACAGAACAACAAGGCCTAGCAAGGCTAGTCTGTGGCTACACTCTGAGTCAGTTTCATGCTTACGCAATCATCAGACTGCAACAGAGTAGCGACAAACTAGCCTTGCTTGCCCTTGTTGTTCTGTGCAGTCGTAGCCTTCGTATACTGTAAAACGGGTAACGTTTGCGACAATAAATGTTTGCGTTTTACAAATTGAGACTGGTTTGCACTGTTTAATGTTTGCGAGTCGTTCTACAGTTGTTCTACACAGTCGAGTCAGTCCTTGCACTGAACTTTACATGGCGCGAGTTTGCGTTGTTCAAAGTTTGCGATTCGGTGCCTCTCGCAAAATTCGCAAACATTTTTACGTCGCAATAGTTACCCGTTTCACAGTATGTGTCAACTATGAAGTATGACTGTGTTTGGCTGACTAAGAAGTTACTAAGGACCCTCACTATTGTGGAGACTTGCGCATTACTCTTTGCCTCAGGTAACCTGATAGTGTGACTAATGATTGTTGAGAAACGGATTCTCGGATACTACAATAGATTGAATAATATGCTGAGTGCACTGTGCAATGATAACAATGCTCCCTATTCGCTTCCTCACCACCCTGTCCTGCAGGGAAACTCTTCCGAACCAGTCAGGTTTTGAATGGCAAATGGGTATTGAATTGCAGATCAGCACTAGCGCACCATCGCACCTCGACATTTTCCACTCCGCTCAAAGGCTCCCAAATGATGACATAGTCAGGTCACTTCATTGCACGGTTACATTACGTAGTATTGTGTGCTGCCTCGTTTTCTTTTGCCGTATTGTTGCAGCTGTAACAGCTGCGTCACCAAATAATGTCTTCACACCAGTGACGGACCTGAACAGCAGTGATGCATTCCAAGTCACTGCAGCACCAATAGTGCATGTAACTCAGCCATCAATTGTAGCAGCACCTGCTGTGATCCCAGAACACAGACCCGCAGGAAGACGACCTGCTGGCAGCGCGAATGGCAGTGTCGGTGGCGATGAAATTAAAACCTGCGAGTTCTGTCAAAGAAGTGGCCCGGCTAACACATTTTATTCCGCAACGAAGCGCTTCTGCTCCGTCGGATGCTGCCATCGTTTTTCAGCCTCCCATCAGGTGAGTGCAGCGCTTGTGCATGTACTCACTAGTGTCCATATCCAGTTGCTTGTGATCACCGAAGCCATCAATTTTTGATACTAAGGAATTTTGAACCAAGATGGATTTACGAAAGGAATTTTGTAGGCGATGTGTTACGAATCTTAGTGGTCAAACGAATGCTGAGAAGCTTCGAACGTTCGTTCTCGAGTCGACATTCGAATGTCAAGTTGACCGCCCAAACGAATATCGTAACTCACAAAACTGTGAACTCTGCACTCGTAGCAGCGATTTTCATGCATGCAAGCACATACACACGTCTACTTTTGAAGCCGTGCCGCACTGTCTTCAAGAGATGACTGTCTGTCATGTACATATGTGTGTATGCCATGTCATGTAACTAGTACTAGTAGTAGCTGGCGCGAGGTGCGAAAGTAAGTAACGTTAGTTGTACATGTACGAGGCCGGATGTTTGTGGTCCGATTACGAACTGGCCCAGACTCGAGTCGGTGCGCGCGTGAACCATGTGAACTGTGTTGTGGACTGGGTGGACTGCGTGCACTGCACTGGTGCTCAACTGATTACTTCCTCAAGATCGTACAGTAGGTCTAGTCTGAGCAGTGAACTCTAGTCTGGGTTGAACGTTGCATGCGCATGCAGTGCATCGCGCCCGGCTGTGAAACTGGCAGTGCAGTGCCACAGGCGATTTTTGTCGTGACAACACTCGACGGTCTGTCTGAAATAATAATTATTGCTGAGAGCCGTCGTCGAGTCTTTCTTCATCAAATCCACCCAACGTTCGTCATGGCCGAGAAGAGTAGGCGCTCTGCCGTATGGGATTTCGGAATAGAGAAAACGGCTGACAATATTATCTTTATTCTCACGACAATATTGCTACGTGTACTCGGTGCAAGCCGCCGAAAGACTTGGCATACCATGGCGGAACAACGAATTTACGTAACCATCTGAAGGACGTTCACCATGTCGACTTGGATGGCGCAGGGGCGAAACCCAAAAAAGGACAGAGGGATAACTGCCTTCTTCAAGGCAAAGAAAGTGCCAGCGGCTAGATCCTCTGGATGCGACTACCGATTGGTGGAATTTGTGTGCAGAGATTTTCGACTTGTGAACGTAGTCACCGGTGCGGGGTTCCTTTCGCTCATGAACTACCTCGAGCCTGGCTACACGGTCCCGTCTGCCACTCAAGTGACAAAGCTAATTCAGCGGAAGCAAGTCGCGGGCCTGAAGTTGCTGGTGCAGTGGTGGAGAACCTTGAAAAGGCCAGCTCCATAGCGCTGACTACAGACCTGTGGACAAGCAGACGAATGGAGGGGTACATCACCATCACTGTCCACTTCATAAATGAGTCATGGCATCTACAGTCTACAGTCTCTGTTGCAGACTTGCAGTGTGCAATTTCGCTTATGATTTGGGTGCCTTTTTGTTACATACTGGTCGGTAGCTATATATTCTTAATCATGGAACGTGCGACATTCGTTCGGTATTCATTAGGAACATTCAGAGAAGGTTCGATTCGTTGTTTAGCACATTCGTTTGACCACTAGCCGAACTTACGATATTGCATGACCTCTGTTTCATAGTCTTTAACGTTAGGAACATTAGCCCATTCACCTGTAACACGACTTTCTCTATCCATGTTTTACTTTCTTTTCATTCAAGCGTCCCCGTCGAGTTGCAATGCGTTCCATGCGTGAGTCGAACTCGGCTACTCGTCCTCGTAAGGAGTCTCGCCGAGAACGAGAGCGTGATCGTGGAAGTGAGCTTTACCGCAGCAGTACCAGCTCGCAGGCAACTAGCTCCACGACCGAGACATTTGACCCTCCGTATGATATGTACGGCCTGCCTGATTGGACGACGGAATCCTTGAACAATACATCAGCAGAGCTGGATGACATCGGTGCGAATGTAGCTTGCTTTTGTGTTTGGCCACGTCATCAGAATTGCCAGTGCCAGTGTTCATCATGTCGTCGGATGTACTACAGTAGCAGCCACAGTCATAGGCGAGTCATTGTCTTACCCACTGCCATTCATCTCATCGTAGATCATGCCATTCCTGCAGCTGAGCCACACACACTTAATACACTTAATTCGCCACACACACTTAATATACTTAATTCTCATAGGCACATGCTTCTATTATGGTCAGGCCCTTTGCTGCTGCTGCTGTGGTTGATGCCGCTGATGTTCATTTGTCGAAAAATCATGTTCCCGGGTGTACTTTCCTATTCAAAATGTATACGCTTGGTTATTATCCGTCTTGCGATTGTACTCAGATGCATCCATATCTTCACACACTCTCATACGTTGGTCTATTCAATCCTCTCGCCGTGTCTGCTGCCTTCCACCTGTCATTTTCGCCCACTGCCGTTTCACTGTCACTTCACCGCCATCACTGTATCTCGTTGTGTGTGCCGTTTTGGGTAAATACTTGGGCCATTTTTGCAATTGCACTCCTTATTTACTGGTTAGTTGTTTAATTGGCCTGGAATACTGGTTGATGTTTTCCAGGACAGGGAGATTCAGGTTGATACTAGACTAGTAGATATTTTCCAGGACGGGGAGATTCAGGTTGATTGGGGGCATTCGCAAGCATTCTGGTACGTAACGTTATCACCCAAATCTGTTGCGATGTTTAGTCTTATGGGTAAATTTAATTTAATTCACATTCTCCTTTTCCCCCCCTTTTGTTGATGCTTGAACAGGTAGTCCCTTGTTGCAACCATACCATGTTACATCAGCACCTACAGCTGCTGGAACAAAGAAGTTTGATTGGGTGTCGTATCTCCAGGAGACAAACTCTGTGGCTGCTCCAGAGTACTGCTTCCTCGAGGTATGAGCATGTCTTTGGTTGTGACGAGAGTAGAGCGAAACAGACAGCTAGTATGCCGGATCTTTGACTCCTTGATGCAGTTGAATGTGTCTCTTTGTATTCGTGTCAGCTCTTCCAGATCTCTCTTTGTGCACTTGCCACTCGGGTCAACCGAATCCTGCGAACAAGTCCTGTTTCACCCTCCCTTTCGGGATGATCCTGGATTCAACTCATTGGTACTTTCTGTGCTTTCTGTGTCCAGCGTCATCTCCCCCAGCGCAATATGTTCGATGTGGATATGAAGGTAGAGCTAGCGTGTGACATCACCCAATCACCCAGCAATGCCTACTTGATGACAGTGACACAAGTGAGTACTTTTGACGGTCGAAGGGACACTCCAGTCTCACTTTTGAGGTAGAGCTTTTGGTGCCCAAGGCGAAGCTAGGTGTAGTTGTTTTATGGTAAGGATGGGCCATGCCCAAAACTTTGGAAGTAAGAATGTTTGGCAGTGAAAAGTGCACTTGTGTGGTTGTTGAGAATGTGTATTGATACTGTTTGAATTCCAGTACAAGTAGAATGAGTTTTGAGCTGTATTGCTTGCATGTTGTTGTACTCAATTGGCTGCAGGTGATGGGTATGCGCGCGAAGCTGTCTTATGATGGTTGCCCAGATGCTCCCTGTGAGGTGCGCAGCATCGACTCCACTGATATATTCCCGCTCGGATGGTGCTCCGCACAGGGTGGACAAATAGTTGCTCATCCAGGTATGCTGCAAGCATCCATATCAGTTTCACTGACCACACAGGACTTGCTTTGCAGCTTAATGTCATTTTGCCTCTCTTCATAATGTGTATTTCGAAGTAGTGAAGGCTATGATTGTAATAGCAGATTTTCTGGAAGTGATCACCGCCTGTCTGAAATAACTTCAAATAAGTACCTCCTTATTTCAGGGCTTTTGCGTTTTTTTTCTTCAAATTGGGCGAAATTTCAGGGCTAGCGAACTACTAAGTGCCTCAGCCAATGTTGCCGAAAATACGGTGGCTATGGTTTTACTGTTTTGTTTTGTCTGGTCTTGGGGCTGAATCTATTTTCTTTAGATTGCCCAACATCAATCTCACAAAACTGGGCGGAATTCTTGGAGAAGACCCTGGCAAAGGCAGTTGGTGTTCCGGACGGTTATTTCCCAATGAAGCCGGTAAGTATCAGTGTATGCATGCTCTACTAGAACTACATACTCTAAGTTCAGAAATTTTCGGTATGAGGGCAACAGGCCAGGTTAGGTGAACTGAAATTTCCGGTACAGAGAAGCAGTTCCCTATTTATTTTATTTTATTTCACCGTCCAATGGCAGAAGCCAATGCAAAGGAGGGGGCGTTAGCCAGCCATGGCATTTGATGTTCATATGTTGGTTTGTGTGTTCCAGTCTCGATCTGTCCCCGAGTACCTACCGGGTCACAAGTTGGAGATATCGTTGGCAGAGGATGGTCAGACCCGGTACTGTGTGGCCACTGTGGCTGAAGTGTTATCCACCAGTGTCATTATTCATCTAGATGGTTATGAGGACGACAGTACACATTACCACAGCTTGCCACGTGATACCACACAGCTGCATCCGGTCGGCTATTGTAACGAGCGGGATCTCAAGCTTTGTCCTCCAAAAGGTATGGCACTAGCATCTGTAGACCTGCAGCGGTGTGCAAAGCTGTTAGGATTGTTATAGTCAGCTATGGACTGCATATGTGCTATGACTGAGTAATCTGTATAAAAGGACATCTTTCTAATTGTGTATTTTAGGCGAGGTGGACTTGCCTGCTTTGGAACAGAAAGCTTAGTGGCTCCAGTTTGGTGTTTCATTGCAGGATATACCACTATGCTTGTAGAGATGCTTAACTATCTTTTGAACTTAGGTTTCCTACTGGTTTTGGTGGTTGGGTGTGGGGGCGGTGGTCGTGGTGGTGTTATTGATGCTAGTACAGATGGTGTGCCTGGTGGGATGTCGTTTGTCACAGGTGTAACCGATGAAGTGTTCGACTGGGACAGTTATCTCCAGTTCACTGGGGCTGTGGCTGCACCAAGAGACCTGTTCCGTACCACTGTAAGCCTTGTTGTAGCGTACTTACTTTGCTTCACTTCATGATGGTTTTCGTAGAGAATGTCGCGGTGTACATGTACTTGCAGCCCTATATTGATTGTCTGGTTGTAAGTGGCTTGGAGAGCACATTTCATACAAACTTGTACAGTAAAACCTGTAACTAAAGACCACCGTGACTAGCGACCAGCCTGATACTAAAGACCACTTCGCCAGGGACGGACTGTCTCACATTCATACATGATTGGGCGATGAAACCACTAACTAAGGACCACCTGCCACTAAAGACCGCTTTTTCTGGCCCCATGGGGTGGTCGTTAGTCACAGGTTTCACTGTACATGTAGGTATTATTGCTGTATTGAATTAAATATAAGCAAGTGTCAAGGTGACAACAATTTAAGAATAGCGGCCAACAGGATCAGCTGAACTGACATTTCATAACGACCAGACACACACACTGCACTACTAGATCACTTTTAAACTGCAACTTGTAACCATGCCAGGCATGGCACAGCACGGGGAAAACATGAATTAGAATTCTAGTACACCTGCAACAATCAGGACTGGATGCAAGATGACTTCCTCCCCACAAAACACACGCACATGCTCCCTACCACTCTCTCCTTCACTCAACTCACTATTGGAATCTTTGTTGGCGACACTGTCATTCTCTCTTCTCCTTCTTCTCATCCACCCTGTCCATGTCCCTCATACTCTGTTTTTGCCTCTGCTGGCTGTGTCCCTTACTGTTGACATAATTATATCATGTTGTGGCTGGCTGTCGTTCTTCTTGGTCTGTTCATTGTTGGTGCGGCTAAAGTAGGTATTTGAGTAGAAATGCATTCCAACATTGTAGTCTCTTCCGCTACTGTTGACAGAAGTGGCGGCGCTGTCGCAGGCCACAGCAGCGGCAAGACTGGGCGGGGCCTACCCCCAGCCCCGGGCACGTTTCTGATTGTGTTGATAATGAATAGCCATGGCATGCATAGCCCCATCGCACACTGCACACTGGCTTCATCCGAGTATAATTTGTGTTGTTCTGTGTGTCTGTGCATGTGCGTGCATGTGTACGTGTGTTTTAGAATAACCTCTTCCTTCCCGGCATGAAACTTGAAGCTGTCGACAATCGTAATCCACATATGATCTGCGTAGCGACCGTGGCTGAGGTTCAGGACGATACTATCAAGGTGCACTTTGACGGCTGGTCAGAGAAATTCGATCTTGTGGTGAAGAAGGACGACGAGAATGTCTTCCCAGTTGGCTGGTGTGCAAAGTATGGCCATGCTGTGCAGCCACCTCTTGAAAGAGGTAGGTTTCTGGAGCAATTACTGACAGCTCACCATGTCAGCTGCAATGTGTAGCCTGGCTGGTTTCTGGCATACTTGTAACAGGGCTACCACAGTACACTACTGCTGTGTGCCGCAGAACGGACAGGCTAGAACTCACCAAGCACAGCGTACTTGTATATACTTCGAAGTACGTGCGGAGAATCCACCCAGTTCTTCGGCACCTGGCAGTACTGTAGGTGCCAGAGATAAGGTGTTCATTACACTTTTGATTGCCTGGCTCATAGAAAGCTGGTGAAGTAGAGTGTGTGTGTGTGTGTGTGAGAGAGAGAGAGAGAAAGAGAGAGATTCCGTGTTTGTGTATGAGTATGTTAGCATGAAATAATGCTAGCTATGCTTTTGCAGCCAAATGTGAAGACAAAAAATCTCCTAAGTACAGTGCAACCATCTGGCACACACATACACTCGCGCGCTCGCCCGCGAACACACATTAATCATTATTGTGCAATTATGCGCGTGCTGCACCTTTGAGCAACGCTCCACTCCCACTCTCCAAACATACACACCTTAGCTGGCGCATTTCTCACATTCCTCAACTTATCATTTTTCTACTGCACCTTACGGCATATCAACTGCATTTCTTTGTTGTTACTAGTAGTCTTTAGTGGTATTGTTTCACACTGAGGATGGGCTATGCCCCAACAATTTGCTGCATGTCGAGAGAGTTTAGTGGCAAAGAGACTATGTGCAAGTGTTGAATATTCTGGCTGAGTAAAGTGATGTAGATGATTATTTTATCTAGTATCTACTTTGAAGTACTGATAGTGTGTTTCTTGTTGTTGCTGCTGCTGCTGCTTTGTGTGCTTATATATCCTGTTTATGCTGTGGTTACCGTGTGCTCAGGTGCTCTTGGCAAGCAGTAAGTTGCTCTTGTGCATATTTTGAACATTGCTGTTTGCATTTAGCTAAGCTAGACTAAGCTTGCAGTGTACTTCAATCGTGGCCAAAGAAATCCGACCTGCGAATCAAAAAGTAGCGCCGCGTTTCCGTTTCAATTACATCATGCACGTTCGAAAAGCCGATTCGAGGGCCGCATGAGCTTTGACGCTGCTTTCGGCATTTGGGGCAGATTTCTTTGGTCACAACTGTAGTATATACACCAGCAGTTCTGCTTGCATAATGTTATTATGCCGTCAGAAGTGCTTGTCTATAGTGTGATATAAATAGTAATTATCAGAATGTGTTATTTTGAAGTCTCCTTTGCTATGTATGTGTTGAATAGGTGTGGTGAGACTTCCTTCAGCTTCATACCTATAACGTACAGAGCAGATTCTATGTGTGACTCTATGCGTGTATGTATTACTTGTGTATAGCGTCAGATCACTGTCAGCTGATGCAACACCGCTCACCCCTACATCATATAACCTAGGCGGTAAGGTATTAGGCTAACGTCTGCCGGTGAGCGTCAGTTTGCCAATGAAGGATACATCGCATTAATTCAAATGTGTGTACCCGTGCTTTTTGAAATGTTAGTGAGATTGCTGCAACTTCATACCATGTTGTATGATCACTGCTTGCTGTGTCATGGCAATGGTTCTATTCTCTAAGTTGACTTGCTTGAGTGTAACTAATGTATGTATCCATTTGCTGCTGCTGTTGCTGCTTGCCGTACGTAGGCAAGAGGAGGAAACGCAGTGAAGCTGGTGCTGGTGCTAGTGCCGGAGAGCCGCTCAGCAAGCGTAGACTCAGCACACCCGCTGCTCCTAAGGGTAAGTCCCTAGTCTGCTGTTCTGTTCAGGATCGCGTCTTGGAACTGGGTGTCATTCTCAGTCTGGCAGTCTGTGTGCAAGTACATGTACTGCGTTTGCACTTTCTTTCTTTTCAACTATTCATGGCACCTGAATGTCTGCATGAAGCCAATGTCTGTACTTTACTGTACATGCAGTAGGAAGAGTACCTAAGCTCTCGCTAGTTTGCAGCTCAACGTGACCTACTGTCGGCATTTGTGACCATGTTGTTATCATTGTTTCCTTGTCGGTGTGTCACTACAGGTGCGACTCCTCGGGCTGTGTTTAACATTGAATGCGATCATGGCCCATTCCTGGATCCACGCAAAGTGAAGGCTCTCCCTCATGAGGTTTCAGGATCCTCTGTGGCTGTTGTGCTCCAACGAACACTACAGCACCTGATCAACGCTAGCCTGGATCGGAGAAGCGTCTTTGACTTGGTAAGCTATCACCTCATGGTTGTGAAGCTGTATACGAGGGTTGCCTGGTGCTGTTCAGTGTCTTCAGAGGCTGTGGTGTTGACCTTGCTGATGTTGTCACGCTCTACCCTTCGTACTTAGTTCAAGCTGTGCAGTGGTGTGTGACCGTCCACATTTACTATTGTCCTTGTGGGCCACACAGTGTCCGCATCATTGCCTTTCCCTGAACTTGTTGAACCCTTTGCTTGAGTTGTTTTGCCATCACCTCTTTATTTTCCCAATTGCCATTTCTGGCGCACCCGATTTCCCTTTCCTACCCTATTGTGAAGTTTCCTGCATGTACATCTGCTACTACATTGTAGTTCTTGGCCTTCTGACTGATTGATATGAACTTTGAACTTGGGTTATGTCTAATTGTCTACAGTGTTGACGTCTCTATATTCCTATCTATCTATCTCCCTTTCTCTTTCCCTTGCTTAGTCCTTCTCTCACCGCTGGTGTGTGTGCCTTTGTGTTGTTGCTGACAGGTGAGGCCGGGCCACAGCACTGCTATCGTGCAGTGTGTCCTCCCAAATGGGGAACGTCTTCTGAAGCACTTGCAGATCGTTGATCGCAACAATATTCTCTGGGGCATTATCAAAGGGATGCTGAACAAACTGCAGTGCTGCGAGCGCTTCATCACTGCACGCAACGTACAAGGCCAGTGTGTGCGATGCACAACTGCCGATGAGAGTAAGTGCCTGCTGGTTGTTCTCACTGTTGCTGTTGCTGCTGCTGCTGCTGCTGGGGTTGTAGATTGAAGGAGCAAGCACTGTAAAGTAGAAAATAAATGCAGTACTTGCTGCATTAGTGTAATAGTCCATGCTTTTTTTTCAAGCCAGGCTTCTAGTCAAGCTGTAGCGCACAAACGATGCTCAAAGTTATGCGCTTTTATATATCTGCACACTCCTTGAATTTCAGAGCTATTCACGCTTCATGCTACAAGTCATACTTTTATACAAATCTCTACCGCAGTTACTTGCTGAGTAGCTCAGTGCTGCTGCTTGTCAGTTATGGTGTACAGTTGTGCAGCAAATCATTTGCTATTCATTCTGTGTGGGAATATTGTATTTGCAGTGCTGTTCGCCTGTGTTCATCAGATGTGTGTACTAGTACAGTATGCTGTGGGCATGTCCCCAGTGTGTGTCTGGGTGTGTGTCTGGGTGTGTGTCTGGGTGTATGTCTGGGTGGGTGCCTGTGTGTCTGGGTGTGTGTCTGGGTGTATGTCTGGGTGTATGTCTGGGTGGGTGCCTGTGTGGATGTGGGTATGGGTGGGTGCCTGTGTGGATGTGGGTGTGGGTGGGTGCCTGTGTGGATGTGGGTGTGGGTGGGTGCCTGTGTGGATGTGGGTGTGGGTGGGTGCACGTGTGGATGTGGGTGTGGGTGGGTGCCTGTGTGGATGTGGGTGTGGGTGGGTGCATGCGTGCATAAACTTACACCCGTCTGTGTGCCTACTTTTAACTTGTGCAGTAGGTTTGTCGGCTACATCAAGTGGAGGACACCCAGGTCAAGCTGGAGCATATGATGGTATGCCATTGAAGATACGTAGTTATAGCAATGGTGTTTTGTTTCGACTGTCACTCTGTCTCATTCTCTAGGTACGGCTGACTATCTGAGAGCACGGCCCGTTTCCGTGCCAATGTGACATTTGTGTGCAAATATTGGCTTTTCTTATTGCCTATCGCTATTCATGGTGTCATTTCCCAACCTAATGTGGCTGGAGAACAGTAGTAGCACCCGAGTGCAGTGATCAGTACAGTGGAACCTGTCTAAGACGACCGCTCGATGGACCTTCAAAATGTGGTCTTTGTAACCAGGTGGTCTCCTTATCCAGGGTCTCTTGACTGGACATGACATCCCTTGGTCCTTGTTGCAGTGGTCTTCTGGGGCAGGTGGTCGCCTTGACCGGTTTCCTGTCCATGTACTAGTGCTGGATGTGTACTCTTCCATCATGCCATTGCATGTGTTCTGCTGATTGCATTGCCTCAGCTGCATCGGTGTCCGGCACTCCTGTCGAGCAACACTATTCATTGGATGGTCCCTGGCTCAGTGCAAATGGTTCCGCACACAGCGTCTCCAAAAGAGAAGCTGATGGCATATCACCATTGCCACAGGTTAGTAACTTACACAAGAAGCTTGTCTAAAGCCCACCTCAGGACTGGGTCTGTATAACTGGTCAATGTAAAACTTGATCTGCATCCGTTTGCAAGAATTTTGGAGATTAGGACAGTTTTTTATTGCACACTGCAAACTGTATTGTGCCATACCAGTACACATGATGTTACTGCAAACCTTGTCAAGACTACTGCACTGCAAACAACGAATCATGGCATCATGCAAACACTCCCGAGTTGGAAACGTTCTTTCGGCATTTCCTGTATCTTGTAAACAGCTAGGAAAGTTACTGTGGAAATTGTAGTTCTGAAATATAGTATACTTGAACCGGTGTTACGCTATTAGGTGATGTCTGCAACATTGCGTTCTACTCTTCATAGCTCAGAGTATAGCTGCTGTGTTTGACATTGGTTGATAGATATACACCTGGCAATATGGTGGTAAATACACGCCCGCGCACACACGCTCTCTAGGCTGCAAAGTTCTGGTACAGAGCTCACCTTCTCACCACCACCACCATCAGTTCGCGCCTGACGCCTAGTCGATGCATGGTTGGCGGTATCCGACATAGCAGGCTGGTACATCAAGTAGCGCATGGCACATAGAAGATGACACAGCAACGACATAGCTCGATTGCGACGTACGTTTCGTCCCCGCTGGACTCATCAGGCAATATCTTCTTGGATGTCTTCATACTGAGCTTGACTCGGGAGAATGAAGTTGAAGACACCACTGCAGCTGTACTTATGGTTGATAGATATACAACTGGCAATATGGCGGTAAATACACGCCTGCCCACACACGCTCTCTAGGCTGCAAAGTTCTGGCACAGAGCTCTCCTTCTCACCACCACCATCAGTTTGCGCCTGGCGCCTAGTCGATGCATGGTTGGCGGTATCCAACATAGCAGGCTGGTACATCTAGAGAGCGTGTGTGGGCAGGCGTGTATTTACCGCCATATTGCCAGGTGTATATCTATCAGCCATAAGCACAGCTGCAGTGGTGTTTGACACTGTCTTGATAATTTGTTCTTGGCGTTGTTTCCCTTTGTGTGTGTGTATAGACATACAACCCAAACCGTCCAGTGGTTACTAGCAGTGCAGGGGGTTCTGTCCTGCTCAACTCTCACTCTAGCATGGGTAGTGATGCAGGTAATGTACTTGCTCATCCTTTACCCTTGTCTCCCGTCTCCTCTCTCTCTCTCTCTCTCCCTCCCTCCCTCTCTGTATCTCTCTCTCTCTCTCTCTCTCTCTCTCTCTCTCCCCCTCTCTCTCCCCCCCTCTCTCTCTCTCCCTCTCTCTCTCTCTCTCTCCCCCTCTCTCTCTCACGTTGCCTGCTGGCCCCAACTGTATCTTATGACTTCCACTGTATGCAGCAGGTTGTTCACAGCTGGCATTGTTGCTTCTTGTTTTCCCCACCACAAAGTGTAAACCTGTCAGACAATGGTTGGTGTCTTTCTATATCACTCTGCTGTCATTTTCAGGTCTATTCAACAATCCGAAGATTGAGCACCTTGCCAACAAGAATCCCAAGACATGGACAGTTGATGATGTGAAATCTTACTTCGAGAATTCCGAATGCTCCAGCCATGTGTCAACACTTGTGGATCAGGTATGTGTTCTATGTGGTGTGTCACAGTGTGTGTGTGTGTGTGTGTGTGTGTGTGTGTGTGTGTGTGTGTGTGTGCGTGTGAGTGTTGTTTGTTTGTTTTGCTTTGTTTATAAAGCGGCAAAAGCACAAACTCGCGATGAAGGTCCGCACCCGGGGCGCCCAGCACATGCTCTGTTCGTGGTTTGTACAACATGCTTCCAGGTTTCTGAAAAAAATGTGGCTTCAATGAAATTGTCCGCCCTGGACTAGACCAGCTGCGGAGTTGCACGCTCTTGTCTCATATTTACTTCAAAAGTATGCACTGGGAATTTGAGCATGCCGTTCTCTTACATTCTGTCCTTCACTGGTATGTTTGTGTTTATGATACAGGAAATTGATGGTAATGCTATGCTACTACTCACACCAGACACACTGGTGCGCTTCATGGGATTGCGTCTCGGCCCATCACTGAAGATCTGTGGACGTGTAGACGGCTTGAAAACAAAGTGGGGTATTCATTGACCCCAGTGTGACGCCATCAGCGGTGTGTTTGTCGGCGTGCATGCACGTGTTTGTGTACGTGTATAGAAGTGTGTGTGTGTGTGTGTGTGTGTGTGTGTGTGTGTGTGTGTGTGTGTGTGTAGAAGTGTGTGTACGCGTGTGTGCGTGTGTGTGTGTGTGTGTGTGTGCGTCCATAGATTCATGAGTCACGTAACCATACTGGAATTGGCCATTTCTTTCATGCACAAAAGTCCAAAATAATCAAGCATCAATACAATGGAAAAGTGGTGTGGCATTGCAAGTAGTTAATTTGCATCACACAACCCCTAGTATATTATCATGCTCACTTTCTTACGCTGTCGCCGTCTAGTTGTATGATCCCAATATTACAGCCTGCTTTTCATCAGCTTGCCGTATCACACATGATCTTGAGTGCTACCTGGCTGGCATGCAAAATCCTTTGTGTGTGTGTGTGTGTGTGTGTGTGTGTGTGTGTGTGTGTGTGTGTGTGCGCGTGTGTGTGTGCGTGTGTGTGTGCGTGTGTGTGTGTGTGTGTGCGTGTGTGTGCATATATGTGTGTGTGCATATGTGTGCATCTACCCATGTAACAACAGTTGTGTTGTCGTATGTTTGCTCTGTGCTGATGTGGTTCCCCCTTTCTTCTCACATTCTCATCCTTAGTCTTAGGTTTTTAGCTACTAATGTCTGGCATGTTGCTGCTTCCATTGCTGCTGATGCCGATGCTGCTACTCTGTGTGGTGATATACGACGCGCGCTGATGATACCACGCATTTGGCACAATGAAAATAATGCTCTAGAAACAGAAGCCTGTGCCTTTACCCTGCTGGTGGTGGTGGTGGTGGTGGTGGTGGTGGTGGTGGTGGTGGTGTGTTGCACTTTGCCCGACAATGAAGCCAAAGTGTACCCAGAGCCGCACATGCACAGCTCTCTCGGGGAATCTGTGAACAGAGACATTTGACTGGGCTCTACGCATGAAAGCGAGTCCGTAGCCAAGACTATATGCAGCTGTGCGTGTGGGTCCGTGCATGGCGTGCTGCCATCATTCATAACGTAGTAACCTCCCCGTATCATGCACCCACTCAGAGTCAAACCCCCTATGCCTCATTACATGCCGGCTAATCCGTTTCTGCTTGATTTGTTTAAAAGTACATAATAATAATAATTTGAACAGGTTGCATATTGCCCGCATCAAAAAATCATACGGGGGTTATGCATCTGTCAATGATCGAGGTCTTCTCTGATGTTGTCGACCCATCTCTTGACTTGTGGGGTCGTCCACGGGGGCGCTTGATGTCCGAAGTATTGAGGGGTAGCTGCAGTGCCTTGTAAGAGGCCGCGTCTGGTCCTTCCCGGGCAACGTGCCCCAGCCACAGGAGTACATACCTAACCTCTAAGTCTAGGTGCATGAACTCCAACACCGAGGGAAGTTAGTTTGAAACCATGACGGAAAGTGTGGTGATCAGTGAGAGGGCTCCCTGCATGGTGGTGATCGATTTTCTGCAGTGCATGGACTGTAGCTGCATGGTGCAGTGAAGGTGGCGTCTCATGCATGTTTTCCATAAAAGAGATCACAGTTGAATACGTTTGGTTATGAACTGCTTGAAAGTTATTTCAACTCCTTGTTCCGGTGGAAATGGTTAGAAATAAATTGCACATCTCAATGAGGGACTGTTATCTATGGCCGACTATGCATGTCCTCTGTGTACGTGTGGCATGGCAGACCTACACCTACTATCATGATATCAGAGGAACCATCAAAAGCAAGCAGTCATAAATTATCACATTCAATGCACAATAAACCAGTCTACAAGACAGTGATAGTACTGAGTCCTTAATGAGTTGGAAGCAGCGGCACTGGATTTGTGCGTGGTGAGTGGTTCACCATTGTACGAGCTCGTACTGTACGGTTGTAGTAATGAGAGACGTTCAAGATGATAGTGAGCACCACTGCCGGTAGTTTGTTCAAGGTCCCTCTAAGGTGCAATAGCTTATATACAACAGGGCTGCAATGCCGGCATAGCCGGCTATCAAGCAGGGCACCTGCGCCCTGGTGGCTATCCAGTACAGGCACACATGGTGTAGTGCAAGTGCCCAGTCTCCGTGCACCTGCTGCAGTGTTGGGCCAGTACTCAGTGAAACACATGCCCAGGACATGCAGCAGTGCAGCTCCATTCGGCCTGATCTACTTGTATGTTACGTGTTATAACTGGGTAAGGACTGTGTTTGCTGCAGAGTCGTCATTATTTACATCCTCGCACAGGTCACCCAAAGAACCCATCCGCGCCCTATCACTGTCATAGCCGCTACCATTGTCTGCTTCAAGGACATTGGATAAGGACCGACTGAGGTAGTAGTCGTTTGCTGTGAATGACCGAGGTCGGCCACCCGGTTCAGTACACATCAAGTTTGAGCTTAGGAACTGGTCTGGTCTCATGGGGTAAAATCCTGGCTTGGCAGATTGAGCCCCGGGAGAGGGTGATAACCAGCCGGTAGTGTCCAGATCATCAGTGCTGTCATTGAAGCCGGCATCCTGCAGATCACTCACGCTGCCTTGCAAAGACAGGCTGCTGGCCATGCTGCGACCATCCGCAGGGGTAGACAAGGGTGACGACTTGACAACCTCATAGTTGGTGTCCACTTTGCCGGCCTTGCCCTTGCGGATCTTGACCGGCTTGTCGGCAGTATGTGACCTGCGGCGCATGCCACCACCAGAAAAAGACTTCCGTATCTTGTGCATAGCCGTCTTGAAGCTAGGTGCACTCTTCGAGCTGATGTGACCAGAGCGTTCGCGCTGTTCCGGCTTTTCTTGTTCTTCCACTGACAGCTCTATTTTAGATGGCAATGACGCCGTTGCATCGTTTTCACTTCGAATTGCATTGTTGTGAAGCATTCCTGTGGACATTGTGACTCGCCGCCTCGCTTTCTCCCCTCGTACAGGCAGTGTAGAGTAACTGGCTGATGGCACCTGTGGCATTGAATACTTTCTTTCTATTATCAACTGGTCACGTTCCCTTTGCTCCTGTTGCTCCTGTTGCTCCTGTTGTTCTTGTTGTTCCTGTTGTCCCTGTTGTTCTTGATGTTGTCTTTCAACGCTAGCAGGATGTACTCCGTCAATGTCCAGGCTTCGGGCACGAGCCAATTTCTCCGAGTTGCTCACAAAAGAGGTGGTGATATCAACATCAGCAGTAGCCCACAGTGGTGCTGCAAGCTGCGGACTGCCCGAAGCACTGTGTTGTTCTTGCTGTAGGGATTGTGAGTGGGTCAGAACCGGAGAATCACATTCAGCCTCTGGTAGATGCTCTGCTGCAGTTGCACCTACAGATCTCATGCGAGGGCGAGGACGCTGGGGTCCACCAGTGTCATCCTTGCGCCAGCGTGAGATCTTGCGAGTCCTTTTTTCCGCCTTGGCATCCTTCTCATCACTTGGCTTGTCAATAGTTTCACGATCGAAAAACTGCATTGATTCTCGCCGATGATGTGGCCGCAAGCCGAGCACCTTGACTGCTTTCTCATTCACTGTAGTCATTTCTGGTAGCACATCCTCCGCAGGTGTCTGGCTCTTGCGTCGACTGCTCAGCCTTTTCAGAGAGAAGCTGCTGCGCCTAGAGCTCGGTTTGGATGGACTATTCTCGTCTTTCAAGTCGAGGTCATCAGATAGCTGTGAGTAACGGCGGTTCAGCAGTTGATTTGACGCTATCGTACTGTTCTGGATGATGCCGAAGATCTCATCACCTAATGTCAGCTCCGAATCATCACGTGCTCTCGCTTTCTCTTCACTCTCAGCAAAACTGAATCGTTTACTACGTCGAGAGGGCAGTGTGCCATACTTACGATCTGAAAGGTCGGGTTGAGGAGGAGTTGGGTAGAAGATCTCCGCAGGTTTTAGTGTCTCTTCCGACAAACTAGCAGAATCGGCTGTCCGTATAGCAAGGTCTTCACTGTGTCGTGCTAGCATGGCGGACTCGGGGTACTGGTCATCGTCAGCCAAACTTCCACCAGGTCTACCAGCAGGTGAATCAGCCATGACACCAGGGGTGGTACTATGGTTACCATGATCTGTTTGCCTGTCTCCACGGTGACCACCCTTGTACTGGATAGGCGATTCACCATCTTTGCCATTTGCACCATGGCTGATGTCAACAGAGTTAGGCCGCACTGAAACACCTGAACAGTGCAACAACACAGAACCACAGCAACAGTGTGACAAAGCACCCTCATCAATAAGCACAATAATAGGATTGGTCACATGCACGCCACCAGAGAGTGAGAAGTTACTGAGAACGACATGCAAAGGAAGACAATGGCTACCACTTTTCTCGGCTTTACATTTACCAGTATCCAACCACTAGCAGAGTTGATACACACAACAACGATGACGACGAGGACAGAAGTAGCAGCAGCAGCAGTAGCAGCAACAACAAAGCAGCAGCAGCAGCAACAACAACATACACCGCACGCTACCAGGAGCTTGCACTTCAAGTTTCTACCTACTTTGGATGGTGACTGGCATCTTTATGGCGTTTTATCTCTCTATGGCATACTTCAGATCCAGATAAGTGCGGGCTATACTATTTGTAACTGCACTTTCCTGTCCAGCAGCTACCTTAAAATAGCCTACTGAACGTCTGGACACCTATAGCCATGCATCCAGGCCTTGTCGGGCATCTCAACTTACACCTATAGCCATGCATCCAGGCCTTGTCGGGCATCTCAACTAACACCTATAGCCATGCATCCAGGCCTTGTCGGGCATCTCAACTAACACCTATAGCCATGCATCCAGGCCTTGTCGGGCATCTCAACTAACACCTATAGCCATGCATCCAGGCCTTGTCGGGCATCTCAACTAACACCTATAGCCATGCATCCAGGCCCTGTCGGGCATCTCAACTAACACCTATAGCCACGCATCCAGGCCTTGTCGGGCATCTCAACTAACAGTGGCAACAGTGTATAACAGCACGCTATGCAGTGCGTCAGTACTCTCAAGACTCAACTGTAGAACTGCATTGCATGCGGGGAGTCCGGCGGTTGTGCTGCAAGGCAAGGACAGTAGCATGCTCCACATCATATTAAACAAGCACCCCCCCCCCCCCCCCATGGGGCTCATACACAAGCACTGTTGTTCAGTCACGAAACTGACCATTCCTGGTTGTCTTAGCCACGGTGGAGCGAGGAAGGCTACCCATGCCATTGATGTAGTTGTGTGGTATTGCTCTACCATCCACTTCATCATGTCCAGTTCCAGTGACACCTACAGCCAAGCAATCACCTTCTAGAGTGTGTAGTGAACTGTGTGCAGGTGAATGTGGAGATCTCGAGCGTTTCCTAATCCTGACTGGTGTTCGCAGGATGACCTCGTCTAGACACACTCGCACAACACGTGGAGAGCTCGGCGAGAGTAGTGTTGTTTCCTGTAGCCAGAGTGTAGTGGAAAACAGGAATGGCACACACAGCCACGCGCGCGCGCGCACACACACACACACACACACACACACACACACACACACACACACACACACACACACACACACACACCAACCAACACTGATACACTAGCACATAGTGTGACGACTTTACCTGCTCGATCCCTACTGTGACTGTAGCGTGACGTGTGCACGTACATGCACACGGTCATATGTGTACTTGTAAAGACAACATTACAGTCAGGTGCAGTTATTACAGTGTGCAGTTAGCATTTCCACAGTTGAACAGTATACAAGAACTAGGACAAGTACATACAGGTGCAATACTGGTAGATGGATGCAACAACGGTAGATATGCACTTCAAATTCACAAAAGAACAAACTAATATACTAACCAGCAATCGATTATCAGCACTCTTGCTGTGTGGTATCTGCACTGAAAGGGGTCTCTTCAACTCCGATGCTGATGAGCGCTTATGTAGCAGTGTGGCAGATTTAGCCTCTGCTCCAATAGATTTAGCCTCTGCTCCAATAGATTCGTCGGCAGCACCGGCATCAAGTGCAGAGTCATTGGACTTTGACGTGGTCATTTGAGACTGCCTCCGCTCGTAGCGCGCCGCAGCCTTCTTCTTAATAGCCTTGTACGCTGTTGCAGATTGCGGTGCTTGGCTATGCTGTATGGCTGAGCGTCGATTTCCAGCGGACTGTTCTCCAATACTCAGGCTACGGCGTCGTGCGCCTCCAAAGTCTCCTTCGCTGCCACTGCCACCAGCGCTCACTGAAGTACGACGGCCTCTTCTTGACCGTACCGATGGGGTTCGCGATAAGCGGCTTGGGAAAGGGCTATCTTCTTCATCATCAGAGGAGTCAAGGATGGTGTCAATACACGGCGTCGAATCACTATTAAGTCGTGCACAAGATACATCAGCAATACAAAGAGCATGTTTGTTTAGCATGTGCCGCTTTCTACACCGAGTATTCAGCTATCCTGGCAACCTGACTGTACCTAGCAAAGAAATTCATCTCTGTGACTGCTGACAGTTAGATCTCCCTCATGGATACATATTGTGAGAGTACAAGGGATGAGGGGCTAGCTGGGTTACTATTACGAGCATGATTTGTAGGCTGGCTGCATCAATAATAGTGTGTTCTGCGTCGTTTGCAGGCATGCTTGGTAAAATATTATTTTTTCCTTGTTAATAATAACGACCTACTTCTTGCGTAGGGATGAATAATTATCCGATCGACGATGGGAATTAACCGTATTGCGTGACTGATCCTTTCAATGTTCTAATCTTTCAAGTGACGTTTCCTTTTCTACCTGGACGCCTCCTTGTTTTCCCTTTTCTCTCTAGCTCCTCTCTTGTACCTTCTTGCTATTATTCACTTAAATGTGGGTCTTTGAATAAAACAAGTTGAATATTACGAGCAGGGAGTAGTAATATATCGGGTATTTTACTACTCCCTGCTTACAAGTATGTTCTATGGTCGCAGGTTGCAGAGCACAAGAACAAGAAGCCACTGATCACAACCGTTACCAAACACTCGCAGTTATCCGTATTTTCACGGAAATTTGAAGCATTGTCCGCAGTATGGATTTGGCATGAGATATCCGCCTGAAAGCACTGTCAACAGATGTGTAGAGCTCATGTTTGAGTGGCCGAAATGCAAACTGTTATTATTTTAACTGGCTTGAGGGAAAGAGACAAACGGGAAAAGTCTGAAGAAAAAATTGACTGTCACCACCAGGACTCGAACCAGGGACCCTCGCTTGTAGCAAGCGATGCCCCAACCACTGAGCTATGGTGTAGTCGTCGTTATTATTTTATTTTTATTATCCATCAGCACTCAGCCGAAGGCCGGAGGGCTAGCATCCAGTAGCCAAAGGCGGGACCATGCACCATAATATGATTTCCTCGTTTCCAAAACAACAAAATCAATGATGAAGACTATGCTTGCAAGATACCGGTTTACTTACCTCAATGTATTTGACAAAGTGGGCCGTGCGCAGACCGGAGAAGATGGCATTGAAGACACTTCCTCAACATGCCATAGAGAAGACTGGCTGCCTCCAATGGAGCTGCTTCTCATCCGGAACATGGCCTCTAGGAATGACTTTTGCCTTGGTTTACTGCTCGCATCATCCACCTCTGCAGTATACACATAGTATTGTCATACACGGCACACAATATCATACACGGCACAGAACTGCTTCACACAGTGCCATGTGAGTCAAATGCATTGCAAATATGCCAACACATCCGAGAGGTTATTACAAGCAGCTTCAGATGCAGCAGCAGCTGCAGTACACTTTAAAGCCGATGATGCAGGCAATTCCTGTGAAGAGCCCGTCTTCCCTTATCACCCACAATGCCATGGCAGTTACCTGGCCTCTAGGGACAGGTAGTCGTTTCAAGCAGATCTGTCTCACTGACTGTATATAAGGGTTCTTACCACCATCTATCTAGTACTATGACGCTGCATTGGAGCAGGGGCGTCACACATTGTACAGGTGTGTTCTTACCACCATCTCTCTAGTACTATGATGCTGCATTGGAGCAGAGGCGTCACACACGGTACAACCAGTACGACCATGGCCGTACCACTTTTCGTTCAGGATGGTCCTCTCAGAGCGCCTGTCTAAGCTGTAGAGCGCTAAAACTTGCCCTGTTGGCCAAAAAATCCGATTTTCCCCTAGCGGACGCCCCGGACCCCGGTCGCACCACTCCTCATTGCCCTGTGACCCCCCCCCCCCCCCCTGTGTCTGTGACGCCCCTAGCCCTGTGGAGTCTTCCCACCAATATACAAACAACCTGAAAATGTAAACTTACTCAGACTACTTACTCAGACTGTTTGGATTTCTAACATCATCTCCAGTGTTGCCAGCGTGACTTGACTCAGTCTGCGCCTGGCTGGACTGGTGCGACAGCTCTTCAATGCTGCTAGATGATGGTGCTCCTGCACTCTTGACACCCACTTTTCTCTTCCGCCGTGACAGAGTACGATGAAAATGACGCCCAGAGCTCTGCTGACGCAATAGGAATATTCCATGCCTTAGCTTGTGAAATTGCTGCATCAGCTGCTCGTCTTGAATCCTTATCTGATGCTGTTGCATGGCAATATAACATTTACAAATATAGTATGAACATTAGGGTGCAGAATGTCTAGGGTAAGTATGCATGATAATGCTTGCTCAGTGGTTAGAAACTACAATACAAGTCATGTCTGTGTGGATAGCACAGTTTATCAAACAATCGTCTTCAAAATGCATACATGTACACGGAATCGGGAAAAAACCTAGGATAGGGTTGCTAGCTTGCTACTCCAAGTCTCATGCCAATTGCAATGTTTAGGCAGCCCTGTGCACCCCCCCCCCCCCCACACACACACACGCACACGCACACGCACACACACACACACACACACACACACACACACACACACACACACACACACACACCAGGCCCGGAGCCAGCTCCTGGGGGGTGGTACGGCCCCAGGTCGGCTACAGGACCGACTATTTCCACATGCCCAATTTCAAACTCCTGGGAGGATACATCTCAATCTCTATGCATTATCTGTTTGTTTCAGCTGCACATTCCTCTAGCAACAGATACGGCAGCTAGCGGAGTATACTTCACTGGACAAGAAAAACAGTTGAGGAGGTAGAGACTCTAGGAAGGAGTGTATGAGGATAGCTTGCTACTAGTACTTGCAGATAATCAATTGCACACTGAGCAGCCCATGAACACTGGAATTGGTGAAAACTGGTACGGCCATGGCCGCACCAGCCGTACCAGGGGGCCGGCCCTGCACACACACACACACACACACACACCTGCCTACAGCCAGGCTACGCTACACTTTATTGATAATAATAGAAGTGCCAGCTGGTGTTTTCCTTTTGCTATTGTATCACCTGGCCATGTCAACCCTTGTCCATTTTACCCAAGCGGAATGCCAGTTAGGTTGATGAATGACTTTGTATGAAGCACTGAATCCCCATGCCACCTTACGTCTCCTTGCCAACATTCCCTCTCCACTCTCCACCAAGAGCTAAATAATTGAGGCTGAATTGAGTTTGGTATGTGATCGTCCTGTAAGTCGCACTCACCAATTCATGCTTGAGCCATGCCAATGCCGACTCGACGTCCCTCTTGCGCTCTGCCAGTTCCTCCCTTTCCTGAGCGTACTGCTGGTCACAACTAACGTCACAATCGCTATCTTCATCATCCGCTGCGGCATCCACATTGCCCATGGGGCGTTCGTGGTCTGGGTCGATCATTTGCTTCTTTAGCGATTCGCACTGCGCGTTCCCATCAACCGTGTCTCCGTTAGCCTCTGGGCTCGTCTCATCCGTTTTCCGTCTGGCTACTCGGCCGGCTATTGCTTTCACTGCTCTCTCTGCCTCGCCCGTGCTGCCTTTCTGTATGCTGCGCTTTGAAAAGGAGAAGATCTGACTCGTTCCACTGCTGATGGAGGCAATGGAACCTTTCCTAGGAAGTAGGTTACTCGGCGAAGCCGCCCATGATTTCCTCGCCATGGGAGATGGTAGGGAGGGCCGTTTGGCGCCGCTGCGAAGCGCAAAGGCTGGGGAAAGGCGATCAACTTTCTCCGCATCAACACCATCGTCGATACTTTCGCTGAAGGCGGTGGAGAGTTTTTCGCGAAATCCGTGTTTTCTGAAAGAGATCTTCGTATCCGGAGCCATATCAAGTGACTTGCACCGAGCTCTGAAGTGACTCTGCCTCCATGCCCCCGATCTCTCCGGCGACGCGGCACCATCCATCGCCTGGCGTTCAACGGAGTCCGTGTTCATGGTGTTGGCGATGAATGGCCCATTCAAAACACGACCTCTGGGCAATGAGAACGAAGTGCCCGCAGAGAGTTGATTGCTTTCGTCCTCGTGGAAAGCATGCTCAGAGTTAGATCGTGTAGACGATGCCCTTGGTCTGCTCACAATAGGGACTTCCTCTGTCTCTTCGTCCATACCATTCTGCCGTGGTGCTCCGGCCCCCTCGCCCGTTATCATTATCCCATCAAGCTGCGACTGCATTCCGGCTGGACTGTGCAGCAAGTCTGGCTCACCGAACTCTGCTGGATGAGCGGTCAACAAGCTCATCATGAGAAGATTCGATTATGGACTGTTTCCCTGGAGCGTGAGCAACATCCACAAGCGACCCAGTCCATCAAGTCCACCTTTGTCGGAACTGACCCGAACATAAACCGCGTCTTTCCGCTAAGATTATGATTTGCTTGACCAGGCGCTATGATCCCTAACAACGCACTCTCTGGCAGCCATACGCGGTGGATCTTCCCGAGTGCCCGCTGTTTATTTTCTGTTTGTGCCAGCGTGCGAGTCTGTGCCGATAATATCGAGCCACAGCAGTTGGTGAGGTGTCAATGTTGTACCCCATCCAACATGGAAGATGTAACTGGTAAGCAAGTCGTGACAACGTCAAATCTTCCCTGATCCGAGAGTTCCGAATGATCACACTGCCCATGTCGACGCTGCTGGAAGGCTTGTATGGGGAAGTGATTAGTTTCATACAATTGGCTCAGTCGTGATCATGGTGATCCAGGCGCCATACTGTGAGTGCATCAGGCCTAGGTGTTGTATTGCTTGATCGTAGATTGTGGATCTGCATGAAGCATGCATGGACTGCTAGTGTCGTTAGTACTGAGGAGTGAGGTCGCAATGCTGTTACGTACACCCATATTGATGGGCTGACCCCTAGGCTTTTGCCGTTTTGGACAGTATCTGCCAAGGTCATGCATGCTCCGTTGATAATTCCATTCAAACTCATGCTGGCTCAGTCAGTAGCAAGTCCGTACTGAGGAGGTGATTGCTAGGTGCAATTTACCCAGTCAGTGAGTGGTCACCATGATACCCGCTGTGCCTAGGATCAGTAGCTACCAGCGTATAGGTGACTTTGGGGATCAAGACCCCTCCAGGCATAGAAGAGCCATCATAACTCAGAGCATGATCTGTCAGTGTCCGTCAAGCCCCTCTGAGCACACACGTGTGCCCAGTGCCACTCCGGAGTGGCCAGTACCAGTGCACTAGTGATGGCTGCCCTGTCGTTGGCAGGACAGGACGATTATTGGCAGCTCCGTGAGTGTTGTCTAGTAAAGACCTAGGCGTATATAGCCACCTGTCAAACCTGAACACATGTGACGTAAATCACCGTGTGGAGGCTGACCGCCAGATTTCCAGTGCGATGGAGCCGTGAAGAGTGGGAAGCATGTGCCATTTTCCGTATAGTTATTATGAAGGTTAGAGCATTGTACGGCTAATGCTGACATTGTCAGATTGATCTGAACCGGTTAGGCTCGTGTGTAAATACCAGCAAGAATGTCGGAAATCTGATATTAGTATCCTGTAAGACTGCATGAGTGAGAGAGTGTGTGTGTGTTGTAAACATTGAAGTGGATCAGAATGGAATGTCACAGTGTGGTGTTGTAAACCAACCTGGGAGCACCCCCAGCTGCCTTACACTGAGTCTGTGAGTGATGTCGAATGGCACCCATGCATGTACCATGTTCAAGCTGGCAGGACTTGCCTCTGTCGCCATGTTCTCATGTACAGATTACAGTGGACACGCATGCGGTCACGTCTGTGATGATCTGGTAAGCAGGCAAGGCATTCCGGGTATGTATGTGTGATGTGCTTACGGACTGTGGTTGCGTGGTGTACACTCGTATTGCCACACACAGACACCCTTAACCACATGTACCACCAGTGGCATGCACACACTCGCCTTCCACAGCTACAGTACTACTCAATGAAATCCAGTCGCGCCACTCAAGTGCGCGCCAGGCGTTGCACAGCCCTAGACCGGCGAACATTGGGCTGGGGAATGATGCAAGGCGCGGACTTGAGTGACGCGACTGGATTTCATTGACCAGCACAGTACATAGCCACATAGTCACATAGTCACATAGTCACATAGTCACATTCTGGTAACAGCTGTAGTAGATACTAACTTACTTACGATTAGACTTTTTCAAATTTTCACTTTGATTTCGTTGCCGAGTTTCATCTCTTGCATCTTCGATGTTCTTCCTTCTTTCCATGTCATGTTGAATAAAAACCGTGTTTCAGATACTAACTTACACAGTTATGTGCAGTAGCTTGTAGTATATGCCGCACGTGAATGTAATTTTGTACTACTGTCGTGGACATGTAATTCCGGTCGCACGTCTAGTTATAGTGGCGCCAGGGCGCTGGCCATGCAGCCGTAGCATGTATTATTATGCGCTGCTGCTGGTTGCATAGGCCAGGATCAACATGTGCACTGCATGCAACAACTTACGTTCTGTACGTGCTGAGGGCGCCGGCCCCGGTTAATCGACTAGGGTCCGGCGGATTCTGCCGGCAGAAAAATTGGCAGAATTCGGTACTTTTTCTGGTAAGTTTCATGCATGTTTGGTATGTGGATAAAGAAATGGAGCAGAATTCGAGGAATTGCCCGCCATAAGGTTTGTATGGTTCTGCCAATTTCACTGCTTTTCGAGCAGAATCTGCCACCTTTTCGAGCAGAATCCGCCGGACCCTACAATCGACTGGATTTCCATGTCCGCGACAGTAGTTTTTCTAGGGCATGGCACAAGTGACCGGTAGGTTTCCCCACAATGGCCAATGACTCGTCTGTGGTAAACCGCTGGTTTGGGAACTGCGTTGTGATGCTGGCAATGTTCCTGCAGCTGGCTTAGTGCTCAGTGATTTGGTAATACTAATTAAAAATGCAATTTTCCCGGATCATGGCTTGCAGTGTTGGAACTGACTTGCTGGTATGCATATACTGGTGCTGGGATTCAGTCTAATGTTTTAACTAGGAAATGATGGTCTAGAGTGCAATACTGTAAGACATGTATATATAACGAGGAAGCAAATCTAACGTTTTAACGGATGACATTTCTTCGTTATAATAAGATCCGTTGAGGCCGTACTGCTTCATATATGCTGTGTGTGGATATGGCAGAATACTGCAAGATCGTTAACATATCTTCTCGTTAACCTATGAATTTTGGACAATCGTTAAATTTGCGACTCGTTATAATAACATGTCTTACAGTACATGTACATACATGTAACTGACTGAGGACCTGTTGTGATATTCATGAAGGCTCATGCCCCTGTATGAAAATGCGAGGTGTTCCGGGCAGGCACAGGGAGACTGGATAATTTGTTTTTAAGCGGCCATGTGCAGATTCGCATTTCTGGGCATGCTGAGATGAATCTGCCCATTGTGGTTTGTGTGTCACCGGCATCCACCAAGTTGAGTGGTTCACATTGCCATACTGGGATGAGTTTCTCTTGGATTTCTTGGACTATTATGAAAAATGATTGACCCTGGGATAGTAGGAGGCTGCGTTTACAGTTTGTGTGTCGCACAGAGTTGCAAGCTGAACCCATGCCGAGAATTATTATCACTGCGAACATATCCGCATGCCACCACTTATGTACAAGGGAAGGTTCAGAGTCAGTGATTAATGATTTTTTTTAAAGATGGGTCCACTCTTTCATAAGTGTGCAATTTACATGGACACAATCATTGGTGAGAAATGCGGGCTGGTACATTCAACTATGTACATGTAGTAGTTACTGCCGATAAAAGCAACCTCTGAGTTTTCCGGTGCCACAAGCTGCAAGAAGGCCTCCCCTGTGCGCACACCAGACCATGGTGACCAGGGAGTCCCTGATGGTGGCCTGCTGGCCACCTCGGAGATCACCATTCGTACCGATACTACAATATTGTAACCCATAGCTACATGTCACGTGATGTGGATCCCGAAGGTGGTCGGATTTCTGAGCTTCCCCTGTAGTCGGTCAGGGAGTCGGTATTCTAGCGGCTCCCTGTATCCGATCACATACAGCGGTTGACATACACCTCGCCTTCTGCCACATGTCAACTGAGCTGTCCGCCGACTCAATGTCAGTATGCAAGTCATGTCAGAAGAAAACGATTCTCCAGTTTTCAGGTTTTCAAACCAGGGTACAAAACATAGACCAGACTTGTAATTGCCTGGATCGGAATAGTACATTTGTAGTAGAAGTATTCTGAGGATGTCCTTACCAACGTTGGCCTCGTGCCATCGTTGCCTTCATGTCGCAGCTGTACGAAACTCATCATCGCTCTCTAAGCTGCCATGGCGAAAGGAAGCAGAACAGATCGTGGGCTATCCAACTTCTTTCCTCAACCTCAGATATTTGTTGAGTGACGAAATTTCAAATGTTGTTGGTCATCTTCGTAAAATGGTCGGAACAAGACATCCCCTGCTGAAGACAGCAAGGTAACAGCTGTAGTTGTATGTGCTTATGCCAAGTTATGGTCTACTTGCGTCCACCCGTTCCGTGTTAGATTTCACAGACACCGCGTCAAAGCACTACCCTGTGTGCTTGCTTCTGATCGTTACTGATAAATGCAACACACTTAGTGTGGATGATCAAGTGCTAGCAGTACATGTAGTAGCCAGAGTACGTTAACCCTGGGGTTATGCACTCTTCCAGCAGTACAGCAGTCCAAGGTAGATTGCTACATGTGTGGTCCTGATGCATTTTGGTGGACTAGACTTGGCAGTCAAGACCCAATCCTGTATTGCACGAGTACCGGTATCACAAAAATGCACTCATATCTCCCAAAGTTATCCGGACCCCAACATTTTTACGGGCACCTCGGTCTACCGGGCACCCTGTGGGCAAGGTTTTGTGGAAATCTTACTACAGTCAGACCTCGTTTATCCGGTCCTCGTTTATCCGGATCCCTCGCCATCCGGAAGAAAATCGCTGGTTACCGATGTGGAGCATATGTTATGCATACAACATAACCGGACCTCGCGATCCGCATACCGGTGCATGATTTTGTGTACAAACTGGTTAAAATGTGTAAAAAATGCTTCGTCGTATCCGGTTGCATGTGGCTGGCTAGCGCTTGCAGAAGCTAGTATCAAGGAGTTGTACAAGCAAATGAGGTCCTTGACCTGCTGGGTGTGTGCGGACAGCACTCAGTTGCATGCACTTGTCATTTTTTCTCGCTTGTTTAACATACTGTGCACGCTAGTTGTCCTGCATAGGACCCGTCTACATGTATGTACGATGTCACTGCTTTTGACATGCCACATGCATATACAGTATGTGTGTTCAGTTATCCGGTTACCTCGCCTATCCGGATGTTTTTGTGGAAAACAGATGTGTGCGGTTAAGCGAGGTCTGACTGTACTCTTTTGCTAATTTTAGTTGAAATAGTGACGTCATATCCCAGATCTCTCTCTGGCGTGTGCAATACTGTACTACATGCAACCTCTTCTTTCCGTGTCGTGCCGTTGCAGGAAGCTTCTTGATGACGAAACTGGCTTCCAGAGTCGTGGAATCACTATTTTGCTGATGTCCAAAGCTCTGGCGAGTTCTTCACAGAGCCAGACCTCTAATACAAATGTTCAGACTAATCCTAGTGGTAAGGCATGCATTTGCTTTTCTAATCCAATGCTTTTGAGTTTGTTTTGTGCGACTCAGATGGAGTTCTAAGCAACCTCTGATCCGTGCTCGTTCCAGAAATTGACACAAAGAGCTTTGTCATAGCATTATCGACCAATGCCTAGTATCCGCGCACAGCTGGTCGGTCATATGCAATACATACGCGCTCCACTGCACAGTATGGTCTCCACATCATAGTAGTTGAGAAAATTATCAGCATTGTAATGCACAACACCCTTGCTGGTCACTGTGGTCAGGGATGTTTTCGCCTTCGGTGTTTCTATTCAGTTGTCAATTACTGACATACGTGTTACATTCTGTTGCCAGTGTGTGTGTGTAACCTCTCTGTTGTGCTTGTTCTGTGCTGTGTACATTTGTCCTGGCACAGGGATACTGCCCCATCAGCGTCACCTGTCCGAGATCATTGAGTTGATATATACAGCTGAACTGATCCATGACAATATTGTAGATGTGGAGTTGGCAGCTCATGGTGAGTATCCACAGGAGAGCCAACAACTGACAGCTGAACAGCGTGCAGAGCTAGCATCTGGTAACAAGTTAACAGTTCTGCTTGGTGATTACCTGCTTGCGAATGCATCGTCTGGCTTGGGCAAGCTGTATAACACTGAGGTATGTGTGTGTGTGTTATGACATTGGATTTTCAGTCAACTTACCGTATTATCTCTAATATAAGCACAGTCTCCAATAATAGAACACCTTGGGGCGGCATTCAAAAAATAAAGTGCTCAGTCTCCATTATAAGCACACTGTGTAAATTCATTATCTGTACCGGCGAAAAAAACCCTGAAATGTGTGTGTCTGACATGAATTTGGCATGGCAACAGGCCTCTGAAGTGAGGTTGAAATAATAATGGAACAGTCTCCAATAAAGGAACGTCTCCATTAATAGCACAGGGCGGAGGTACATTGAAAAAATAAAGGACCGTGCTTATATTAGAGATAATACGGTAAGAGGATTTCACTAGCCTGGGATGTGCATGCTTCAAGTCTGGTCCCCTCCGTGTTTACTGCTCACCCTGCTTTCCCAGTAGAAGCTTAGAATACATTCAGTCCCCCCCCCCCCCCCCCCCCCCCCCCTCTCCTGTCAATCGCTCACTGCTACAAGTTTGTAAAAGTCGTAAAATATTTGCCTCAGTGAGCATCTTCAGGGTATTGATCAGCCTGCGCGGCATCAGCTTACAGTACTGTAGAAAAAGAGTCTCATGTATTGTTATGTGTCTGGTTTCTTGCAGGTGGCAGAGAAAATATCACAGGCACTATCTGATATGAAAGTAGCAGCCTGTCTGCGGCAGAGTTGGCATGTGGCGGCACCCAATGACCGGTACAGCCTGTCCGAGCCACTATTCACATCGCAAACGAATCACATCACAGCAGCACCAGGCACTTGCCCAATCGTGGACGAGCCAGCGTCGCTGAAGAACTGGATACGCTGGGTGCGCCTAGCACACGGTAGTCTACTCTCACATGGCTGCCATGGCACTGCTTTGCTGGCTGATGCACCAGTGGAGATGCGTAGGAAAGCTGGCGTGTATGGCTGGCACTTGGCTATGGCTGATGAGGTACTAACATTACTAGGAGTGTAGGATTAGCCTGTGTCAGAAAACCATGATGTATTTGGCAACAATCTTTTCTTTATGCCCTGCTGTGGATGGTAGTCTGCAAAATCCTAGAGTTCCGAAAATTGTGAGCTGGGTGCTAATCATTACTTTAAAACGGGTAACGTTTGCGACAATAAATGTTTGCGTTTTACAAATTGTCAGTCGTTCTACACAGTCGAGTCAGTCCTTGCACTGAACTTTACATGGCGCGAGTTTGCGTTGTTCAAAGTTTGCGATTCGGGGCCTCTCGCAAAATTCGCAAACATGTTTACGTCACAATAGTTACCCGTTTTACAGTAGTTCTATAAGAGATTTTCAATGCTAGCAGTAGCAGTTATTCTCATTGAGGGTGTCCTGTATTGAGTTTCAAGTGGTGCTTTTTTGCACATTGTGTCTGTACATGTAGTTTGGCAGCAAATTTATCATCATATTGATTCTGAGGAATTCTGGTGTTGTGTTTTGTCTACACACAGCTGCATTCAGAGCTACAGCCCACTTCTATGGACTCCAGTTCCCAGATAGCACCCGGCTTGTTACGTAGCCTTTGTCAGGTATGATCCCGTGCTGGTTACTGTAGCTTTGATAGGGCTTGCCTTGAAAATGCTATGTCACAGCCAGGCTGGAGTCATGGCAGCGCTGACTTTTGGATCCACTTGGATCCAGTGTTTATGTGGACCCATACCTGTTTGGGTGGTTTGCCTTCACAGCAGGGTGACCACTGGTGCTGACTTGATTGGGGCCTCCCCTGACCCACGGCTGCCACAGGAAAGTCCCACTAGCATGCGACACGAGGGGCCTCCCCACCAGTTTCTCTATTTCGCTATGGTCAGTGTGGATCCAATTATACACAGAAGTCGTTATTTGTTGACACTTGGCGCCATCACTTTCAAACCCTACCTGGCTGTGCAGTGAACGCATTTTTGATCATATTCCCGGTCAAGCCATTATGCCATCTTCCCCTTGGTTCCAGTGCAGTCACTTACATGTACTGTACTAGTAAGTAGTAGACTGTATTAGCAGTTGGTTTGATTACTTTTGCTACGTGACATTCACACCTATTTCTTGACCATTGTCACTGAATGCCTGATGTTTCCAATTTTCCATCTGGTCTCCTTTCTTGCCTTCAGGATGAGAGTGAGTTTGCAGAGGCCCAGCAGAGAATACCTCCAGTACAGAAGTTCCATGCGACAGCTGCTATCGACTCACTGGAAGCCTTTCCTCCGTCTGATGCTCTGCAAGCACTGAAGAGAATGGCAGAGGAGCTGACGTGAGTGCCACCACTGGAGCAGAGACGAGTTCCGAATCTACTACACGTGTAGTCCAATGCTGCCGGTGTTTACCGCAGGTGCATGCCAAGTCATGCCGGTGCCTTTCATGCACTGTGTTGAGCATTGACCGTCGACCGGTCCACATGCGACACATGTAGCATCATCCTTGAGAGTGCCAGGTTTGGCTGCCTGCATTGCAAACCACCAAGCATACAGTGGCGATATGCTTGCCCACTTCACTGACACAGTGGGGTATGCCCTTTGGCGGCATATGGCGATGTCATAATGATCTCATTGCCTTGATTCTCATATCCTTACAAGGTGAAGTGTGAGAGAGTGGATAGACTAGTGGCACATGGTACTGGGCAGGCCTAGCCATAGACAGACAATCACACTTACTCATGGATTTCAATATTCTCTGATGACTCCACTTGACCTGGACCCATACAGTCATTATAATAACTCATCAGAGCAAAGCACTGAATTATTTGTTGGTTCAGTAAACCCCAGATTGTTTTACTGGTAGAGAATATTCACCTCCATCGTTGGCGATGTAGGCTCCTTTCAAATATAATTATGATGCTGTGTGATGAGTTGTGCCAGCTTCCAAACTCAGACAGTGAACTACATTCTGATATTGTCAGACCCTGCTTCTACAAGTCAGCATCTGGCATTGCGGTGCCGATTTTAACCCAATTTTAGATCGGCAGCTACTTTCACTTTGTCAACTATTTTATGTTCTGTCTTTCAGATCATGAGGAGAGACCTGTATTCTGGTATATGCATGAAAGTGATACAACCAGCATCACCAATTCACCATTATCACATCCATTACTAACCAGGAAGCCCTGCACATGTGCATGTGTATGGTGCCATGATTAGTGCTTGTTCTGCACCTGTGGAAAGTTGGAAACCTCTCTGATGCCGATTGATGGCGGTGGTAGATGCGCGGTGGCTGTGGTGGGAGAGAGAGAGAGAGAGAGAGAGAGAGAGAGAGAGCCTTTTGGAAGGCTCGGAATGTTGCTGCTTCCGTCTTCTAGATCTACAAAGAGCCCCAAAAACCCATGGCAATGTACTTCTTTGGTTATCATTATTATTGTTACGGGCGGGGGGTGAGAGAGCGCCAACTCAGTCCGTAGGGCTAGGGGGGGGGGGGGGGGGGGGGAGGGTGAGAGCGCTAATTCAGTCACATATTTCTGCTTTGTGCAGAGCTGTGAGGCTAGGCTAGCGGCTGGGCATGTGGTGCACCACTATGGTCTGCTTATGAACTCTGGTTGTACACGTCATGTCAGCTGAAGTGAACTCAGGATCTAGGAGGAAGTTGGAAGATAACTATTTCACACCGTGTACACTTGTAAGTTGTAACTATTACTAATAACAAGAGTAGATAAACATGTACTCTTGCTAATAATAATAATAGTTGTAGTCTACCATGATGTACCAGGAATACCGGGGTGCCCTCGGTAGTACAAAGAGTATAACCGCCCGGGGGTTATACTCTTGGTAGTACCGGTATGTCTCATCAGCGGGATGCATTTATCACGGACTGGCTGGATGGAGCCTCTGTAGCCGCACTCCAGCCGGAGTCTGATTTTACTACTGTATTCATTTTACTTGAGATGCGATCATGATACTCCGCTGGTTGCGGAAATCAAGATTCTTGCCAACAGTGAGCCGTGAGAGGAGAAACTGCATGCACTGGTCTGTGAACTACTTGTCTTGAGGGTAAATCACAACGGTAAGGAACAGCGCCCCTTGCCCGCTAGAGCTAGGCTCCAGTGTAGACACCGAGGACGAGACGGCAGTCTGGTGTAGGGCAGGCCGCCGACTTGCGAGCCGAAAACAAGCAAGATGATCAAAGCTGTGCTTGTCTTCAACAACCATGGAAAGGCCAGGTTGATGAAGTTTTTCCACTACTTTACCGAGGACCAGCAGCAACAGGCCGTTCGTGAAGTCTTTCAGATCATCAGTAAGCGTGCGGACAGTGAGTGCAACTTCGTCGAGGGTATCTCCACGGAGTTGCTAGGTGGTATGGACTATTCGCTGGTGTATCGCCACTACGCGACGCTGTATTTCGTCTTCTGCTGCGATTCCAGCGAGAGCGAGCTGGGAATCCTTGACCTGATTCAGGTATTGGTCGAATCGCTGGACAAGTGCTTCGAGAATGTCTGCGAGCTGGATCTGATCTTCCACGTGGACAAAGTACATTACTTAGTCAATGAGATCGTGATGGGTGGGATGGTGTTGGAGACGAACATGGCTGAAATCATCCCGCACGCGCAGCACCAGCTGAAGATCGAGAAGGAAGACAAGGGAACAGCGCAGGTGGTGGTGGCTGGTGTCGCGTCAGCGCCAACCAGAGCTGTTGCAGCTGTCAACCAAGTCAAGCTGGCTGTACAGCAAGGTTTGAAGTGAATAACAGTTCTACTTGGGTTTAGTGCAACTAGTCTACAGTGCTAAATGTGCTGTCTACTCTTACTGCAGTAGTAACTGGTAATGATATAGTGATACGTAAAGCTAGGAGTCAGTTAGTTATCAGCAATTGCCAAGACACTGCCTCCTTCCCCCTCCCCCCCCCCCCCACCTCCCATCTAAGTGTGAAATGAATGAAGATGGCCCACAACCAAGAGTAATTATTTTGCCAAATCCAGTGTGCCTGTGCTATCATCAGGGTATGTGGTGAACCACTCGGTCCTGAATGGACAATTTCTTTGAAGGTCGCGTTATTCATTCACCGCCGCACGTCCAGTGGAGTTTCATCATGTGTGTGTGTGTGTGTGTGTGTGTGTGTGTGTGTGTGTGTGTGTGTGTGTGTGTGTGTGTGTGTGTGTGTGTGTGTATTGGACTTAATAGCAGGCGGTAGCACTGAATGAGTATAAGTAAAAGAGATTCACATTCCCAGTACTTCTTTGCATTCAATGTGTTATGTAGCTATTGTCACCCGTATCCGTGAATAGCTAAGTTGTGATGCTGGCATCACATACACAATACATCATTCTAGTAGCATCCTGTAAGAATCCCATAAAGACATGCTTTACCAAACCCTGCTCCATTCTGGCTTTGCACTGTGTTGGTGTGTAGTGGTTTGTTGCAACCCTGAATGGTGCTGGGTGTGATTTAAAGGGGAAAGTTAAGCCCAAAATCAAATTTTCACCAGTTGTAGTCTTCGGGGTGCTGAGTCGAATGATCTTGGTCCGAGGAAGCTGAGACGCTCCCTTCCTCCTTTATTCCCAATCGAACTCGCGCACTTCCAACGAAACTGGGTGACTGCGCCCTACTACTAGATGGGAATTTGTATGCAAAATGTCACTAAAAGAGCCATTTCGTTCTTATAAAAGCCCGGATGACCGCGATTGGCCCATACGTTGTAGTCTTTTGGACGCTGAGTCGCCTGGTTTTGGTCCGAAAAGGCTGCGATGCAGCGTTCCTCCTTTATTCCCAATCGAACATGGTTGAACAAGCGGTCACATGCTCCTGCGTACACCAGTCACCTGGTCACCGTGCCTGCAGGCTACAACTTACAGCATGTTTGGGCGAATTTCTGTCACTCGAGTTGAACCTTTGAGTTGAACCTTGGTGTGAAAGTTGTCGCCTGCTGGCGTGGTAACCAGGTGACTGGTGTACGCAGGAGCACGTGCTCGCAGGTTCAACCATAAGGGCCGAATGCTGCATCGGCCTTTTCGGACCAAAACTAGTCAACTCAGCGTCCAAAAGACTACAACATATGGGCCAATCGCGGTCATCCGGGCTTTTATAAGAATGAAATGGCGCTTTTTGTGACATTTTGCGTATAAATTCCCATCTAGTAGTAGGGCGCAGTCACCCAGTTTCAGTGGAAGTGCGCGAGTTCGATTGGGAATAAAGGAGGAAGGGAGCGTCTCAGCTTCCTCGGACCAAGATCATTCGACTCAGCACCCCAAGGACTACAATTGGTGCCGTCGGAAAATTTGATTTAAGGCTTAACTTCCCCTTTAAATTAAGCTCCGAGTCGTGAGAGCGGAAGAAAGTTGCAAGGCTTATGCAGAGACAGCATTTTTCATCATCACGACATCAGGCTGACATTCAAGTTAGCTCAGCTGTGTGGGCTCCCAAGGATCCAGGCTGAGAATGCCAATCAGTCTACAAACATGTCAGTGTCTGCCATGCATGTACTACATGTAGGGGGTATGGACATTTTAGTGATGACTTTGCCAAATGAGTCGGTCTCCAGAAACTGGCGGATTACTGTGATGTCATCAGAAGAACTGGAAAACTTGTGTATGATGTACATGTACTTGTGGTGCTCTCTCTGGGTGGTGGGTTCATGTAAATAGTATACTGAAATTGAGGTATGGATTGAGGAATATGGGCAGGCAGAGTTCTTATCCGCCATAATATGCCATGTGCATGTGCATAGTAGTATGCCTGGTCCAGCCGGTTCCAATGCTTTTCAAGTTGAGCAGCGCTATCCGTCAAAGGCTAGTAATCGGCGTCTAGACCTTGTCAACGGCTTGCTTATTCAATATTCTTAGTGCCAGGGTCCTACAGTGTACTGGTCTGGACTATCTCTGCTGGCCCTTCGTGCGTTAATACTGTGTCACAGCCTATTCAGGTTATTGGCGGATTCAGACCTTGAAGGGGGGGGGGGGACCTGTAGCTGAACATACGTTATAGTTATACTGTCATTCATTCTTCCGGCATTTTGGATGTTCATGCATCGGCATGATCTGGCATGATTTCCCACTTTCCACTGGCAAGTGAGTAAAAAAATGTATCTCGTTTTCTTTTCACGCACGTGTCACCCTAGCCCCTGCAGGCCTGACATGACAGTCGAGTAGCCCTACGGAGTAACGCAGCTGTCGCTAGATCTACTGCAGCTACATGTAGCTGCTAAGTGCTAGTGCAAGCATATGCATGCATCGTTGCATGCTCACTTGACTGAGTAAAAAAAGACCCGACGTGAACGACGTCGTGCATGTCGCTCTCGAGATCTCCGGGATTTTTCTCTTTGTATTTTTTTGTGCACGCTGTATTCTGAGTGCTACTGCTACATGCTAGCGTTTATCCACTCCGCGATCCGTGCTAACTTCGTTTTGGACTGGAAGTACATTTTGTCGAGCGGTAGGCCTACGCGGCATCAGTGTGTGCTGACTACTGAATCTTCACGTTACTAGTATGTAAGTGTTACTGAGAATGGTTTGTCCATAGCCTAGCCACTCTCTTTCACTCAGTTTCAGCGTGAAGTGGCGTAGATAGAATGATACTAGAACAGGCGAGTTGTGAACGGGCTACATAATCGTTACATTTCTGACTTGTACTTTGTAGTTTTCTGGGCTGGATGTTTGGTCGCTTCGTGACGTCTTCGTGTTGTGTGCGAAGCGTGAGAAGAAGACGGACTCCAGTCACTCCACTGGCTAGCCTGACTTTGTGACCGATTAGTACACACGCTGCTGCACTGTTTACTCGTACCGGGATATTGGAAGATGTCATGTTCTTGAGCTGCATTTTCCATTGAATACGTTTTAGTAGTGGCTGCTGACATTCGGATGCGCTTCACTCTCTAAGGCACTTGAACTTGAAGACCATAGAAGCATAGTGACCAGTATGGAGAGCCGAAGTGGCAGTACTATCGCTACTCGTCGGAGCAGACGCAATGCTGCCGCTCAGCAGGCTCTACTGGCCGCTGCAGCCGGGTGTAGTAGTGTTGCGGCTGACAATGTGTTCTTCGGATCATCCAGTGGCAGTCACCATCGCGATCACACAGACAGCACACTACTAGGTTCTGCGACAACTATTACTTCGGAGCAACGGCAGCAGCAGCGGACGGCGGCTGAGTCGAAGGTGGACCTGCAAGCTGCGTCACGGCAGCGACATCCTGACTGTTCTGAAGAGGCTCCGGGGGACAGCTGCGAGCCAGCGTCGTCCATGGAGAAACCAGTGAACGGGAGCATGGCGGCAGCGTCAGCAAGACAAACCGCGTAAGTGCAATGAGCTTTTCCGATGTGATTGCAACAATGCTTTTGGCGATCGGTTTCACAACATCTGCACGCCGCTACCATGACCAATCTAGTCAACACAAAAATAATAATACTAGTGTAGTGCATGTTTGGCTGCGTGAAAAATTACGAAATAATTTCAAATTTTATGGGATATGCCAGCTAGCTTGACCTCCTGGATGCACTGGATGTGTGCTGTGGAGTGTACATGGTGTGGTGCCATGGCATAATAATTATGGTGGTGCCAATCATGATGGGCCTGCATGGTACATGGGGTGCAACACTGAACAGGCCTGGTGGTACTGTGGTATGCCTTGCAATGATTTATGAAAGTAGTCTACTTATGTGTCACACTAACGGTGACTTAGATCTAGCCAGCTAGGACTTGAGGTCCTGGCATTGTATTAGTAATTTTGTGGCTACCTCATGCAATAGCAGTGCACAAGTGGCTACCAAGACTCAGTGTCGTGTTTTTCCTTTTGACATGTTACATCATGCCATTCACTACTAGTATACTGCAGTCTGCAGGATTCAGTGGCATGATCAGGTCTAGAGATCTGGCGCTGTCTTCACTGCTGGATCCAAAGTCACGGTAAATCAAAAGTTTGCGCTGAAGCCGTTGATACGACAACTTGCGATTTACCAATAAAAGGTTTGAACTCAGGAAATTGGGCAAGCCCTCGAAATACAGTAGAGTCGCGTGCCCAAGAACGTTGTTTCCAAGGGGTTAGCCTGGGACGTTCTTATTTTTCAGCAATCTGGCTGCGTTCTTATAGCACGTTCTTAGAAACAATCCGTACTGGATCATATGCATCCCACAAGCTGCCAGAAAACCAACAACGCCATTCTTAACTTTAGGTTTGGCGCTGCCGCTACTAAGTACTATACTCCCGTGCTAGCCCTACACTGCAAGTGCTGTTGCTAGCCCTACACTGCAAGTGCTGTTGCTAGCCCTACACTGCAAGTGCTGTTGCTAGCCCTACACTGCAAGTGCTGTTGCTAGCGCTACCAACCAGTGCCAGTGGCGTTCTTAGAATTTCAGGCTGGACGTTCTTGGGTTCCACGTTCTTCAGCGCACGACTCTACTGTACACTGATGCACTCGACTATACACACACACACACACACACACACACACACACACACACACACACACACACACACACACACACACACACACACACACACACACACACACACACACACACACTACTACTACTACTATGATACAGCTACCCTAAACGGGTCACGCCGCCCTCCACCCAAGCATGAGCATTATGAGGGGCAGTGGCAAATAAATAGAATCAGCTAGCAGAACTGGCAAAACAGATGAAACAATGGAGCAGAACGGACGACTGCTGCACTGTAACAACAACCTGACAGCTACAGTGACAACGACTGAAAATGAACAGGAAGGAAAAAAAAATTCAAAATTTCACGTCACGAAAAAGCACTGTCCACGAAAGAATCCACCAAGCAAAAGGAGTGTGGGCATCCGAAATCCCACCAGGACTCCACTAGCAGTTCTTCCACGTTGACGATGTAAGCGGCAGGGCAAGGCCTCACAAATCCGACAGACTTCCACAACGCTTGACCAGTGCACTCATGACGACGAAAGATTGAAGTTTCAATTCCCACCATTCCGCCATTGGGACCTTCCTCTCCGCACTCGCTCGTCCACTCCACTGAAAAACAACGAGTTGTTCCAGCACTCCACCAGCCAATCCGCAATTCCCACCACTGCATTCGTCGAGCTTGGATTCTTCACAGCACTCGAGGGACAGCTACTCCACTGCGAGTGGTGGACCACGGCCGACGCAGCAGTGACAATATCAAAGTAAATTGTCCTGCAAGCTACATCGCGATTCCGCGCTCCAATCATGCAGCACTACCTTGGCAGTGTGCGAGGGTGCTCCAGGGTCGACTCTGGCTACGCCAGAGTCGCCCTGGGCAGGCAGAAAACTTGGGAGAAAGCCAAGAACACGGAGCTTAGAAAGTGTAACCTGCTCCCAAGGAGCACAAAAAACACACACACATACACACACACACACACCGACACACACACACACACCGACACACACACACACACACACACACACACACACACACACCGCCACACACCAGCACACACACACACACACACACCGACACACACACACACACACACACACACACACACACACACACACACACACACACCGACACACACACACACACATACACACACACACACACACACACACACACACACACACACCGACACACACACACACACACACACACACACACACACACGCCGACACACACCGACACACCAGCACACATCGTATAATAACTTGTGCTCTAGTCAGATACCGGCAGTAGTGTTTTACTACAATGTACGAGTACATGAGCGACTACAGTACAATAATTGTAGGTCAGCTTTCTCAACTGCTTTGCGCTATTTGCTGTCCAGTTTATACCAGGATGCAATCGAGCTAACAGCTCTCTACAACACACAGTTGAGTGGTGAGCGCAAAACATCGTTCTGGGACTCGCATACGAAGACGTAAGTGTTGTAAGTGTTGCCGAGTGTGCATGTGAGGCTAGGCCGCACGTGGCTTGTCCGCCGAGCTGAAGTTGTAGCCATCACTCTGACCTAGACCCGTGGCTTGTCCGAGCTGAAGTTGTAGCCATCACTCTCACCTAGACCCGTGGCTTGTCCGAGCTGAAGTTGTAGCCATCACTCTGACCTAGACACGTGGCTTGTCCGAGCTGAAGTTGTAGCCATCACTCTGACCTAGACCCGAACATGTTTGCTATTTATTTTGGCTCTTTGTGTGCGGTTGGGTTTTCTGTACAGAAACTTTAAGTTAGTTTTGCGATCCCCTGGCCATGGCTTCTATCTAGAACTGCACATAGCACTTTCTATTTACAACTCTGCTGCCCATGCTTGGGTTTGCCAGCCAGGTTCCTGCTGTTTGTAAGCTTGTAAAGTTTCTATGTCGCATTATCCTGCTTCGATTAGGCTTCACTCGAAGTGCAACTTATGGATGCGCCGGCATGAACGAATGCAAACCAACGTGTCTGGCCGCGTCTATTACTATCCCGAGAGGAGACGATGGCGTGTGTCGAAGGGAAAGAAGCCCATCATCGGTCGACGACCGGCTTCAGATGACCAGGCAGAGGAAGGTGAGTGACATATACAACATTATCATCAAACAGTACCCCCCCCCCCCCCCCCGACATTGCGGGTCCGAATGGGAAAGAACAAATCACGGCACTCACAGCTGCCCACCGTCAATGTGGTAATATCCGAATGAGCAATCGTATGCTGTGAATATTCTCCACAGAAGTATATCCATGGTCGCGTGGCCATGTTACTGTGTTTCCCTGGGCTTGTGTACACGGTAATTGGAGGTCCAGACAATCTCTGTCAACGTAGCATGCATGCTGTACTCGATCACTCCTCACAGAACAGTATCTTTTCTCTGTGCTAGACGTGGATGGTGACTCTGATAGGGTCCATTCGACAAGGTCCTCGAGGGTCAGAGCTCGACCAGGATATGCCAGTTTGTTCTTCAGCTCGTCAAGCGAATCAGAGGTAAGAACATAGGAAAGAGCAATGATAACACCGTTACCAAGAAGCCGTTCAATGCATACGGTGTGTCTTAACTGTTACCTGGCTGGCTGTGCGTGCTTGCGGTGATGCATGCGTAGATGGACATAGAGCATAAAGTCAAAATTGCAAAGGAGGCTTACAGATCCATCGCCAGAGGCAAGCTACTCGTGTATGATATATGACATTTTCTCCAACTTCCAAGTAATGAGTTTGTGTACTCATGCCTGGTGACAGAATGATGACAGGGGGAATCTATCCGAACCAGAGTATCAGGAACCTGGCAGCAATGACAGCGATGCCGAGGACTTCAACCAGCGGCCGCAGTCGGCAAGAAAGAGATCGGTGAGTTGCCGGGACTGGCCTGCATGTGGAGTGCTTGTTGACAGACCATGAGGTATACCTGCAGTGCTGCTCAATAAAATCCAGTCGAGCGAGCCAATGCCATACCGGACGCTGTGCACCCCTGAGCCGGTGAACACAATCAAACTTGATGCAAGCGATCAGATTTCATTATGAGCAGCTCTGTAGTAGAGTTGGCACTATTCACAAACGGTATCTTAAAAACAGATTGCCCTGCCCAGCAGTCTCTATCGTACTTGCTTGCTTTCTTCTTCTACCGGGCATTGAGATTAGGTTGACCAGTATCATGTACGGGGGACATGACACTGAAAGGGCCAGTGTGTGACCAAGGTGAGCTTGCTAGGTGGTCGTGGCAAATCTCGTTGAACTAATAACCCACCATCAATGTGAGTAAAGCACCCTATTTGTGAAAAAGAACAGAAAAACCTAGTGATTTAAAGTAATACATGTGCTGCTCGGGTGTGTTTGCTTCGTGTTGGTGTGGTGCGCTTCAGCTTCAGGTGGTTGAAAAGCCAGCATCACCGTTGCCTCCGGTAACTGGAGCCACTTGTTTTGGTGAGTGCCACGCCCGGGCCACTTCAGATATTGCTACTGAGAGAGAGAGAGAGAGAGAGAGTGTGTGTGTGTGCGTGTGTGTGTGTGTGTGTGTGTGTGTGTGTGTGTGTGTGTGTGTGTGTGTGTGTGTGTGTGTGTGAGAGAGAGAGAGAGAGAGAGAGAAAGAGAGAGAGAGAGAGAGAGAGAGAGCACTTATGCGACTGGACCGATGCTAGTTCATAGCTAATTGTTGCTTCCTTGTTTGTAGCCTACTGATGCCGGTATCAAGATGTCTTCTTAGAAAATGCACACATCGAAACAGTCATTGGTCGGGGGTACCTGTGTCTTCTTTTTAAGTGATCGAGGAAAACCCTGGCTCTTTGTGGTGCAATTCCTTTTGCTTGATACAGTATGCGACAGAACATTTCGAGGTGCACACGGACTCCGTCAGCACTTTGTACACAATCCCCCGCACGGTGTACAGCATGCCAAGCTAGCCAAGGAGGCTAAAGAGGCATCAGCGGCCTCGGCGGCTACATCTGCCGCGGCAGAGACTGCAGCAGCACCAGCAAACCCGCCCACAACCACTGCGTCGCCCTCGACATCGACGTCATCAACACCAACAGCTACATCAAGCACTGGGGCAAATGCTGGGCGGCGGTTTTCAGCTCGTGTTGCTCCGAAAGCAACATCACGTCCCCAATCTCCAAGTGGCGGCTCTCCCACAAGGCAAAAAATTATCAAGCGCCTCAAAACGGATCCACGTGAAGGGGCGGTGGCGAGTCCCAATGATTATTGTGACTTTTGCCTCGGAGATGAGCAAGACAATAAGAAAACTGGCGCTCCTGAGCCACTCATCTCCTGCTCAGATTGTGGAAGATCCGGTCAGTTGGTCTAGTCACGTGTGTTGTTGTTGTTGTTGTTGTTGTTGTTGTTGTTGTTGTTGTTGTTGTTGTTGTTGTTGTTGTTGTTGTTGTTGTTGTTGTTGTTGTTGTTGTTGTTGTTGTTGTTGTTGTTGTTGTTGTTGTTGTTGTTGTTTTTTGTTGTTGTTTTTTTTTTGGTGTTGTTGTTGTTGTTGTTTGTTCTTGTTCTTGTTGCTGCTGTTGCTGTTGTTGCTGTTGCTGCTGCTGTTGTTGGTGCTGCTGCTGCTGCTGCTTTTGTTGCTGTTGCTGTTGCTGTTGTTGTTGTTGTTGTTGTCGTCGTCGTCGTCGTTGTTGTTGTTGGCCTTGTGCGTATAATAGCTTCAGATGGTGCACACCCTGTTTGCGGTTTTGTATTTGTCAGATCCACCACCAAAATGGTCAAAGACCGAAAATCCCATTTGCTGCATCCATGTTTTCTACCTTTCCCTACCATTTTCGCCTCTTCGGAGCGGCATCTGCACCTTGATCATCGAGAGCGATCGCGTTCCTACAGATGTGTAAAACCCGGTCTAACTGAGTCTCACGCGAATTGTGTTTTTTAAATCCGGCTATTGCATGGAGTTGTCCGTGAACTCGAATGCAGCCACTTACAGGTATTGCATCTTTGCTGTAGTAAGCATGGATATGTCGGAGTGGTTGAATCAAGTCCAATTGTGGAGCATGTAACGTATTGAGTGAAATGCTAAGTTATGCTATACTTTGCACTTTTAGTCCTTGCCCACGGTTCTGACACTCCAGCGCCGAATCCGGCTCCCAATAATTCTTGAGAAGATGCCTCTTCATGGGCCTTGGGCTATTACGTGTCGAAGAACATCCACCATGATGTCTAGCAGGCATGTCGGAACTGCCACTCACACCGGTCGCATATCATGTCGTTGTTTAGCCTCAAACTATCTAACGATTCCTTTTGTTTGTATTTCCCAATGCACTTTTAGGCCATCCAAGTTGCTTACAGTTCACCGCCTTGCTTACGTCCAATGTTGCTCAGTACCACTGGCAGTGCATCGAGTGCAAGTCCTGCGGTGTATGTGGAACATCAGACAATGATGTAAGACATCAAGATGCAGGTTATGTCACTAAAAGTGTCACTGAATCATATCTGCCTATTAAAGTAAAGTGTATGGACTGGCAAGTTGCAACAGTGCTGTTCAAGTGTTCAAGTAAGAGCAGACCCGGTTTGGGTTTAGCCCCTGTTGTCCAAACAATGATACAGTCATGTACAAGTACTCTGTAAAATGAGTCATGTATGAACTCTGTTGATAAAGCATGAACTAGCAGCACGAGGGCAGGTGCCGGTTTTGCCCACGCAGCACCATCCAAATGCCTATAGAGTAGTGTAGTTTCTGCTGATAGCTTGTGTCGGAACACACGTTTGCAGGCTTGGGAGCATCATCTGTCACAAGTGATCATCTGTCACAGTGAGTGTCAGAGTCACGACTATTTATGTTGTCCATGATCTGCTGCAGGACGAGTTACTATTTTGTGATGACTGCGATCGTGGCTATCATATGTACTGCTTGAAACCACCGATAACGTCGCCACCAGAGGGTAAGCCTGCAAGCCAACAACCTATGAACCGCTGTAATGGTAACCCCCAAACTAAAGTGTACATACTGTACTAATAGAAGTGCTTGCCTGTACACTAGCCTATGCACACATCATGTATGGAGGAACTGTCTGCGGTGTAGAGATGTACGCAGTACTGAACGTCAGTGTAAGATAGTAGGGCTGCGTTGTACCGGCGTGCGGTTGCCGGGGATGACAGCTGAGACTGATGTCAGTAAGTGTCCCCAGTCAAGTACTGTTATTGTATGATTAGATCTAGGCATTTGGGTAGTTCTTGCAGATTTCCTGTTTTTATTATTTTCTTAGTACTTTGAAATTTTATGTTGTCTTTGTGGACATCTTGGTGCAGGTCGGTGGGTCTGCATCCTCTGCTCCGAGCGGGAGGCAGCAAGCGCGCAGCAGTAGTCCTGGACTACACCAGTGACTCTGCAGGTTGTTGGTGGTGCAGCACTGAGGTATAACACATTGACACTAGCTACCAGCTAAGTTCGATGTTCTGCTACTTGTCTACTGCGTATGTTGCTAAGCACGCACCGTGGTGACTTGCTCACAGCTCGGATGAACAGGTGCTTTGTCAGTGCTGTGCCTGCTACCACTGTGCCAGTGGACAGCCAGTTGATTATAACTGCTTTGTCAGTGCTGTGCCTGCTATCACTGTACCAGTGGACAGCCAGCCTTGATTATAACTGACTTCCTATTACATGCATGTAGCCAATGAGTCTGACAAAGCATGGCCACTCGACTAGGTCCCGTGTGTGGTGCTAGGGCGTATTTCATCTTCTACTTTAGTCCTTCGTGGTGCAGCTACTGTACCCATTGTTGGTATTGCCGTCAGATTACGTGTTGATCTACACCTGTGTGTCGTTGTAGTTCGTAAGTGTTACTTGGGTCTTGTTGTACACAGTGTTGGTTGGACATACACTGTAGATAGCTTGTGCAGACGTTGTGTACTTCTCCACATGAATGATTCTGGATTATCCTATCTCCTGTTCTGGCATTTGCCAACTTACACTGTATTAAATCCTCACCAAGCACAGGCCTATGAATATTCTGATTCCTACCTATCCGGCATAGGATCAACATTACTTGTATACAAAAACATTCTCCGTATGAAAACATTGCTGTCGATACTGTGGAGTGTGTACGGTGTGAAAAACATGTCAGTATTCACGATATTGATGCTTTTCACCGGTCCACACCAGAATGGCAGTGGTGGGGGGGGGGGGGGCTGAGGGGAAGCTCCCACTCCCAGCGGCAGCCGACCATGGCTGGACGTTGGTAGCTCAGGTGTGTTGTACGATAAAAAAAATTTTTAAGAAACAAAAGTACAACCAGTGGATATCACAGATCTCTCTGCTTTTGTCTGGGAATGATGGAACTGGAACATTGTCCAATAGTCCCAGCCCTGCCCAGCCCTGACTCAGTAGCACAGTACTTGTGATTGCAGACTGGTCAGTTCCACTTTCCAGCACTGAACACTGTGCACGGTACCAGCTACTAGTATGTATGAACCAAACTGGCCCGGTGACAGTAGTGTAATACTAACATTGCCTTGACTGAGCATACCCGGCTATGCCCTTACCAAGTTAGTTTCTGAATGGGAGAAGTGTTCCCAGTTCCAAGCCGGACAGGGTTGCATTATGCATGACTGGTTGAACTTACTTCTGTTCAGACACTTGAAGTCGCATGTGCCCTGCAGTGCAGTCCCAGCTGCGGCCACTGTATACAATGACTATTATCCTGTCCTGGGCCTGGTGGGGGAGGGGGGATATTTGGGGTTCTCCTGGAGTCACGTGCACATGTATGCATGGTGTGTGCACCCGTACCCTGCTAGAGCACCTCCCCCCCCCCCCCCTGGATCAGTGAGTGTCCTTGTTCCACCCAGCAGGATGGCGTCTTTGTTCGATACCTGTTTGCAAGGGGTGAAAGACAGGAGGCATTATGATCCTGCATGCAGGTGGTTGATAGATCGTAGATCTACTACTTACCGGAGTATAATGTACTGCCTGCTGCTGCTGCTGCTGCCTGGGTGATGGAGGCACAACGCATGATGACCACCGTTGAGGCCTACGCTAATGCTCTTCCAGTCTTGCTACGTCCCTGATGCTGGTAGATCTTCAGAACGTCACACAGTACAAGCGTCTCGTGATTATACGTAAAAAAGTCGTTACAGCAAGAGCGAACTTACTTTGCCATCTCGTGCATGGCAATCATTCCCGTTCGATCGGAGTGACTTCTACCTACATTCTGCAGTCTACAGTCTACAGTCCGATGAAGGCCATGCTACTAGCAAGAGTATAACCCCGTGGTTATATACCATGAATATACTGAGTCTTGCTTCTACAAGTACTTGACCGCACAGCATGGTCCAGACGCAAACAGTACTGCGGGTGTTTTGCCGGTACAGTGTGTACACGGTTACAATCGTTACCCACTTGCGACGGAGAGAAGCGGCACTTGACACGTGGACCTAACTCCGGGTGGAAGATTTTGCTCGGTCGCAGTAGACCAGGCATGAGGTACGAATCGTAGTTGGGGATGAAACCAAGGCCTGGCGTCCAGTGTCTTGCCGCTGCTGGCAGCCATAAGGACAAGGAGGTAGAGTGGTCATGAGATAGTTGGTGTCGGGAAGACAACAACAACAAAAAAGATAGCAGGAGGCAATGGCGTCAGGCCAATCTTCCTCGGACAACCCGTTCCAATCTTCTCGGTTTCGTACAAATATTCTTGTGCCCCGACAGGACCCAGTTACTAGCAGTTCAGAAGATGCAGCTCATTACACACTGTCCGTGACGGAGGGCAGTGTCTATGACATCCCATCACCGCTTGTTATGCAGCTCGTATCAGCAGAGAAGAAGATTGAAACCGATGACGAGGTTGAAGGTTCTTGTGCTCCAAGCAGAGTGACCTCTCCAGAAATCGATGACCTAGGCAAACGCATCCGGGAATCGGTTAGTGAAGTGTCGGATTGCCTAGCGGACTTGACAACAGTTGGAGATGATCCACATCGTCTCTATCGCCAGATGCTCCAGTCGCAGGGATTGGACTGTCCCGTTCAGGAACATCCGACACAAAGCGGTTCGTTGATAGCCACGGGACTGGCCACAGGGAGTGAACATGACACTGTCGCAGGCTGCGAGGGAAGAAGTCCTGCGGCACCTTGTGACAAGGACCAGCACAGGCACAAGAACAGCAGCAGTGGTACTGGTTGTAACGGGGATAGTGCTGATGATGATGATGACGAGGAGGAGGAAGACATTTTCACTGCACCCGGCTATGTGAAAGCATCCAGGACGGGGAACAGCTCTGCAGCAACATCAAAAACGTCTACACTGACTACAAACCTGGACAGAATAACCAGTGCCAGTAGTGATAGCGACTGTGGAAAGAGACGGACAAGCAGCTCATCCAGAACGCTCTATGAAAGACCCGGAGCACCTTACACTCGGCCGAAGGGGGGTAGTAAAACTCAACATAAGACGGCTAGTCGTGAGGCTAGTAACAGTAGCCAGAGCAGCAACAGCAACAGGAAGAAAACGGGTCTTCAATTCTCCATTCCATCAGGCCTGTTCAGTCCTGGACCAGAGTTGAAATCCAAAGGCTACCGTCTGTTTCGTGAGAGCACTGGCAGCATGAGCAGTGACTCCAGGCCAAGCTCAACGACACCAAGATCGCGAGGACCATCGCCGGCGTGTGACTGTGAATGTGGAAAATGCGGCAAGAAGATAGGACGGCACCGGACATTCTTTGAGAGTCTGAGCTTGAGTCCTGTTGTTGAGAAAGGCGACCCAGAAAACCCATGTTACAGTCCGTCAAGTAGCCGAGCCGGCAGCTTGCAGCGCAAAAAGGGAACCGTGACACCGCCAGCAGTTGCTGCTGCTGCTGCGTCCAGCATTGATGATAAGCACAGGATTGTGCGACAGCAGAGGCGCCTGGGCCTCTTGTGGGTGGCTGTAGCCGGTCTAGCGATCGCTCTCATTTTCTGTGTTGTGGCTCTGGCAGTCAGGAAAGCTAAAGGTAATACCTACTTAGTACTTACATGTACATGCTGCATGTACTACCATGGCATTCACTGCATGTACTACCATGGCATTCACTGCAACATGATGTACAAAGTCACAATGTCATGTGTATTCATTTTGAACACGAGAGAGCGAGCACACCTCGGCTGGGGGGGGGGGGGACTGCAGATTTCATATCTCAGTAAGGCTAAGATACAGCCAGATTTGTGCTGTGAACACTCGTCAGGTCAGGAATCACTGAACGTTTCTTCTATCGATGCATGTTTCCTACCGGCCAGGCTCCATTCTGAGTTCTGATAGGTGCACCAGCTCTGCATTGGATCGCCTGCTGCGTTCAGGTTCACCACTATTCTCATGGATATGCTCTTGAATGTGATGCCTGCTTGTTCATAGAGTTTGAAGAAGAGGGGAGCGATGATGGTGGTCCTACCAAGTCGTTGTCGTCTTCAAGTTCTCTGGTTCGCCTAACCGACCAGAACAATGGAAATACATCACAGAACAACTGTACAGCAGGTGAGTTCACTGCAGTCATGGTCGGTAGCCTGCAAGGCTGTAGCAGTATTGGCTGATAGTGAATACTGGTCGTGAAATTTAATTTTTTTTTCAAAATAACTCAACAAAGGCATTGTTTCAACTGGTCACGTTTTGCTGCACACAAACAAATTTCTGAAACGCGCACTGGGCTTATCCTGACAGTTGATACAGCGCTGCTCAATGAAATTTGGGAATATTATTGTGTGATAATCGGTAAGTGCCGTTTCCAGTGTGCAGCCCAGCGTTGTGATGTTTCCAGGTTGCATGATCTCCGTTGCACGTACATGTGCATTGCTACTCAATGAGATCTGGTCAACGGGTCAGTTTTGTGGCCTGGCCTGCAGAAGAGAACATCCCAGTGTGTTCAGGGTCTAGGGCTGCACATCGCCCGGCGTGCTCGTGCCATTGATCATAATTATTAAAACGTGTACTATCAACATGCATTATTATTCTGTTCATAGGCTGGACTTGGCAAGCTGGGAAGTGTGTCAGGCTATCACCTATGCCAGGAACCCATGCAAGCGCTCAAGCAAATTGTGATCGGTATGTTCACATGTGTGACTGTATGCACATGCACATGTACTCAGTATATGTGTGGACGATGGTGGTGGTGGTGGTGGTGGTGGTGGTGGTGGGAGAGGGGCACGTATCCAGATGTGCTGCAAAACAAGAGTACCGCAGCATTGAGAGCCCTCACTATGCTTGCATTTGACCTACGCCTCTTGATCATTTTCACATGTCATGGGTCGGTCATGTGGTAGCTGTATGTGTACTTCTTTGAAGTACACAGCCGGTCTACATGTGCCCAATAGATAGCAGTGGACCCTGGCTAGGCCAGACATACTGGGTCGCTTTAGGATGCCACACACCTTTGCCAAAAGCTCCGGAATAAAGAAATGTGCCTGGCATATGCACTGGGGAATACATGCGGCCATTGTGAATTTCGCCTTCACCTGGGTCCGGCAGGAACAGCTCGCTGACTGTATGCCACTTCAAGTGGCCATTTCCAGCGCACATCCCAGGGCCGGTTACCAGATGCATTTGCATTGTTCACTTATCAGAGGAGGTTTGCACCCGAGTCTAGTTCCTGATGCTGGAAATGTCCGTTTATTATTCCGATTGAACACATACAGGATGGGTGGCAGTCTTATTGCAATCACATCGCAGGCAGAAGCTGATGCTTTTCGATACTTTGCTGGCATTGACATCTGGATACATAGGGACCAGTCAGACATATCTGCTCTTGTCAACCAACAGCAACTGCCGAATGTGACCAGTAGTCAAGAGATCCAGCACTGCCCAGTTTTGTCCAAGCGGGGCTATATGATCTACACGGTAAATAATCTCTGCTCAACAATACAGTACTTTCTCTGTGAACAGCATACAGTACTTTCTCTGTGAACAGTAGTCAAGACTGACCCTGATTGTCTCACATGACGTCCTAGCTAGCTATTCCAATGTGCACACAATCACACATGTGACAAGGCTGATTCGGCATCATCTTGTACTGAACACTGACTGCAGCTCGTACACAGTAGCGGCCAGTTGCATTCTGCCATGCCGAATCCGGCTAGCACTGTGTGCGTACCATCACTCAAACATGCATGGCTGTACAGTGTATCACTCCTCCTGCATACACTGCAGGCTATCTCTCTTGGAAATTTCAGCCCGCAGCATGCAGCAATCCGCTGACTTGTTTCTTGCATTTCTCTAGTGCTAGTGCACTCTGGGGTCAACTTTGTCCGTAATGCTCTAAATTACTGAGTCTAAACCTTTTCTGGAAGTTGCCACGCTGATTACCACCCGGCATAGGAACAAACTTACATTGTTTTGCGGCTTGGCTGCAGCCACCACCATGACATGTCTACTGTAGAATTTTGTCACTAGAGATATTGGTGGTATTTTGATGACATCACTGTTTATGATTTGTACGTAACACGTTAGATTTGTCAAAACTGCCAATACCCATAGCTACACGCACTGATGTAGTCGCCAATACAATTCTGCATGCCTGTTCATCTGCTCCGTGCTTACTCTGATAACGGTTACACATGTACACATACTTGAAGAGATAATACATCCGAAGTTATCACTCCCTGGCCGGTTCAGCTTCCCAGGCCAGTGTTCAGGCATGGTCAGCTTGACACTAAGTTAGTACAGTGGAGATTGGATATAACGACACTCTTTCGGGAGAAAGCAAAATGTCACTATATTCGACCTGTCACTAAACCCGATCTTCACATTTAGTATGCACTAGGTACATCAAAATGACAGAAATGTATTGTAGATATGCATGTACATGATTGTACATGTGGATAACAGATGTGTATGAGTATACAGTCATGTGTCTTGCATGCATTGTTCAAGGTAAAGTCATCCCGCACCGCTGCACTGCGGCCACAGCGTGCAATGTAAAGCACACATGAGTGACCCCGGAGGTCCGGGCACGTGGCACAGCCATATTATACCATGTTCCAGACATGCCAGTCTGCCTGATACAAGAGGAAAGTCATTATATCCGATGTATTTTCACTGTTTTTCAGGTGTTCGGGCACCAAAAAAGTGTCAGTAAATTCGATCTGTCATTATTTTCGAGGTCGTTATACCCGGTCTATAATGTACAGAAAGGACTTACGACTTGGGCAACAGAATTGTGTCGCTAAACTCGATTTGTCGTTATTCCCAAGGTCGTTATATGAACTTATATCCAATCTCCACTGTAGTAGACTTCAACTGAAGAAATATCTGTACTTCACACAAAGTTCACATTGAGGTGCATCATGTGAACACACCATCATCTCCTTGATAAGTGAGTGCAAGAACTTACAACACACACACACACTACAGGTTTGAGTGCTGCCGCCGTGAGCTGCAAATGCCATCAAGAGGGATTGTCCCTGCTGCATTCAATTCAAGAGACCATTGTATTCATATCATTATTGCCCCCCCCCCCCCGGCCCTGCTGGTATGCCAGGCCAGGGCTAGCCGTTGGAGTCGTGTGTACATCTACTACCCAGAGTACATGCAGGCGTGTGGTGATGACAGCATATCACAAGCCGCAGAGATTCAGAGAACACACTGTACTGTATGGAAAAGCTGTTCCTGCCGGACTGCAATCAGAGACCGGTTGGTAGGGAATTATGACCACCCAGGTCCAGACTCTCCGTATTCTAGGGGGAGGGGCGTAAGATTTCCCCGTTGTTGATCTCCTAGCAGCGAGTTGGAATCCGCCATTCGCAGCTGGTACAATCCTCTACTGACTGTTGTCTGCGAGTCCTGCAGCCAAAGATTATAATTATTCTCCCCATGCCGGTACTAGTATTACTTCGAAGTATTTTTTTAAAAATTTTACTCTTGCTTTTCGTGTTTGCCCTATGCTCATCCTGGGTAGTGTACACCTACATGACGGATTGTACATGTACATTGTATACCATGATAATACACCACGCTGCAGGGAGCTCCAGCGCACATACCGATATGTGTAGGGCTCCCTGCACAGACCACAGTCTGTGCTCAAGACTCCCCCACCCAGAAGGGGCCAGAGTGCATGCATAACCACCAAGAGTCCAAACCATGATCAACAGTTTACATGGTTTACCGGGACTCGAGTCGTAGATCTACTGTTGACTCTTTTTGAGAGGCTTGACCCGTCTTGTCTTGAATCTTCTTGATGCATCCTGCCAATACACACACTACAAGACTGCAAGAGTAGATCTACCGAGTCTTGATACTGCATCAGTGCATGATCATGATGATACAGTAGGTATCGGTTATAGCGTGGGTGTTTGAAAAACGACATTTGATTCTTATTGCCGCTATTTCTTACACACGATAAATCACGTGTGACATATCATATGCACGTGTGACATAAATACATGTTTGGCATGTGGACACGTACAATCATGTAGGTCTACACAATCATGATACACACGGATCAGACTCGCGGTCGTGCTAGGCGACTGCGGAGCAGCAGATAGGAGAGAAGTCGGAAGAAAGAGTCTGGACAGAAAAAGTGGTTCTACAATGCTCAGTTGGACATAACTCTCTTTTTGTGTTGAATATTATTGTATTGAGCATGCACAGAGCACAGATGTTATTACTACAGGCGATACACTTTGCACTAATCTGTCATATTTTGCTACACAAAATCCATTCTTAGGGCCGATATATTCTACTATGCGATAATACTGCTTGTAAGAATAAAAATACACATAAAATAGGTGTTATGATTATGAAAAAATGAGTGGTCATTCTTGTAGGCAGTATATTCTTGTATACGACCACACTATAAGTTAACCGATACGCACTGTACCATGATACACGTAGATCTACACAGTACAGTGCTACGACTGTCTAGCTGTATCATGTGTAGAGATCTACATTAAAAAATTTTGTATGTAGCGCTATAGCGCAATGCCGCATGCCGCCGCGCCGCATGCGCATGGTCCGCGACTCCGCGATGACGTATTGATTACTTTCATTACGTCATATTTTGGAGTTTTTTCTTCAAAAAGTGTCTTGCGGTCTTTCCCCCTTTTGAAAAAAATATCCTGATTCTTCACATGCAAAGAAGTCTTCAGTGATGTTTTTTTTGTCTTGTCGACTTGGGAAATGGAGATTGGGAGTCAGAAAGCAGTCGCCACTTGAGGTGTCTGAAGCCAAGAAGTAGTCGGCGACAGGTGCACAGGAGTTGGACGGTTTGACGAATAAGTCTGTGTCATGATGATGGTCGTATGCGTTGCAGCGTAAAGAGCCCGAATGTCTGTCGTAGCCAACTTCCTTGTCGTGCTGCTGTGGCTTGTGGCCTGTGCACAGCCTTCTCTGTGTGTCTTTGGCTTTCGACGGACAGTTCAATCAGCGTATGATTTTGTTCTCGGTGAGCCCTGTAATGAGCATTGGACAACGTACAATTTAACCCAGTTGGATAAAGCTCTTGACGCCAACTTATTTGGCCAGCATTTGGTGGAGAAGTACTTACCGAAATTGATCAGATCTCATCGCCTTGCTCCATCCAACAAAGCTCTGGCAGTAGCTCTCCACGGCTCGACTGGTACAGGGAAGACGTATGTAACACAGTTGGTAGCCCAGCATCTCCTAAAATTGGGCGAGCAGTCTCAATACTTCCACCGATTTATAGCCAATCGTCACTTTCCATTGAGTGGCAAGGAACACGTCCAGAGATATAAACATCAGTTGGCAAGTTGGATCTCAGGAAATTCAAGCCGCTGTGGATACAGTCTGTTCGTGTTTGAGGAGATCGAGAAGTTTCCCGAAGGCCTTATAGATGAAGTACTGCCTTTCTTGGAACCGTTTGCACACATTGAAGGAGTGGACTACCGCAACACTATCTTCATCTTCACCACTAACCTTGGAGCAAAGGAGATAGCAGCTCAAGTCCATGATCACTACCAGGCCGGGCATCAGCGACACAAGTTGCAAGCCAGCATCTTTGACCGTGTGCTCTCCAAATACTCCTACAATAGTGACGGCGGCTTCAAATTTTCCAGCCTGATTACAAAGCAGGTTATAGACTTGCATCTTCCCTTCCTGCCACTGGAAAGCAAGCACATCAAAGAATGTATTAAAGTAGAGATCAGGAAGATGAGTAACCACTGTAAGTTTACAGACGACCTCGTTTCCACCATAGCCAACCAGGTTGTTTACTATGACTTCGGCAAGGACGCAGATTTAAATAATTTATTTGCTCGCGGTGGGTGTAAAAAGATCAGATCCCAGGTTCACATCCACTGTTGAGTTTTTGGCACTCGTACTCGCCATAATGTTTTCTTGAGAAATATTTTTTAACCGCTTTAACGCAGTTAGCATTCTGCTACTTTAGAAGGCTCTCCGCCATCTGTTTTGCTCGTCTGCTTTTCACACACATCCTTTTTGTTCTTTTTTTTTCTATTTTACACAATTCTCTGGTCTGTTGTCATATCAGGCAACCTGGAGGCTGGGGATTACTGCGGGGAATTTTTAAGTGTGCATGTGCCTTGTCAAGCTGGTCTGACATCATCTGTTTCCTGCAATGTCAGTTAGGTTATCTTTCACGATTTTCACAAGATAGGGGTGCTGGCAATTCTATCCGTGTTGTAACACATGAATTACATGTACATTGTATATTTCTGAACTGCTGCACTAACAAACCCCTTTTTCATCTGTGGTGCGGTCCACCTGTTGTTGTGGAGGTTTTCCTAGCAATTTTCGGAAACTTGTTGGGCAGTACTGCCGGGCATTTTGGGACGGGGAAAATAACTACCATGCGTGCCAGCAATGCAGTGCAACAAACTCTCACAGCCTCTTGCGAAACAACTGTCTATTCACGCGTATACATACTACACAGTACACCATGCTTGCGACACTGTTCTTCGTTTAGGGGCAGACATTTGGCAGTTGGTCGGGTCCAAATCTGCCGGATCTGAGTCCAGATTTGTTAAAATGAACATGGATTCAAATCCGACCAATCGAACATACCCTGAGATCGAAAGCATAATTATTACATGACTTGTAGTGTGTGCTTGGGAAACATTGATTTTGACAAAGCAACTGCAGAGAGTGTGAAAGCATATTGCACCATTGGTACGACTGCGTGGAAAATGTGACCATCTTAGCTAAAAAAAATGGATCCAAATAAATACGATTTCCAAATTTGAATTGAACGTTTCTAAAAATCTGATGACAATTTGTCTCCTTGTTTACTCCAGTCATATTCACTAAAAACATAAAATAAAAAAGTAGCACAATCAACATTCTAGGTCAAGTCTGCACAGAAAATGCAGCGTCAAATCGACTCCAAATCAGTCGATGCCAGTGGAAGCAGCAGAATGTGATTGAAAGTGACGATATAGAGCCAGCTGGGGTCGGGTGAGAAAGCAGCAAAGTCAACTGAACATAGCTACTGACCAATAGAGTCGACAATCTGTAACAAGTGATTTCTCTCCACTTGCAGCCTGTTGTTATCAGCCATCAAGTCACCAACTGTCTGCTCAAGATGTGTGACCTTTATTATACCCTCCTCAACACGACGCTGAAGAAGATCAACATTATCAGAGTCATCCACGTGAGTTGGTGAATCTGATGGCGATTCTCCAAAGGAAGTGAGTTTCTTGAATAGGTTGGCAGGCATGGATGGAGAGAGAATGGAAGAAGACATGGACTTTCCACTTGTGCCAACAGAAGTCTGGGACCCAAGGCATGACCGAATTATGGCAGATTTCTCCACCAACTCATCAGCCATGCCAGCGGCATTTTGTTCCAAATGACTGACACGTTCCCCCAGGTCACGTTTCTCAGTTTGCAGATTGCAAATGATGGCTTCTAGTTCAGAGAAACTCTTGTAGAGATAGCGCTTGTCATTCACAGGTACATGTGCTACTACTGCCCCCTCCTGGATGTCAGGGGAGGAAACGTGGGAACTTGTGTTACTGCTGTGTGCCGCATCAGACAATACGCGCTTTTTCAGAAAAGATCCATTCTCCATACTTAGATTGCCAATTGAAGATAACATGTCTTCAAATTTGGCAGACGACAAGCTGGTCATTCTCTTCATCATCTCAACAGGTGCTCTTGCCAATGAAACCGCACCGGTTGCGTCTGGTGAGCTACTAGACTCTGCTTCTTGTGCTTCTTCCTCCGCCAGAAGAATCTGTAGATCTTGCTGCAGCCGGCTGACACGCTTCGACTCAAGCGTAAGTTGATGCTTCATGTCCTTCAGCGTTGCGGCAGCTTTGCGCTCGGTAATAATAACCTTTGCGCGGGCTTCATCCACCGTCTCGTTTGCACCATTCAGCTCAGCAGAGAGCGCAGAACATCGATCCTCAGCATCAGATAGGCCTTGCTGCATTTCACTCAATTGACTGGCATGGCCTCTCCTGTTCTCCTCCAATTTTTGCTGCAAAGATAAACAGTCCTTGTGAGATCGGGAAAGTTCATCTTTCAGAGCTTCCAGGGACGAGATGGCTTCCTGTAGATGTTCAAGTTCACTGACAGTACCCTGCAATGATAGGATCTCCTGCTCTTTCCTCTCCAGCAACTCCTTATGTTGGTTCGCTTGCATATTCAACTGATCAAGTAGCGATTGCTTTTCAACTGCTAGTTCATCAGCCAAGGACTTACGGCTTTCAGCAATTTGCTCAGTGCTAGTAAGTTTGGCACCCAGGGACTCAATCTCTCTGCTCAGAGCAGCAATTTCTTCCTCCAGCATAGGAACCCTATTAGGAGTGCCAGAATTGATCAAAGAGGAGTCTAAACCTGCAGCAAATCGCCTAGCCTCTCCTAACTGAGCCTGCAGATCAACAATCTCCTCCCGGAGACCTTCAGTGACTTGAGCAGCGCCATCATTGCGTGTCAGCAGGCGACTTTGCATGTATGCCAACTCATCACGCACTTGCGTACACTCACTCTCCAACTCAGCTACACGGTCAGAGCACTTACTATACTGAGTGTACAGCTGGTCTTTCTCAGCTTGAACCTTGACCAGTGTACTCTGCTTGCTCCTTGCCTTGTTTTTCCATTTCGCAAGATCTTCTTGTGCGGTCTTCTTGGCATTATCACGCTCCGCCACCACCTGCAACAGGTCCGTACGTAGCAGGTCACGCTCCTTGACCAGAACACTCAGCTCAATATCGTCAGGCAGCTGTGCAGCTGACATGTTATCAGTTTGCGCTGCTTGTGATGACTGCTGCGAGCGGTCACAGCTGGGGGCAGTGAACTGAACCATAGTGGAGAGTAGTGCATCGAGCATGCTTTGTTTGGCGTCATTCCAAGATGGCGACAGCGAGGGTGTGCGCTCAGCATCACCTTTAGCAGCTACATGCTCCCCAACATGAGACTGAAGTTGCAGAAGACCAGCTTCTAGCTTCTCCTCAATTAGAGAACATATGCTACGTGTCTTATCCGACTCATCTGAAGAGTGTTGTTCACTGAGTGTGGTCTCCCCACGTGACATGGCAAGAGCTCGAGACAGTACGATCGTCTCTGCTCTCAAACGCTGCACGTCCGTGATGTTTGCACTGAAACAGTCCCGGGAAGCTTCCATAGCAGCACAGCCTGAACCAGACAACATGGGTATCGTCGGTGTGCAGGATCCGGAGTGGACACGGCTGGACACGGTAGAGATTGAAAGTTGCGAGGTCAACTCATCTCTCTCCTTCTCAAGCGCATCTTTCTCGCTATACACCTGGTAAAGTTCACCATAGACAAACACACACATACATACCGGTATAGCCAATGTGATCACACACAAACAGCACAAAGGAGGTTCTAAGAGTTTTCACAACTCTGAGTTCCTTGATCAATGCAATCATCAGGTGACTTGTCTTTGTAGCCAATGTGATCACGTATACTTGTACAAATGGTCACATGATCAAGTGGTCAAAGCTAAAAGTTGCATCAGTGTCGTGTCTCGTGTAACCGTGCAAACACAGTGTGCATGTACCGGTGCCTGTATTACGTGAATGTACAAGCACATGGTGAGAACGAAGACCCTGGAATCTCGAAGAATAAGTACATAAGTACCCTAGAGCGGAGACCCCGTTCCGCAGCGCCTAATGTACAAATGCCTTTTTCCTGACATACCTTGGAGAGCTCCCGCAAAAGCTCAGATGTCTGGTGTTGAAAATCTTCCTTAGCACTCTAAATAGATGTAGGCAAGATGCATAAAATCAAACACTATTAACGTTATTGAGTGTAATATGAAGTTTGGGACTTCCAATGGACACCACACTACATGCAGTAAAGGTAAATGTCAGGGTGCAAGACGTCTTGTAGAATGCAGGCTGCATAGTGTGATCACATGCAATACCATGTGGGGACTATGGGCTCTTGTTATCAGCATTCAACACAAACATCCAACATCAACTCAACAGCATCAGCGTACAGTTAGACCTTGCTTAACCGCATACATCCATTTTCGACAAAAATACCCGGATAGGCGAAGGAACCGGATAATCGAACACACATACTGTATGTATGCATGACATGCTGTAAATCGGTAACCAACGATTTTCTTCCGGATGGCGAGGGATCCGGATAAAAGAGGAGCAGGTAAGTGAGGTCTGACTGTACTTCAAGTACTAGTACACTGTCACGAATACCCAGATACACAAATGTATGTCATACCTCAAACTTCTCTTGAAGGTAGCGGTGACTTTCATCCGTCAACTCAGATGTCTTCAAGCACAAATAACCAAACCACATGCACAACAACAGTTATTTACACAAATTGTGCTGGCTTAAACCCATCTGCGCAGTTGAACACTCTGGACTTTGCACTATTGGTGCAGTGACTACCAAGAACATGCCATCCACTGCTATTGCTACTCCAAGTTCATTGGAACGAAAGAAATCATCATGATCAGGGAACAACGAACCAACCGAACTTGATCATAAATCATGTCACAATCTATACCGGCATGTACATTGAAACGCATATCTGCACGTATCCACTATCCACCAATGCATCAGGTTCCACAGTGCGGACTTCACTTCCCAAAGCTATTGGAAGATGCTCACCTGATCCTTGCGTCGGCCTAGACCACCCAACAAGCCACTCATGGACTGCAGCAACACAACACGCAAGATGCAACCGCACAGTATGAACATATTTGCAGTGGTAAGGGACCAGGATAACCGAACGCATACTTGCCAACCCTACCGGTATTTTGGGGAAAATCTAGGAAAACACGCCCTCGTCCCGGTATACCGGAAAAGTTATAACGTCTACCGTATTTTTCGAAAAATGTCCGTCATCACCTTTTTTTGTGGATTTTCAGTGTTTTGGACGCTCGCGATCGAGCAGTGCTGTGCCCACAACGAAGCTCTAGCGAGCAAGAACACTTGAGAAGTTGAGTAAGCGCTTGGACAAGTACGTTTTTGTCGTACATTAGCGAATGTATTTTGCACAACTTTTGATGTAAAATAGCAGATCAAGGGAAAATGGGCAAAATCAAAGGAAACACCTCATCACTGTCAAGGAAACTGTTTGCCAGGGGTTGGCGAGTATGCAAAAAGAACTTCACACTGTATAAGTATCCCCAGTGTCTGCCATAATATACTCCAATCACCAAAGTTCCACCTGTTATCACGGAATTCAAATGAAAGAGGACAGGATCAGTGAGATCTAACTGTAGTAGATTGAAGGAAGGGCTACTGCAATCAAACGCATCTGTTAAAATGACTACCCAGTACACTGTACTACGTAGAAAGCCGGTCTTATGTAGACCGATAGAGATACATGTATATTATCACACCGGTCTAAATGCAGTGAGATTCTGATCGGGTTCACAAACTGTAAACAAATTGCTGCATGACGTCGATCTTGTATGAGTTCAACAGTGGACATCGGAAAAAAGGTATTGCAGAACATCCCAAAATTCACTACAAGTGAGTTCACTCCAAGTGGAATTAGCTATACAGTAAAACCTGGTGTAAGCGACCTCTGTCTTAGCGACCACCTGCTCGTAACGACCGTTTTTCCATGCACGGACAGTTCTATACAGAAACTGCACCGGATACAGCGACCACTTGCCTTGCGCGACCAGCGACCGACTTTGTGTGTACTACGTGCCATATTGGACCTGCACACAGCGACCAAAACTCACCAAAAGTGCCATCTTGGGTGGCAGAGTTGACTGCAACAGGGTTGAAGTGCGCTCTGAAGCAAGTGAATGCGGTCAACTGAAGTGACAAGTGACAGTGCAGAATGCGCTGCATGCACTCCAGTGAGGTGTGCTTTTTCTGCACGAAAGTATTCTATGCTCCACACCCGTCAATATGAGTACATGGAAGTACAATCATGCACATGTATGCATAATCCGATATACCACGAATGTATGGGACCTAGTTCTAAAGACCACCTGCCTTTAACGACCGCTTTTGCTTGCACCGTGGGGTGGTTGCTTAAACCAGGTTTTACTGTACTTGTAAAACAAAAATGCATGTACTATAGTCTGTTTCAAAAAGATTTACAATCAGGTTTGGGTCTTAAAAAGTATGAAGATAAGGGAAATTTGGACAACAAAGTACATAGAATGGCTTGTTAGGACACGGCAAATTGTTCTGTGAAGGTTTCGGAACAATTGGACCAACCGTTAAGGAGTTAGAATTTCGGCCAGGTTTCCGGCCTTTTCCCATGGTTTACAATTTGCCCAGGAAGCCAGTGTCGATTTTTTATCAAAACCCACGATTTATCCTTTCCTTTTTGGCCTTGTGGTTATGAATGCTGTCTGCTGACCATGAAGTTGTGAGTTCAAATCCCAACCTATCCTCAAGTCAAACTTTTTTTCATTGTTTTGGTGATCAAGCTGGTACATACAAGACAAAGAAGATGGCTGCACCAAACGACTTATTGTTGGAGCTCGCGCTTCCTGCCGAACTGACTGACACTTGACTGGCTCACGCCATGTGAACACACCCACAACACTGCAATGGTGTGAGTGAATTATAATGGAAGTCATCAATGTAGCTGTAGCTTTTTGAGATTTATTTTAGTATTTCAAGATCGCCAATTTATTTGAATTTAGCAGTCAACGCCGTCTTCTATCAGCGTTCACAAGCGTCTGCTTTTCTCAAAATGTCGTCGAAGTCACACGGATAGCTTTGCCAAGTCATGGCCTTGGGAATATGTCCGTGTCGATGTCGTTTTCGTAACACGGTGAGTAAATTGCATCGCAGCTCAAAGAAACTATTTTGGTCACAAAACGAATTGGGACCCATGCAGCTCGTCAACATTAATTTTACAACACTTTCGTTTCGACATGTCCTCTCTGACTCCATTATCGATACGAGGAAGAACTCGTTTGTTGTAAACCAGACGTACATGACAGTATCAACGTGAGTGAGTTGTCATTTTTCCTGCTTTTGGGCGGAATATTTCTTCGAGTTCACAGTGAGTTTTTCCAGGCAGCGCTCGAGTGCTCATACGGTAAGACGCCAAACTCCGCGGGCGATCGCCAGGATTGTAAATCTTTTTGAAACGGACTGTAGTAAAGGGAATATCATACACGGAATTCCCAAATAGAGCCCGCTGGCTCGGTACTTACACGGAGACCTCGTATGCTTCCATCAGCACTATGGTGTGCTGATGACGACGGTGTTGTCGACTCTGAGCCTGTAAGCATGGCCAAACACATGTATGGAGACTTTCTGCATTGTGAAATGAAAAAAAATGCACAATACTAAACAGGATGCAAAGAAACTCGGATGTTGAGCCAATAATAAATGTAGAAAGGAAAAGGACATATGTATGGATACGGGTTAAGAGTAACTGTCCACCACTGTAACTAGATACTACATGTATATCCAGTCAGAAAGTGCAACAACTAGGCACAAAACTCACAGAGTACTGAGACATTCGACAACCTGACACCTAGCTTCAACACATACTTGTTGTGTAGTCAACTACACAGTTTGGGGTTCGGTTTTGTACAATTCGTTTTCGCAAAGCTTCCCCTTTTGTACTTATCTTTGATATTTCCGAGTCACCCAAGTTGGGTGGTGTGCTGCTTTGCAGCTTCGGATTGTTGTTAGACCGCTTTGTCAAGTACCGGTATCTTACTGGTCTCGTTACCGTCCAGTAACAATCGACATTCTTTGTTCCCGTGGGACTTTAGCTTGTACTCATTTTCGTTGCGCTTACCCTCCCCTCCTCGGGCTCTCCTTAACCTCAAACCTTCCGAGCTGGAAGGCTGTTGGTTAGCGCTACGGAGATGTGCTTGTCTACTACATGTAATGAGGTTTGTCTTGTAACCGCTGCCATACTAACGGGGGTAGACATGTACATGGTAATTGACCTGTCCTGAGTTATGGGCAAATCTGAGATGCAGGCAGTGTACGGACCTGCTTAGCAACCATCATGTGACGGCTGTCATAAAAAAACGCTAGCATTATTATTATTTTTGAGTTCTTGCCATGTGTGCTTGCATCCAATCTGCTATAGTCGGATCAAACTCATCAAAGTGAGTAAGGAAGTTTGCACTGATGCCATGTCCGGCACTACTGGGGCCTGCAGCTGCACTACTGTAGACCGTGGCGTGTCGTGCCTCAGTGGCATGCACCTGGCCTAAGGTCGAGCCTTGCCAGTTTTAGGGCATGTTCGATTGGTAAGGATCGGGATCCAGATCTCAGATCCATCGGATCATTCAGATTCAACTGAACACTTTATTTTGGACCTTGACTGTTGCCATGTTGACAATGGCGCTCACAAATCACCCAAAAGGATGAACGTCGTACTCATCGCCTCCGTCGTACAAAAAGTCAACAAGCTCTATCTCCATCCACGTGTGCGTATCACAATCTGTACAAAAATGGTTTTTACCCGCCATATACGCACAAAGGTCACATTTGGATCCAAATCCGAAGGATCCGGATCCAGATTCGACCAATCGAAAGGGTGCGAATCCAGTGGATCCGGTGGATCGGGATCCCGATCCTACCAAACGAACATGCCCTTAGTTCCCGACCTAACCCCATGCCCACTAGCACCTACCTGCACTCTCATCCTGCTTTGTTGCTTTTTTCTGCTTCGAATCTGCTCGCATATCAGGCAGCTGAAACTGTGCAACACGAATAACAACAAGTGAAGCAGTGTGTCAATGCATGTCATCCAACTTGTCTCTAGTTTGCCCTGATCCCGTGTCTGTATGGGTTGTGAACAGTCTTGAGCGTGTGGGTATGGTTGGAAGGACAACTTGAATAGATGCTGCAAAATATAATTTACCTTGAGGGCGGATGGTGTCAAACGAGACATCTTACTGTAATCCTTTCACAATTCTCTTAGCCCTCAACGGTGACAAGTGCTACGTGAGCTGGTGCAAGGACTGAAAGTTTACTGGAATGAAAAAGAGCACGTGTCCCTTTTTATCACTGCTACATTGGGATAGCCATGCTCAAGTATTGTGCTTGAAGTCGAGCGAGGCCGGGGAAAACGCGGAGGATGACTGCCGGAAACAATCCGAAAAGTAAACAACCACAGATCTGGCAAAACGTCAACGATCAAGTAACATACCATGATGTAGAGGTCTACCGCCTAGTACCGGCCGCCAGTGAGTGGTCTGCGTGCACACAGGCACAGCCTTCACTTCAGCTTCAGGTGTTCTTGATCAATAAGAGTAGTTCTTGAGTCGAGACTTGAGCCTTGTGTAGAGTCTACATGTACGGGCATTCTGATAAGGATATTTTTTTACAGGAAAGGAAACTCGTAGATGTCCATGACTCGTATCGTACCAGGTTCAGGTTCGCGTGGGTCCACAAGAAAAGGCCAACACTGCACACCATGGAAACACAAATTCTCTGCATGCAGCATGATGCAGTGATGCCTGATGCAGTGATGGACCGATATCGCGATCCCGACCCCATGCCATGGCCCAGTCACGTTTGATTCTTTGAAAAAGGCACAGGATCGGTTAGATGCAGAATGGCAGATAGACGGGACGGGATACAGGAGGACTGTGAGGTCGTGAGGAGTCTGAGTAGGCACTTCAGGCGGTTTTTTCAAAACCAGAAATACTCGTATTTCTTTCTTGTATCCGATTCAGATAGGTTTAGGAAGACTCCACAGAAAATTTGAAGCAAAAAGAATAACTTGGCACAGAGATATAGCCATCCAAAGTCGGAGAATTGAATAACGGCAATTTCAGTATTTCGACGGCACCAGCAGCATATCAGAAATTGGTAGGACTTGCTTCAGTGTCTATAGTGGCAAAATACCAGGCTCGCTGGAAGCAGGTCAAAATAACCAGATGAATGCAGAAACAGCATGGTTTGGAAAAACTTCGCATTTTTCATCCGTCCGGCAGCTCAGACGAAGATATCGGGTGTGGTCACCATGGCAACTCCATAGCAACTCCATCGCAACAGCATGAAAACAGTGCAGAGAAGCCTTTGGAAAAGCATAAGATGAGACTTTGAGGTAAGATAAAGTAACTACAATAATTCAGTGCTAGAACACATTGTTGCTACATGTACAGTATTGATGTGGTGACGAGTACGGAAGAACAATGAGCCGAAGACTGAGCAAACTAGAATTTTACCGCGTATTTGACGGAAAGAAATGACAAACTATTACATGTAGAACATCGTTTGCAAATATTTGGGACTACTGAAACTTCAGCAACTCCAGCATGAGAGATTTTGTGCATAGAGTGTGTGCTGGATTCTTGGTATAATATCACCATCAATGCTTTTCTTGGTCGCTGGAAGCCACCTGCTGATCAGCTGACGATTTGTTCCAAGCAGGCCGTTTTGATGTCAGCTCTCTTGGTCCAGTCGCCGAAGTATATACTGTCCTACTCGTCGCCTGCAGGAGAGGACGACTGCTCCGATGCGACTCCAATATAATTATAACACCTGGCAACATTTCTTCTTGCGCAGCCATGCGCATGGGCTCCGACGAACAAGGACTACTGCCGGGAGGACGCCTGTCGCGGCTCGCTTTCAATAACACCTCGCATTATTTCTTCTTGCGCAGCAATGCGCAAAGTGTTGGACAAACGAGGACAACTGATTCCGAAAGGAAATACGACGCTGAAGACGATGAGCTACATGGCAAATGCGTGCAATCAAGTGAAATGCCCGAAAAATCCTTGCCGATTTTACTCGAACTGTACGTGAGTTCAAAAAATTGCCGCATCATGACGTATGTGGGCTCAAACGAAAGCTGAGGGCCTCAGCTACACGCTGCGCCACACGAGAAGGCCCTGCGCAGCTTCCGTGCAGCTCCAGCTCGATCTATGCATGCGCCTTTCCGTGGTGCCACGCATGTACGCGATTCAGCGTTAGCACTTTTTGACAGGTCGTGTCACGTGACTGAAGTGCCTAGTCTGAGTGAGGTGAGGTCACCTCACGCTGCACGGCTCACTCCTCCTCCGATCCGATCATCACTACATCAGTTCAGCGAGGTACATACTACAATGACTTGAACTGTACTGACCTACACTACAGTGCTGGCAACTGAAATCAAGCGAGGATTTCAGTTGCCAGCATGCACTGAGTCTGTACCTGTCGTACTAGCATGCTACAAAAGTACATGTAGTAGTACCTGTTATCCCATGGTACGGTACTATAGGCCTGTTTCAGCCAATCAGGAGCCTTGCTGACCGGGAAATAATAGCCAATACAATCCCGCGCGGGATGATATTCATTATTAACTGGGTTCACTTTTACCGTACCTACTACGGTGCACCCTGCATTGGCATGCCCCCACCCCCTCTCGATTCGATGCAATGCATCTTGCCACTGGAGTCCTTTCGATCAGAACCCAGCGACAAAATGCACTACACAGAACCGTGAGAGGGTGGGAGCATGCCAATGCAGAGTGCACCGTCGGTACAGTAAAAGTGAACGGAGAGAACTTACCTCCGTGACTACGTCCAAAACCAGATTCCACACACACAAACAAACAACGAACTCCAATCACTATTCAACTCAACATTACGGCACAAAGGAGACTTCGAAGTGCATCTGTTCTCATTCACTCTTTGTAAACTCGAAAAGTACACAAAGTATCACCATCCGAGTGAAAATTACTAATTGCAAGGAGAGATACTGTAACAACTCGAAAAGTACAAGACGTGAAAGTGAGAAGAAATGTCTTGTACAGAATATTCAACAGTGTGATAGAAGAAGAGCTCAGCAATCCATGTGTGATGTAGATAAGATATGGATGCAAGATGCGACCCGCAGTGATTATCATGACATTGTATCCAGTACGATTACCACAAGAACAATCTAAAACGTAGATGCTGCTACAAATCCAGTATGCCTATAATATAAGAAGATCAACGTTCTTCTGATTGCATAGTGGCCGATAGTGATACAACCAAGAGTCTTGATACAACGAAATGCACTTTACTCACTGGTGCCAATGTCCGACGATATGTACAATGTGGTTACTGCCTGCACGGACAGTGTTCAGCAAGGATCCCAAACCGTTGAAAGTTAGTTCCACGCCGATCCAATGACAAGGAAGTCAGCACCAGCATCCATAATGACGTTGTATCTCGCCGTGACTTGAAGTATGGCCCTTACTTTGAATCAAATGACTATGTATCATAACAGTGCAATCTTCGTCAATTCTCTAGTCCAACTACTAAAATGGGACTTGTCTCCCGAGCTCCATCGCTCTCAAACCTTGACTGGATTGAAAAGAAAGGCAGCATCTTGTTTTTGGCATAGCTGTACCTTGGTAATTGTATTCAGAACGCAGTTGCGTCGATCCCCAAAATGCGTAGATGTACCTGGGATAAGTAGGATATTGACCCGCGTACTCGGGTGTTACCGTACCCTCATATCATCCCTCCTGCTACGCAGTCGGGATGATATTCGGGAGGTAACACCCTCGTACTTGGGTAATATCCTATACGTCTACGGCCAAGTCACTGTCCCAGTTGGAGTCTGGCCAGCCGGGTTGTCTGTGACCATGGTGACGTGTCGTTTCGTTTCTATGACAGAAAATCCGCAAAAAAAAAGATAAGCTACATTTGTTTTTCCTTCGCGCTTTTGTGGCTTTTGTCAGTTTTGACGTTTTGCGATTATTGTGTGAGCTGCGCAAAATCTTGCAGAGAACTCGATCGCTGGCAAAGACCGCGCGGTTGCAGGGTACATGGATGTGTGTGATCGGGCGACGGCGCTGTGAACTGTTTGCTTTCAAAACTTGTTCCCAAGTTTACTACGAATAACTACTAGTCCAGAAGCACTAAGTAACTAGTTTATGGAACCCAGCGACCGGGTGGTTTCTCTCTCGAGACTTGGTCGATCGGGGAGGTCGCCTATTGCTTTTGATAGGAGTTAATTTTCGAACTTGTTTGGGACATCTGAAGCGTTCATGGGAATTTTGCGAGAATGACATCCGTTGATGCGGTTGATTGATCCTGCCCTATTCAAAATTTCGTAGACTGAGTACGACGTGCGGCCTTTGGCCAGTTTGGGTCCAAACGTGGAGAATGAGTTCGATGTACCTGGAGCGCTACTTGGAAGGAGTGGAGAGTCTTCCATTGGAAGTACAGCGAAATTTCACGCTTATGCGAGAGCTGGATCAGCGCGTCCAGGGCAATTTCAGCGATATCAACGGCCTGTCCAGCAAGTACATCAGTGACGTCAAGACGTTGTCATCATCAACTAGAAACAAACGGTTAACGGAGATACAGGACTTATATAGCAAAGCTAGGGAGCTGGCAGATGAAAAAGTACAATTGGCTGCTCAGACTTACGAACTTGTTGATAAGCACATCCGGCGACTGGATGGTGATTTGAACCGCTTTGAAACTGAACTAAGGAAAAAGGAAGCAGAGCAGGGAGACAGTGCGAGCACCCAAGCCGAGACCCCGTCAAGGAAATCCATTGAACCGCAGCGCAAGCGTGCCAAAAATTCTCAATCATCGGATACGGGCGCCTCCACTGGCGTGCCATCAGCTGCAGAGGTACTGGACATGCCAGTTGATCCCAACGAACCAACGTACTGTGTTTGCCATCAAGTGTCTTATGGCGAAATGATTGGTTGTGACAATCCTGACTGCCCCGTCGAATGGTTCCACTTTGCCTGTGTCGGCCTATCCAGCAAACCGAAAGGAAAATGGTACTGTACGAGATGTTCCCAGGATCGGAAAAAGAAATAACCGCGTATTTGAGGAACGCTCTCAGTCCATCTCTACTATCCCTGAATAACTTGACGAGTACTGGCCTTGAATCTGTACATAGCCGTTCCATACTCTATAGTGTATTTGTTTTTGTTGTGGAGCTTGTGGCAGTTAGCCATGCTATACAGAACCATGTGAGTAGTCAGTCCTACTGCAGTGTACATATGTGTATAATAGCTGTATGTATTTGTGTGTGATAGCCGCCTATCTTCACGCTATGACTCTGTACATACTAATCATTGACTTGCATGTTTTTCTTCGTACTCTCAGTCTCCCGAGCCGTTGTACATTTGAGAGTACCTGCTGTTGCTGTTGTTGCTTTTCTTATATAAATCCGTTCATTCCTTGTATTTTACTTGGCATGTGTGTGTGCGTGTGCAACCCATTGAAGACTACTCATTTACGAAGCTGGTGCATTCCATATTATTTTTAATTTGCTTTGCTGTCTGCATATTTGCATTCTACCTGTGCTTGCTTTTTCTTGAACATTATCAGCTGTTACTTGTCAATCTGTTTGTAGAAGAATATGTATGGAGATATTAAAAGAGGGGTGCAGGCAGCAGAGATGGAGCTAAGATGATCTTGTAAATAGAGGGAGTGAATCAGAGCACATTTCATCCAAGAAAAGAGTGTGCAATGCATGGCAGTCAGTGGTGTTTTCGACCGTCGAAAATTCTCACTTGCATGCCACTCTGCTCAAACCAGGGAGTCGAAATATACGCACTTTACAAATCCCTGGTTTACCCTGGCATCATACACCAGGGAGTCATAAAATATAAACTGTACTAACACAAATCCCTGCTGTACACGATAGCTTTAGCCTGAATCATGTACCGGTATGCCATGTCCGCCCGGCATTGCAGCACTTCGTCACACTACAGTAGTCTACTGTATGCGGGTACGTACCGTAATCTCGAGCATTTAATTAAAAGGACATGTTCTTATTATTTTTCGAATTATAAGAGCACTCTCGCTTATAAGAACATGCCCTTATAAGTGAATGAAAATCACAAAACCACACGAGGTTCATCATGGTTCCATTGTACTGGTATTCACCAATAATATGCGCACTTAAACATGTATATGTCTGTGTGTGTCGTGTGTGTGTGTGTGTATCCATCAGTAACAAAGCTTCCAAACTCTCTCTTGTGTATATGTCTATTCGATGTTTGTCTCTCGCATATAAGACCATGGTCTTACAATAGAACAGAAATGCACTTGTAAAAGGACCGAAAACAGCGACTATTCGATTATAAGACCATGGTCTTATATGCGCGAGATTATGGTACAAGTACTCATCTAATATCAAAACTCGAGAGGGCATGTACAACTCACTAACTAAACCCACGAGCCTAATCATCATTCACCCTTGTTGCACGTCTGTTGCATAGTGTCCATGGGTTGTTTTTGTTTTGTTTTTCCTAACAAGTTTTTACATGTTGAGAGCATTGTATTTCTATTTGTTTGGGGGGGACACAGCCGTGCCGTGTGGTCAATTGTGTTGAGGGTTGAATGAACTAAACTCTAGTCTAGATTGCACCGCCCGTGTGAGTTAGCCATTACACATGGCCCGACTCAGACGCTTGCTCTACAACATACATAACATGGCTACAACAACTTGGTAGAACTCAGTACAGTCATGTACGAGTATGTGTAGGTGCTTTTGATGTCTAGACACACACATGCTACAAGTTGAGTTCAACGTGTGAAGACATGTTCCTCAAAACGAAAATGCAAGCATAAGTTCCATGTTCATATTGATGTAAGTACATCATGCAAAAAACTAAAAATCAACATGTGATAAAATTCTAAGTTAAAGAATATGATAAAGTTCCAGTATTGGTGACATAGCTTGCTATATCAATCTGCTACAATACTTGAAAAGGCTTTGCGGTCTCTCTCTCTCTCCCACACACCATTCACCCAACAACATCACATAGCAGAATTACCAGAATTGAATGCTGTAAAGGTGTTACAACAACATCACCTCCAGTAAGTGTCTATGATGACACACCATGTCTACTTGTGGTGTATGCGGTGGTATTATCAGCAGTTATTGGTAAACCAGACGAGAGTGTCCCCCAGTGAAACAGGCATCTGTCACATGGCACTTGGTAGGAGAGACTCTAATCAGACGATAGGTGGCAACGATGGCATGTACGCCTGCACTTGGAAAGCAGCCTTCCACGGATATGTGTACATGTACACTCTACGAGCTCGTAAGCATGCTGCGGCAAGAACCACAGTTCTGTATGGTTTCGGGAATACCATACACACGTGAAATCCATAATTATGTTGCTTCACCGTTTTCCCTCACATCATGCAAGTTATCCGCAAAGCTAAGATGGGCTCGATTGGACTCCGGGATGCTCAATTGAAGTTACAGTCGTGGCACTGTATCTATCTTTCAAGTAGGCTGCATGTTGTCAGCTTCACAGCCCACTCACAAGGATTTACTTTCGCTTATAACACCAAACTGACAGGTTCTCTGGGCCTGAGCGGCGTCGAATCACTTCTTCACCTGATAGGCCAGTGTCGGAAAGGATCTGATGTACGTCACCTGCACAAACCAACACATAACAGTTAGAACATTACACCAACATACATGACCTACTTTCAATGTTCTTTTTTCTTTGGTAGATAACACCAGCCATCCGTGAGTGAAAATGAACAAAGAATACAGAACAAAGATAACGGCAAACTATGGTCAGTTCCGACGAAAGGATAGGGAGTGGAAGGGAACTCTTGTTTCGGTACGCTCTCCACAGTGAGGCTAAAGCTCATCCCCTCTCCATTGTTTTTCTTTCAAACAACATGAATCAAAACTGAACCTTCCTGTTAGAAAGGTGAGTGGACTACCACTCTTCCAAGCCTACACTAGGCTACAGCAGCAAGTCAACAACAGTATTTGATTTCTAGTGTAACACATACCAGGCTGGTTTTCTTCCAAAAGCAGCAAATAGAAGCGCCCCGAAGGAGACAGCAGACGGCTAACCAGGGGGAGAAGGCGATCCGTGACCTGGAAAACAGGAAACAAGAAAAGAACTCAGATGATGAGCAAAGGAAAAATTGTAACATGGAAAAAACGAGGGCACAAGTTATGCGGTGGAGTCCGCCAACTAAACCAGATTTCGAACAGTTACACATGCACAATCTAGCACAAAAGTGACCAGGAGTATTGAGACATTCCACGACATGAAAGTCAGCTTCAGCACTGCTCGGTAGCGCTAACCAACAGCCTTCCAAATTGGAAGGTTCATGGATATTAGCGCTAATTCCAAGGGGGGGGGGGGGGGGGGGGGGGAGGTAAGCTGACTTTCATGCCGTGGAATGTCTCAGTATTCCTCGTTAGGGGTGCGCAGATTATGCCCGTACGCAGCCGATATTATGCTTTTGGGCATTTCCCGCGGAAATTCGAAAGTATTCTCCAAAAACATCGAAAAAATTCTCAGGAATTCCCCAAAATCCATCGAACAAATCAGCACGAATTGTGCCTTGCGCATGTGCTTTAACTTAGTATGGAAAAGGGACGGTCAGGCACGTGAGGACTGATTTGCACTATTGCTGCATGCAGGATCTACATATCTACACAGCTACATCTGTACTCAGGCTACACGCGCGTGCGTGGGGGCTATAGCGCTAGGCTGTCACCGACTGTTTCCTGTTCTTGTTGACTTGTTACAAGTACATGATTGTGTACGTGCTTTTTGGTCTTTTTTCATTATTCAGGCTTGGTCTGGTCTTTCCGACATTATTTCTGAGTGTTGCTTCCGACTTATTGAATATGCCTGGCCATCTTGTTAGTTGTGCAAGAACAGCTATGGTATCATCTGAAGTTTCACTCTTGGAGGAGTGCGATCCTGCACCAAATTCAAGTGCCGCTCGCTCTGAAGAACAGACTCTTCCGGCTCTGCGGAGTTACTGCGATGTGCTGAAAACGCCAGCTGTGGCCGAGATCAATCGCCAGAGGAAGTTGAGAGCGCAGAAAACAAGTCTCACTGCAGGAAATACTAGAAGAAAGAACACTAGCGTAACGACAGCTGCTAGTCGTGGAATGAAGACGGTTTCTGTTCGAAGTCGTCTGAAACAATTCCACACCGAGCCGTTAATTGAAGATGCAGGAAAGCTGTTCTGCAAGGCATGTCGAGAGGTAGCGAATGTGAAAAAGACCATCATCAATGACCACATCTCATCCGACAAGCATAAGACCGCTGTGATTGACATGCGAAAGAGGAACGTGCAAGAGAGTACCGTCGCCAAGGAGCCGGCAAGGTTCCAAGAGAAGAATGTGATACAGGGAGTCACACTGCCAGAGGAGCAGTAAGTCTACCGCGGCCGCATCGTGAAAGGTTTCCTGGCTGCAGGGATTCCCATCTCCAAATCTCTGACCGTGTTCGGTTGGGGAAGGTAACGCTTTTCCTCTCTCTCTTCGGAGAGAGACAGTATTTATCAAACTGGCAGACCATCGCTGAGGAATGGACTGCAGCTAGCTCCAGCGCCTCCATGCTCCATTCCAGACTGGCTTCCACGGATGATTTGACGCGGGTGGACAACACTGATGCAATTTGACGCGGGTGGATGTGGACACTGATGCGGATTCGTCATGGAGAGCCTGGAATCGTTGCTGAAGGTTGGCTTTCCATCAGAGCCAGTGGAGCAGGCCAAGGAGTCTGGACCACCACCACCCAGCTCCCCCACCATCACTGAATTCCTCGCAGGTCAGCTTGCCATGTCCTCACTGTTTTGTTTTCTCTGTTTCTTCTTCGTTCGTGATTTGTCATCTGTGTACATGTATGCTGGTTCTTTTTCCAGTTTCTCTTTTGTTCACCTCCCATTCGCTTCTCATTCTACCTAAGTGTACCCTTCCCCTAGTCCTCTCCGCTCACGTCCTCCCTTCAACTCTGTCCATGCTCTTGTGTTTTCAATTTCATGTAGTCTGTCCGCCGTTCCATTTCTCCTTCGTTGAATTTTTTTGTTTGTTTTGTTTTGTTTATGGATGCAGCTAATGGGATTTTGGTCTTTGACCACTTGGTGGTGGGTCTGATCTACTCACCTCCCACCGTTTAGGCGCTGCATCTGCGCCTTGATCCTAGAGGGTGGTGGCGTTTCCACGGCGGATGCGGAAAACTCGGCTTCCAGCCGAGTCCCACGCGAACAGTGAAATTGTTTTTTTGTTTTTTTGTTATCGTTTAGCTTCCTTTTTGCTTGTACGAATACTGTTCTTGTTTCGTTTCCCCACAATTTATTTCTCTCTGTATGTTTTCGTCATGAGGCGTTGGCATAATCAGTTTGGCACATTCGAACCTGGGCAACCTCCATCCAATGGGGGCCCCAGCAATGCGGACGTGCTTATAATAATAATAATTATAAATCTCTGACCTTAGGCCTCTCCTGGAAGAAGGCAAGTACATACTAAATTACTAACCGATAGGAGAGGCATTTCTGATATCCTCCTGTTTGTTCATGACTGTGAACCACGAGAAATTCAGAGCACGATTGCTGCCCATGGCCCTATGTACTCTTTCGCCTACGACGGCACATCCCGCCTTGGCGAGGCATTGGTCACCATCATGCGACTTGTTACCAACGAGTTGAAGATTGTGCAAGTCCTCATCAGGTTCAAACTACAATTCCAGGGTAATATCGCGACCTGCAAAAAGCTTCCACGCATGTGAAAGTTCATACAGTACGGTATGGAATTTGCTTGTGACAGGTAAAAACTGGATTTGGTGCACAAAATCCGTTCCGCTTTCCGCGTTCGACAGTATTCCGCTTGTTGCGGTGAGTTTTCTATGGCAGCCCGCGCGCGCATGCATGGGCATGCGTCCGGTCCGGACAGGATTCCGCTTGATGCAGAGCCCGGTAAACCCAGATTGTACTGTACTCTGATAAGACTCGTATTCTTGTTCAGTACGGACATTGTCCGGAGCGCGGGTGTACTGATGCGTATTGAAGTGTTTTAGAATAAGCACCTCGGATACCAAGTATACTTTCCTGCTGCCCATGCGGGTACATCTTAGCAGAGTTCTACTGTACTTGTACTTGTAATCATTGTGTGCATTTGTTCATGCAAGGAGATGCAACTGCTTGTACGAACCCAAACATAAATCAATGAAGATCATACCTCTCTCCCATTCACACCACCAGCCCATGTTGCCGCAATTCCACCTTGAGAAATCTAAACAATAAGGCATGAAACAAAGAAACGGAGTAAGCAAAAAGGCAAAGCCAATGCCTCAAGCCTCTTGAACAGGAAACAGTAGCCCAGCAAAAATCTCACTCTAATGGTCCTGTTATGACCCAGTAAACAAAGCTTCAAGTTATTCACCGCCAATTGACAGGAGTCAGACTTGCTCATCATCCCCTGTACACTTCAGGAGTATGCTCCATTGCTTTCAGTTTGTGCATTTGAGCACTTTTAAGCTTTGTGTACGGACTGTACAACTTTCGATCCCCTGGGATCGAAACTTTTCAAAATTTCAATCGATCGTAACTCAGTCATTCCTGGGTTATATCCGAAAACTAAAATATGTAGGTCAAAGAGAAAACTCCCAGCTGTCCATTGAAACAATCGTTGAAGCGCTCTGATGTGTGGTTACAGAGTTACGAAGCTCGAAAGTCGAATCGGGGCAAATGTCGCTCAATAGCCGCTCGCGCAAATTTGAATGAGGGATTCCCCCATCATTCTGGGCATGCAGTGACGTAGAAACACGTTCAAAATGGTAAACGGACTCATGGCAGTTTGTGACATTTTTAGAAGTAACAGTTAGTCGTTACGAGCAAGGAGATCGAAATGGCTGATGCAAGACGACTTCTGTCGGAATATTGGCGTTGCAGCTAAGACGCTGGGCTGTAGCGCTGGCGTTTTGACCTTCGTGGTGGCAAGCATGGGCTCAATGTGTTCCTTTTGTGACGAGCTTTCCAGGAAGCCCAAGATTGAAAAAATCGTCAAAAGGAGACTAAAGTTATGACCCGGATAATTATAGAATTTTAGGTGAGTCGAGATCAAATTCAGTCTGTGTACAATTTTTCAGTACATAAAGGGTTAAAACACAAAGAGCTACCATTCAAACTTGCTTGGCAAACGGAAATCCAGTGGTACTGAAGTTCTCCACGGTGTGAATAGAGCACTCTGACTAGTAGTCAAGGTTCCTCTGCAATTAAATGCTCTGTGTACCACAATCCAGCAATGGACTCATTGTATTTGAGGCACTTGTCCGCTTGTGTTTCTGTCGATTCGTCTCCCAGTTTCTTAAAACGTAGTTGGGTAGTCTGTGCGTGGAATTTGTCAGTGTGACATCGTTTCAATCTGGTTAGCCAAGGCAACATCGATTTCCGAAATTCGGTGTGTGCGGAAAACGACGCATCAATGCAGACGGTGAAGTAGGTCAGATTGGTGGAGCCCAGTTTGTTTGAGAATAAGGTAAACTGAGCTGCAATCTTACTTTTATTTCCTCTTTCGTCACACTGCTCCAAACAGACCAACCCGGCTTGGTGTACACACACACATAAGCACATCAGTGCTGGCAGTTCAAGAAAGGGGTCATCAAATGGGAAAAAAATACAGGCCGTTTGTTTCTGTGTGCACACAACCTATTTCTATTCACGGGCAAAAGATCTGCATTGAGAGAGAACAACTTGTTGGACCCGTCAGTACCTCTTCAGATGGAGTCACAACATACGGCGGATTGAACAGCATGACATCCACACAACCAGAGCATCTAGGCAATAAGGCAGTGACCTAAAGGAAGAACAAGAACAGCAGCAGCAACAACAACAGTCTCTTATTGACCACTTGCCATCGTGAGTATAAGGAAATAACCAATGGACTATTGTGAGAACAAAGGATTGAAACAGCAGCAGCAAATTTCGGCAATGCAAGGGGGGGGGGGGTGGTGGGAGTATATCCATACCTTAGACCTTCATCATGTAACAACACAATCTAGTTCCACCATCTGTCTAAGGGCGTTCTACCACCAGGCCCCGTGTACTGCATTAACAGAGATAACGTTATCATTTCATCAGGTAGGTTTCCTTGACTGGTCAGTACTCACCCAGGAGCGAGCAGTGTATAACAAGCCAGCGGTGAGCAGTGTATACAGGTGGAATCCTGATAATTCAAACCCCAAAATGCCAGGAAAAAACTTAAAATTATCCAAAAGAAGTGGCATGATTCATGCCACGTCCAGGGCCGTTCAAATTGAGGGTGCCAAATGTGCACTCTGAGCCGGATTTCACCAAGCGCAACTGCAGTAGGCAACTTAGTCAGTCAAGAATAGAGACAGTGATACATAGTACAGTCTTGGAGTTATGGCGGTAATTGTGAATGACTACAGTATACACCATTATACACAGCTTACCAAGTCAGTCTGAACAGTGTCAATAAGAATGTTGTTATGTTGCCCTGTGCTGCGAGCAGCAACAGCGGCATGGCGGCTGATATCAGTTCCACTGTTCGACCAGAAATGTAGGCACAGGTACGCATGCAAGCACACACACACACACACACGCACGCGCACACACACACACAAACACACATGCACACACACACGGGACAACTTAGAAGGATAGACAGTACACATGAGTACTGTAGGAAGTAATGAACGGGTTCTGGGCAAGTTGTCTATCATGTCATTAACAAGATTTCAGCAAATCAAGCGCTATTTGTACGTGAATGACAACTCAAAGGAGGAGCTGTCAAAATGACTGTCCCTGCAAGATCCGTCCATTACTTGAGCACTTGCTGACCAACTGCAAGAGAGTATACCATCCTGACAGAGAAGTATCAATCGGCGAGATGGACATACCTTTAAAAGGTAGAAGCCAGTACAAATCACGGATAACACACAAGCGTGCTGGGGGAGGCTTCCTGGTTTGCGCTTTGTGTAACTCAAACACATGATATCTGTTCTCGTTTCATTTGTCATTCCACAAGATTCCTAGACCGGTTTCCTAGTGAGGAAAAGTGTACGATGCTGTCGTGGTGTTAGCTCTCCAACTCACAGGGCGGTTTCATCGTATCTTTGCTGATAATCTCTATTCATCCGTACAGTTAGTCGAGCGGCTCGCTAGCCGCAGCACCCTGTACACTGGTGCAGTACGTTCACCGTGTACCGAAGTTGATCAAGCAGGATGTCCTCCCCAGGTCCAGAGTGGAAGGCATGCAAGGAACAACGATGCAGCGTCTAAAGGAAGAGTGATTGTTCTAAGTCACTATGACAAGAAGCCTGTTGACTGGTGACCTCTAGCCACAAGGCTGTGGAAATGACCACAGTGTCAAAGAAACGCTCCCAACGACAAGCATATGTGTTGTACGTAGTTTAGCTGCACGCTGTTCACACGCTGATTGCATGCTGTCTGCACGCTTTTTGCCTGGTTACTGCTAAGATTACGTGTCCGTGCCTGGGTACGTGCCTGGGTCCGTTTGGGTTATAACTCGTGGCCCTGCGCCGTTTTCCTGGTCTTCGTTTTCTGTAGTCGTCGCAGCTCCTCGTGTTGGGTCCGTTTTATTCTCTCTCTCGTGGTTTTCTGCCCTTTTGTTACTCTTATCGTTTCCGTTGTCCTCCTGAGCCCTGCTCCTTTCCTTTGTCCCCTTATTCGTCGTTTGAGGCCAAGTAAACCGTATGAACCCGAACAATTCGTTGCTCTGTCTGACTGGTCGCGGGGGCTCAGACAACATTTGGCGCCCAAAACCTGTTCTCGTAATTTTGTAGGTAGCAATATGTTGAAGTTCGGAACCGCTGCCAGTTGTTTGCTCTCTGTGTTTTCTTTTCTGTTAAGTTTACGCGAATATGCTGATCCATCTCGGATTTACTTCGTAGCTACTGGCCGCGAATGTGGCAAATCGTCTGCTGTAACGTCACCTCCCGCACCCGCAACATCACCACCCGCACCCGCAACACCACCACCTGCACCGTCGGCAAACCAAGACTCTCTCGCGGTGGAGTTCCGGCGTGTACTTCGCCGCTCCCGCCGGGCTCGGCACCGCCGGCGAGTACCAGGGCGGAAATCAGTGGAAACCGTCGCTTCCCGTCCGGCTTCGGATGCGACTGACGTAGTTTATTTGGTGGATATTCATGTTGCTAATGATCTCGAGTGATTGCGCATTGTATTATTATTTAGGCCTCGGGGCGGTTGGGACGGTGAGGACATGGGTATTGGAGTTGTTCAGATAATTTAAGAGCCACGGGCCATACACAGGTTGAACTACTCGCTTAATGACGACATCAGTGTGGACGGTTTTTTTTGCAGGGTTTTAGTTTAAGGGGATACGCCACACTGGTGCCGTCGTTAAGTGTAAACCCACCTGGCCCATTAGTCACTTGCTCAACCGTTCCCTTTTTCACCCCTCCCCTTCTTAAAGATTTGTTGCTTTGTAAAGTCTCAGGAGAGACTTAGTTATCTTAGGGCGGAGTAATATTGTACGTAGTTTAGCTGCACGCTGTTCACACGCTGATTGCATGCTGTCTGCACGCTTTTTGCCTGGTTACTGCTAAGATTACGTGTCCGTGCCTGGGTACGTGCCTGGGTCCGTGCCTGGGTCCGTTTGGGTTATAACTCGTGGCCCTGCGCCGTTTTCCTGGTCTTCCGTTTTCTGTAGTCGTCGCAGCTCCTCGTGTTGTGTCCGTTTTATTCTCTCTCTCGTGGTTTTCTGCCCTTTTGTTACTCTTATCGTTTCCGTTGTCCTCCTGAGCCCTGCTCCTTTCCTTTGTCCCCTTATTCGTCGTTTGAGGCCAAGTAAACCGTATCAACCCGAACAATTCGTTGCTCTGTCTGACTGGTCGTGGGGGCTCAGACAACATATGGAACATGGCTTGCCGTAGACATAGATATCCAAAAACTGAATGTCATCACACACTACAATGTGCTCATGAATGGCGTGGACCGAGCCGACCAAGTTCGAAGCTATTACTCAGCCCGACTGCGAAGCCAGATGTGGTGGTTTGCCATCTTTCGGTGGTCCATCGACTCAACCCACAATGCATGTTTACCATAATACCCCATTTCTTGGGGCAGGGCGCACTGGCCCAGAACCCGCTCATTGCTTCCTACTCATTTGCTAATTCAAATTGCCGCTAGTTGCTCCGCACATCGACTGTGGACAATACATGATTCAACTGAAGAGATAAAATGGCAAAAAGGTTCTCACTGTGAACCAGTATCATTCTTGGAAAAGAAAAAAACCCACTGCATAGCGAATGCTTCTCACTTTACGGTACCCACACCAGAATCTAACGTTAATGTAAAGGGGAAGTTCACCCTAAACATGAAAACTTCACATCATTATTACGTCATTAGCTTGCCCAGAATAGGCCAGATCTGTGGCGGCAGAGCGATAGACTTTGTATGGGAGTAGATGGAGAATAACCAATTTCTTTCTTGTTTCTCTGCAACAACGAACTTCTTACCAGAAATTCTTCCAGTCGGGACACCGGTAGGGTGCCATACATGTACATGTATGTCCCATACCAAAGTTAGAAAAACATCCGACTTCTTTGGGACAATGGAGAGCCTAAATACTGCTATTTCCCCTTCTACTCACATACAAAGTCTATCTCTCTGATGTCACACATCTGGCCTACTCTAGGCAAGTTAATGATGCAATCATGATGTCACCAAATTTAGTGAAAACTTCAAGCTGCTAAAACTCGGGAACGGCTGCTATACACCATCTTTCTAAAGACAGTTCCTAGGCTTGCATATAATTATATACATGTACCATATGTCGTGAATGGCATCACAAGGACACGCTTTGAACCATCCATTATTTGTGTAGTCAGGTTGTGGCACTCCACAAGTTGCTGCACCAGCTCCAGGCTTTGTTTCCGGCTCTCTTTTTCTATGCATTTTACACATGTACTTGTAGTGTATATCTGATACCTTCCGTGTAGAGGGCTAACATGCATGTACACCGGAACTGCCCTGTGCGGTTCCTGGCGTACGCTTGTTTCCTGTTCTTTACTCCGCTGCCTGGAGCTGAGCCATAAGCGGCCGTGCGTTGTTTCTGTTGTACAGACTTTACCGTCTTTCACCCTGCCGCCGGCAGCTACGCAATAAGTGGCTCATCTCACGACTGCTTTGCTAGCTCTGTGTTGTACGATACTAGCATATTTCCCTTTTTCGCTACCCCGCACCTCAGTCCCAGTCTAGTCGGTGCTTATCTAGTAGTGTCAACACAGTTCTTTTCCAGAGTTATCACTATCATACTATCAAACTATCATCACTATCATACTATCATTACCAAGAGCAGGAGCACTTTGGCCCGCTCTCCCAATAAATACTTCGAAATAACGGCATTGTGTCCCGAGTGAATACTCTAATAATGATTACTTGTGGGAATAATTGGCGGTTCACCATACCACATAATTATGATAGCGACTGCACTCAGTGGTAAGAGCATCGCTGGCCATAAGCGAGGGTCCTTGGTTTGAGTCCTAGTGGTGAAAGTCATTTTTTTCTTCAGATTTTTCCAGTTTGCATCTTTCCCTCAAACCAATGAATACCGCATATGCACAGTGATTATTTGCACATAAAATTTCGAAAGTGGGAAAGTGGGTATTTGCTATCCAATTACTTAGATATTCAGTTCTGCACAGGAGCAAAATTGCAAAGATCATCCGAGCAGTATCCCGAAGAAAAATTAATAAAAATCATGACTACTGACTACTACAGTCAACTTCGCGAATAACGACACTCGGCGGGGCATCAGAAAAGTGTCCTTATTCGCGAAGTGTCCTTATAACCGAAGTCCCATTTGAATGTATGTGAACCCATATTTGGTATAGTATGACACGCATATCAAAATCAAGCTCTTTTCTTGCTCTATGTCAATGTGTACTTTATTTTCATATTGCAGTTGTTCCTATCCAGAATCGGCAATATGCTGGCCCTGGCCTGGAGATCTGCAACTATAATCAGCTTCTACTTTGCAACACTAACGGATTAGTCCCCTTTGTCGATTGATGGATCAATCGGTAGATTCGGCTCTGTTTTTCTTTCCTTTCTTTCTTGTTTTGAATTGTACGTTGAACTCATTGGATTTCTTTGTATTCTGTATCTCGTTATCGTTATATTTCCCTCTAGCCCTCTCGCTTAGGATGAGCTTTCTTTTTTATGGCAGCTTAAGCGAAGGCTATATACCTGCTTTATGCAGGTTGATGCCAACGCGAACAAGCAAAATAATAATAAATAATAATAATAATAAGTTGAAAGGAACTAAAAATTTAATATGCAAGGGAAATAAATTGAAAAATATGCCTTTTTGAGCCATCTACAGGGCCAGGGACATGTACATGTACATGTCTCAATATGGACAAGGAGACATGGACATGTACATGTACATGTCCATGATGGTTACTGTACAATCATGTACAACTACATGTACATGTATGATAGAATCCAACACTGGTAAACCAGCAACAAGTATTAAAGGTGGAGGACACTGTGTTCGAAAACAGTGACCAAAGTCCTTACTACAACCTTCCGCGGTTGGCAGAGCCCCAGTCCCTGCGGTACCCATAATTATGGTTCAAATGGTCCGCAGGGACTGGGGCTCTGCCAGGTGCCAACCGCGGAAGGTTGTAGTAAGGTCACTGTTTTCGAACACAGTGTCCTCCACCTTGTTTCATGCTGTCAATCTAACAATGTACATGCATGTACATGTAGGTGTGCTGGTAAATCCTACACTTTTGAAGCAAAATATAAAAGGAAGAAAAAGCCCCCCCCCCCCCCTTGGCTGCATTTTCTTTTCTTTATCCATCACTCTCTTCTGGTACTTCTGCATCTGGTTACTTACATGTACCCCGGTACTTGACTGACAGGTACTTGAAATAGCTGTCAAAAGCCCAGAAAGTCGTTATTCAAGCAGTGAATATGACCTCGGGGCACTAAAAGCATGTCGCTATTCGCGAATTGTCGTTATTCAGATAGTCGTTATATCCGAAGTTGAATGTATACAGTTAGATGGGACTTTGCTCTGGGCATGGAAATTCGGTCGTTATTCGCAAATTGTCGTTATATCCGCAGTCGTTATTAGCGAAGTTGACTGTACGTCGTGAGTTCCCTTCGGGAACGGACACGATAATAATTATTATTTACTTTTTTTTTTACTGACTACTGAACTACCCAACAACAGCCGATAACCTCCAAATCCCCAACCTACGGGTGGACTTTGAGACATAATTATGACCCTCACTTATGGGCTTACCATACAATAGCAAGCCGGGTGTGGACAAAGTACAGACAAAGGGCTGGCGGCATCAGGGTATTGAGGTCCAATACGCACACACACAAGCACACAAGATCCTCCAATCACATCTTTCCTCACATGTAATGCGCAGAAGAGCCAATGATGCCACCCAAGAATGTCAAAACAGCTCCTGAGCCAACTCCGACCTCCACGCACAATGAGGGCCTGCGTGCAAGAAGCAAAAAGATGTCGCAAAAATGTCGCTCGTTGCAAATGGATAGCATAGCATAAAACAGTCAGGAAAGGCAAGCTGTGCTGCAGGATGGTACTTACGAGCCACGGCTAGGTCTCATCTCTCTCCCTTATCCAAACTGCGCTCGCAAATTACGCCAATGTGATGGCAACTGCAAGAATACTGACTTTCCACTACATGCCAGTACTACAGATCGGTGACACAAGGGAATACCTGTTCTACTCAATGTCATTGCTTCAGGGCTCCATGGATTTTATTCGTTTGTCTCATGATCGCTTTCACAGGAACTATAGTTGCAGAAATTTATTGATTGATTGATTGAATGCCCAAGTGCACCATTATGTGCTGTTGTGTGTAGATTTAACAACTTTTAAAATCAAATTTTTACCAGTGGTTGTCGTACCTAAGGTTTCTGATTTGCTGGCAATGTGCTTCCAATGCATCCATTAGTAAATAGCTGTCCTCTGCTGGCTCGTAAATCCGTTCAAAGTCATGGCTTGTCAAATGACTAGTTGTTGGCGTGGGAAACTCCATATCTAGTGCATATAAGTAATACTGTCTACGTTCACGTACCCAGGCAGACTAACACTCGAATCGCCATTACTGAAATCAATCGTTTCTGAAATCTGGAGATTGAACCTTTCCGGAAGCAGCTGTCTTCTACACTGCGACCAAAGCCAGCCTAAATTAATACTTTGCAGAGAAAAGGATAAGAGCTTGACACCACAATCATAATACTGCCACATACATGTACTAGCACATGTAGCTAAATAAAACAATGTGTCAGATGAATGAAAGATATTGCAATATTGATGAATGAAAGAACAAAAATAATATTCGAACTCAATGTTCAAATTAAATTATTTTCAATTATTTTCAGTACACTTATGACGATTACGTAATGCATGATTTGAATATTTCCCAGACTTGTCTGGACTTGTACTTGCAGGAATCTCTTTCGAAAAACAAAACTACACCGTGTAGATCTACCTGATCTACCGATGATGCTCTGCCCTTTCAGTTTGGCTCATGGATGTGTGCAGGCCTGATGCTTGCAGAAGACCTGTTTGTTTCTTGTATCTGAGATCTGAGATCGGGGATGCTTAGCAATGGCTGGAAAGAAGCGGAAAGGCTCCTCCCCTGGGACTAGCCCATACTTTCAACAACCTGCAACCCGGAGATCTCGTTCAGCAGCAACGCGGTCATCAGCAAGACAGAAGAAAATTGCTGAAGATCAATCAGGTACTATTCAGTTTGGCCACAATAGCAACAGTTACTATGAATATATGGTATAATAATAGTACAGTCATCCATACATCTATCTTCCCATATTGAGAAAAGTATGGTACACTCTATACAGATTAAAACAGTTAAATATTTTATCGTTGAAATACAAATTGTAGTTACAGTTCAGGTGACAGCGTTGGTATACAGTCGTCCCTCTCTAATCCGGCACCTTTTGCTACGGCGTTTTCTGCTGGATTAACGAGGGTGCTGGATTAATTAAGAAATCCTGCCCTCTGACCCGGCCCTACCCAATTGCATGCATGTGTCATACGTCAAAACGCAGGGTTTTTCCGTGTCGATCCAAGTATTTGATGCACAACTTTATATTCTCAACTGTTCTCCAGGAATATACACAGTGATAAAGTGATAAAGTAAAACAGAGAACATGTTCACATGTACTCTTGCACACACACACAGACCTGAAAATTGGCAGGACACTACTCCTTGCTAAAATAAGAAAGTATGGTTGACTGCTTAGCAGTTGTCTCCTGGACAACATTGACCCTCTTGAGAAGGCCACGCAAGCAGTCGACATCATGCAGGTCGAACGACGGATGTCCTTCGAAGCAAACAATTGCATCAGCAAGTGCGCGGGATGCTTGTGCCAGAGTTGGAAGGCTGTTGGAGTGCGCATCCAAGATGTGCTAGAGCTGTTAGCCAGTTAGTTGTAGAACGTCAGTACCGTCGGTCAGTGTCGTGCATCGTCGCTGATTGTTTTGTAACTGGTGGTGTTAGTGGACAGTATAGCGTAACTTGTAGTTCCTTGGTCTTTCTCTTTGTATAAATTGAGTTCGGGTTCGGAAAAGTCCTAACAACCAACCGAACTGAACTCTCCCGCGCGAGGTCGAGTACAGTTGTCAACTGAATTCGATCGATAACTGAACGCGATTTACGACTGCCGGATTATGAAATCAAACTACGTGCAGTTTGAGCGATTCGTTTCAAAAAGTCACTGCCGGAGGCGGAATTCAAGTGCCGGATTACGATGTAGGAATTGAACGAAAAAAAATCGGTTTCATCAGAAAGTGCGCCGGTTGGCAAGGGTTCCGGATTAACAAGTGCCGGATTAGAGAGGGACGACTGTAGTATATTGAGGTTATGCGAAAGAAGTCATGATGATGAGTCAGCGGAATTCCGGAACCGCTTATGGGCGCTATGTTCATGTACATGTATGCAGAGTGAGTTGTTACTTTCTATTGGGGTATCGCGTGCTATGCTGCGACTTTGCCAAAGCATCTCAATTGATGATGTCATACCTCTATTTTTTTTAGCTGGGACAATTGTATAAGGTGTTGATGTACCAGTATGTACCCCCCCCCCCCCCCCTCCATCCATCCCTCATTTCATGATAACACTCGGAGAAACTTGGCATAGGTGGTGGGCGGATATGCCGGATAGCTTGGCTCTTTCCAAGATTCCAACATCTCCTGGGTACGCACTTATCGCTCACCAATAGCACATCCACCATGCCGCAAGTACCGATACTACAATAGCGCTTGAAAGTGCTACGTCACAGCATAGCAACAATTTCAAAAATTAAAAAACTGGATCCACTTGGATCCAGTTTTTGTATGGATCCAAGCACATTTCAAGCGGTCTTACTCACAGGAAGGTGATGTAGCCAGTGAAACTGACTGATTTGGCTAATGGGGCGGGGTGACAACTGGTGGCGAAATAAAAGTCACACCTGCATGCGACATGAGTGGGTTGCTATGCACCCGCATACTTAGGCAATAGCAAAGTCACACCTTAGTGGATCCAAAATAGAAATCTGATGTCAACTTAATACTCCCTGGCCGTTTTTGACGTCATCACTTTCAAGTCCTATAGTCAATACCACTTCTAAACATTTAGCACCATTGGTTGTACACACTTCCATCTCCTACAATACATAATACACTCGGACGTCCCTTATCCGGGCACCTTGGGACCGGGCACTGCCCGTATCCCAGGATAACTCATCTACCATGTATAATATCATTTTTCAAAGAAGTTTATTTGGCACATATTGCACATGTTCAGGATACAAAAAGAATCCATTGATAAAATAAAAATGTGTGGATTAGGCCAAGTAAAATAAAATCCCAGTTTATCGTCCTTTTTTTCACAAAAATCGGGGAGGGAGGGCGGATTTTATTTTTATTTTTTATTTTTTGATGTGCTACAGACTAGTATAGTTCTTGGTAAACAATGACACATCATGTGCAACAATCTGCAACAGAATAGTGGTAGTGTATGGAATACACAATGCTATAACAGTTATATGTACATAAACAATTACATGCAAAATCTTTGGATCGACAGATTGTCACTCCACTCATAAGACACAAACCCCAATACTGTTTGGTTCACACAGACCACCAGATAAATGATAGAAAGCTGCAGAAGGGAAAGAACCAGTCAGGACAGTAACCAATAGTCAGTCATAAAGGGAACATGTTGACGAAGCTGTGTTTTCAAGCCTTAGCCGACGTAAAAAATCAAGCTTTTTGGCAAAATTCTAGATTTAAAAAATAAAAATAAATTCCGGGCGGCCTCGAAAAATGGGGCGGGGACGATAAACTAGGATTTTTTTACTTGGCCTTACACAGGTTGGCAGTGATAAATAAGCACTTGCGCATACAAGTACAAAAAAAGTTCTAACCCCCAAATTTGAAGCATTTTTTGCCATAGGAACTCAAGCTGAAGGTGCCCGGTAGAGAGACGTGCCCGTATCTGAGGCGTCCGGATAAGAGACGTTTGAGTGTACTGGTAATACATGGTACATGCTCCCATCTCCTCCATGTACATGTATGTACATACTGTACTCCCATCTCCTCCATGGATGTACATTGTCCATGCTGCCAGATCTACCTTGCAAAAAGAACTGTGATTTTCTGATGCCAATCAACTAGTGCTGTTTTGATGAGCGAACACCTCTCACGAAGGATGCCTTTGTTCAATCACACACATACACATGCACCTACTGTAAGTCTACAAATGTTCGGCCCATTCAAATGTTCAGCCTTCCAGTGCTAAAACACGTTTCGGCCCCATTACATTTTCAGCCTGGACTCGTACTGCTGCTGACAGTGTACTACAGTCCATTTCAAAACTATAGACGCGTACCTAGGCAAAAACCGTTATGCCAGCATCTATACCACATAAAATCTGTGATCACTTTGTGCATAAATTTTTCCAAATTGGGCGTCTGTTATCCAATCCTTTAGAAACTATATGAGAGTAATTGTGGAGCGATCCTGAGCCATATTCCGAAAACTATTCTCAAAAAGTTCCAGCCAAATTTGAAATATTTCAAAAACCCTACGCGTCTATAGTTTTGAAATGCACTGTAACTAGTATACTGTCACACTGAACCTTGCAAAAGAAAATTTGGCCGCAACACATTTTCGGCCAAATATGACCAGGCCGAAAATAGCCGAAAATGAATATGCGCCGAATATTTGTTGACTTCCAGTAGTGGGTTTAAAGTTGAACCCCTTTTCCTTTTTCACTATTGTAGTGGGTTTATCGGTCTTTGTCCACGTGGGTGAGTCTGATCACCCACGCCCTCTGCTTTAAGAGCTGCACTTTATCCTTGACTAGAGGGTGGTGGCATTCTCACGGGTGCAGAAAAGTCAGGTTGACTGACTCGCCAAGCCGTGAAGCTTACGTGTTTTCTGATGTTTTTCTCATCCTTTGTGCAGCAGAAAGCAGTTTGTTGCCTACTTCTGAAGCTGAGCAGTCCAATGCGACTGTATCAAGAAAACCAAAGGTAAATGTGCTGATGGCCACTGGTCGTGTCTGCAGTGAACAATGTCTAATATTGTCTGTCGATAGTTCTTCAGTAAGGACTTACAATCTTATGAATTTCTTGTTTGGCCTGGCACGCACGCACGAGGGAAACATGGATGCAGTAAATGGAATTGTTGGTCTTTGACCACTTGGTGGTGGGTCTGATCTACTCACCTCCCACGGCATCGCGTTAGGAGCTGCATCTGTGCCTTGATCCTTGAGGGTGGTGGCGTTCCTACGGATGCGGGAAAAACTTAGCCTGACTGGGTCTTACGTGAACTGTGGATTTTTTAATTTTTGAAAGAAAATGTTCAGAACAGTGCATGACTTTGTTGCTAGACTGTACGGCTGATCAATGTGCGACACTGGAAAACATGGTGGTGATTTTTTTGATCACCGGGCGCAGTGCACGTGATGACATGTTGTCATGAAAACGGAGTACGCGTGCCAAGCGTGGCCGCGTATGGCACTTCATGCATGCAAGAAACATTTTTTGAATTTTTCGAGCTTCAAGCTTCATCTCGATCTCGAGTTAGTACTTTGTTTCACTTACCTGGAGGTCAGCAAGTCTGTTCCACGAGCATAGTCTTGACTTGCATGGAGATTTGGCGGCGCCTCTTCTGACAAGCTGCTGCCAAATCACCTACCAGCCAGCCTGCATGTCTCGTATTACAACATGCTCGAAATCGAAGATTGCGAAAGAGTCAAGAATTGTTCTGATCAGCTCGACTAAGCTCAGAACGACGTCGGAGCAGAGATGGGACTAGGGCCCTTTAAGCAGGAGAGTGGATAACAGATGGCGCTGTACGAGTACAGTAATTCTGAGCCGCTTCAGTGGTTCAGCGGCACCAACTTTAGAGTTTAAACCTCGACACAAAATCTACCCGGATAGGGAGCCAAGGATTAAAATTAAAAGAGAGGGGTCCATAAGTTTACAAGTAACGTTTACCTGTATTCGTTTTGTCCAACACTAACGATTATAAGCAGGATACTGTTGAGTCAGTTCACATCAATCAGTTTTGTGCTAATTGTCGTGGCACATTTTGACTCAACAGTATCCTGCTTATAACCGTTAGTGTTGGACAAAACGAATAACTTGTAAACTTATGGCCCTCTCTTTTTTAAATAAAATCTACCACATGCCTTTCCAGTAAATACAACTTGGGAGTGACATGGCCCAGACCCGTTCAACCACCTCACATCTGCAATGTATTAACAATTTTGTTATCAGATCCTGCAACTCTTGACACACCTTGTGGATGTGATTCCCCATAAAGGCACCACCATGATATGCCTGGCGGGTGATAATGTGCCGTTGTAGAACACGCTCCAGGCAAGAGGTGCAGAGACCACCTGCTATAGCTGCAGTGGACAGAGTCGTGTGGAGGCCCATCAGCTCCTGCTGCAAGACTGACACTTTGGTGCTGGTCAATTGGCACTGCCGCTGTAGACCACCGGTAAGAGTTTGTGGGCAAGCGCCCTGTGCCTCGACAATGTGGGGGTGGAGAGCAATCCACTCGAGGTGAACTTGCGAACTTTCAAGGTGTTGCTCATGTTCTGAGAGCTCTGCTTGCTTGGCTGCAACAAGTGTATGAGTCTCAGCGAGCTTTGCAAACTCTGCGGAGTTGTCTGCTTCGGCGTGGGCAACGCATGCTAGCTGAAGGTCAACGTTGGAGCATTCCTTCTTCAACGCCTCGTAGAGCCACACTAAAGATCTCAAGATCAAGGTGCAGTGCTGGTAGCGATGCGTGATCAATAGGGATGGGCAGGATGGCTGGTCGGATGGCGCCCCGGAACAACTTCGCTTGTGCTATTCGTGCGCCGTCCTTCACGAACCCTTCATGATCTATTGCCAGTGTGGTGAGAGTGCGTGGTGGTGCGGCAGAGATCTGAGCTGGCTTCATGCTAGCTTTAGTGACAGTACAGTACAGGCAAGGGTGGACACCGCTGGAGCCGAACAAACCATGCAAAGTTGTTCGAAATTCATAATCACCAAACAGTGTAACTTTTATTTTCTTGCCTTGCCACTCTGATGTGCATAACAAATTGATTTGTTGTGCAAATGGTGTCAGGGCAGTTGTGAGATTTGCAGGAGTGCCCTTTGCTGCAAAAAACTAAGGACGGTATGGTGTTCTTCGTAGAATTTGGGTTCAGCAGGTTTGCTATTTGAAAGCACATTTTGAAGGATACATGGTCCCCCAACCTTCACAAGAACTTCATTTCCTGGCAAAGACTCATTGTGTCAAGTCAGTAGCCCAGCTTTGTCGTACTCGTCCAAGTAGAAGTGAACGAGCTTCACAAGGTCTGCGCTTGCCACCATAGGTGCTGAAAGGACTTCACCATTTCTCGTGAGAAAGGGAACATTCTCCACAATGAAATCACTAGGTAGTGGCTCTACTACTTGCTCACGCATTTTGTGTTCTGACTCAATGCTGAGACCACAAGAATGCATCCACCTCCGAATCTTGCGAAGTTGGTTCCAAGGCATGTTCAAGTCTGTTTGCAATGACAAAGCAGCACTGGCAGAAAGAGGTAGGCAACCTACACCAGAATCTTTTAATAGCTGTTGTCGTTTCTCTTTGCTCAGCGAGCGTAGCTCCGCGGCATCGTGAGCTTGTGAGGAACTAGCACTACCACATACTGTTGGTTTGTGTTGTTGGAGTTCAGATGCTCCACACTGTACTGTACGTGTTGAGGCAACATCGCTTCTGACGCATCCTTGTGTTGTGCGCGTAAAGGTCTGTGGAGGCCCCTGGGCAGATTGTGTTGTGCGCGTAAAGGTCTGTGGAGGCCCCTGGGCAGATTGCCCAACATGTAGAATGCCACCGTTTGCTTTTGCTGTGACTAAATGGCTGGTCAATCTCTCAGCAGCATCACCTCAACGTTTTCTAGGAGAGGCAATCGAAACATCGGCCACTGTTGCTGACAATTGAATATAAGGTGGAGTGCTAAATTTCCCAAGGGTACAATCTGCAACATGATCTTTTAGACTACTCAAAGGGAGTGTCTTCTGGAAGCCCTCAAACGGGCTTTCATGAAAGTCACATTTCACAGCAAGCTAAGAAATGCATTCAGAAACGAACCCTGGGACCTCCCGCAACGACAATGCCATCAGAGGAACTTGGCAGACTGGGCAGTTGGCAGACTGTTCCAGCCAATGCCACACCCAAGAAAAGCAAATGACCTTTGAACAGCAAGGCACCTGTATAGCTTCATTTGCAACATGCAAGCAGACACTACAAATTACAGATGAGAATGTCATAGAAAATCTTTCAGGAGCCAATGCTTCACGGGCTTTCAATGAAGGCATTGCCCGGCACTTGATTTCATTCTTGTCATCGGCATCTATGCCTCTGTCGACCCCGACCCCTACCCCCACCCCACTTCGACTGCTGCCTATCTCACTGCATGCAGCATTCCCGTCATTGCGGAGAGTGGGTGTACATGTGGAACTGTTGGGAGTACTGGTTTTGCTAGCAGATGGTATCTTTACAAGTACTTTTTTTTCTTTCAGGAATAGGATACTTCGTTTGCTTTGCCTGTTTGGAGAACCTTTCACCACCTATGCGACACATAGTTCCTAGCAACTGGACGTGCTTGTCCATATCTCCCCTGCTAATTACATGTACATGTACTTAGCTTTACAAGGCAGAACAACAGAGACCAAAAGGCTTTTACGTTACTCCGAGTTTCGTGTTTCGCTTTTTGGTCTCTGTTGTTCTGCCTTGTGTAGTACGCTCTGCCCATGTTAGGGTATTGAGCACTATTTGCAGCAAGGACTTCAGACACTTTGTGTACTTAGCTTTAGGTAATTGAAAGGTTCCGGGCGCGTTTGAAGGGTTCGGCAAATTTCTGCCACAGCTACTTCCCTCAATATCCTATCGAGTCATGTAAAAAATTTCAGCGCAGTCAAAAATCGAATAGCTTGGAAAAGCCGTCCCAAATCCACCGCCGTCACTGCCTGAAATAATTGCAAGTTCTGAAATTGTGCATGACAACATCGAGAACTGAGTCCGTTCGCACGCGAAAGACTTTTCGTTTCTTCTCCAGAAACAGGATGTTTTCCGAGCTCAAAACACACTTTTGGAACACTCAGATCACAGGGTTTACGTATAAACTGGGCCAAAATCTACCCGAATCAGTCGGAAATAAGCTTGAAACCATAATGTTCTCCACGTGAGACTCGTGCTCAGCGAATTTGAAAATTCAAATATTTTGAAAATCGGACGCCATTTTGATGGTCGCACTACGCACGTACATACTGTAAAACCGGAAAGTCTAACGTTTTAACGACCAATTTTTTCGTTATTTGAAGAAACGTTATCGCAAACCCGGTTTGAGATGTCTGTGTAAAGATGCGCATACAGATAGGTGGCCAGGTAGAAACGTTCAACTTCTCGTTAAACTTTCCGGTTTTACAGTAGCTGAACAGCCGGGACTATCGCATGGGCGTACAACATACACGTACTTGTTGTGGTAATAAACACCTCACCGATGTCCAATGACAGTGGATACAAAATTAATGTGCATGTAATGTGTGCAGGCAGGCATAGTGGGATGGTCTAAGACCATGATTGAGAAACAGAGTGTACCAGGTTCAAGTCCTGCTTGGAAGCGGAAGGATTTTTTCCAGCCGTGCTGCGACCCACAGTTAATTGGGAACTCGTGGCCTGGCACGAGGAAAACATGGATGCAGTGAATGGGATTTTCAGTCTTTGACCACTTGCTGGTGAGCTGATCTACTCACCTCCCACTGTTTTAGGAGCTGCATCTGCGCCTTGATCCTTGAAGGGTGGTGGCGTTCCTACGGATGCGGAAAACCCGGCTTCCAACCGAGTCTTACGCAAACCGTGAAAAAAAAATGTGTGCTTGTATGTATGTGCGTGCATGCATAATATGTCCGTGGTGATCTCATTCCTTATGTTATGGACTAGCGTGGCAAGCGCGTTGCACGCACCAAAGAGGACAAGTCCGAGGCAACTAGCCAGTCAAGTGCAAGTGCTCTTGCTGCTTCATCTCATGCCGACACTTCGCAACACAGCGAATACCCTGAAGAGGATCTTGATGAGGATGTGGCTATGTCAATGAATAGCCAAGCCAATGTGGAACATCTCTCTAAGAAGGAGGCTAGTGGTAGTGAAGATGATGACGATGAAGATGTTGACTGGGAGGAAGTACCAGGGACGCAAGGTTAGTAAGTTATGTAGAATAGTAACGTAACCGTTAACTGCTCTGTACTAGATATCTACAAGCGTACGCCGATGGAGTCAGTAATGGCGTTTTTCAAAAAAGAAATTTGGCCAAAATCCGGGCACGCGTACATGAAAAATCACGTACGCGTGCCCAGCATCCTAGACGCGCCAGCATGCAAACTGAGAAAACCCTGATGAGAAAAATTAGAATTATGCTCTTTCCTTGGCCAGGACTAGCCAATATGCCTTGTGATTATACTTGTTTGTAGGTAGGTTCACAGGTCAAAGAAGGGCATTGCGAGTTGTTGGTCGTTTAAAGTTGTATTTAGTTAAGAATTTTCGACACAGGTTGAAGCTCTATTGTAAGGTTTGAAAAAAGTTGGGTGTTTGCACGAAGAGGGTTGGCCCGAGTACATTGCTGCAATACTAATGCAAGTCCATTTCTGGAGTCCTGTGTGTAATTTGCTTGTGCAACGCTGTGTAATCCTGCCATGAAGTACTTCAAAACAATAGGTAGTATACTTTGTCGATGTCAACCTGCTCGCCAAGAAGGGAAAACCCCTGCACTGCACACCCTGCTGCACTGCTTGTGCCGATGTCTCCCTTAGCCCGACCCAATATCGCAGATCCAGTACTGTACCACTATCACATTCACACATACATGCTGACTCGCACACTTGCTATCACACTCACACATACATGCTGACTCGCACGCTTGCTATCACGCTCACACATACATGCTGACTCGCACGCTTGCTATCATGCTCACACATACATGCCGACTCGCATATTTGGCATCAGTATCTAGGCTTGATCACGAACATCCAAAAGCCAATGTTGTCTGTTGATTGCGCTTGTGCATGAAACTTTGAAGTCACAAGTGAACAGTACCTCATCTCTTGTGTGTGAATGTCCATACTATTATATTGTCATGTACTGGATGCAGTCCATTTAGCTCATGTCTGTATACAAGGCACTGTTGTGGCATAAACTCTGAAAATTGTTTGTAAGTCAACTTCCCAGATTTTTCTTGTATAGTTTACTATATGTGATGTGTATGCTGTGTATGCTTATTGTGTCCCTGACATGTGCATCACAGCTGAAACAGAGGTGAGCACTCTTCTGTCAGGTACCATGCCAGTGCAGGACACTTCAAGACAAACCATTGCTGTGGACATTCTGAAGGAGAAGCCGGGAAAACGACAGTAGGTTTATTTATTTTTTTATTCAGCGTCCAATGGCAGTAGCCAGCCATGGCAACAAGGGTTGTGTGATTCGGAACTGCGGGGCGACTCTGTTCTGTGCGTTTTAAGTATGTAACGTTACCTCAATGGCTCAAAAGAACACGCTCTTCTCAATGAACCATAAGGCTGAGTAGAATATTACTATCCCATACAGATCCTAGACTTGTTCTCAAGTTTCACTAGCTCTTCATGGTATATCACAGAGCCTTTGGCCCTTTGTACATGTAGGAAGATTTGCTAAGATTTGGATTTGTCGAGATTTGGAATCTAGGTACATGCACTTGTACATACATACACAACACTCACACAACTTCAAGTTACAGCTACACAGCCTTTCGCCTCTGTTGTGTGTGTATACTGCTCTGTACATTTGTGCATTGAGCACTCTACCTCAAGCTGCCTAGACCGGCCTTGTTTGTGCACTTGTACATATAACATGACATATGGTACAACATGTATATCATGTGTGTTTAACCATCTTGTCTGATGTAGGCGTCCAAGCAAGCAAGATCAGCTGAACAAGTTACTGGATAAGATTATGAGAGCATTGCAGCAACAGAAGCATAAGGTGAGCACAGTGAAGCAAAGCTGTGCAGCACTTACTGACTAGTTTCTATGGCACTGCACATTTGTGTGGCTTGATTACTCCTGGCTCAGTTACAGGTCGCCAGTGACTGAGTCCCAGTGTTTGTACATGTCAATGGCACTGTGCAGCAAACTACTTCAGTAATCACTCAGTGATGCACTCACTCAGTGTGTACTAATACTACTGTAGCACCCATTCTATATCTTGTATACTTTGAAGATGGACAGGTCTTGACACCGATGACTACACTGTGCTAAGAGCTGCTTGTCTTGACTCCAGCGTGTGTACTGACTCTGTATGTATATGTGTCTATGATGTCGTGCTTGTTCAGGTTCATCTTCTGTGTCTCGTGGCCAGTGCTAAATACGTCAACTCCATGTGCAACGGTGATGTTCTCAAGGTTAGAGTGCTTGATAAATAGTTCAAATAAGTTGAAATAACTAGGCTTTCCGTCTGCTGGCTTTGATTGTCACTTGGTTATTGTACTGTAACATCAGGCGTTGAAGAACGAGCAGCTGAAGAACGAGCAGCTGAAGAACATCCAGGCTAGAGAGTCACCAAAATTTAAGACCATGCCAGGCTGGAAGCAAAGGTTTTAAACCCCTAAATGTGTGTTTTCATGTCACTGCATGAGCAGTGTATGTGTATTGTGTGAATGTAGTACACTGTATTACCATGCACGAGCCAAGAATAAAAACAAAGACGCTGGAATTTGGTGCCTGACTGTGATCTGTGCTTGTGTGCATGCTTACATTTGTTTGGTCGTGTGTGTGTGTGTGTGTGTGTGTGTGTGTGTGTGTGTGTGTGTGTGTGTGTGTGCATGTTCGTGTGTGTGCATGTTCGTGTGTGTGCATGTTGCTGCTCTGTAGGCAATCGCCATGTCATGTATTCCAAGCCAATATTTTCGTCAGGAGCCATGGCGGCAGAAAGATGTCAATAGCATGCTTTCTTGGTGAGTGTCTGTATGATGATGATTCGTTTGTGAAAACTTTATTACTCATCGAGGCAATTACTGGTACCCCAGTTTTGCCTCGTGTCATACAAGCTATATGTCACAGAACACTGCTGTCTGTACATATTATGATGGCCAGTTGTCATGCGGAAACCCTACATATCCTTCCACAGCGTGTATCTGGACTGTGTCTCCAATATGCTGAACTTGAAGCCATTGGCCCGTCAAATTCAGGATCGAGTAAATTTTCGCAATACTCGGCAGGCGGAAAACCGTATGCTTCACAGAAAACGTCTTTTTCAAGTGCCCTAGAAAAGACAGGAAAACTTCCCGCAGGAATACGGCATGGATCGATCGACATTTTGATTGAATAATTGAGAAAGTTTGGTACATTGTACTAAAGGGGTAAGCTGCAGCTTTTGGCCTGTTTACCAGAGTAAATCCAGCTCCAGCACATGCACTCTCTGGCCAACCTCATCACACCAGCAACATGACCTCATCACACCAGCAACATGACCTCATCACACCAGCAACATGACCTCATCACACCAGCAACATGACTCCAAGTTGTAGATAATCACTAGAATGCAGGGTGTAGGCAATTGAAAGGATGTGCGGGAAGCAATGTACGGCAAGTGGGAATCTAACCCTGTGAATATAGTTGAATACTGCTGTTCTACACTCTTGCTCAGGTTGGCATCAACATTCTCAGTTGAAGCAAACAACGAGCAGTGTGCTAGCCAGGTAAGCATGTTGACACATTCCCAGCATGCCTACTGTCTTTGGCTAGTGAGTTGCCGTTCGGCTTACATTGTATGTGTAAAACGTTTTCTAGCTGCCTCGCAAATACTATAGCAGGGCCATACGAACACAACGGGTCCCCACATTTCTGGCAGGAACACCAATCGTTATTTCCTTGTCGACCAGTGAAGTCGTCCGCTCCAATTTCCTGGCCGTCATCAGGCTGCACTTCTACCAGGGGCACCTCAGGAGGTCCTTCAGGTTCCTTAGAGTATGGTCGCAGTTGTGAAGCTTGGGAATGTTGACCAAACATCGTTCTTCATCACCAGAAAATTCAAACAACTAAGATCTTCAAATGCAGAGAATTTGAATACTAATCACACGTGACGTCATCAAAACCATCAAAAGAGGAGACAAACTTGGCCCTCCCTAGCTTCATATATCGACTTTTTGGGCCTAGTTTTCGCGATTCCCCATTCCTTGGGGGCCATATAAGGCCCCCATGAAGAGAACACACCACCGAAAATATTCCCGGAGTGCCCCTTTAACGGTACCGATATGAATATTTCCCACTTTGTTTTGTTCTTATTTTGTGTCCGGTATTAGCTGACTTCGGTGATGCACGGCTTGTACAGTCATGTTTTCCAGTCGCGTTTGGACCTCGTGCTGGTATGGTGGTAAATTGATTTGCTAGCCTACGAATACTATAGTGCATACTCAGAGCAAGTTGTGGCACTACAGTGCATATGTATATTTCATCAGTGTCACCAAAGCATGGTGCTATTTACACTTGTGTCACCGACGGCAGTCTTCCGCCATTGCTGAGGCGCTTGACTTGAGGGACCTGCTGATTTTTCAGCGCATTTGATGGATTTTCATGAGGCATCTCTGCCCTTCGCCACCCTAAGTGTTTGGTGTTTTGTCCAACAATTATTTTTAGTGAGAAGTAATGGCTTTGGAATTTATGTGAGGAACCCTCGTCTACCTAGTCATGTTATGCGTTGGATTGGGTTAAAAGTACATTGTGCATGAACCGGTATGTATGTGTGTCTGTAGCTGCTGCCTGCACTTTTACCTGTATGCTGGTCTGAGCATGTGCACATTCATCTTTGTGTGTTTGTTTCATGTGCCTGGGTATAACAGGCCATCATCACGTGCTTCCGAGCTCTTCAGGTGTCAGCCAGACTGGTGTTGTCATTACAGGTAATTGCGCCTGCTACTGAATATGCTATTTTTGCTTGTTTTATGGGATATAGCCAGTTTCCTCAAGGACAATATTTTGTTGTTGTTGTTGTTGTTGTTGTTGTTGTTGTTGTTGTTGTTGTTGTTGTTGTTGTTGTTGTTGTTGTTGTTGTTGAAGAACATGTGTGTCCTCTTTCTTTGTGATAATAGCCAGTAGTAGTTCTTGGCTGGGACGGGCCAGTGCTGGTTGTGTGTTCCCCAAACGATAAACATGACTGTCCAGAACCTGCAGCATGGATGAAGAAAATTGCTGTGCTTCATGGACAGCCGTGTTGCCGTTATCTGTTTGTGGATTCGATTTGGAATGTTTGCTGATATGCTTCTTTAATACTGCTCTCTTTTATGAAATGCGCTCCTTGATTTTCACACGATGTCCACACGAACTAATATTTACAGACAAGTTGTCACCCCAGTATCCGGGTCCACATTCTATCCTGTAGTAGTCCTTGCTGTGTGCGATTGCGATTGCCTGGTCTCGTAAGACAAGGTGTCTTTGTGACGCAGCAATTCCATACCTAACTCTCCCTTTGTTTTACTTGCATATGTCTTGTGTTTTAGCCGGTTGCCCTAAAGTGGACAAAGTCCATGTCGAATGTAAGTATGCCTTCCATGCAAGCTGTGTTCATCCTGATCCTAGTACAACAGTTGCCCGCACGTTGAATTACTGTTCATGCGTGGCACGTGTACAGACTGGCTATCTCTCTGCTAGTCTTCAGCGAAATTCAACTTCTGTACACATAGAGAAGCATCTCGGTGCCGTTGTTACAGTCATGCACCTGCTGCTTGATATTATCTTGCGCCTGGCGGTGGCCTGCAAAACCTGTACAACAGAGAAGACTGTTTAGCTGGTGTTCCTGCTGCATGTACTAGTGCCACAGAGCATGGCGTACATGATTGTATTCATCACTCGGTGTTGTCACATGTTGTCATGTGTTGTCATGCAGCTAGCTGTCCTATAGAGGTTCTACGAGTGACATCATCACATGCGTTGTATGGCGTGGCAAACCAGTGCTTGTGATACCACTCCTTACAGATTACTTGAAGCGATGATGTAATTGCATAACACCATTTGTCTCGTCACGACATCAGTACTACAGTTGCTTGTTCCATAGGTCATGTTCAAGCCATTCATAATCGTGTATTTACTATGTACGCTCTGAGGTTTACTTCTGGTGTTTGGTGTTTGCTGAACTGTTCGCATGTAGGCTACCAGCCCATCTGCTTCTGTTTCCAGTGAAAGAAAGTGTTCTGAGTTGAAAACAATAGTTACTAAGTCAACAAGCTGTCCTCGCCACCGTAGCAGTTCTGCTAAATCCGAATCTACTCCAAGTATGCTTGGAACCTCATCACCGCCAACAAGTAGCACTGCCTCAAGTGCATCTGCACTGCTCACAACCACTATGGATACATCTAGTGCTGGAAATACAGCCAGTTCAAGCTGTACTGGTGCTGCAGTCATGCCTACGCTTGGAGAGTGTTCAGCTGCACAGAGTACCGGAGAGGATGTGTCTTCAAATAGTAGAACCCAAGCATGTGCTGATAATGCTGCTGGTGCTGGTGCTGCTGGTGCTGGTGGTGGTGCTTCTCGGTCACGCTCCAAAAGGGCAGTTAGACAACCCATGACTCGGAAGCTACGCTGCGTTGCAGTCAGCCGTAGCTCACACTCGATTCACAGCTCTGATTCTGAAGGAGTTGCCAGTGGACAGCAGAAAGTTGTTCTCGTAGAGAACAGCGATGTTCAGAGAAGTCCTCTTCTACCTCGTCGACAGACAAGACGTGCCGCTTCGAAGACAGCTACGCAGCTGAGTAGAGAACACAAGGACATTGACGACCCACCAGTGGCCAGACGCAGCACACGGAAGAAGCCAGCCAACAAAAAGACCATTGATGTCAGCAGTGAGAGCGGTTCCGATAGTGATTTCGTACCTTCGCAACCGATGCGCACTCCCAGGAGAAACCTATCCCAATCTCAACCTGCTGCAAATACAAGTCCTACTAAGAAGACGGAAGCTGCAGATGTCCATGCCAAAATGTCTGATAGTGCAAGTCAGGGAAGTTCTACACGTAGTGGTGGCAGTGATTCTAGCTCAGACTCGGATTTTCAAGCACCCAAGAAGAAAATCAGACGAACGCCCAGCTCAGCGAAACAATCACCTTCTGCCACCAACAAGCGTCAAAGGTCATCATCCCCGTCAGCTATAGCTGACACAACACCGACGTCCAGTAGTAGCAAACGTCCATCTGTTGCTTCGGGCAATCAGCAGGCAACAACAACGACAACGACAACTCCACCTCGTGCTGCAAGGCGTGCCTCCGCTAGTCGGCGCAGTAGCACCAAAGACACTGTAGGTAAGTACTAGAGTCAGAGGTCTGCTAGCTACATGTACATGTCTACTATGTACTGGTACTGGTGTGATGTATTGCATGGTTGTGCTTGGTTGAGCTGGGGTGTGTGACACCGCTGTTGGAGATAGGTTCATAGTGCCCTAGAAGCCTCTGTGTGGAAGTGAAGACGATACAGTAACTCATGTACATGTACTGTAATGTATTGTGTATTTACTTAATTTCCAGGAGGCCCAGCTGTGAAGTAGACACGGCCATCTTCCTCACCCATGGACTCTTTGCTGCACTGAACTGACCCATTTCCGGCCGGCCCAATTTATCATGTCTATCCACCAGCACAACGCAACATGCTACAAAGTTGAACAAACACGTCAGTAGTAAATTTACACGCCACAGAATGTTGCCACTAAAACCTGCCTCTGTATGCATGTACATGTATGTCTCATGTATCTCGTGCTACTCTTGTGTATGTTGGTATTCAGGTGTGGATTGCTGGCTTGAGATCTATATTGATGATGCGAAATCGTGGTTGTGTAAGTATTCTAGCATGGCAATACATTTAGACGCCTGTTTAGACGCCTGGTGATAGCGAAATGCCGAAACGTTGCTAGAATAAAATAAATTGATGTGAAAACGATGTTCAATGTTTTGCAGAGTTATATGAACGAGCTTGTCAGTTTGAATGCCTTTCTTGTAAATGAAACTGCAAGAGGTATCACTAGGCCCAGGTATCATCAAGAGTACATAAAAACCAGAGTGTGCAGCTTAGGGCCTTTTCTACTATGGGTGTCTGTCACGGCGGATTTCCGTGATTACATCATATTTGGCGCAGATCTGAGGCAGGAAATGGCGTAGTGCGTACAACTGAGCTGCAGTTGTGCAGAAAGAGACCTGCTTGAATCCTGCTTGTACGCACTACATCACAAAAATGATGTAATCACGGAATTTCGCCGTGACAGCAACCCATCCGAGCTGCACACTCTGGTTTTCATGTACTCTTGGTATCACCCTTACTTCTGTGTTAGGTGTGAGTTTTAAAATGTGGATTTGGATACTTTTACGATTGGTGCGGTCCAATGTTGCCCTGGGAGTATGCTATAGCATGCTTCTTGCAGCTGAAGGTCAGCTTTTCAGCCAGTAGATTCCCTTACAATGTAACGCTATTTTTATTTCATTTTGTTATACTGGGCGTGTGCCGGAGCATGTACTTCATTAGCACATGTGTGTTTTACGTCCTTCTGTTTGTTACTAAGCATTATAATAATTATGTGTGTACGTGCTTGTGTGCGTGCATGTGTGTATATGTATGTGATTGTGTGTATATGTATGTGATTGTGTGTATTTGTGTGTACGTATATGTTGACACTGCAATGTACATGTACATGTAGGTGTTGATCCCGTGCTCCTACAACCCAGTCCACCATTCGATATCGCTGCAAAGGCATCTCAACCTGTCTCCTATGTGATTGCAGTTGACGACAGTGAGTGTTGCTTTATTGGAACGTTGGAGTATCGGTACATGCACAGTAGAGCATTGATTATCCGGACACCGACTACTCAGTATCCGGATAATCAATTATCCTGAATGGCTGGGGCGCTGCTTGCATGCCCGTCAATGCATGGTAGAACAAAGAGTACATACCGTATAGTTCCGTGTATATGCCCACTCGAAATAACGCCCATGTCCGAATTAGCGCCCATCGAATCGACATCCACACTCAAAGCCCGTGAGTTTGCCCATGCCCAAAAAACGCACAGGGTAATACTGTGCCTGTGTATGCATATGTGTGCAAAATGTTATGCATGCTTATGAGACGCAAGCGATGCCATATGCACCTTGTATAGGCCCAATCCTGAAATAACGCCCATGCCCAAATATTCGCCCAGTTTTCAAACCCTTGTTCTGTATACACCCGGGGGCTTATTTACGGAACTTTACGGTATTCAAGAACTTGTAAACAATGCATTCAGGTGCAAGGCTTCAAAAGATCGTACCTCAGTCAAATCTCGTTCGAATTCAACGATCCAAATATCCAGGTTGAAGAGAAAACTCTCAGCTGTCGGTAGAATCAATCCATGAAGCGCTGCGAGCATTGGTTCTTGAGATAAATCGCTCGCAAGTTGAGCCGCGATTGCAGCAGTTCCATTAGCGTGCAATGCAACTTGAGTACTGAGAATTTTTTGACTTTTCGTCATGCTGATTTGCTCGAAATTGCAAGGGTTTCACTTGTGATATTCCCAAAAGTACTTCAGAACACAGCGAAAATCGGAACTCAGCGATCGAGGAAAATGAAATGGCTGGAGCAGGATGCAATTGGATGCATTTGGGGCATTTTTGTACTGTCGCCGCTCTCTAGCGCTAGAGATACTGTAAAGCAACAAATTGTCGCGACATTTAAATTTCACGTTTTGCCAGCCTGGACCAATAAGTGGCGATTAATTTTAGCTATCTTGGACTCCAACAATGTGTACTTTGGAAATATCCTCGGAGCGCTGGGGCGCAGAGCGCGTGAATGATGAAAGAAGAAATCAAAGAGAACAATAAGGCAACAACTAGTGCTGGTCGATGTACATGGCTGAATATTGTTAGTAATAACGATAAGTAGCAGAGATACACACAATAAGAGGACAGAGAAAGTGTATCAGTATTGGTTTATATACTCACAAAGCAAAGTGTAGATGGCGCAAATCTAAAAGTTGTGAATGGCGGCAGTGCAAAGCGTAAATGACTGCATCATTGGCAATCGCGCAAGCACACAAGCACCTCTCTCTCAACAAGAGGAGTGAGCTTGTGTCAAAGTGTCGCCACGAGAATAAGTACTACCTTCGGAACTTCAAACCATCCACAGCCATCACCTAATTAAGTTAGAGACAACCGGCTCCAGTAGTTGTCACCTTTCACCACTGCTGTCATTCGCACTTTTAGATTTGCCCCATGATGCAGTCATTTACGCTTTGCACTGCCGCCATTACTAACTTTTAGATTTGCGCCATCTACACATTGCTTTGTGAGTATATAAACCAATACTGATCCAGATTTCTCATTACTGTTTTCTGGTGATCGCCTAGTGCGTGAAACTCGGAGTAAAAACACTTTCTCTGTCCTCTTATTGTATGAACCAGTTCTGCCTCTCGGTATTGAGCACTTTCTTGGACAGCCTGGAACCTCTCTGTTTTATAAGTAACAGAGATATTACTGCCTATTTCTACTGCTAGAAATACAGTCCAGAATGCCAGCCTTCTGGAAGCCCAGCTTCACGCACGTTGCACCCGCGGGTTCTGACATGGCAGTGATGAGCCACGTGGTAGGCAGAGGCTTGACTGTGGACGCTCGCAAATCACCTTGACTTTGTCCAGGGACACACCATCCTTCAGTGCTGCCTCCACCTCAGTTTTTTTAATTTATTTTTTTACTTGAAACCACGCTCCCAATTCGTAAAACAAGAAAGAAGGAGGAAATGACAAAACAACAGACTAACAAGACATTGACTGAATGGGGCTGCAAATGCAACGCAGCGGTGGTGATGGGGTGCTGCAGGCTCCGCCGACCAATGGTCTCGGTATCCGCGCCTACTTCACGCATCAGAAAATCGGGAGAAGAAGAGAAACAAAAGAGATTGAAAAAAAGAAAATAGCGAAAGTATAGTGTGGAGAGAGAGAGACAGAGACAGAGACAGTCTGGTGAGACAGACAGACAGACAGACAGACAGACAGACAGACAGACAGACAGACAGACAGACAGAGACAGAGAGTAGAGAAAACAAGGAAAAAGAGAGCAATACCTGCATGTAGATACTAGATAGGTGCGATTGGACTGAGTCAGTAGCCCACATCCAGTTCTCGGTGCGCAGGTAGCGGTATACCTGCGTCTTGAATGCCTGCATTCGGCTGCGATGGGGAGGATGCAGGAGCAGATCACAGGGCGATGCATTCCACTGGTAGAGCACACAGTGGGGAAATGATCGCTTCAGGACTAACGGGGTAGAGGCTGGCAGGCTGGCGTCCAGTTGAAAATGGTGGCCAGCAGCGCTGCCATGGTCGCTCCGGGTTCGCAGGTTGGCCGACTGCTGACGGCGAGCTGGCAGAACCGCGAGAAGTTGAGATGGGCCCGTAATTACTTGTAGCTTGTATAAACAAGCTAGGGCAGCTACTGTTCGTCTGATTGCCAGACTAGGCAGGATTGCTCCCGGACCGATGATTCTGAGGGTGCTGTGCTGGACTTGGTCCAGTCGGCTGAGGTGGCTGGGTGACGCTCCAATTCAGATAAGTGGGGCGTACTCCGGCAGCAGACGAACGAATGCGTTGTACACTGTTATGCGCCCAGCCGGAGGGAGAGAAGATGAGCAGACCGGCGCAAAAGACCAAGTCGCTGCCTTGCCCGGGTTGTAACAGACCGGAGGTGCTCCCCAAAAGACAGCTTCTGGTCAAAGAGGACACCTAGGAGGGTGATCAAGTTTGCCTCGGGGACTTGTATTCCGCCAAGCATGATTGGTGGGAGGTGTAAGTCAGCTCTTCGGAGCGTTGCGTACCAGTCGGCAAAAAGTGCCTTCATTTTGCTCTTGAATTGGTCATTGAAGGTGAGGTCCAGTGGCTGAAGCTCACCAGTACAGCCAGCCGGAATAAACACCTGGTGGATGTTGTGCTCCTTCAGCTTGTCCAGGACTGAAGTACAGCCGTGCGAGGCAAATACATCAAAAATTGGCAATGCAGGTTGCGAGGCCACGGTAGCTTCAGCTTTTGCCGCTGCTTTGCAGCATATGGCACCAAGACGTTGTCGACAAACTGCAGCATGGTTTCCCCTGTGCTCCAGTGAGAGGGGGAGTGGGTGACGTTCCATTCATCTGTGAAGTTCACCTTCGGATGACATGCAGGAGTCTTCCCAGCATAGATAACCTGCGGAAGAAGCAACGCGCCAGCAGCGGATACAGAGACAAGGATGGTGATTTCCCTCTTGTCGTCCTTGCCGACAACGCTGACCTGCTCAGCCAATATCCATGAGTTGACAGGAACCAGCTTAGTCTCTGTCTGGTCCCAATTAGTGATGAGTTCAGCCGGAATGGAGTGCTCCTCGACAATAGTCTTGACTCTGTCAAGGAAATTTGCTTTCTGTTGGTCAAAGTCTTCTGGTAGCTTGCTAGCAGCTTTGGTGGCCTTTCGCTTTACAAACTGATGACGCCTACAGAGCGAGTCAGCAGTCACGAATCGTGCTCTCAGTGACCTTGTGGCCAGTCTCTTTTGAGATCTTGTCGACCGCTGACTTGTTGCCGAACTTTGCTGCATGCCTGCCCAACTTTGCTCGCAGCTCGTCGGAATGACTTTGGTACTAGTACAGTGTCCTGACTACCATGGTCCACCTCACTCTCTTTCTTTTGCAGAGACCTTTCCAGAAAGCCCAAGATTGTGAAGCTAAAGTGTGTTGAACTGAAGTTATGATCAAAAACCAAAAACAAACAAAGAACACGGAAAATTCGGAATTTTTACATTTTTCTTATAGGAGAGGACAAAGAATTTGTACATCCTAGCTACGGTAATCAAAGGAGAACGAAGGGCGGTAGATCCATGTGCTCTGAACCCGATGAGCTGACACCGTGTCAACAAGACAGGTGCACGAAAGCATACATACTTGATCATACTTCTGCGAAAGAATGACACAATAAAAACATTCCGCCGTGGGGGACCCATCACAGCTCGAGATAGGGAGTTGCACACTCTTGATTATGCACTCTTGGTAGAACTACTAGTACATGATGTTGTACACATATTCGATGATGAAACCCACTGCTGTATCACATGTATGCATGAGCCCTATACTACATGTGTATATAGTGCACGTGTAGCTGTGACTCTCTCATTTAGTATCCGGACATTTCCCTCATCCGAACCCCTTCTGAATATCTGTCCCAAAGGGTTCGGATAGTCGATGCTCTACCGTACTTACAAAACTCACGCCACAACATCCCTTTTTCCCGATTCCTCATGTATGCGTGTGCCTGCGTGCGTGTGGTGTATACGTCTGTATATGTGTGTATGTGTGTGTTTATGTGTGTTTATGTGTTGTTATCACTGAGTAGCTGCTACCGGGTACTGCTGACTACTGACTGCTTGTATCACCTTGTGTGGTTTCTGTTCAATTCACAATTTGCTGCTTTGCTTGTGACCGGACTGCTGTAGATAGTCGAATAAAGGACGTGACGCAGCGTTACGTGCATGACTGGATGACACGTGCTAAACGGCGCAGAGTCGATGCAGGCTGGTGGCAGGCAGTCATGGCAGCATACGCCCCTCTTGAGCAGGTAACTGGTTGTTACTGGTGTACTGCTGATACCGTTACATCTCAGTGGCTAGAACTCATCTCCACCAGTGCATTTTGGTATGAACTTGCACAGAAACTAGCCATTGGTCATGATACTGTCACACACTCACTCTCACATACAAGTATCTATACACACTCACTCTCACATACAAGTATCTATACACAGTCACTCTCACATACAAGTATCTATACACACTCACTCTCACATACAAGTATCTATACACAGTCACTCTCACATACAAGTATCTATACACACTCACTCTCACATACAAGTATCTATACACAGTCACTCTCACATACAAGTATCTATACACACTCACTCTCACATACAAGTATCTATACACAGTCACTCTCACATACAAGTATCTATACACAGTCACTCTCACATACAAGTATCTATACACACTCACTCTCACATACAAGTATCTATACACAGTCACTCTCACATACAAGTATCTATACACACTCACTCTCACATACAAGTATCTATACACAGTCACTCTCACATACAAGTATCTATACACAGTCACTCTCACATACAAGTATCTATACACAGTCACTCTCACATACAAGTATCTATACACAGTCACTCTCACATACAAGTATCTATACACAGTCACTCTCACATACAAGTATCTATACACACTCACTCTCACATACAAGTATCTATACACAGTCACTCTCACATACAAGTATCTATACACAGTCACTCTCACATACAAGTATCTATACACACTCACTCTCACATACAAGTATCTATACACAGTCACTCTCACATACAAGTATCTATACACACTCACTCTCACATACAAGTATCTATACACAGTCACTCTCACATACATACAAGTATCTATACACACTCACTCTCACATACAAGTATCTATACACAGTCACTCTCACATACAAGTATCTATACACACTCACTCTCACATACAAGTATCTATACACAGTCACTCTCACATACAAGTATCTATACACAGTCACTCTCACATACAAGTATCTATACACACTCACTCTCACATACAAGTATCTATACACACTCACTCTCACATACAAGTATCTATACACAGTCACTCTCACATACAAGTATCTATACACAGTCACTCTCACATACAAGTATCTATACACAGTCACTCTCACATACAAGTATCTATACACAGTCACTCTCACATACAAGTATCTATACACACTCACTCTCACATACAAGTATCTATACACAGTCACTCTCACATACAAGTATCTATACACAGTCACTCTCACATACAAGTATCTATACACAGTCACTCTCACATACAAGTATCTATACACAGTCACTCTCACATACAAGTATCTGCATTGTGGCTGGATTTAGGCTGCTAATCGCTGCCTGTTTTTCAGTATCTGGTCAGGTTATGCATGGGCAAGTGGATGCCACAGTTGCTTGTGTGATGTGAGAGGCACGAGTGATCAGAGCGCAATGGTGGTGTAGCCAATTTATACGAATGCTCACGATCAATTATTCTGAATTGACCTAAGCTGCATGTTGGAGCTGTTTTCGAACTCTCTTTTTTGACTTCGTCATTATGTGCTTACTAGTATCATCTTCTTGTGCTGTGTCATGTGCAGGATATTAATATGGAAGAAGACCTGCGCTTGCAAGGTAAATTGGGCATTGTTTGAACTCATGATCGCAGTTAGGTAACTTACTGTCTACTGTATAAGCAGAAATATTCGTCTGGAATTTAATTTCGTCTTTTTCGTCCAAGGAGCTTTTGGACTAAATTAAATGTAGGACGAATATCGATTTGTCCAGCGTTTCTATACACTCTTATGACCCATGGACGAAATTTCCAACCGGACGAACTCCTTTTCTTTGGAGTTGGACGAAATTATTGACCGACGAAATTTTCTGCCTCTACAGTATGTCATTCAACTCAAATAGGAGATAGTGGCGTATCAGGCAATTGGGCAATACAGACTTGCGTTACTTGGGGCAAGTGTGTGTGTGTGTCACAAGAACGGATGTCGCTGATAGGTCATCCAGCTAGGAGATGAAGTCTTTGAGGCTATCTTACTGGCTGGTCACTTCCACTGGCTTGCCGTCCTTCTCAAGAACCTTGTCACCGTTCATGGAGTCTCCTGATAGCCCAGTTGCTTCTAAAGCACTGCCATGGAGGAGTGCTGATGACAGCATGTATCACAATATTATGTTTGGTCCTGCTTCATATCGTTTACCACTATCTATCTAGGTAAGCTGAGTGAAATGTGCGGCTCACTGGTGATTGTAACTCTGGTCGAGTCTGCGGTGCTGGAATACCTTCAGTGTCCAAATTACTTGACACCAGCATGCAGCCAGAACAGTACAAAACTCCTCCTCGAATCTCGGATGATGATTGCTTGTCAGACCTCTTGGATTGCAGAAGTTGCCTAAGCTTGCCAGATTTAGTTGACGGCCATTCTTTTGATGATGGGAAGATAGCAGTTGGGCTCAGCATCCGTTTCAGGTGTTGCAGGTGTGGCTCAAGCTGCTTTCCACGCCTGGGAGACCTTTCCTTGCTCTGCTCCTCGCTCATGAAGGTGTTCTGTGGTAGGTAAAGCAGATGGAGCGGGTTGCGCATGTGCTGTTGATGTGTGCTTGGGTTCCGAACCAACCGCCAGTTACTCGGTTGTGCTAGTGAAGGCAACTTCCTTGGGAGCTAGCAGCCACATCTCAACATGCATTGCAATGTAGGTTGAGATCAACGTACACTTCAATGCAGCCATGCAGGTTGAGGTTAGCATGCATGGCAAATTTTGGAACTCGGGTTGAGATGTGGTTGGTTGCTAGTTCATAACTCGATTAATTACGATTGTTTCTTGTATGTTTGATGTATGTATGTGCACACAGCTGAGTTGGAGTCCCAGCCACTGCCCACATCAGTACAAGACTTCAAGGCCCATCCACTGTAAGCCACCCACTAACACTGTGTACCTGTACCTGGGTAGTAGTATGGGGTGCAGTGACTAGTACTGACTACTACCCTTCACCACCCCCTCCCCCCCCCCCCCACACACACACACGCACACACAGAGGTTCAGTGAACTAACCGTGTGACTGCCTGGTGTTCTCCATGCATGGTGATGCCATTCCAGTACTATTGCCTTGACTTGAGATACTTTCAGTGCTGTGTTGTACTTGTTGCCTGTCTGCTCTTTAGGAGTGTGTGCCCGTGCTTACCTAGATAATTTTAAAAAAACTTAGACCTTCACACATTCTTATCTTCTTGAGAGAGTGGCGTTCATAACTTTTCTATTAAATTTATTGTAATATGCATTTCTTCTTCATGTGCCGGCGTGTATGTATGTGTGTGTTTGTGTAATGTGTATGGTGTAGATATGTGCTGCAGAGGCATTTGCTCAAGTTTGAAGGTAAGTTGCGGAGCCTGATTTGGATAGGTGATTTGTGTACATTTATTGCTGCTGCTGCTGTGGGCCCAGGGCGCCCAGAACAATGGCCCAAGCAGTCACGGTGACCAGGACAATGTTTGGGCCAATATGTTTGATCTGGCAGCACCAGGAACATTAGCGACAACATGCAACACAATACTGCCATCAACTTTTTCTTTTTCTTTGCCTGAGATTTAATTGGATTTGAGAAGATGTCATCTGTGGGACTTCCTTCTTCTTTTTGAATTTGACAAAATTCACAAACGTACCCAGCAGTCGTAGGAGGTAGATAGCATGACTTTGCCTTCTGACCAGAAGAAATCCATTTCATCTTGAAGAACTTCCAGACCAATGGAGTGCTGTGTGTTACCATGCACGTTATCAGAGTACGTCTAGCATTATGTATCCAGAATAGGAGCCATGATGTCAAGCCTCAATAATGTATCTCTACGTCTCTGTTTGTTGACTTCTGCTTTTCCATAGTGCTTCTGTCTTTGCCGATACCCGTTGAATACATGAATCTCGTGTGTGAGTTATACGCTGTATTGTGCGCTGTATTGTGCGCTGTATTGTGTGTTATACTCACTGTGCACTTAGCTCTATATCCACCTGACCTTGCACCTATTGCCTTCATCAAGAATGAAGCAATCTACCCGCGCTCAGCCGTTCATACGGTAAGCTGCAGCACTTCGGATTGCATTTAGGGGTGACCTATCTTATCTCACCACCTCTTTGAATGGCACGTGTATAAAACAGTTGCCTGTTGTTGCCAGTACCCAGATCACCCAGATCGCCCAGATCACCCAGATCACCCAGATCACCCTGTTGAGCAGATCACATCCTACTTGTACTGTTTTTTATGCCGAACTGTTTGTAGTGTTAGGCACTATTATGATGGAGCTTCTTTTAATGCTTGTGTGCGTGTGTGTGTGTGTGTGTACGTGTGTGTACGTGTGTGTACGTGTGTGTGCGTGTGTGTGTGTGTGCGTGTGTGTGTGTGTGTGCATGTGTGTGTGTGTGTGTGTGTGTGTGTGTGTGTGTGTGTGCATGTGTGTGTGTGTGTGTGTGTGTGTATATGTGTGTGTGTGTGTGTTTGCGTGTGTGTTTGCGTGTGTGTATGTGTGTGTGCATGCATGTGTGCGTACGTACGTGTGTATCTGTGCAGCTGCACACGAGAGAAACCTGGATGAAGGATGCACGGTCTGTGAAGGTGTGTTTGCTTACTGTGTGCCTGCATCCTGCGCCCACTTTATTCTTTTCTTCATCTAGCAATCCTCCAAAGTCGACTGGATGTGGCTATCCAGGCTATTTTATAGTATGGCTGTGTGAAGAAGAAAGTACAATGGAGCCCTTAGTGAACATCTCAGCGGTATTGAAGCCTGTCCTGCTGGTTTGGCATTGGCTTTGACTGGGCTACATGCTAGTCTAGCAACCATGCATACTAGTAGGGAATGGCCATTGGCCAACCATGCATAACTAGGGAATGGCTATTGGCTAACCATGCATCACTAGGGAATTAGGCTTGAAGTAGTGTGAATAGTTGTCCGTTGTATGTCTGTTTAGTGTTTACGTAGTGGTTTGGCCAGACTGAGTGAATGGAAAGAGGAAAAATAACACGGGGCTGCTGAAACTGAGCTGGTGGGAAACGCATGCAGCACTCCTTACTGGTCACCTGGAAATGCATGACCACTTGCCACCACCCCTGTATTACTTACCTTGTTGCAGATCTACGCCTGTCATTGGGCGGATTGTACTGCTATTTAAAAACATGATTTGATGTGACTGTGCCCTCTGCAGGAAGGTGAAGAGCCATATAAAATGGTGAAAGCACGCCCAAAGCGAGTAAGTCCATTGTCTTCATGCCGGTAGGTCTTATGCACTTTTCGTCATCGATGACGTCAGGCTGCCTCGCGTCGACCCGCTTGGGGGGATCGATTCGAGCACTGCACTGCGGAAGTAAAAAAGTGAGTTTGGTTCTTCTTCACTTCCCATATTTCCTGCATCAGTGCCTGATTTGTTCGAAGCTCTTGTTAGTTTGGTGTTAGCTAGGTCCAGGTCATCCTCTCCGTTTTTGAAGCAGGAGCCACCGTGGTCTGTCGAACACAAACCCTAGTTCCCACTGTGGCAGATGTACTCCACAATAATGTTATTTTGCACCTTCCAAGGTGCACTTCCAATGAACACCCTCCACCCACTGACAGTAGCACAGGACATTTTGTCTTTTCGTTCCACTGGGAACGATATTGTCTGCAGCGGATTCACAGGCTTGTTATTCGGTTGAGTTGCGTGAAGGTGAATGGTTTTAACAATATAAATGCGATGTCAAGGTCTTCGAGGACAGGCCAATATGTATGTCTTGTCACATCAAAGGAGGCTGTTCTTGTCAGACATCATTGCTTATGTGTAATATGCATAACAAATTGGTGCAAATTAAATTCGGAAGATGCCACTGATCTACTGTCACGTATAATCACCGATATTATTGCATGTGTGTAATACACATAACCATTTTGTGCAAATTAAATTCGGAAGATGCCACTGAACTGCTAGCACGTACAATCACCGATATTATTGCATGCGTGTAATACGCATAACCAATTTGTCCATAATAAATTCGGCAAATGCCACTGAACTGCTATCACATGCAATCATTATATGTGTTTCGTTGGGCTTCAACAGACTGACGGCGAGAACCGGCAAAGTTTCTAAAAGAGCACTATGGCCGTTTAGGCGATAACTGCCAGGTCAAATAGGCAGTGGTTCAGAACACTACAGTCTTTCAAATGCAAATGCATAGTCTGTCCAGACCACTAACTGATGATCAACTGAGAACTAAGCTACAAGGGCACCTTCAAAGTTTGTCAGCATAGCACAGACAAAGACCAGAGTGTGTATGTGGTCAAACAATGTGTTCTCTATGTTGCCAGCCAGAATCTTGTATGCCTTGATTCGTTGCATTTTCCGTTCGACATGAATTCGTACTGCCGCTATCTTTTTAGTGGCCAGGAGGTCTTCCGGGGCCATCTGCCGGTCACCGGACTTGAACGGGGGAATGTTCAAGCGAACACCAACATCCAGGAGCAAGTCCTTTATCTCAAAGCCCTTGTCCGCCATGACTGAATCACCAGCTTCCAGGAGGGTGATCAGACCACTGCTCTCGGTGATGGCCTTGTCCGAGATTGACCCTTCGTAGGCATCAGAGACAAAAGTCACATGGCCATGCGGCGCGATGCCGATGAGAACCTTCACTGTATTGTGGCTCTTGTAATTAGACCAGGTAGCGGATTGACGGGCCAGAGAGGTAGGTGTTTGGATGAAGAACTCAGTGCAGTCAATAATTACTCTAGTCGTGGGGTACCAGACCTTGAAGCAGGGTGGCATCAGTGAATTCACTGTCCGCCTCGGCAACCAGACAGGTAGCTGCTTAAACTTATGGTACATTAGACAGACCCATGATGTTACGAGACGGGACACAGTGGACTGCGAGATCTCGAAGCGGAACGCCAGGTCAACTTCGCCGAGTCCAAGGCGAAGGCGCATCATGACCAGCAAGAATTGGTCAACGAGAGATAGCTTTGGCTTCGGGCCACGCTTCTGGCCTTCTTGAGATCGGTCCTCTGGAGCAGACGCCGAACCCTTCCACAACCTCATAGACTGGGCCGCTTGGTGCAGGAAGTTGAAGCATGCCATAAACATTAGGGCTGAGCTAAACCCGCTGTAATAGTTCACCAAATGGTGGTCCTGTTTGATGCGGTCATATGACATGGCACTTGGATGCGTAGGGTTAGAAAAGTACTTCTCCTGCTCCAGCGCATCGTACCTAGTTTGCAGCTCCTCTAGCTTCGCGTCAGCTAGCTCGAGCTTGTCCTGGAGCTTTTTGAAGCACGAGCAATCGTGATCCGCCTCACACACCCCCTGCTCACACCGCCACTGCCGTCTCCCACGAGCGTACTGCTGCTCTCACCTGGCAAAGTGAGAACGTCGTCCTCGCTGCCACCGCATGCAGCTACTGGGCTCTCCTCCACGATCTTCGTCTCGACCTTCTTGCGCTTGGCTGGTGGCGGTGCAGAACGAACTGCAGGCTCCTTCCGCTTCGGCTTGTTGCTGTCTGTCCAAGCAAATATTGAAGGAAAAACTTTTGCTCTCCGGTTTAAATTTCTCCTCGATATATCAGTCTTCTTATCTGCACGCTTTCCATCTCCGGGGCAGTAATCTTCCGGTTTGAAATGGGCAGAACATATTTTGGTAGAATCCGTCACTTTGAAGTATTCCGGGTGATCTTTGGCCACATCGGTTCGCTCATCTCGCCGGATCTTCACTAGCCACGTTTTCTTTTCCACAGGATCCTTCGGAAAGCCATGCCAAGCAAGATCAGGGTGCGTATCTGCTTGATTGGTGCAGAGAGGGACGCAGCAGCCGTGAACCATGTTGAATAAACGGCTACTAAATCTGCAGACTCAAGGGAACTCCAAACAACCAGACTAGGAAGAGATTTATTTGGGACGAACACCAAAAAGCCGAAGGAAGACAAAGGAAAATGCAGTTGTCGAGTGACAGCCGGCTTGTTTCACTTTTCCGTCCCCCCAAGCCGGTCGCTAGCTCCGCCAAAGCGATGATGTCATGCGAAGCGTGACGTCAATGTGCATAAGAGCTATTGTGACTTGTCTCTATGCCTATAGGTCCCTGGCTTGTAGTTATCTGTATTTCTTCTGTGAAGTAACGCTCATCATGAGTAGCTTTTAAGCTAAACTGTGTTATTTTGTTACTGCTGCTGCTGGTGGTGTTGGTGTTCGTACTGCTGTTATGGCATATTCTGTGTTTTGTGTTCAGAGTACACCAGCTCATCAACGTGGGACGCTCCTGTCGGAAACATTTGGAGTTTGGCAAACAGAAGATTACGTTCCACCTGTTGCCACTGATGTAAGTCCATAGTTCATCCAAGGCCCGTGCTCTTTTTCTTCTTCTTCTTTGCCGTGTCACACTGCACTGTCTGTCTGTCTGTCTGTTTGTTGGGGGGGGGGGGGCAGCGCACCAGGATAGTACAATGCACGTACGGTGTTATCGTTACTGACTTTTGTGGCTCAATGTCTCTCTTTGACCTATAATTGCATGGCGTCCTCATGAATTTCTGGTAAGAATGTGTGTTTATATTACATCTGTACAGTATGTGGCTGTGTGTATTTATGTGCGTTTGTGACTTTCTGTGTACGTGTACCCTTCCCAGGGTAAAGTACCCCGAAATACCTATGGCAATGTGGAGCTGTTCAAGCCGTCAATGCTACCGATTGGCTGTCGTCAAATCAAAGACAGTAAGTTTCCAGGTTGCGTGTGTACGTGTGTGCATACGTTATGAGATGTACGGAATGGTTGGTTCAGCGGTGGGGCTGCAGGGTTGAACTCAACGGGAGTCCCACCATGCGCCATGTACAAGTACATATGTAAGGAAAGTATACCCGTGCAAACTTTCCTAGTGTTCATGCTGAAGAACCTGAAGGGTGCTCTCCTATGTGTTACACATGTACTGTTTAAGGATTGCAATAAACAGAACCAGTTAATTAAAGCGTCATTTCACGAAGGTTTTATTGAGATGTCATGAACAAATTCCAGAGAAACATGTAATGTAGTTCTCTATTTTGTTATGTTTTGTTTCACTCATTTGCTGTAGTTCCCAATCTTCCTCGGATAGCACGCAAGCTGGGCATTGACTGTGCGGAAGCTATGGTTGGCTGGGATCAGCATTGCGGCTATTCACACCCCATGTAAGCTATGAAACTGCATTTCTTACTTGAGTCGTGCTGGGGGGATTGTTTGATCGTTTTTTTTTTTATGCTGGCCCTCGTCCTCAAACTCCGATCGGAGCACAACCTCTTGCCGCATGGCACTGCGCTCCTCATGCTCTTCACATTGTTTGAATCTCTACTAGTTTACAAACCCTATCAACCCACCGCCTTCCATTCTATGTCGCATTCCGTTGGCGATAAGCTGGCCTCCAGTTGTTGTTAGTTCCTCTGCTATGCTCACTTAGATTCTGGCATAGTCGCCAAATGTTGTGATTCCACATATTCTCTCACAAAGGTCAGGAACGAACAACCACACAGCACTAGAACAGCTATGTACAGAGTATATTTTCAAAAAGGAATACCGGTAAGAACAAAGTGGTATGCAAGAACAAACAGCCAACTCAACTACGATCGAATGCGAAGAGTAACGAAGATATGAAACCAGGAAGGGAACCCTGAAGAGAACAAGCAACGAAAGCGAATGCAAAACCACTCTTTAGGCGTGACCAAAATAAATCGAGATTCCCGGGCAGGACCCATGTAAAATTGGTCCGGGCGGGCAATTTTTTATTTTTATTTTTTCCTTTGTATGTATGCATGCCATGCTGAACCTTTTTTACAGTATTATCTGATAATTTTTTATTCAATTTTTTTACAGAAAACAGGTACGCGGTTTACCCATTCAATTTTTCTGTATTTCGGCCAACAATGGTCCTGATCTGTACATCAGGGAGTCGTACAAGCCCGGGTTAACCCGGTTTGTGTGACTCCACGGCACAGATCTACTCACACGATCAGTACTGTACATGTATATGAACTGTTTAAAAAAAAAATTTTTTTTAACTGGCTTTGACTCGATTTTGGTGCGGGAGGGCCCGGGAATCTCTATTTTTTGGTCTCACCTTACAGCAAAACGTGCACATACAAGACTACATTGTGGTGCACCTACATCAGCGCAAAAGAAGCAAGCGTGCTGCACACTACAATTAAGAACATGGCGCCTTGCCAACTGTAAACAAGATGCAGAAATGCAGAGCCAAAAATACAGCATACAGATTGAGAAATTACAGCTACAATATACATGAAAGAAGACCTTTCACTCTTCAGAACTGGTGGTTTGTAACAGTGGTGTTTGTGCCATTAACTCTTTCCTCTTCAGATTCGACGGTGTTGTTGTGTGTGAAGAATTTGCTGACACTCTTCTGGATGCCTGGGAGGCAGACAGAGCTGAAGGGGAACGGAAGGCTGAGGAGGTCAGTCACACAATTTGTGTTGATTTTGTGTGAGAGGCCTGCAAGCTGTTATGTATGATGATCAGGATGTGTACGTGCATGAGTGCATACATACAATTTCACGTGAGTGTGTATCAATGTCAGTCTGTGAGTGTATTGCTCGTGTAGGGTACGCATTCACATCTACACATACCTTCTTGCTTTCAGTGTGTGCAAGTGCTATTTTCCCTGTGCACCCTATTTCCCCAGTATGCTGTATGCTGTATGCTGTATGATCTATGCTCTACTGTATTGCTTGTGGGTGGTTCTTTTAGAAACGTGAAAAGCGGATACTGGACAACTGGTACAAGCTGACGAAAGGCCTTCTCATTCAGCAGAAAGTCAAGAGAATGTTTTCCAATGCCAAGGTGAGGCTTTAGTCAGGTCTGTACCGTATGTAGTGTGATCTGAGTATCACAATGGATGTCTCAGTACTATTGTAGATATGTCCTTTGGCTTTTCAAAAATGTATCCGGTATCGCATCGCAGTTTGCTACGCAAAATCGATCTACTGCTACTCAAAAATCACAGTGACACGCAGAAAACTGCCATACATACATGTACAGGCTATCCATGCTTACGCCACAATTGAGATTTTGCATAGCAAAAGCTGCTATGCAAAAACATGACAGTAAATTCATCCCTGGAAAGATTGGTATGAGTTACAAGAGTTGTTTGTCACAGTGACCTGCAAATGAGCAGATTTTTTTGTTTGTTTGAAGTTTTATTTACATCGCAAACTGAACGGGCATTGATGCCCAATATTATGATGGCGATAAAATAAAAATGAAGTGAGATGATGTGTTCATATTGTTTTTCTCGCCTCCTGCTATTCTTCAAAGACAATGACAGCGGGGACAGGACTGGATGACGAAGAAGACGGTGCGGATAGTCCAGATGGTACCGACGAGCAAGTCCATGAGCCGACATGGTCAGCGCTGCAGCCAGGTTGGTTTGCAGGCGTGTGTGTGTGTGTGGGGGGGGGGGGTGTCCATGGTTTGCAGGTGTGTGTGTGGGGGGGGGGCATGTTCCAATACATTTCCAGATTTGCGTGCTTCTCTTGCGACAGGTGTATACATGGTACATGGTGTGTGGTTGGGGGGAGGGGGGGGGGGGTAGGATGTGCTGATGTCACACAGCGGACAAATGGTCAGCTAACTAGTTAGGTAGAAGAAAGACAACGGCTCTGAAGATGGCGCAGTTGCATTGACAACACCGAATTCCCAGCTAGCTTCGGTGTTCGAGCAATGCATCATGTCTTCCCAGCACGCGATTCTTATGTTTGGTCTTACTCACTCAGACACTGTGACAACATGACTATACTAAAACCAATAGGAAAGACTAACATTGGCAGATAGTGTAGCCAGTACACAGGCAGAACGGCTCACGTGCCGTAAAGTACCTAATCCTGCATAATGCTCTCACACACTGACTGACTCTGTGTCCAGTAGCAATGCAGCACGCAGAAGGTGCGTACGGAATGAGAAGCATACGGTGCAAGACCATGAGAGCATGGTGCATGTACACTCATACTCCATGCCAGTGCCTGCACAGTTGTGTTATTGCGTATACAACACTGACGGCGATCACCATCTGCTTCCTTCCTGGAAAAGCTAGATTACATGTACAATACTATATTAACACATTGGTTCCATTTTTCAGTACGTTCAGTACTTCATCCAGCCACCTACAACTTACTTCCAGTCAACAGAAAATAGGCGCTGAAAATAGTCTCCGATGAAAGAAAGTACTTAGACTTGTACAGGCATAGCGAACAATTAAATTGTACCACTGAACATTGTGTGTGTTGTTGTTGTTGTTGTTGTTGTTGTTGTTGTTGTTGTTGTTGTTGTTGTTGTTGTTGTTGTTGTTGTTGTTGTTGTTGTTGTTATTTTGTGTGTGGGTTTGTCCTGTAAGATCCAGACAGTCTTCCGGGCTGTCAACTTCCCAGCTGATTAGAAGGTGGTGCGGAAGTGTCAGAAATGTGTCTGACTACGACTTCGTCCAGCTACACGCAGTCCTGATCTGCTTGGATAATGGATGTAGGAGAGGTACAATATCTACCGCCGCTCTCCGACCAAGACCACCACTAGGGCAGAAGCCCACCATGATACCATGATACCATGATACATTGGTACTTGAACTTCAAGTATGTTCCTAAAAGGTTGTTGGAGGAAGAAAAGGTAGGGACATCCCCTTTCCAAGTGGGTGCACCACCCTACCGGCATGCTGACTGGCTGTGTGTGTGTGTGATCAGTGTGGACTTCTATCTACTACTGTTGACTGGACAGATGACTGATCCTTGGATACAGGTACTGAATAGGTTTTGCCTGAATTCATGTAGACCTGTAGCTGAACAGCAATCATGCACAGGCATGGGTAGACATAACAGTTACAGCTTGTGAGCAATGTGGCTCAGGATAGAGAACATTGCGGCGTAGCACTCGTTCACCTACGCCAAGAAAGAATTTTTATTGCAAGACACTGTTCTTGTTTGCTGTTGTGTGCTATGGTCCCATGCTGAGCTCTATTCCACTGACCTGTGCAATGATGCTGCTCAAGACAAGGAGTAGCTAGCTGTGATTATGTTGCATGCATGGCATTGTGCTATGCTGCTATGCATGTGCAATGCTAATAATATCATGCATGTGCCATGCTGCTTTGCATGTGCCATGCTCTGCTGTCCTGCATTATCTGCATCATTGTGATGCCATGCTTGCTTGCAGCCATATCTGCACGAGTCAGTATCTTGTGTTCTTTTGCCCATGTTGCTGTTGTGCTATTTTCAGTTTTTCAGATATCTTTTTACCTATTCTTATCGCATTGTGACTTTTGAGAGTTTTTACTACTCTTATAATTACATAGTCTTATGCCTGTACATCTTATGCCTGTACATCTTATGCCTGTACATCTTATGCCTGTACATCTTATGCCTGTACATCTTATGCCTGTACATCTTATGCCTGTACATCTTATGCCTGTACATCTTATGCATGTACATGTATGTTGGAGGGGACAACTGAGAAGTCGTCCAGGCTACATCACAGCAGAAATCAGCAGTTGGGATGCCGGACCAGCGTAATAATTATGTGATTGCACCATGAATTCTACCATGGTGGGGCATGGCATGTACTGTAGTACTGTATTGGGAAACCGCTCTCTGGGTCCATGTGTTATTATGAATGCCTCACAATTCAATCCCGGTTGTCACAAGACGTCCGCGTAAACACCATCTATGACTGACTTGAGCCTGAGTCTCTTGTTACACTGTAATATAACATAGTCTCTAGCCTTGCTACCCATTCCATAATGTCCACATGTACATGCACAGCACAATCTCCACCAGGTAGTACATGTATGTAGTACTCTTTAGTAGTACGCACTGATGTCCACAGTTCAATGTGACCTACATGTACTCCACTTTAAATAAAGCCAAACAACAACAACAACAACAACAACATGTACATACGTTTGGGACTAAAGATATTGGACCTCCTTTCTCCATGCAAGTGCGTGGCGATCATGGTGGAGGTCAGATTTCTTTGGCCCCACCTACAGTCTACAGTCTACAGTCTACAGTCTACAGTCTGGTACATGGTGTGCACTGATACATTTTACATTGAATGAATTACCTGCCACACTTTTGTACTCCTTGAGCCAGGTTTGACAACCAACCAACCAGGTTTGACAACCAACCAACCAGGGTTGACAAGAGGATAAGGTCTTGATGCTTTTTGTGACGTCACATACGGATTTCAGACATGATCCACGTCAATGCTCAGTGCTGCCAATGCTGCTGCCATGCCAGTGCTGAACTGGAGATCATGTCATCCACTGTGACTGACTGTGAGTGTGCGCGTGAGATCAAGAATCCTTTGCCTTGTCTCTGGCCTGACAACGATGTGTGACACAGTGGCCATCTGTCATGACGCCCTGGCGCTCTCTGACAAACTAGTGTTGCCTTCTTGCTGTAAAAGGCGAGCTAATGCCGTAATGGCGATTATGTGTGTCTGGTATGTTGAACAGAGGCACCCCCACTGATGCTAGATCTCATTACACTGGCTGTATGTGGTCTGGAACATGCATGATGGCCGACTCACCCGGATAATCACCCGGATCATCAGTCAACATAATCATTAATACTAGTAGTCATTACCATGATTACTGAGTGACACTCTGCTGAGTGGTGTGCTGTTCAGACTAGTACAGCTGTACTACACGTACTACTAGTACTGCAGTACTGGGGTGATCATGCACAAAGTCATGCAGCACAGAGATGTCAATGGCGCGCACGGGAAACATGAACCACTGCCTTGGCTTGGGTCTTTGTACGGGAATACTGTACTCTATATCCGCCATTGCAGCACAGAGCGCGTGCCCGCGCTCTCTCGAAACACTCGTAGATCTACTGTCTGGCCTTCTGTCAGTCAAGTCCATCCATGCAGCACAAGTGCCTTGAAGTTGAACAGTTGAAGTGGCACGCACATGCGCGTTTGCAGGCACCGGTCCGTCAACACTGACTTGGCCAGCTGGTATCGAGGTGGCCATTCACCGGCTAGAGAGGGCGTCAGGCATCCTGGTTCCAAGCTGCAAGCAGCGCCCTGTTTGCACGTGGCCCGCGCTTTCTTCTTGGTGAAGTTTTATAATCCAGTTGGCTGACTCTTCAACTAACCGTTTCGTAACAGCAAACAGCAGCAGCAAGCCTCCTCTTCAGCATGGGTCGCCAATGGAATAATGGCATCTTCGGTTGCCTCAACAACTGCACTCTCTGTGAGTACCTTACTTAGCACTCTTGTCTTGAACGCCGCCGCGCGCCTGCATTCTGCAGCTGCGAGTGCTGCTCTGAAATCCGATGTGTGGTGCATGCCGTGCGAAATCGGGGAAGCGTCAGGCGTGCGGTGCGATGTTGTAAATTCGTAAGCGACTAGGGCGGTTGATATGAATTATTTATTATATTTATTATGATGGCGCGGCGACCACTATGTCGATCACTGTTTGCCTCGTGCAGTCTGTGTCTCTGTGGTTGAGTGAACCTCCGTCGCGGCTTAGCTCGCGTCCAAAGCCCCGACTTACAGCGAGCAGCAAACCTCGATCATGGGAATGTGTGAACGGCGTGTCGAACACCGTGCTGAGGTTTGTTAGACTTCAAGACACCAGTTCAGAAGGATCGGCAGCGGCACTTCGGCAACTGCCAATGACGTTCTGGATGAAGATATGCGGAGAAGGAGAAGACCGCAGTCTGGCCATTTTTGCGCTAATGTCAGGGCTCACCACGACCATACAAAGCGTCAATAACGGTCATTTGGATTTGACCAATCAGCGCACAGCAAAACGGGCTGTTTCTTGCAATTGTGGGGTGTTTTCTGAGTGGAGCTTGGCTGTATTCGTTGGTTTTAGACATTAGGCCATTGTGGATTCGTGTTCAGAAGGTGTGTCTTTGGGGGGTTACCGTCTCGAATTTTTCGATTTGGCCTTCGTTTGGCTGAGATCGGATGGTGAAATCACTCAAACGCGAAGGCGTGCAAACAAGTGAATGAAGAGAAAATTAGAAATCGGGGACGGTAAACCTATAGAGAATTCCAAGACCTTGAAAATGAGCTATCGATGATGAGAATCGGCCAAGGAGAACCGCTGTTCTACTTTTTTGAAGACATCAAGGTCGGCCGTGCGTCGCCGCGCGCACCAACAAAAACTGGCAGCCGTGCGCATATCTGCAAGTGCAACAAGAAAGGGCGGAGGAGACAGCAAGCGTTCCAAGTGAAGAGTTTACCTTCGTGTTGACTCAAGCTAAGGACTCATGCCAGTCAGGGATCATACTAGTCACCTCTCATCATGGTCATGACTAAGGGATTCATTTGTGACAAGGAAACTCCCCACTCGCAGCGTGAAAGCTGCGAGGCCAAACAGAAAAGAGTGTGCCGAGTCGCGATCAGGAAACGCTGAGTTCTACTGACAACATTGGTTAGCTAGGCGCGGCAAATTCTTGTAGATGCCAGGACTCAAGTTCACCAGTACCCCACGGACATATCTTGGTCGACACCCACCAGCGGATTGAGAAAAATGACCAAGATTGCTTGGAGAAAGGACGTCTTCTCCGCGTGTCTTTCTCGACATCAAACAACAAGATTCGCTTCGGCACTGGCCCTTCGCTGTACAGAGTAGACCAGGAAGTCGTAAAATACCGGTATTTTACGACTAGACTGTACATCGCTGTACATCGATGAGCATGAACTCGGGTGCGTAGCCGCTATGACTGCACAAACTCTGGCTTTGGCGGCATTCAAAATGGTGGTCGACGCTTTTTGAATTTTGTATGGTCGTGGTGAGCCCTGAATGTATACGTAATCGAGGAATGACGTTAGTAGTACGGTTACGGTTATCGTTGTATGAACAAGAGTGTCATCCAATAGTATGCCACTCTGATCTCCGACCTGTGCCTGTGGGATCTGTGGCGGCGCACTGCCTTCATTCGCAACACACGTGACGAAACAGTCCGAAGTCTAGAACGCACTTGGACGGTGAAAACCATAGCAGATCCGCTGCACATACCCAGCAGTAGTCGCAGTGATGCCGAGACCATCATGGTCGGCGGCGGAGCTTGGTCTGTCCCGTCCACTCCACCATCTCCCTGGAGTTCGGTTAGGCCCTCATCAGACTACGTACATAGATAATCCAGTACAAAATCACATAAAACCTAAAAGGCAACATTTTTCCATGCCTGCATTCAGACTACACATTTTACATGCAATATACAGGCAACCTTTGACCCTACGAAATTCAGCAAGGGGCCTGGGATGTGTAAAAGCAGCGGACAGTCGTACCCGGGTACAAAGTTCGTACAACTGCCTGGTGAAAGTACGATAAATGCAGGAAAGTTGCCTTGTACAAGGGTTGGCACCCTGCCTGAAAGGATTGGGCAGCTTTTTAGGCTTCCCGCCAGATTCTTGTTGTTGTCCTGGAAACTTCTATGTAAATGTGACTTATAGGCTGTTTTGTACCTGGTCTGAAGAGGGCCTTAGCTGCGCTGTTATGCTGAAAGGACATCATTAGGGCCGATTTCCACTACGGTACCGTGAGTGCCGGGCCGACGATTTGGGTAGGTCACGTGTACCCCACGGTACGAGCTTGAAGCCGAGAGTGATTTACACCTGTGCACAGTCATTCCGTGCATTCCGTCGGCAGGCCGGATCACCATTTTTATCAATTTCTGACTTTGGTCCTGAGGGAAAATAGCGGGGGAGATGACTGGAGAAAGCTCAAGAATCAACCAATCGAAAAGCCAAAAGCCAAGAAAAAACTTCGTACCACAAATACAAAAGAAAGAAAAAACTTCCTTTCAGGGAGTAGTAAAATACCTACTACTCACTGCATTCGACCTCACGGAATACCACGGCATGCCATTTCCACCCCCCAGAGGCCCTCGGCACCGGAATGTCCACGGCGCGGTCCGACAGGAGCCACGGAATGAACTCGCGCCAAAACTGCCCCTCACGTGAGCAAATCACCATGGGTACTCACGGCACGGCACTCACGGACCGTCACGGTACCGTAGTGGAAATCGGCCCTTAGTCTCTTCAGAGTTCAGTGACTCTGCAGAGAGTGCATTTCGTGGAAAAAAGCAACAATCAATAATGACGCAATGAGTCAATGACCCAGCTGATTACCTAGTTCACAGCTGATTCCCTAGTTCACAGCTATATTATACTAATGTGGGCAGCGTGCCATGCCAGACCCCGTGTGCAGAGTTGCATCCTCTTGGGTTTATGGACTGTTGGTTATGACTTATGACTGGGGCTATGGACTGTTGGTTAGGGAGGTCATGCGACTACATGTACATCATTACGGTAAACCCTAGTTTAAGCGACCACCCCACGGTGCAAGCAAAAGCGGTCGTTAAAGCCAGGTGATCTTTAGAACCAGGTCCCACAGCGTCTGTGTAGAACTGTCGTTGCATGGAAAAACGGTCGTTAAGAGCAGGTGGTCACTAAACCCAGAGGTCGCCAAACCTAGAGGTCGCTAAACCCAGAGGTCGCTTACACCAGGTTTAACTGTAGTTACGTTACTTTGTATGGAGCAGCAAAACTGCAGTGCTGCAATGCAGTATAGATCAAGCCAAACTGACTCACGCTTTACTAAGTGCCCAGAAGCGAATTCGCTTACACCGACCACAATGACATCATTTCCACAACCTCTTTATGTACATTACTCCGCATGTTTGGAAAAAGCACAGCCAATGCATGAAAAAGAACACTCCCTCTACCCTGTACGAGTAGGTTGTGCATATACCCAAGAGCCCAAGAAGAAGCTGTAAGCTGTGCCCTTTCAGGCATTGAGCACTCTATGTGTAGATAGGACCACTTAACCCACTGCGCATAACCAAGAGTATGAGAAATTAAGTGCGTTTTCCTTTGAGACTCAGGGGGGTAGGAGGGGTTTTGGAAATTGTTTTGGAAGTGGTACGACCAAAGGTCAGTGCGGCCAAAGGCCGTGTTGGAGGGGGGTCGGGGGGGACCTCCCCCGGGAAAATTTTGTAAAAAAAGACACAAAATCCTGCGTTCTGGGAACTTCTGGCCCACTTCTGGCGCAGTGTGCGGTCGAGTCGAGTACAGTACTCAGTACGACTGCAGATGCACAACAGATCTACGAGTACGAGTCTAGAAAAAGTTCAAAGTCTGATGCGCATATGCATCGATGGATCTTGATTTTTTATTTATTTAATACGGTTTTGCACGTTCCGGACGGACCACCCTTTTCGAAAAGTGGTACGGCCATGGTCGTACCAGTCGTAGCGGGTGCTACGCCCCTGAGACTTCAGAAGGTTTGGTGTGTGATGTGTCGAGTACAGGTACTGCTGTTTACCTCCACGGTATTGCATATGGTATTGTGCACGGAAGTGTTGCCCCTTAGCCATAGGAAGGTTCTAATCCAGTCACCGTGAGTCATTTGATTACGCAATGAAGGCAGGGTGCCACGCACTGCACCTCTGCTGGGAGACCATGGTTATGTAAACTCTTCATATCGAGAGTCCATCACTCCAAGAGTGTGCTTCTGTCTGGACTTTCTCTATCCAGTGCTGCAACGGCAGTTACTTAATTTCACATCACATTACACAGTTCAATAGTGGCGAACAGTCCAAAGTAACCAGCAGCAGAGAGTTGTACCCAAAACAGTGCTGCATACAATCCTGTATCTACCCTGCACATGGTGCACATCATGTGTTTATTGGCTTGCCAACGCTCACATCATGTGTTTATTGGCTTGCCAACGCTCACATGATGTGAAGTTCTAGACCCCATACTGCCATAGATTGGAGTTGCACACTCGTTGGTGTCATCGTCTCATGATATCATTGGTAGTGATCACTGTTGAAGTCACCACTGCATGTACTATTTTCAATTCTAGATAAAACCATAAAAGGAAAGACAATGTGGTCTGAAAGGTTCACTAGGTGAGGAAATGGAAATGGAAATGGAAAAGTGTGGTATGAGAGTTTCATTTATTCTCAGAATACATTCGTTCCATGCAGACTTGACAGGTTGATCCAACTAACTTCCACTTTTGTACCACGGCATACTGGTAGCTGCTCGACTTGAACAAACAGTACAGGTGCCCTAAGTGTTCGCTTGATTTACCCCCCCCCCCCCCCCTGCCTCTGCCCCTGGGATATGGTCCTGTGCTGGTGATGTGAGAATTGCAGTACTGTTTGCTATTACTTCCTTCTCTCATGTGTTCCTAACATCTATGGAATGTGTGTGTACGTGTTTGTTTTCTTCTGTTTCAGGCCTTGTGACATGGTTCGTGCCATGCTACACGTTTGGCATGGTGGCCGAGAAGGTTGGTGAGAACTGTCTCATATGTGGCTTATCATTGATGGTGCCCATATTGCATCTCTACACAATGTCACTGATACGTGGCCGGGTCAGAGAGCAGCAGGACATCGAGGTAAGGGCTATGGGCTCAATACGATCATATCATGATATTCTCTTCAAGCAGCTCTCAGGCCGTGTTGCATGCATACTGCTGTTGTCTGTGCACTCTTGAAGTGTTCATGAAAGGCTGAACTGGATTAGTATCTGGCGTGCACGGTTGCGCTGCCACTCAGTGTATACCGCGGGCACCCACACCCAACACAACGATCTGGAGCTAAGAATTCACGTGCATTGTCAGTGCCACGGTTATTTCAGGCAGCTTTGCGCACAGTATCCGGTGTAGACAAGTATGTCCTGTGTAGACCAGCATGCAGGGGTGTCGGAACTTGGGCGGCAGGTGCGGCCAAAGCCGCACCAATAATTTCATCTTGTGATTTTTGAAGCACTATAATAATGGGCTATTTGGGCCCAATTTTCAAAAAGATCACGGGGATAGCCCCCGGACCCCCGCCTCGTGTATGGCCGCACCAATGTCCAATGCCTTCCGACGCCCCTGGTATGTCCTGTGTACGCCCGTGTGTGAATCTCACCACCACTGGTATGTCCTGTGTACGCCCGTGTGTGAATCTCACCACCACTGGTATGTCCTGTGTACGCCCGTGTGTGAATCTCACCACTACTGGTATGTCCTGTGTACGCCCGTGTGTGAATCTCACCACTACTGGTATGTCCTGTGTACGCCCGTGTGTGAATCTCACCACTACTGGTATGTCCTGTGTACGCCCGTGTGTGAATCTCACCACTACTGCACCTGCTTTTTGTACTTGTACAGGGTACGTTTGTTGAGGACTGTCTGTGGACCTGGTTTCTTCCACTGTGCGCAATTGCTCAGATGGCACAGGTACGTGATGAAGTATTGTGATACTGCACTGTCCCATTCTAAACAATATTTAGAGAATAATGATATTATTGCAACCAGGCAGGCTAAGTATATACCCTGAAGTCGGTATACGTCTGGGAAGGTGGGAGCATGCATGTGACATTGGTCACACAATGGGGCGAAGACGTTGAACTCCAGTCAACTTTTCGCCGCAATGGCCGTGCAACGTGTGTCCCGTATGAGAAGTGATATCCGAGGATATTGTATATATCAGGCTAAGCTATCATACACAAAGGGTTTGTTAGATGAGAAAAACTCAGGACCATAGATAATCAAGCCTGTTTAGTGAGCCCACACCACACCACACAGTGCCTTACCATGGCTGTGTGTGTGTGTGTGTGTGTGTGTGTGTGCGTGCGTGTGCGTGTGTGTGTGTGGGCGTGCGTGTGTGTGTGTGTGTGAGTGAGTGTGTAGGTGTGTGTGTGTGAGAGAGAGAGAGAGAGAGAGAGAGAGAGAGACTGCCGTTATCATTATTCATTGTATACTACTCTGGGTTGTAGTTATCATTCACTGATATGAATACGTGAATACTGAGCTCCAAGCAGGTATACAATCATGTGACTCAGTACTTGAGTTTTCCCAGCAAGAGTGTGGTTGAGTTGTGCTTTTGCAAGTCGTTGCACTTGTTCCTGTGTGAATGGCTATGTTGGAGTGTGCAAGTCTTTTCTCTGTTCATATTCTTGTTTGTTCACTTGTTTGTTCACTTGTTTGTTCACTTGCTTATGCTATTCATGTATTACAGGAAGTTGGCTTCATGTCACCAGGTGGAGACGGAATGGCACGCCAGTAATTTCACATCTCTGGTCTTGCGCAGATTTACTTATACCTTCAGTTTGGCTCAACTGATAAATATCTGCCCAGCGCATGTGTTTGGCTGGCAGCTATCGCTATTCACGGTATTGCTGTGCAAGTGGTTTACAACTTATTCACGTTTTGGCAAAGTCTTACCTTTACCATGCTCCTGCTGCTGAGACAGCTTTCTGACCCACCCTCAGTGATGCTGTTCTGTCTATTACACTAGCTAATCGTGCCACATGCTCTTTTTTCTATATGACAGTTTTGTACCAAGTGCTTTGTACATCACTGAGCCAGTGCCCCCCCCCCCCCCTCACCCAAACATCAATACAATCATGTAACTGTTTGCAAGGTGTATGATGTAACCTTGCCCAAATGTTACACTTGTAAGCGGAATTGGAAAGGTGTGCTGCTAGTCAAGCCTACCATGCATTCCGCGGAGAGTTAAAATGTTCAGCAGTCTACCCAATCATGCTAGAATAAGAAGGGCACCGCATGTTTTCTGGACGTGCGAGCGTGTGACAGGTAATATTCTTGATCAGATGCATGTACATTTACATGTATTGTACAAATGTACAGAAATCCAACCTCATATTCATATCACAAAGTAGCGCCGCGTTCGAGTGCACACTGCACAGAACAGTCAGTGTTTGTAATGCTAGGGCTGTGTAGCGCCCGGCGATACTTTTCATTCATGAGCTTCAACCGGATTTCTTTAGCCAGTACTGTAGTATCTGATCACTGTCATGACGTCACCTCATTGTGGCTTTTCCAACCAGAGCTTGTAGACAAGTACTGAAGTATGGTATATACAGAAGCCTTGCGAAGTAGTAGTACAATGTATGTTCACATTCCCAGCATCATCTGCGTCCACCGTAGGACAATGCAGATCCATGTCCAAGGCGCCTTACATGTACGTGGTCCATCTGCCCGCTCCAAGCTGCCTTGTTCCGGTGGCAGTTTCGGTGGTTTTGGTATCGATCTCTTCTTGTTGACGATTGGTCGGGCTGGCTCCAGCCCTGGGCCCGACGAAAAGGAGGAAGGATCGGCACATATACCAATGTATACATGGGCAGGCGAATCTACAATGGATTTGGTCCAACTCAGAAACAGACTGCCCTGAACACTTCGGCGGACGAGCACGCCGAGGACGAGAACCACGTTACACTTGCCCGTATTAGCGCTACGCTGAGACGACACCTGAGAGGCTGAGTCCTGATGAATGGCATGGTGAGGGAGTAGGACTCACCAGTCTTCTCTGCTAGCAACGCAGCTCTTGTATAGCTGATGTGCAGTTGCTCATACCACCCACCGATTGTACAGAGCAGTGCCGGGACAAACGAGGCATAGATCTACTCCACATCACGCACGCGCCGTTCGTAGATCTACGACTGACTAGTCCGTTAGTAGTCGACTGCTTCTTGGCTTTCTCGTGACCATGGTGACGGGTAGATCTACAGGCTACGGTATACGGACTCAGTACGGAGACGGAGCTCGGAGGAGGAGCGATTTGAGGGCGTAAATGGGTTGAAAACCCTTAAAGGGGAAGTTAAGGCAAAAAATAAAATTTCACCAGTTGTAGTCTTCGGGGTGCTGAATCGAATGGTCTTGGTCCGAGGAAGCTGAGACGCTCCCTTCCTACTTGAATCCCAATCGAACTCGCGCACTTCCACCGAAACTGGGTGACTGCGCCCTACGAGATGGGGATTTGTATGCAAAATGTCACTAAAAGCGCCATTTCGTTCTTATAAAAGCACGGATGACCGCGATTGGCCCATATGTTGTAGTCTTTTGGACGCTGAGTCGACTGGTTTTGGTCCGAAAAGGCTGCGATGCAGCGTTCCTCCTTTATTCCCAATCGAACATGGTTGAACAAGTGGTCACGTGCTCCTGGGTGCCCAAATCACCTGGTCACCACGCCAGCAGGTGACAACTTTCACACCAAGGTTCAACTCGAGTTCAACTCGAGTGACAGGACTGCACCCAAAAAAGGTCAAACAGGCTAGTAAGTTGTACCCTGCGAGGCACGGTGACCAGGTGACTGGCGTACGCAGGAGCACGTGACCGCTTGTTCAACCATGTTCGATTGGGAATAAAGGCGGAACGCTGCATCGCAGCCTTTTCGGACCAAAACCAGTCGACTCAGCGTCCAAAAGACTACAACATATGGGCCAATCGCGGTCATCCGTGCTTTTATAAGAACGAAATGGCGCTTTTAGTGACATTTTGCATACAAATCCCCATCTCGTAGGGCGCAGTCACCCAGTTTCGGTGGAAGTGCGCGAGTTCGATTGGGATTCAAGTAGGAAGGGAGCGTCTCAGCTTCCTCGGACCACGACCATTCGACTCAGCACCCCGAAGACTACAACTGGTGAAATTTTAATTTTTGCCTTAACTTCCCCTTAATTTAACCCTTACATCAATAATAATTATACAAGTACATGCATTCAAATCGTCCTCCCCATGCAACATCGGCAAGCGAATGGCAGTGCGATGAGAGAGCTGCTCACCCGAAAGAGGCTCGAGGTGCGGCTCAGCAGGGACATTGTTAGCCACTCTCTTCAGGAAGCCAGGTCACGTCCCGTGTCGGATGCTGGGATACCCACTACAGTAGTCGGGAAACTCAAGGCACTGGCTCCCACAAGAGCAGGTAGACGGCAGGTGCGGTAATCTCCAGTTGTAACGGAGGTGCTACTGCAAACCATCCCGAAACTCCGCCTTCGCCGGAGCAAAGCCATGGCGTTTCAGGGGTAGGCAGGTCACCTGACTGTGCTGAGGCGCCCTTCTCAACTGCAACTTCAAATATGCGTTACTGATCTGCACTCGTGACTTTCCCCATCTACACTGTGATGTTGTCGTGAGTTGGTACATGGTGCAAGTCGTCGCCAGGCTGCAGGCAGGGGGACACACGTATTTCTTTGCCGATTTGTCCACTTGCTTCTTCCGGCCCTGGTCAGTCCTGATACATTGCCTTCAGTTTAGTGGTGTGACATCGTAGCAATGTACTTCTTTGGCAATGGTGAGAAGCTGTGTACATGATGCTATTTCAACTGTTCCAAGCACCGGTACGCGGTGTCGATGCCCTGAGCTGGCTGAAGGCTGAACAGCGCTCTTGTGGGAAGTGTGATGAACAAGTCAACTCTCGTCTTGTCAGCATTTCCTCTATGATCTACTGAACTACATTATACTAGTACAATATTATTATTGTAGAAGCCGATTTTGAATGCCAGTGTAAGTACTTGTGAGTCAGTACTTGCAGAGCGTGATGGACTTACAAGAGGCAAGACGGAATCTCTTCATGGACAACAGCCAACAACTACTTACTTCTCATCCACAGTGACAGGAATCCTGTCTGGCATGTGCGATACTCACAGAGTGAGTCTGAGTCACACTCAGTCACACTCACACTAAACTCAGCAGCTGAGGTGGTCTCTCTCGATGATCTCCACGACTCCAGATCTCCACTCTCCAGGGCCCCGTACTGTTGTCGTTGGCGCTGTGCCCCTGCCCCCCTGGCCTGACCCGCTGGACCAGAGCCAGTTGCAGATAAGAAGCTGAACATGGCTGTAATGATTTGCTGGGTTTGTTGTAAACTGCTTACTTACAACACGGGTAAGTCCCGTGAACACCGGTACATGTACGTACCTTGATTACAGAATCACCGCCTAGCGCCTGTACTACTGACGAAAACTAACTTACTTGGAAAGGATTCGACCTGGCCTTGCTGCCAGTTTAGACAGCTAGCTGGGGAGTCTGAGCGCACGTTTTCTCACCGGCTTGGTATGGCAGTTGGCACAGGAACAGAAACACACTGAGTCTGTCAGTGCTAGTACAATGGCAATGACGTACTAGACTCAGTGCTAAGTCCGCGACACTACTAATACTAGTAATACTAATAGTACTATACCTGATGACAGGCTGGCTCTAGACTACAGGCTGACAGCCTTTTTGACAGGCCACACTGAGAATAAACTGATACAGTAGTAAGATACAGTAAACATGGTAAAACTAAGAGAGTACACAACTGATGTACATAACAATGGTGTCAGCTGATAGAGTGGTGTCCGGTGATGGTCACAGGGGTGTGACGAGGGTGTGCGGCTGCAGGAGGTACTATAACCAGGTACAGTAGAACTCAGTCTTGAACATGATTGGGATTGGGGAATTAATTTTTGGGTTGTCCGTTTGCTTTGTACAGCCTCTAGCTTTGGTTCTTGCTTCAAGGTTTCACTAGTGAATAAAAGGCCCGTTCTCAAAGGACGTATACGATCATTGATGCAATGATGCAATGATCGATGCATGATCGATGCTCGAGTAGAAAGTAACTTTAGTTAGTTACTAGAAAGTAGAAACCTATTCCCAGAACACCCGCAGTGCATCCCGGAGACGGAAAGAGCGGTACATGCAACTAGCACCCTAGCCACTTCAATCGTGTAGCGACAAGAAATCAGCTAGTTACCCGCGCTTTGAGATATCCACACGTGCCAACTAGTAGTATAAGTGCCGGAGTGCGGACTGCTGCCAAGTGACATTCTCCAAACCTCCCATCCCGCGCGACTCTCAAAGTCTCATCCGTCCCAGGCCCAGCAAGTCGCAAGATAAGAAGTGACGGCTGTGCATCCTGCACGTTTACCTCCTTTACTCGCCAAGTTCAAGCATCGAAGCTCTCCCCTGCTCAGTGTTATCCTGTCGAGTTTGGAGGTGTCTTGAGTTATTGGTAGCTGTGTTCCAGGGCGGTTGTGAATACACTCTAGCAACTAATACTTGCAGCACGCGGCGGTTGAGATCGCAAGTATCACACTCACACAGTCACAGTGCACCTTGCATTGCTTTGACGGCCCACTGCTCCTATCCGCTTTCAATCTAGCCTTGACATGGAGCTTGAAGCGATGGAGAAGATGTTGCCTCAAGTACAACGAATCAACTTTGTGGACGACGGCCACCCGGATTGTCCAGAGGACATGATGCTAGAGCTGCAGCGGGTCGGTGCGAAAAGCCAGTTGATAGTTCCGCTGAATTTGATGGCAGACAATAACTATGAAAAGCTAGACATGTGCACCAACGTGACCGCACTCAGTTTCGCGCACAACTGGCTGTGCCCACACAAGCAGAGTCCCATAGGTCAGACAACCGGACTAAGGCCTGATTTCGGCCAAGGTGCACTAGGTCGACTGGCCCCGAACCTGCGCGCAATCTACCTGTCCAAGTGTGGCTTGTGTGAGAGGTGTGTGCCAATGATGAACTTGAGCTCTCTGACGAACCTAGAATATCTGAATCTGGCCAACAACGACCTGCACGAGATTCCTGTGGATGTGACCCAGCTGAAGGAGCTGAGAACGCTGCAGGTGGGAGCTAACAGCTATCTCTCTCCTACAATGACCGAAGAGAAGTTGAAGCAGCTTTCTGAATTGCCCGTCATGAGCAATCTGGAGGTGAGTTCAGATCTTGTCATGATTTTATGTGTATAGTACAGACCCTTCTGTTATTACATGTATTGCCAACTACATGTATTAGTATTCAGTGGAAATGTTTCAGGAAGAGTGTTATTTGTGCCTGAGAAACACATCACACATTTTAAAACTTACTTTTAAATTCCTGTTCTGAAACGCCTTCTCAAACACATCTCCAGTGCGCAAACCAATCTTCCAACTTGGAAGGTTCGTGGTTCGTGGACTACAACCTATTTGTATCTGGACCTGTTAACGTCCATCCAGGCAATATCGCAAATACTGAATTGGTGTTTTTGAGTCGATAATTGCTTTTTTTAGTTCATCATTGCTTTCTGGAGTTGATTATAAGTTGAGTCCAGGCAATATCGCCCTTCAATACTGAACTGGCCATTTCGAGTTGATCATGATTTGAGTCTTTGACAAGTCGAGTGTCCATCTTTTGGGTTTGAGTGTAAATGAGTCGACCTGTATTGAGCGTGCGCGCTGACGGGGTGGTCTGTTTTGGGGATGTCCAGTTATGGGGATGGGGCTTTTGGGGGGCGCTGAAGTCAACGGCGCTGTTTTGGGTCGCGCTCATGTGGGGGCATACCGAAGGCACACACATGCAGTGAGTCAGTGACATACACTGATACAAGTACAAGTACCAATACTGCAATGTGCTAGTATGCAGGTAGAGTCTAGAGAGTTCAGCGGGGCACCTCTTCAAAATCACCTTCGATGGACGATGGTCCGCGCACAGTGTCATGCCCATGTCCTGATGCTTCATTGAGCCGGGCTGCCATTGTACCATAGTAAGCGGGTTACATTTTTCCTTTTCTGGTTTTCTGGGTTTGCCATTGTACCATAGTAAGCGGCCTCCACAGGACCTAAATTACCTGGGTTGGACCTACAATGATCAGGGTTCTAGCCAAAGGGGTGGGGGGGGGGGGGGGCGCAGCGCCCCCTACTCTGTTTGCGCGCCTCCTGTGAAAAGTGCCGCCCCTACTCATTTTCAGATTTTGTTGTGTTTTTTCATGCCACTCAACGAAAATGCAGTCAATTGTCAGTACTAGGGGGTTCATAAAGGCACATTTGTCTGGGGTGAAGTCAGGTATTCGCCCCATACGTTGAATGTCGCATTGCAAGACAGTTATTTTGAAAATCGAAAAAATGGGTTATGGGGTACTAGTAACTGGTTTCCCTGCCCCCCCCCCCCCCTACTATTTTGATCTGGCTAGAACCCTGCTACATGTAATGTACCATGTAGATCAATGCAAGCTACATCCATCCGATGACTGTTAGCTTCTGTTGGTGCTGGGTGAAAACTGACACGTTATTCCACATAATTATATAATTTTTAACTGGCACCATAATACTATTATGACATAATGGAATATAATTATGATCATGTGATTTCAGACGTTCGACGCAAGCTTCTGCGATTTTCTTCACCTAAAGAAAGACAGTGTGCTCTTCAAGATCATGCCGAATGTGACCAACATTGGGCTGGGTCACACCTCCATGAGCACCGTGCCCTCGGCCTTGGACGAGATTGTAGAGCAAAAACCGTTGAAGCTCTCCTTGCCAAACAACCACCTGACAAACCTGACACCGACCATTGCTAAGCGACAACATGCTCCGCAGTACAACATCGATGTCAATGACAACCGCTTTGGTGAGTGTTGATGTCCATTGCAAACTGAAGGATCCCCCATGAGTGGGTGTTCTTGAAACCAGGTATGCCGGTAGTGACCGTAGTTTCCCGGTATAATACCGGGAAAACCGGTATGGTTGACAAGGATCCTGGTTCATACTCAGCACCTCTATCTTGTTTGTACAGTGCCATCATGCGGCCAATTAGGCTACCAGGGAGGACATGTGTGTGTGCCCCCCTCCTCCCCCCCCCCCCCCCCCACTCACACCACACCTGGTCATGTTGTAATCATACGTGACTAGCTGCATTGCTGCTTATTTAGAATACTGTTGTGTTGATGAGCACACATGTCAATGATCAGTCTGACTTTGCCTATGCATTACCATTGTAGCAATCAGGATAGTCAGGATAGTCAGGATAATCAGGATAATCAGGATAATCAGGCCCGGCTATATTTCTCTGTGATGCTGCTGCTGCTGCCACTGCTACCGCACTCATGAGCTCAAGTACAAAGGACCAGACACTGTGCTGTCCACAAATTTAGGTCAATGCTGGTATCCATGGCCCTCTTCTTGGTCACCACCACCTACAGTACAGTATGCCCTGGCAGTACAGTCAGGTACTGTAGTCCTGTAGTCCTCAGTATACCACTGAAGGATTGTCTACTGTGCCCTCTTTCTCCTGTTCGGCATGGATTATGTAGATGTCGTGCAGCCTGACAACAGTGACGGTACGGAAACTGGGCACGGTGTATCTGGTGGCCCCTCACCGCGTATTACACTGCATGATGAGGTGGATGATGAGGTGGATGATCAGCTGGACCGTGATCAGCTGGACCGTGATCAGCTGGACCGTGATCAGCTGGACCGTGATGGTGAGTGGCATTGACCTACATGTATACCAATATCCCAGTGGAGTTTTTTTCATGACATGTGACCATTTGTGGATTAGTGGTAGCGACTTCGACGATACAATACTCATAAGAAGGTTGATTGCTCGCAACACTTGAGCTTGCGCTTTTCCCGCCGACATGACTTTTCTCCCGTGTCACTCGCCCATAAGGTCTTTTTCGTAAACAAAACACATGCATAGCGCATGCATGCACAATAATAATTATACATGTGACATTAGTGATGGGGTGTGACTGCAAACTTGCGCAAAGTTGTGATGCATAGTATGATACCTGGCAACGTTTTGCAAACCTGAGATCGGGACAATGACATACCTAGGTATGTATACAAATATACCTGTGAGGCAACACGTGGAGTTGCTTCACAAAGTCATGCATGCCAGTTCAACTTTATGATACTTTTTTCCACTTCTGTGACGGGTTGTGTTTAGATGGAGTTTACCATGGTGGAGATGAGGCTGGCCTATTAGATGATTGGCCGTCATCACTGCTCATTCACCCAGGACAAGGTGAGGTCACAGGCCAATACCATGTCCATGAAGCAGCTGCCAGTGACGACGAGCAGCTGCAGCTGCAGCAGCAACGGCTGATGCTGGCCATGATGATACGCAATGTGTGGACACTGATGTCGAGAAGGGTGCAGGGCGGTGATGTTGAACAAGCAGTCGGTACGGATATCTACTCAAGAGTACATCGCAGCCAGGAGCATGGCGCTGACGAGCTACACGTACCCACAGGTAAATATGTTATCATATACTAGTACACATCAATATATTTGTAGCACAGGCGTAAGCAATCCAACAAGGCTGTGAAACTATTATTATCTCCCCACTCCTACATGTATCTCTGGATCAGCGCTTTGGCCGAGTGGTTGTGGGCTTGCCTGCGAAGGTCCCGAGTTCGAGACCCGAACTCGCTAGACATAGCCCGATTTTGCTAGCAACTCTGATAGCAAAATATCGAAGAATTTGACAAGAGAATTTGCTGGCAAAACGGAGCAAAATATCGGTATGTTCACTGGAAACTGGGGAGACTTTACACTTAAACGGTGCACATGACTCATTCTCGACTCATTCTCGCATATTTTTTCGAACATGTGACTTACCTTTTCTCAGTTTTGCCAACACATGACCCACTTTCGGTCAGTTTTCCCACACGTGACACAAATTTGGCCTTATTGAGTCATATTGCTATTGGAGCAAAAAGGAGTAAAATATCGAGCGGCCTGGCAAAATGAAAGCAAAATGAAAACATTGACGAGCCAGCAAAATATCGAAGCCTCACTGGCAAAATCGGGCTTTACCTAGAGTTGGCAGCAGGGAGTGTGTACTATGCTAACAAATGCGGTGATGCATGAGTGAACCACTTTACATGCAATGAACTGCGCCGACGCCCACGGTCAACTGGGTACTCACTACTTGGAGCAAGGGTAACATGGATGCAGCTGACAAGGTTCGCCCCTTTGTCGGGAATTGGTTGTGAGACTCACCACCTCGCCTTTGTCGTTTCTCAACGCAACTGTACAGCCGGTTGTAACGCGGACGTACAGACTATACTTTACTCCTATCTCTCGGGGGGGGACCATTGCTATCACAAAATGGCAGTGGCTTGCTTGTACCTTTTCTACATGAATTATTCGCGCTGTCATTTTGCATCACCTGTGCAGGTGATGACCACAACGGTAATAGTGGCACAGCCAATCATACTGCCAGCCACACTGCAGACCACCCAGACGATCTGAATCATCATGATCACCATGACAACCCTGAGCAAAATGAATCCAGCCATGACGATACTGATTTCGCTGATAACCAGAGGCAGAGTCGAGCACCAGCTACCGTTTCGTTACTGGGAGAAATTATTCACTTCCTGACTGCTATTTGCAAGTCACTTGCTGACCAAGAACATGGTGGTGGTAAGTACTTCCAAGATTATGATAACCCCCCCCCCTCTCTCTCTCCTTTTATACCAGAAATACTGTGTGTTTTTAAAATGATTTGAGTGGCACTTTTAAAAGCAATGACAATGACTGATTGTCATGTTCTGTGCGATATCCTTCCCCCGTGCAGAATCAGCGGCAGCAGACAGCAGTCCTACAATAGGACTGCTGGCAAACAATCCTCACGGGCGATTTCTCGATCCCGGTGGATAGACGACATCTACTACATTCGTACAGTAGGGATAGGATGTGCCGGCATAGTTGGAGGGATTGAACTCTGACAAGGATATGATACAATGCATACACACAATTAGTCATACTCTCCATAGTGATATACATGTAATAGTAACAATGTCCAACTCTGTATCTTGTTACTTCAAGTACATAGTAGCAATCTCACAAATCTGTTAGACATTAGACTAATACTGCTATTCTCCAAAGTAGCTGCTACGCTGTACTTGTTCATGCTTTCAAGTAGGATAGTTGTCTAGTGTTTTCTGCCATGTTTTGTCTAAGAACTGTCTATGTTTCTGCTATGCCCTGCCCCCCCCCCCCCTTCTCCCTCCTCTCCTCTCTCTCTCACACACACCCGCCCGCACGCCCGCACGCACGCACCCACATACACACACACACACACACACACACACACACACACACACACACACACACACACACACACGCATGCACGCACAAGGTACACATTCAACGGGAATATTTTAGCGATGTTTTCTAAATCTTGTAGTTATAAGGATTCCAATGGATGGACAGCACTTTCAGCCTAAAATATCGGATAGCCTAAGGCAAGGCAATACATTGTCATAGTACTGTAGAGCATCAAGATTGCTTGCTAACAGATTAAATTTATTATATGCATAAACAGCAGTAACACAGTGGTATCTTCTTGCTATGTACATTAACTTAATATTGCAGCAGATTCCTTTCTAAATACAGTATGACACATGATCGGACACAGTCTTGTGTCTCGTGGCAAATAAAGAATCAGAATTTCACACTGTGATTATGTACATGTGCATGAGGTTGCTAGTACTAGGCACACACCTTCTACAGAGAGCTGACATGCTAGTCAGCAGTGCTGCCGCCGCCACTACCGTGCCTGCATGCTTTACTAGCCTTTAGTCACAGTTTAGTGTACTGTCAGAATGCACACCGCTATACACGGCTAGGTACAGAGGAGACAGCATGGATGTGACACAGCAACTACAGGATCACAGCATGGGCTAGCGTGCCGTCTGTACATCATTGGCACTGTATATACAATCATGTTGACTGTTCACCCATTCAGTGGGGCTTACCAAGCCTTCACGGCATTTATCTACATAAGCATACTATCAAGCAGACCAAGGAGAACTGCAATACTTCAACTTACAATTCCCCAAATCTTGGTGAAGTTACAACGATAGAAGATTACTTGACCGAACCAACCAGACCAGATGAATATCGGTAATATTGGTTATTTGAGCACGCGTTTAGCTGCTGGCTCAATGGACTGTCGCAACTCACTCTGCGATGACACGCTGAACCCCTTGACCTGCCATACAAGACAACATCGCACAAACAGAGGAAAGTGGTTAAAATGAGCTGGGTGCACGCATGCATACTACTAATACTTCTAAAGCATAATAGCATGTCTATCCCCAAAGCCTACACACACAGCGTCATGTAGAAGACAGTAGAACACAGCACAGTAGACAACAAACCTTGGGTGATATGAGCGCAAGCTTGAGGCGCTGGTGCTGAAGATCATCATCATCCAAGCTGACACGCACTATCAGTGAGTCAAATATCGTGAACGATACATCACCGGCATCAGCTGACGGTACCTAGAAGAATAGAGGACAGAATAAGAATTGAAGAGAGAGAGAGAGAGAGAGAGAGAGAGAGAGAGAGAGAGAGAGAGAGAGAGAGAGAGAGAGAGAGAGAGAGAGAGAGATAAGAGATTTGTGATGGAATAAGGTGTAGCGAGTAACAATGACAAAGTGAGTGTAGCTGAAAGGAGTGTGTGAGGTAGACGATGCATTGATGCGGACAGTGAATGTGGTACTACGCACTGCGTCTAACTTATAACAGGTCAACAAGTCATCAATGTCTTCGGAGCAGTGAACACCACCGGTGCTTACATTTGCCGAGTAGGTGAATATGGAGCTGTCCAAGCGCAACGGAGCTTCGAGTCCGTACTTGGGTATCAGGATTTGCAAGGCATTCTTTCGAACTGCCAAAACATAACCCTCTTCTTCAGTCACACGGTTCTTGAAAAAGAGCTGGAGGAAACAAAATAAAAAACAGAAAATGTCAATATTATTGGCAGGTGCACCTCATCTAGTTTCTTCATATCGTTCCGGGGCATTGATTTTAACATCCCATTCGCGACTTTTACAAAGGCATATACTTCGGAAGCAGACATAGCAGCAGCAGCAGCAGCACACACATACACATACACACACACACACGCACACACACACGCACGCACACGCACGCACACACACACGCACGCATGCACGCCCTTGACCTTGATAACCGCTACCACCAAGAGAGTGGTTTGGCCCACGGGGCTTTCTTGTTGACGTTGACTTTTCTGGAGACCATGAGTCCTACTCTATAAGGTATGTACTGCGAGACTGCGGTCGCGTGAACTCAGCAGGGTTTCAATAAACTTGCACTGGGAGTATAGTAAAAAGCCACAGCAGCGGGAGAACAAGTTAAACAATTCGTTCTGAAAGTGGCAGAAACACAAACTCGCGATGAAGGTCCGCACCCATTGCATGCTTTGCACAACATGCCTCCTGGTTTCTGAAAAAAAGGTGACTTCGACAAAATATTCCACCCTGGACCAGACCAGCTGCGGAGTTGCACATTCTTGTTTATGTACTGTTGCTGCTACCTCAAAGAGGCAAAGCAGAGCACACAGATATGGTCAAAAGAAAACAAGATCACCATCAGCCAGCAGCCAGCTAATTTGGAATCATGGTTGCACCAAACACCGAAGTGGCTGGGAAACCAATCATACGGTAATTCCAAGCTATTCCATCATTTGGTGATCCGGTCACAAGTAAGAACAGAAAAATCACATCGCAGCCACCCAATCTAGACTCGAACCGGCAACACTCTGTTTGGGAACGCTTCACCAAACCGCTGCACCATCGATGTACGGTAACACATACACCCACACATACTACACATACACCCACACAGAGCTACACACACACCCACACAGAGCTACACATACACCCACACAGAGCTACACATAGGCTGTGTTTACATGAGAAATTTCAACCCGGGTCGAGTTCAGCCCGGGTTGAACGTCTGTACGATAGACAAAAGAGGTGAGCGTTTACATGAAGTCAGTTGACCCGGGTCAAATACTGATATGCCGCCAAAAGTCCACTTCTACAGTCCTGTATGGTCACGTGAATCCGTTCGCGCGAAATTTGCATCTGCAGTGCCGTTCAAACCTGGCGCGAGATACGCACAGAAGTACGTTTGTACGATTTTCTTGACCCGGGTTGATTTCAACCCTCCCCTTAGGGGAGGGTTGAAATCAACCCGGGGCGAAATTTCAACCCGGGTCAAGCGCAATGCGTCATGTAAACGCGCAATTCATTTTATGCACATGGCAGGTTGAAATCTGACCCGGGTCGAACTCAACCCGGGTTGAAACGCCTCATGTAAACACCGCCATACACCCACACAGAGCTACACATACACCCACACAGAGCTACACATACACCCACACAGAGCTACATGTGTGCAATGATGGTACTCGTAACTCACCTGTGTGTGAAGTCCAACGGATGCTCTGCCTGCATACTGTGCCATTCGGTGACGGTAGTTCAGTTGATTGCACACTTTCTGCAAGAAAATAACAAAACAAACAGACAAACAGCAATTCACCATTGGACAATTCCACAGACTTCACAACGAATACCGCAGCTCCTCCTAGACAATACTTTGAAGCAGCAAGGAAGAGACAAAAGCAATGCTGAAGAGGAAAGCGCATGTAATAATTGTGCCAAACATCCATACAGTACAATCAACAATTATATACATTTTTAAATCGCAGAAGTTGACAGTAGCCTAGAGTCTAGCCAGGCCCACGGTCAGTATCTGCATGCATAGCACTGGATACATGAACAGTCAGTATCTGCATGCATAGCACTGGATACATGAACAGTCAGTATCTGCATGCATAGCACTGGATACATGAACGGTCAGTATCTGCATGCATAGCACTGGATACATGAACAGTCAGTATCTGCATGCATAGCACTGGATACATGAACGGTCAGTATCTGCATGCATAGCACTGGATACATGAACAGTCAGTATCTGCATGCATAGCACTGGATACATGAACGGTCAGTATCTGCATGCATAGCACTGGATACATGAACGGTCAGTATCTGCATGCATAGCACTGGATACATGGACGGTCAGTACCTGCATGCATAGCACTGGATACATGAACAGTCAGTATCTGCATGCATAGCACTGGATACATGAACAGTCAGTACCTGCATGCATAGCACTGGATACATGAACAGTCAGTATCTGCATGCATAGCACTGGATACATGAACAGTCAGTATGCTCAAACAGAGAGACCCCATCAAGACCGAATGCTACTACAGTACGTACTCCAGTTCTGGCCAAAGAAATGCGTCCACACGAATAATGCAACGAGGAGTATGGTGTGTGGTGCTATAATTGTAGGGCCCTGTAGGGGAGTCGTAGCGGCCTGCGCTATTATATTCACGAGGTTGGATTTCTCTGTCCAGAACTGTAGTACTTAGAATATACAGGTGGGCAGACATGACACTAACTTTACACAATGACATCATTAGACCTAAGAGCATGCTACCAGAGTCCTGGTAAGATGAAGTAAAAAAAAGGTCAATTGGATGGCATCTGAATTCACGGGACCCCAATACACAGTGAACACTACAATACACACAGCAGTTCTCACCTCGACTTTGTGCTTGTCCAGCAGATCGGCGAACGTGTTGTCAGCGCCAATTGACACTGCCAGCAGTCGGTGAACCATCAAATCGGAATATCTACAATCATGTCATGCAGAAGCAAATCACAGCATAAGCATGAAGCAGACACAAAAATAGAATGCAGGTCCATAGTGAGCTCCTAGAAACCAGTGTCCAATGCGGGAGGGGAGGGGGAGGGTATAGCAAGCCCCTGACGGCTTAGGCCCGATAATGGGAGTATTGAAACTAACTGACGGGACTATTCACAGTAACATTTGCCAAGCCTCTTTCCCTCCCCAATCTTGTATGGGCTAAGTATGGCCGGACCGGCCGGTAAGGCCCTGGTAGTCACTCAGTGAAGCGTACTACAACTCCATGAACACCACTACCCTCCTCCCCTCTGGACACTACTGCCTCCCTCTTCCAGAACATTACTGCCCCTCTCCCATGAACACCCCCCTGAATACTACTATTCGCCACAACTGAGAGTTAAATGCACTCAAGAAGAATAGATGAGGAGAGTTGTACTTGGTCTGACTTATTAAAATGTGCGCTTCACTTCAAAACTCAAGCATATGTACAAAGGAGCACCTGTACTAAAAAATCAACCAAGAGACGGTAGATAGATAACTACTGTGTCGTTTCTTGGCCTGACCTTCTAGTTTTCATCGCTGCTGGTGTCTCAGGGCGCATCTGCAAGTGCGTCAACCTGCAAAACGTCGACATTTTTTTCATCTCCTCCTAGCTACACGGCGCTTCTTTGATTTTTTCACTCCATTGGCACGATTTAGACGATCGACTTCGCCTCCTCCTCGTGCAGTACGACTACCAGAATGGTGGCTGTAGGTGTTTTCGCCTGAAGCTCCCACGACACCTTCAAATGAGGCGAACAAGTAAACCACCACGCATAAAAAATCACTTCCGACCACTGTGTACCGCGCGCGTAGGTCTACGTCTGATCTGTGTCGACATGTCATGCAGTCAGACCATGCGTGCTCTTTCCTGCCTGTTTCACGAATCCACTGGCCCCGAACTGGCGATCTTGTGACGCATCGCGATCGCGGCTCCGAGCACTCCACACCGTATCCGCCGGATAATTCACCCTTTCTGCGCATCAGTTTTCCAGCCAGGTTGTCGCCTGAAAGTCGACCTCAATGGCGGTTATTTATTTCGATCAACTTCTCGACGATCACTTCTGTAATCTTGATTCGTCGGCCGCCACATCGTGAACGACAGCGAGAGAGATCAGCAAACTGGACGGAGCGATGCTGGTGCTTTCTGCACGAGTTTCTGGGTGACGCGTTTGCTGAAATTCTGCCAAGGAAACAGCGATTGCAGCGATTTCAATCCGCCAGGAGGCACTCGAGAACGATCGCCCAGGAGGTTCTGGTACTCCGTGACAATCCCCCATCGCAGCGGGGTGTTGATTTCAGCATCAGGCCTTCTCTGTGTTGCGCCAGAAGCAACAGGAGTCCCTCTGACGACAAAATTTGGACGCAAAATTCTCGAGTCGACTAGGATCCCGAGCCGCTGCCTCCGTTGGAGTTGGAGCGATTTCTTCTTCAACATCACAAATTGACAACTGAAGGATAGTGTTAGGTAGCTGTAAAGTTTATTCCGTCCTGAGATTATTTGAATTTGTTTGGTTGACGTTCGAAGCGAAACGCACATTTTAATAAGTCGGACCAAGTAACTACAATTGACCCATTGCGCAATGACGTAAAAACACCCTTCACAGCCAAATATGGAATGCATGAGTAATGCTTGTGAGTATGCTGGGATCAGGAGTGCACTGTTCAACACCCCAGACGACCCCCCCCCCCCTCAGGTGGCTGTGAAGGGTGTTTATGGTGCAAATTACGTCATTGCGCAATGGGTCCATTGTAGCGTGTGTTCTACTCACCGTCGAATAGGTGAGGTGAAGTGAGTGTAGATGTCAGCAGCAAGACCATAATGATGATACTCATCCCTGGCTAGGGAACCAGAGCAGAAGTACAAAGCTTGCATCATACAGCGTGTTGCTAGAATCCTCAACATCGTGTTGAAGAACGGCTGGTCGGGTATCACAGCAGATTCAAGAGAATCGGCGAGAGCCTTGTTCGTGTCGACAGCTAAAGTAATTCCCTGTGTGTCAGTCAAAGAACCCATGCACACACGTATGTACACGCGTGCGCGCGCACACACACACACATGCACACGTGCACACATGCGCGCGCACACACACACACACACACACACACACACACACACACACACACACACACACACACACACACACATACATACACACACACGCACACACACACACACACACACACACACACACACACACACACACACACACAGGACAAGAAGCAGATTGTCAACAACACGCAGCCGGGATAGCACTGTGAACAATCAACATGGGTACACAACTTGAGATATCTGTTCTGTAAAACAATTGCAGAATGACTCAGACCACGCAGTGGAGAATGTGATCTCCCATGGAGGAACAGTGATGTTGGCCCTAAACCCCCACTATTTATACTAATACAAGGCCGTGAGCCAGACTGTGAACCAGACAATGAAGAGCAGGACATAAGATTGCTGTGCAGCATGAGATTGCTGGTTAGGTGTACCTTCGAGAGTGCTGCCTTCACAAGTGGTTCATAGTTTGATGTAGGTGGTGATGGATGGCGACGGAGGACAGCCACTTGCGGGAAATGATCATGGATATGCCGGGCCACCGAGATGTTGGCTAACAACATGAATTCTTCAACCATACTGTTCGTCTCCCTGTTCAGAAAACACACACACACACACACACACACACACCATGCCAGTAGGATCACTCTTATTTGGAAAGTATTTCTAAAAAGAATTTGAACTTGCCTACACTTGACGAGGAAGAGAGGTAGAGGCGCACCATAAACACTCTCTACTGTCTAGTGATTGAATTAGCCATCCAGTGCACGGTGAGCAGACTACACACGCTATACTACACACTAGCACTATACTACACACTAGCGCTACATTTCACATGCTACACTACATACTACATTTATAGCGCTACATTTCACATGCTACACTACACACTAGCGCTACATTTCACATGCTACACTACACACTGGCGCTACATTTCACATGCTTTGAAGTGGCAGTGGTACAGGGTAGGGTAGAAGGCACAACAGCACACAGTGTCCCTGCACCGCATTGATCAGAATACGATCATGTACACGGCAGGGGGAATGGAGAGGTGAAAACCAACACTGCACAATCTACACATGTACACAGGTACACTGGCACATTGACACACCGGTACATGACAGGTATCCAGGTATCCAGGTATACAGGTATCCAGCTATCGAGCTATATATCTATCCAGCTATCCAGCTATATATGTAACAGCTATCCAGCTAAACATGTAACAGCTATCCAGCTATACATGTAACAGCTATCCAGCTATCCAGCTACACAGGTATACAGCTATCCAGCTATCCAGCTATACAGGTATACAGGTATCCTGGCTGACTTACAGTGATTGCTTGGTTTTGACACTGATCGGATCGTGTGTTTCATTGTCCAGACTGAAGTTGACTTCGGGAGAAGCTAGCGTTAAAGCACTACCAGGAAAGAACAGACAAACAGACAAACAGGATAGGTATAGATTATAGACCGGTTAGGAGGTCTATGCAGGATATATAGACTGAGTAAAAGACCTCGGGGGACCTCGGTCTTTTACTCAGTCTATATATCCTGTATAGACCAACTATGAGGTCTATAATCTATTTATCGTGTTCTCCACGCAATAGTTTCTCTTCATATACGACATATCCTTGTAATTTTAGTATTATACTATAGCCTATACCGCATTGTACGGCATTGCAGGATCAAGGTCATTGTTTAAACTAGGTTCAGCATCGGTAGCACAGTGGCTGGGTGGTAAGGAAGAGTGACTGAGATTCACATGGTTGTGGGTTGAAATCCCATCTCGTGTATTTCTGCTTTCTTAAAAAAATTTCTTTTTCTAAGTTGGAGAGAAAATTTCGAAGTCCAAGAAATTCTAAGGAGTCAAATATACGTAGTCAAATATATTAGGGAGGTTTCGCTCTACGTAATTACGTATGAAAATCCGTATGTCGTACGCGTCGGGGAGCGAGGGCAACTTTCATACGTAAATCTCTCTACGGATTTCCGTAGGAAAGCTCTTTCCTACGTTGGGTCCTTCGTAGGACTTTTTGAAATATTTTTTCGCATTTGTCCATGGCAACATTCAAGCCGCGCGAAACACAAGGTACACACACCGTACACCACGTGCATAATATCATAGAAAACGCGGTTTCGGTTCATGGTGCATACGGTGGGCGCATGCAGCCAACGCGTCTCCAAAGCAACAACGCATGTTTAGCAGTCGTGGAGAAATCACGTAGAGCGAAACCCAACAGCTCTGATTTTTACGTATGAAAATTCCGTGCAGTTCATACGTTATTTTCATACGTAATTCCGTAGAGCAAAACCTCCCTAAGCGATATATTTGACCGCTTAGGTATCAAGGAAATTAGTGGGGTCAAATACTAAGAAGGCGATAAGGAAAGATATCAACAACAAATCCAAAAGAACAAACCATGATGATTGCCCTCCAGACAAACAGGGCAAACATCACCTTCACCTGCATGTACATGACATGTATGGCTGCGGATCACAATTCACTGATCCTCCGGTCACGCACAGTCCTCGAATACACATGAAAAGAAAATCAGCCGACAATAAGACAGGATAGAGTTGCAACACGTTACAAAACACACACCAGAACATGCATTGCAATGCAAACCCTTACCCGCTTGATATTCTTCCTTTCTTCAAGATTTTAGCAAGTGAGTTCAGGTACCGTAAACTGACTGCCAGTTCGTCTGTCTCGGAAGCATTGTCGATTCTCAACTGAGCTTCAGCATAGGTGAATGATGCCTGAGTGAAAATAGAGCAGAGCACACGTGAATCATTGCATATCCAACCACATATCAATAGATTTTTAATACAATGTCATTATTCACTGGTTTGAGGGAAAGACACAATGTCATTACGCAGTACATGTGTTTACACTAAAAGGATTCAGTGAGCTGCAATAGTGATCGGGTTGCTCAACTCACGACAGTGGAGTGGATAAACAGTACGTGATCATGGCAGACAAGTGCATACGTGTACTTCGTTGAAGTACACAGTCACACAGCCACACACACACACACAATGACACAGTCACTAGCACATACTAGTAGTCACCAGCCAGGGCCAGCGCCACTGGTACGGCCATGGCCAAACCAAAACAAAAAAAAAACTTCCCAAAAAGTCGGCCCACATGGCCGTGGAATGTCCAAAACCGGGGAGAAAAAGTTTCGATGTATGATTTTGTACAGGGAGTCGCCCAGATCAGAGTGCAGGATTTGCCGGCTAAATTCCAAAATATTTCTCGGGGAGGACCTCCAGACCCCCCCCGTAAAGATGGCCCTTCGGCCGCACCGCTCCGTGGAAGCTGCCTCCGGCCCTGCCAGCACACAGATTAAAGGACGGGCCTCTGACAGGCATCAGCAGGCGTTTATGTAAACTACGTACCCGAGACCGAATGATCGACTTGGCAAACCGCGTATTCACAATGCTCGCGTCGGGAGAGAGCTCCCACATGCAGGAGAAGGCAAATCTACACGCAGGAACGAACACACACATGCACATACACACACATGCACATACACATACACATGCCACACACACATGCACATACACATGCCACACACACACACATGCACATACACACACGCCGCACACACACACACACACACACACACTCACACACACTCACACACACACATACACACGCCGCACACACACACACACACACACACACACACACACACACACACACACACACACACACACACACACACACACACACACACACACACACACACACACACCACACACACACACGCCGACACACACACATACAGACAGACAGACATGCAATGAGGTTTAAGTCAGTTTCTGGTCAAAATGAACACAATGTCTCGGCTCCTGGCACATTATAAGTAGAATTACTACAGAAAGTCTGCAGCCGTGATGTGGATATGGACTCCAACAGGCATGAAGAATAGAGACAGTCTTAGCTGTACATGGGATACATGCATAAAAGTATTCAACTGCCTGGAAGCCTGGAAGACTTCAACAAGACCATAGTAATTATTAGTGTAGAATCGTAGTACAGTATCTCACCTGTCAACATTACTTCTCAATGAGCAGAGGTTTGACGATAACAGCTCAGGCACCATGTCAATACGCTGCAAGCATATACAGAGACACATACACATGCACATGGGTACGCATGGATTCAAATCCACATTCGCACATGCATAAAATAATTTGTTGTTCACTTGACTTGATTGCGATCGGCTTGGCCAGCCAGTCCGAGCTGCTCGGCAGTAAATTGTTGAGAGTTTGTAGATGCTGAACTCACCTTGTCTGTAAGATACACGGTTGTACAACGATCGGCTGCCTCGTTATCTACAGCTGTTCCGGGCCGGATGAAATGTGACACATCAGCAATATGGACACCGACCTGTTGACGATGACAGCACCGATAACAGCACAGCACAGAGTTTGTATTCCGATAACAGCACAACACAGAGTTTGTATTCTGATCACAGCACAACACAGAGTTTGTATTCTGCATGGTCATGAACATGTGTGCACTGCACACTGCGCACACCACACACTTCACACATCACAATACACAGTGCACAACGCAACCTAAAGTTGCACACCGCACACTGCACACAGCACACTACAGGTAACTTATGATCAGTCAGTTTCATGTCTGCAGCAGGTGTGGGGCAAACCATACCGACTGGATGCAACACATACATGTACACCAAGGGATTACATGCAGACACAGTCAGTGAGGCCTACCTCAAAGTTCCCATTTTCCAGCTTGATGCAGTGAAGGGCATCATCAATATCTGTGCAACCTATACAACAATACAGACACATACAAGTACATACACATGCACGCGCACCCACACACAGCCACATCCAAACAACATATGGACACATGCACACAAGAGAAAGACTTACCATAAGCAAGTCAGGAGGAAACAGAAGGTATGAAGGGCAAGAAAGATCAATTACTGATTGCTTAGCTGATTACTTAGTCTGAACACACATTATATGGTGTGTTCCCGGAAACCATCTCTCTATGTTAACCAAATTTTAGGGCATGGCCCATCCTCAATGTGAAACAATACCACTAAAGACTAACAACAAAGAAATGCAGTAAATATGCTGTGAGGTGCACAAGAAAATTGATAAGATGAAAAATGCGAGAAATGCGTCAGCAAAGGTGCGTATGTTTGGAGGATAGGAGCGACGGTGAAAGGTGCAGGGAGAGAGGGAGGGGAAGAAGTGAGCTGTGTCTTGGTATGGATGGGCTACTGCAAAATACCTAGAATAAAATATGAAAATCTGTGGAGCTGGAGCCATTGTGTGAAGCCAAGCATAAAGACAAATATCGTGCAACCAGCTAGCACACAGATACACCAAACATCATAGTGTCATAATGTGCAAGTTGCAGATATTAATTTTGCCTTCACACTTCCCGTCTCGTCTGTGACCAAGATCACAAATCCATAGCACTGTACATACAAGTACAACATACAGGGAAACAAGGGAAACTTACCAGGGGGATCCACACTGCAGATAGCAAGATGGCGAAGATTCTGTCGCTTCTGCTCGTCCTACAAAAATCACCACACCAAAATCGTGAAGTAAGTACAGGAAGTATGGCTTCATGGGGCGTGTGCTTCAGGCGGTGCAATATCATGTGTGTGTGTGTGTGTGTGTGTGTGTGTGTGTGTGTGTGTGTGTGTGTGTGTGTGTGTGTGTGTACACGTGCATGTGCAAGCGGTTGAGTATGTTGCCCGCATGGGTACTAGGTATGTCTTCGTCTCACACTGTGGATGCACAAGAAAAGACAGCACTCTCTTCTCCTAGGCTACTGGATGTGTCAGAGAGTAAAGCTGACAGGATGAAGTCTACAACAGCAGGCATACCTCATTGGTTATAAGCCAGGGTAGGCTGGGCAAACACGCTGTGACCGCTGCTGAGAAAGGTTGATGTGGTACATCATGTTCCAGCAACAGCACTTCATTCTCCGTGTCTTTGTCACCGATCTTTCCCAATGCACGCACAAAGTGGCCCTATGTGACAAGACAGGAGAAAATGATACAAATCATTCGGATAGAATGTGTACGCGAGCATGTGTGTGTGTGTGGAGAGAGAGAGAGAGAGAGAGAGAGAGAGAGAGAGAGCAAGAAAAATGTGCATCAGACACTGAAAGTCAAAAGCCAGTACATAATTACTTGAATATACATGCAAACCTCTCCTTCATGTAAACACAGTTCCGAAAGCACTCAAGCGCTACCAACGCAGAAAATTTCATATAATACAGCAGCAGCAGCAGCAGCAGCAGCAGGAAAATCAGAGTGACTTACACGAGGATAACGAGAATGGCGAGGCCAGTTGTCTATACTGACGATAATCCTCTGACTGGACAAGAGCTCAGCTTGGCGTGTTTGAAGGCTGATGTAGGGAATCTTGCGCTCCGCGGGAATGAACAAGTGATTGTAACTCTAGCCAAGATCACATCAGACATACACACACACACACACACACACACATACACATACACATACACACACATACATACACACACACACACACACACACACATACATACACACACACACACACACACACACACACACACACATACACATACACACACACACACACACACACACACACACACACACACACACACATACACACACACACACACACACACACACACACACACACACACACACATACATACACACACACACACACACACACACACATACATACACACACACACACACACACACACACACACATACACACACACACACACACACATACACACATACACACACACACACACACACACACACACACACACACACACACACACACACATGACAACAATACACAGGTAAGGTAGAGCATCTCCATGCCTCTCAGTTACAATAAGATATGAAGATAAGAGCAGAGACGGGAGGGGCAGCAAGAAAGAGACAGAGGCAATGATAACGACAATAACGACGACAACAACAGTCAAACAGATCTTTGGCTTACCCCTGTGTTGCTTGAGGCTCGAAGAATACCACAGTATGGTCTCCAGTTGCGCTTTACAATACCAATAACCTGAAGCAGAGCATTATGTACACGTCAAGGCATACTGGACATTAGATTTTGCAATATGATGTGTGAAAAGACGTTTTAACCCTTTACCGTTTGTACGTACAAATTTCAACCGCTCGCGGTCGATGACTTCTATGCGCACAGCGCTGGACTGGTTCACCGCAGAGAGCTGGGATTTTCCCTACTGGTAGCCAAGATGTACGCGCAGAGGATGCCGACAATTTTTTTGTGTGATGCAATATAAAAAATCGCGAAAATCGCGACTTGAAAAATGCGCTTTGGGAAAAGTGCGTACCCTGCGACTTTTGGTATTGCCTGCAGATTATTTCGACTTTTGCTTGAGCTGGCCCCACGATTGTCTGCCCTGCTGTGCAAGCCATGGACGCGGAGCAAGCTCTTTCGCTTCTGGAGACCCTTCCTGACGACTCTGTCGCTGCCTCATCCAGCGAAGATGAGTTTGTGGAGCCAGACAATCCTGTTGAAAATATTTATTCTGACGACGACCGCGACGATGACATGGCGAGTGAAAGCAGCGCCAGTGAGAGTGACATGGATGTCACAGACGACGACAGTGTCGCTGAGATGAGTGCCACTAATGGTGGAAGGGGACGTGGCAGAGAGAGAGGATTCGGCCGTGGAATAGGCCGTCGTCACGGTAGAGGTCGTGGTGCACAGGTACTATGTACAGCCAGCGGTGCAACCTGCACTAGTCGATATTTGCAATACTTGGGACAATGCTGACACCGCTGTGACTGCCGCTGTGACTGGTAACACTCCTGCATTCCACCCAGAGAACGAACCTGGTATCCACTTACCTGAGGGAGCCACTCCAGTGCAAGGATCTGATTTATTGCATATTGCAACAGTTTGCCCGATCGGGAATAAATCCAAATAATTATTAGTGCTAAATAGTGAAATCTGTGTTCGTTTTCTGGACTTGAAAGTTGTTGCATCGCATTCCTGAGGGTTTTTACTTTCAGAATCACCCCATTTTGTACATAATAAAAGTGAAAAATAAAAAAGTTACGGCATGAACAATGACGGTCGGTTTATGCTGTACAAATACCTAGAGCGGTAAAGGGTTAAGCGTGTTGAACTGCGCCGACACCCACGGTCAACTGGGTACTCACAGCTCGGAGTGAGGATAACAAGGATGCAGTTTACAGGGTTATGGGCCGTTAGTAGGCCTGTTACACACCCGATTGGTTGAGAGACTCACCTCCTCTCCCCTGACTCACTTGTGAGGTCTGCATTCGCCACTAAGGTGAAAAGGCATAGTGGTGGCCTGCGGAAGCGAAGGCTATAGCTTGTGTGTTTCTGAACATTCAAGTGATGCTAACGCGGATCCAGCGAATATTATTATTATTATTATTGTAGAAAGGAAAAAGACATCATGGATACGAGTTAAGAGTAACTCTCCATCACTGTAACATGATACTTTATACAGTCAGAAAGTGCAATAACTAGGCACAAAACTGACAGAGTACTGAGACATTCGACGTCCTGACACCTAGCTTCAACACATCTCCGTAGCGCTAACCGACAGCCTTCCAACTTGGAAGGTTCAAGGTTACGGAAAGACCAAAGAGGGGAAGGCAAGCGCAACGAAAACGAGCAAAAGCTACAGTCCCAACGGAACAAAGAATGTCGATTGTTACTGGACGATGTTTGGTCTTTCCGTAACCTTGAACCTTCCAAGTTGGAAGGCTGTCGGTTAGCGCTACGGAGATGTGTTGAAGCTAGGTGTCAGGACGTCGAATGTCTCAGTACTCTGTCAGTTTTGTGCCTAGTTATTGCACTTTCTGACTGTATAAAGTATCATGTTACAGTGATGGAGAGTTACTCTTAACTCGTATCCATGATGTCTTTTTCCTTTCTACATTTATTTATGGCTCAACATCCGAGTTTCAAATTATTATTATTATTATTATTTAATATGATGTGTGTCAAGGCTGTGTAGTGCCGACTACAACCATAACCCGGTTGGCAGAGTCCCGGTCTTGCCACCATTTGAACCGTATTGGGAAAACCTCGGTTCGGACCCTCTTTACTCTACCAAGCAAGGCTTCTATATAATTATACCAGTTTGTAGGTACTGTAGTAGATACATTGAGCACTTGAATTTGTTGTCAACGACGGCATGTAGTTACAGGAGAGGGATGACTCAACTCAACTGAACACAGGACATACAAGAAATGACACGGGCGTGTATTCACGCGTCTGCAAGCACACACACACTCACCTTTCCGGTTGGCCGAATTTCCATCTGTGTATCACTAGCCACTGGTGTTGTTGCCTGGTTGTACAGAACATTGTACAGAACATTGTAGAGAACACAAAGGCGTGCCCGTATCATCTTCAATATTCATGTTCACACTTCTACTTAAACTCCCTGGAAAAGCCCCAAGCCTGAAGGGCGCACATTTGGAGATACGTTACTAGAGGTTCCCGTAGTAGTGCATGTGTGCGTGTGTGTGTGTGTGTGTGTGTGTGTGTGTGTGTGTGTGTGTGCATGTGCGTGTGTGTGTGTGTGTGTGCTTGTGTGCGTGTGATGGTCTAACCCCTCAAAGAACACATCTCTAGTAATGGAGCATACCGGAATGACAGGATGAGCATCAGCCATCAGAGAATTCAAAGCACCGTTTTTTTTCTTCTTTTGAAGGAGTACATGCATACATATTTATCATCCAGGTGTTTGCCTGTCTGTGGTCGTCGGCATAAGAGGAATGTCGTCGCATCAGTCCTACAGCACCGCATGACCGTGTTTCGTGCAACACCAGTATAGAGTGGTGTCAGCTATTAGTCATGTGACTTTTAGTCATGTGACTTTTAGTCATGTGACTGCATTCATGCATAAAGGTACATGTAACATGGCATTTAAAGTAAAGCAACTGGACACGGCTCCCCTGGACACGGCTCCCCTGGACACGGCTCCCCTGGACACGGCTCCCCTGGACACGGCTCCCCTGGACACGGCTCCCCTGGACACGGCTCCCCTGGACACGGCTCCCCTGGACACGGCTCCCCTGGACACGGCTCCCCTGGACACGGCTCCCCTGGACACGGCTCCCCTGGACACGGCTCCCCTGGACACGGCTCCCCTGGACTAGGCTTGGAACAAGCTCTCAGCTGACACTGACACGACACATTGAAACTGTGACTAAATAACAATTGTACTACTCACACGTACCTTGGTCTCCATAGCGCTGCTTTCCTTGCCTCCATCATTATCATCGTCTCCATCGTCGTCGTCATCATCGTCGCCACTGCGTTCCACATTGGCCACGTCCTGGAACACAACCGAAGGTCTCTTCCACTCATCTTCGGCTAGAAGCTGCACCGCAACACTGTCACCGTCCACAGCGCGGTTTAAATGCAGGAGACCGCAGATCAGCACCTACAGCAAACGTACATACATACATACATCGGGACACACACACACACACACACACACACACACACACACACACACACACACACACACACAAACACAAACACACACACACACACACACACACACACACACACACACACACACACACAGAGGCACTGTTGACTACAGTTCACATGAGGTGAAACATCGAAGGAAGGGATGTGACACACGCTGTAAGTGTTGTGTTCTCTTCGCTGTACTCTGTGGTATTGTCCTGCTAGTTTAACATAAATGCATGATGAATTCTGCACAGGTCAGCAAATCAGCAGATAGCTTACCGATTTCTCCATGCCGCTGACAATCACATTCCCTTCCTTGTAATTGTCCCTGGGTACAAAAGACAGAAACACATTCATACAGTCTGGGTAGATGCCTACTACTAAGGGAGCATCTCATCAGTTCGCATTTATTTTGCAAACGTAACGCATTTCGAATAGACTTTACCCCCCTACCTCCCCCCTCTATTCGAAAGTCTTATCGCACATTTTCTGTGTTTATCTACTGTATACTACATGTACACGTCCATGCCCCATGCTATGGTATGCTTATGTACATGGGTATGAATGTTTTGCTAGAGCGGTCGTGAATGGCGTACAGCAGTACCGCATTTACTGAGTACAAGTAGAATCAATGACATGTACACGCACATAAACATAGTTCCTCCACAACAACTGTATTGCTGTAAACGCTGGCCAGGTACATGTACACGGTTTTATCTGGCTGATGTGACATTTGACACCTCTGAGTAGCCTGCATGCATGCAGTGCAAGGGTTAGCTGATCTGCAAACACAGGTAGATCTCCACCTAAACACACTCATTTGCTGCAGGGATCTAGCATGGTAGCAGATTGTACAGTTCCAGAAAATGTGCGAACAGTCATTTTTCTATTCGAAAAGGGCGCTACCCCTCTACCCCCGTTTCGAAATGCGTTACGTTTAGAAACAAAATGCGAACTTATGAGATGCTCCCTAAGTGTAATGAACTGGAAGACTACAGGCACACCGGCACACTAGTACATCTACTCAGTATTACTCAGTACTGCACAAAGAAAGTACAAGTCATAGTCAGCAGGTAAAATAATCCCCCAAGGAGTGAACAGCTAGCATACTGCTCACACACACACATACCCCCCCCCCCCCCCCCAACACACACACACATACACACACTACTACTACTACTACTACTACTACTACTACTACTACTACTACTACTACTACTACTACTACTACTACTACTACTACTACTACTACTACTACTACTACTACTACTACTACTACTACTACTACTACTACTACTACTACTACTACTACTACTACTACTACTACTACTACTACTACTACTACTACTACTACTACTACTACTACTACTACTACTACTACTACTACTACTACTACTACTACTACTACTACTACTACTACTACTACTACTACTACTACTACTACTACTACTACTACTACTACTACTACTACTACTACTACTACTACTACTACTACTACTACTACTACTACTACTACTACTACTACTACTACTACTACTACTACTACTACTACTACTACTACTACTACTACTACTACTACTACTACTACTACTACTACTACTACTACTACTACTACTACTACTACTACTACTACTACTACTACTACTACTACTACTACTACTACTACTACTACTACTACTACTACTACTACTACTACTACTACTACTACTACTACTACTACTACTACTACTACTACTACTACTACTACTACTACTACTACTACTACTACTACTACTACTACTACTACTACTACTACTACTACTACTACTACTACTACTACTACTACTACTACTACTACTACTACTACTACTACTACTACTACTACTACTACTACTACTACTACTACTACTACTACTACTACTACTACTACTACTACTACTACTACTACTACTACTACTACTACTACTACTACTACTACTACTACTACTACTACTACTACTACTACTACTACTACTACTACTACTACTACTACTACTACTACTACTACTACTACTACTACTACTACTACTACTACTACTACTACTACTACTACTACTACTACTACTACTACTACTACTACTACTACTACTACTACTACTACTACTACTACTACTACTACTACTACTACTACTACTACTACTACTACTACTACTACTACTACTACTACTACTACTACTACTACTACTACTACTACTACTACTACTACTACTACTACTACTACTACTACTACTACTACTACTACTACTACTACTACTACTACTACTACTACTACTACTACTACTACTACTACTACTACTACTACTACTACTACTACTACTACTACTACTACTACTACTACTACTACTACTACTACTACTACTACTACTACTACTACTACTACTACTACTACTACTACTACTACTACTACTACTACTACTACTACTACTACTACTACTACTACTACTACTACTACTACTACTACTACTACTACTACTACTACTACTACTACTACTACTACTACTACTACTACTACTACTACTACTACTACTACTACTACTACTACTACTACTACTACTACTACTACTACTACTACTACTACTACTACTACTACTACTACTACTACTACTACTACTACTACTACTACTACTACTACTACTACTACTACTACTACTACTACTACTACTACTACTACTACTACTACTACTACTACTACTACTACTACTACTACTACTACTACTACTACTACTACTACTACTACTACTACTACTACTACTACTACTACTACTACTACTACTACTACTACTACTACTACTACTACTATGTACCTTTTTTGTTATATTTTTTTATTTTTAATGGCTTTCTCTTCTTCCTCGGATGGTTTACAATTATTTGTATCACAATTATTTGTGGGTTCAGCAATAAAGGATGTGACTACTACTATGTACAGCTACCCTATCGGGCCACGCCGCTCCCAGAAGCGGGAGACAACGACAAGAAGAGAGAAGAGAAGAGAGAGAAATCGCAAAGTCAACAATATTTGGCATGGCGTTGCAAGTCCTGTGGCCTTGAGAACCGTCTTTCGCAATGCTCGTATTCATGACGGCAGTTGTTCCTGGCTGCACGTGACATCCGTTTCGCACGGTCACAGTGATGACGGCTCAAACCAGAACGAGAGCGGAAAGAGCGGCGACAAACATCACATCAAAAAGAGTCGGATTCATGGCGAACAGATACAGTGGGGACATCCGTGGACACAGGACAGCGATGCACAGCCAGTCCTCCAGCGCTCCTCAACCACCGCATGCACTTCATACATTGCCTGGCACCCTTCTGTTGTGACACAGGCAACTTCCGCTGGGCAATGCACTTGTGTCGGGCCATGTCGTTACGGCGGCGGAAGTCTCTGGCACACAGCAAGCAGCGCAAAGGTGGCGAATCATCTGTGTGCGGTGGTGGCTCAGCAAGGAACATCCTCCAGTTCTGCCGGTGTTGGGCATTCTGAAACCAGGAATCCACGCCAGCTGCCTTCATGTCTCTCTGGACAACGTCTTTCCAGCGCCGCCGGGGACCACAAGGAGGGCGACGACCACTCAACCTTCCAAACAAAATCTGGACGGGAGCACGGTCTGCAGGCATGCGCGCGACGTGCCCGAGCCATTCCAACCGCCGACGCCGAACAAGGTCTGACACCGGTGTAGTGTCACCCCCGCGCGCACGGAGCGTTGCCGATGAGATTTTCTCCTCCCATTGCTGACGCCGAGATACACATAAGATGGAGCGAATGCACCGGTGGTGAAAGTTGTCCATACACACACATACACATACACACACGCACATACACATACACAGACACATACACACACAGACACATACACACACACACACACATACACAGACACACACAGACACACACCGTGTAGAGCATAGCAGCACAATACAACCAACAAGAGTGCATGAAAATCAAGGTGCGTAGTTTCCGTACAGGTGTCTGCGACGACACAATCCCTGGATTACATCATAGTTGGTGCAGATAAGCAATGGAAAGTGGCACAATGCGTACAACTGAGCTGCACTTGTGCAGCAGGAGACCTTCTTGAATCCTGCTGGTACACTTAGATGGTGTAACCCCGGAAATTTTGCCAGGACAACCCATTCCAGCTACACACTCTTGGTTACATAATTATATACTCTTGCTAGTGATAGTGATAGTACTAGTGATAGTGATAGTACCAGTGATAGTGATAGCACATGTACATGTATTATACAATCATGTACATGTACATCACACAACAGAGTTCAGCACATGAGTATTTGCAGACATGTGCAGTAGCTGCTTGCAACTGAACCGGGGAGTTGGCAACTATCCAGCCATCTCCAGGGACTGTTCAAACACACCCTGCCACATTGGAAAGCGTGTGTGCATGCATTTGTCGCATCGGCAATTGATACCTTGTGGCGTGGTGTTAGATAAGAAAGTGCAAAGAATCAGCAATGGCACTGATCCAGGGAATCCACCATCCTGTTATAACTCAACCCACGCAGCTATTGATATTGCTTTCCTGGATGACTCAACGCAATTCACAATTCATACGAAGCATTGACGCTGGACCGAGCAAGAAGAAAACGTGTTCAGAAGCACTATCCCTTCGGCCATGTAACTGGACCAAAGGGAAACTGTGCATCTGAAACTGTGCGTCTGAACTTGCCACCCAACACTACAAAATAGAGCTGGGAGTAGGAGACTCTATAAGGAGAGGAATTTATTTCAGTAGCACAGTGGCACATGTGCCTTTGACATGTGACAGTGTGGTGACAGGAGCACTTGGCAGCAGCCCCAGCACACACCTCTATCATCATGTGATCCACAGGAGCACTTGGCAGCAGCCCCAGCACACACCTCTATCATCATGTGATCCACAGGAGCACTTGGCAGCAGCCCCAGCACACACCTCTATCATCATGTGATCACAGCTCAGTCTGGCCCGGCGCCCACACGAACAGCTGAGTCCAGCCCCACTGTCACACACACAGCTGAGTGCAAAGCTGAGTCAACAGCTGAGTCAACCGCAGAGCAATGCATACAATCATGTAGCAAAGCAATGCACATAGCAGAAGTGAAAAGAATATAGAGCAGAAGAGAGCTGAGCCCAGCTCAGAACTGCAATTTTCAGCCAAGAGTAAACTTCCAACAACGAATAGTCACAAGCAATGGTGAAAGTCTTTGGCTCCAAGGAGCAGAGTCTGACACCAACTTGCCAAAAATAACATGCAAAAACCTTTTGCCTTTGCAAGGCAACTTTCAGCAGGGAGATGTGTCGTGCTTGTCACCACATTGCCAGCAATGATCCATTCTGGGACTGGAAAGCACTCTGCAATCTAGCACCAGACTGCATTTGGCGCATCAATGTCACAACAAAGAGATGCGACATTCAGTTGCAACCAGTCAAGGGCTGCATCACTGTCTACTACAAGGACTTCTTTGAAGGGCTCGATGGTGTGTGCAACTTTTCCAGACTGCGCGTAATCAGCTTCTATGCAGTGAAGTTCTGTCCCCATCATGATTCCAACCTACCAAGCAATCTTCCACGCGATGTTGGTGCAGCCTTGGCGGCAGTACCAACCCAGCTAAAGGTACTGTCATGACTGCGCTGTTTTTACGAACTACTGAATTATCTTTACTACATGTTTCACGGCACGCAAACCTGCATTGCAACAGGGTGCTATACTTGTTTCTTCAAGTCCAGTATTCAGTGTGAGTGAACTGTGTAGTGAATCTCCCCTACACATGACCCGCTTTTCCTACTTCATGCATTATGGTGCACAGTTCACGTATGCATGCTTTGTCCCCATGACAACATATGGTGACTCCCATCTCTACTGAGTTCAACTTTCGCTCCCTGAGGTCATACTCTGTTACCGTGTTTCGACGATAACGTCTTTCTTCTTACACTGCGTTCGTTTTGTCTACTTGGCAGAGTATGTGCATGTAGAGTAGAGCAGATGTTGAAAAAAATGAAGAAAAAAAGACGGCAGATGGCAGTTTATGAAGATCTACCCATTGTGGTGGAAAGTCGATTTTGCAGTACAGTGTATGATGTATGATATGTTGCGGGAACCTGCTCTCACGGCCGTACAAGTACTGAAATACGGTACCTCTACCAACTTCTACCGACTTTTACCAGCCTTAAACTTGGTAGAGCAGGCAGGGGAAAGTAGAAGGGTAGACTTTCTTACAGTGCGATTTTCTAATGTCTTTCGATAATAGCACTTGATAAGTACATGTATTTATGATCAGTTTGTTCTCACGACAGAGACAGGGTACAGTGATTGCAGCCAAGACTTCCTTGGAGTCATGACGTAGTATTTAAACCTGTTTTTTGCCTCATTTTGTCCGTTCGTGCCAGGTGCTCTACTTGACAAAATGCAACCTGTGCGACGAATGCATAAAAGAAATGAGCCTGGACAGCTTGATAAGCCTGGAGGAGATAATGCTGTCTGGCAACTCTCTCACCGAGTTCCCAGTCAGCTTGTACAACCTGGGTGCCAACCTGCACTACATAGACCTGTCATGCAATGCATGTCTACAGCTGCAGTCCGTTGAACACTTCATCGCAGACCGAACCGAGAGAAACCTAACGCCATGTCTTCCTGGCCTTCAGGTAGGTGTACGTGTGCATCAATACACCGTCATACTGCACACTTCTCAAAGATAGGAACTAGCAAATACTTTCAAGTATAGAATATTTCACAGCAGAAGCGGGTCATCAGTTGAGCAGAGTGCTCCGAAACATTCAATACTTCAAATTCTACTTTGCCACAATGCCCAAATACAACTTTACAATGATACCGCTAACTCAAACCACTCTCAAAAACAGAAGGGTTACGTGGAACAACCTTCACAACCAATACAAGATCAGCAGATTGATATGCAGGCACGCACTGTTGCATGCAGATCTAAACAAATTCTCTTCACCCTGAATGACACACTGCTCTAAAGTCCTGGCCTACTGCTATGTGTGAGGATAGCAGACGGCATAGAGCACAGGTGGTGTGTGGCCTGAATCTCAAAAGACCTTACATGTACTAAAGTACTTCAGAGTACTTCAGTTAGTAGTTCATGTGTATTCTTCGACGACCTCAATCCATGTGTCTACGCCTGCCTGCTTGCTACACACAAATACATGACGCTGTAGTGTATACACACATTGCCACACTACGTCTTTGTGTACATGATCATACGACTTTCCGTTTTCTTTCTCCTAACAGGAGATTAACATCTCAAACTGCGAACTACAATACGTACCCAACAACTGGCTGAGCACCTTCCCAAATCTGATCTCGCTATCATTCGATCACAACGCCTTAAAGGAGATCCCTGGATGTCTGGGCGAAGGTCTGCGCCGCTTGCGCAGGCTAGTCGCAAACCACAACTGCATTGTCCATGCAGATGTGGGTGTTCTGCGGAAACTAGCCTCTGGAGATATAGACTACAGTCTCAAACACAACCGCGAGGATATCGGTGAGAGGAAAGAGTTAATACTGACACATGCGTGTTGACTGTTATCAGGCTATATAACGTTATACGAGTACTTTCCCCTTAGTCTTGCTTAGAACTCACTTTAACTCCATACTCCTTCATGTAACCTAGTGTTGTTAGAACTTGTTACAATCGTCTTTGAAATAGAAAATTCAATAAACGGTATTCACAACAAATATTCAGCGCATTTATATGCTCAGCCGTGGTCTCTGAGGCCTAGAACGTGTTGCGGATGAAATATTTGTTTTCAGGGTACAGTATGACAGTGTATACAGGCAGCAGCAGTACATGTACAGGCTGACATTTAATCCGGCCGGAAAGTTGTTTAGCCCTCGAAGGCTAAAATTTAAAACGCGCTGAAAACTGGTAGACTTACAGAACCAATGCGACAAAGAGCAATATGCCAGCTCCTTTCACTGTTTATATTGCAATACTAGTATTCTTGTCTTCGACTGTGTCACATACGTGCAGAGGACATGATTCGGGATTGGAGGCGACGCAGTCAACAACATGGCCAGCCTGCTGATGATACACAGAACCCAGCACAAGGTGAGGCTGCAGCTGATCACCGCAGACCTAGAGACACGAGACTAGAAGTTGCTCTTCAATAGTAGTAGTCTAGCCCTTGATATGTGACGCATTCCCTCTAAAAACCAGCATACTCACTGGCATCTTCACCAGATATTCTTAATGGATGCTACAAGTAAGACTTTCACACGCCACTGGTACGGTATGCAACTAGTGACATACAGGCCAGGAAAGTGCTAAAAGGCCTAAGGAAATCATTTCCTTCTATTACCGTGTGTTGGTGTACAGAGAGGCCAAGCAACAACGCTGCTAGCCAGCGGCAATCCACATCAGAGCGGGGACGCAGACCAGTACGACGCGTCACGGCGCTGGGACTATCACCGCACCAGCGCAAGCAGCTGCGTGTGCAGTGCTACAGGAGACTGAGACTGACGAAACAACAGAAGCAACAGCCCAAGGCAAGACATCATACAAAGTCTACCAACGTGGGTCGGCCACAGAGACAACGTGCAGCCACAGATCTGGAAGGACGAAGGAAAGGATGGCGACAAGAACAACTGCTAACCTATCTGAAACAACGGCAGCAACAAGTCAATCAACAACAGGATCAACATCGACCGGCAATCCCAATAGATGAAGAAAACCAGCCCAACACAGTTGACAAGCCTCCAAGTCCCGTTTGCCTAGGTATGCTTTTACATAGTGTCACTCAAGACAACACAGTATAACTCTCCTTACTCTTTTTCAAGCTGCCTTGAGGAAACAAGCAGAATAGGAGAGACAATATGGCGATATGTTCCCGTGCTCGCATTCACCCACGCCCACGCCCACACCCACACCCACACCCACACCCACACCCACACCCACACACACACACACACACGTGCACACTCAGCAGGTGGACGGCAGACCCTAAACATAGCTTTGCTCTCTTCGACTCTTGCGCAGATACGCATGACCCTGATACCAGTCCAGTGATTGCTACCAGTTTCAAGTCCACAAGCCTACCCAACACATACATGGGCAGTCAACTGCCTTAGCAAGCCGTCAGCGAGATGTATATCCTTGAGAACAACGTGGAGAACGGTAAGTCTTCACTTCTCCTTTCGTCAAGATTAGTACTGTATAGCAGGAAATTTTCGGACGGAATTTATTTTCGTACGATTTCGTACACAGCCTCTTTTGTACTAAAATTAATTCCGTTCTAAAATTCGTCCCTGTGAAGTTATGTACACTATGCATGCGAACACGTGCATTTAGCATGCAGCACTGTACGAAAATAAAATCCGTACGAAAGGTCGAAAATCGGCTCCGTCCGAAAATTTTCTGCTATGCAGTATGTTACCAGTGCAGTCTGCCTCCTTCACTCGCCTCTACACACTCATAACATCACACTTCTTATACTGACAGCGGAAAGGCTGCTGTATTTACTACTTGCTCAATAAAGCAAGAAGGGAGAAACGAACATTTTCTCTCCAAGTCACTACAATGTACATGTATCGTGAACACACCATGTCTCTGGTCTGCTACAGGTACACTACCTGTCCAAGAATCCGACACCACACAGGAAACCAGTGCCTACGTGTGTCTACTGGGCTCTAGTGAAAAGTGGACGGCAATCCGGAGAGACCTGGCGGATTGCTGGTTAGAAAGAAGAGCAAGCCACAGCGGCAAACAGACCCCTGCTGCGGTCGCTCGCGCTCTGGACCTCTACACCCCGGATGCTCCCACCATGGAAATACCGTTAGAAGAGACGGCAAGACAGGACGCTGGGAGGGCGAGTGCTGGGTGAAGTTCTGTATTGCAGCACGGCCGTGTGGGACAATCAATAACACCTCATGACTGGATACTGCTCCCACATCCACAGGCAGTTGGAAGCAATATACAACACTAGGTAATATCCAACAACGCCAAGCAGAATTATACATAAATACTAATTCCCTCAACTAGTGAATATGCTACTAATGACAGACAATAACCACTTTCCTGCACGCCTGAACCTTTGCAAGCATTTCTCGAAGGCTTCGAAAACCATTGAGTTACCTGCGCATGTATGGCCTTCTCCGCTTTTTTCTACTCAACATTAGCCCACTTGAACTAGGAAAAATAGGAACGGATTGAGCAAGAATCACCAGCATGATAGTACAACAGTACCACATGATTGTACTGGCATTAGCAAATAGGCAGTACTAGAGCTTGTAGTAGTCTGCAGCTAGCAGTACACTCTATCTCTCTCTTTTTAGGTTACATTAACCTCTACAGATCTCCTTGTGACACAAGGCCTTTTTGGCAGGCACAATCTTTGTTCCAGTAACACATTCAATGTCTGAACACCTAAACTTCTTAAAACATAACCGCATAAACTAGTTGTACACTTATATCAAGACAACGGTAGTTTCTCTATGTTAAATAGTGTTTGCTATTCTGATCATTCGCAGCTGCTTTATACCATAATACACAGTAGTGCTGCCTGGCACATGTATGCACATGTAGCAAGTGGCCAGGAGAAAGGCAGGCCAGCAACCTAACAATGTCATGCTTTCCTTTTCTTGATTTCTTTCGTTTTGCTTGAACCCCTTGGATGCATATTACAAAATGTGTAACATGAGGTACATGTACATTATTTGTGTGTCAAGTAGCTATATGTTGCACTGCTCAACGAAACCCAATCGCGTACACTGCCATGTAGTGCAGGGCGCTGTGCTGTCTCAAACATGCAGACGCCGGGCTGTGGCACTGGTGCAGGCCACTAACATACTCAAATCAGATTTCGTTGAGCAGCACTGTTCGGCTGGGCACTTACCGGCTAATGTGAAAGGTACCCTGCAGATAAGACCACACAAAGAAAACACAGGGGGCAGTAATAAGCAAAGGCCGAAGTCAAAGCTCAATGAAAGGCCTACACGTATTTAGCAAAAGAAACTTCAAAGAAGTATGCATACAGCCAGGGCAGGCCATAGCTAATGACGTATCCTAAAGAAAACGAATAAAGAACAAGTAACTGCATGCTGCTGGTATGTGCTTCTTCAACCTACTGTGTAGCATGACCCATGCTTGCACGCACGCACACACACACACGCACACACACATACACACCAACACACACACACACATACACACCAACACACAGTCAATTATGCAGGCCTGGCCAACAGTTTCGATACGTTTAAGTAATATATAAAATGAAAGAAAATAGCAAGCACAGAAGGTGCTACCAAGCATACATCCAGCACTGCGCCATGGATACATGTACCTCAGTTCTCAAATCACACCCAAGGATGACTGATCAAGATAGAGAGAGAGAGAGAGAGAGAGAGAGAGAGAGAGAGAGAGAGAGAGAGAGAGAGAGAGAGAGAGAGAGAGAGAGAGAGAGAGAGAAAAGAGGGAGGGAGGGATGGAGGGAGAGAGAGAGACCACAAAAACGTACAAGCTCTTGCTGCATATTAAAGAAACGTATCCCATTGAGATAGCAGAATGTACCAGTGGTAAGCCCATTCGATCCTCTCCCCAACCCACTCACGCACATGCTTACACCAGGGAAAGCGGCTTCTCACCTGCAGAAACTTGCCACTCTTTATTCCTGTTTGCAGCTTGGACAAGGACTGGTGCTCTTCAAACATTTCCCTTTTCTTGCCGGGCTGCATCTGATCACGGACAAGAACCACAATAAGAGAAACACAATAATTAGCCATTGCCAGTACTGATGAAGATACATGTACAATGAAATGTCAGTAATAAAAAAATTACCCTTTTCTTTGCATCACCTATTTTAAAGCTCTTTTTGAGGACCCTGTGCATCCTTTGCAGTTATTCGACCTCGGATATACAGTAAAACGAGCTACACAGTACATCAGCTACAAAGAACGGATGTTTACGTCCTTTGGAGGTGGGGTACCCTGAACTGTTTCACTGTGCACCAGTGCCATGGTGTGCCATTGCAACAGTGTGTGTGTGGAGAGAGAGAGAGAGAGAAAGAGAGAGAGAGAGAGAGAGAGAGAGAGAGAGAGAGAGAGAGAGAGAGAGAGAGAGAGAGAGAGAGAGAGAGAGAGAGAGAGAGAGAGAGAGAGAGAGAGACAGAGAGAGACAGAGAGAGAGACAGAGAGAGAGAGACAGACAGACAGACACAGAGAGAGAGAGAGAGAGAGCAGAGCACGCAAAGTGTAAGGGGCCATGGACGGCAGTCATGCACAGACTTAGCTAACCTCCTCTTCAAATATTCCGCAAGGACAGGCAATGGAATATCCGAATTCAGAGGACACAGAAAGGCATCATACCATACTATACACACGCAACAGGTATGATGCCTCCTGACTACACAACTTGGATAGCTGCAGCACATCAATGAATAAGGTATGATTTTAATATCCCAACACCACACTCGCATGCTTACGTCTTCTTCCATTGACTCGTCCAACCCAGCCAAGCGATCCAGCAACATGGCGGAACTGGTGAGGCTTTTCACATACTCACGTACTGGACAATAGACACACAAACCACACCACACACATTATACATTAATGAGTCAACACAAATGTGCGAAATCACCCATTGACAGCATTCATCAGCGGGTCGTCATATGCACAAAAAGTTCACTCCAGAGTCACACTTTGAAGTAAGACTCGTCAGGGAATGTGCAATTCAACAACATGATGCAGCACAATAAACTGGCTGTAAACAAGACTGCTTCGCCATGCCAAGCAAAACCTACGAGAAGTAGCAACACCTACTAAGGAATACTATACAACAAGGCTGCCCAGCTGTACCACGCTGGGTGAACACTATGCATAGCACACTGGAGACAGAGGAAGAAGCACAAACACCAGTTGCCAAATGTAGACAGCACACTGGCAGTTTTATGACTTGGGTGCTACCACACGCACATCTTGGACAGTTACACATAACAGAAATAGGAGAGAAAGGTTGAAGCTAAGAGAAAGCATTGAAACAGTCACAGTGGCCATATCTCACCTGCATATGCCTCCAGACCATCAGTGCGAGCTAAGTCTCGGTTGTCCTTGTCATTAGTCAGCAGGAGAATGTATGTGTCCGGCTTCTGACTCTTTTGCAAGTGTTGCATGTACCACCTTTTAAAACCAGAAAACATGGGTCACCAGGAAAGACAATAATACAAAGAGTACATAACCAAGAGTGTGCAACTCGACAATCTCCCAGCCCAGGGTAGAATTTATTTATGATATTAGTCTTTCGCGGCTATGAGGCTCACTGATGCCATCATGCGTGGCCAGAGATCAAAGTACAAAGAATGTGTACATCGCGGCTACAGGTAGTCGCAGCAGAACAATGGACAATAGATCGATGTGTCCTGAACCTTGTCAGGGCAAGAAAGGTGGACAGTCACTTACTTGGCTGCCTCCCGGATAGCGCGGTCATTGCGGTCATTGGACGACTCATCTGGTTTACGCTCAACATATGTCTCTCTGGGCACGACAACAAGTCACCAGTCACCGAGAAACACACACACACACACACAAACACACACCCACACACACAAATGTGTGCACACAAACGCACACACCCAATATGCACAAACTCAGGATATAGCACATGGAAATGACAAAAGTACACAATATATTGCATATTCTATTTATGTGTTACCCAAACTGCAACCAAAAACAGAGACTAGAGTGCTATTAAAGAAGCACAAAGTGACTAGTTGTCTGTCTAGTACATGTACATGTACAGTAATATGTACAGCAGGAAATGTTTCTACTTGACACACTTACCGATGGTGCTCGTTGGAGAAGACGTAGAAGTGTTTATCTGGCTTGCCAATAAGATCTCTCAAACGTTTGTACGCAGCTGCATTGCGGTGCCGTACCTGCGGGAGACAAATGAACGTTTGGAGCAAGGCTGTTAAGACAAAGTTCCAGCAGTGGATAATAGGCCCAGGTACAGGGAACGGACTGCCGCATGAGCCTCTGATGCCAAACCACACAGCAGAAACTGCTTGCGAGTGTACGGCACTTTAAACTTTGATATCGGAGAGGGGCGAGAGATGGGCAACGAACACATGTATCAGCACAAGGACCAGGCTTACCTCTTCCACAACAGTCTGTGTGATGATAACATTGTGGATCGAATCATCCTCCAGGAAATCAATCTAATGCAATCAATATAACACAAGCACACATGCATCTATAGTCGACCCCTGGTATAACAAAAACCAATGTGCAAGATAATTAAAGTATTTTCTGGAGTATAAGCCGCACCCAGATTTGTCGTCATGTTATACCCAGCTCATATTAACCCCCACTAATTCCTGTGATCTATAACTGGTGAATATATCTCCATATTCACCACTTTAACTTGGGGTATATACTTTGCTATATTACCCACTTAGAGGTTGTAACTTTTCAACTTTCAAGGGACTTAGAAATTTTCTCTCCAATTGAAAAAGAAAAAAATTGAAGAGAAGAAAGAAGTTTCAGCAGGAATCGAACCTAGAACCATAAGATTCCCGAGCACCTATCTTGACCACCCAGCCACCAGGGTGTTGATGCAGATGTTGGTTGAAAGAAAGGTCTTAGGTCTGGAACACGCAATACTACCTACACATAATAGTATACTATTGTATATTGGGATACTAAAATAGCTATTTCGGACCAGTATTTCAGGCCAAAACCGAAGCTAGGTATAAATAGAATAAACACCTCTGTCTTGTGTTTATGGGAATATAAACACTGTCTATAAAAACCTCGGCTACGCCTCGGTTTTTATAGCAGTATTTATATTCCCATAAACACTACGACATCGGTGTTTATTCTATACATAAACGGACATCTACCCTGTGTCTTACAGTTCATTGGACCAGCGTAGTAGCCGCGCCGACTTTTTTGGGTGAATTACAAGTGCTCTAAACGCGCCATATACTCCGGAGAATACAGTAATTGTTTACTGTGAATCATATTATTTTAACGACCCGCAAAGTTAACGATTTTCTGATTTTCGAAGGTTATTAAAATAATACTAGGAATGCTCGTCAAGGACATTTGTTGTTGTCCATCACAGTATACCAGGAACGTCGCTGCGACATATACTAGTACATGGTCTTGAGAAGCAAGACATCGATCTCAGGAGAATAAAGAAAATGAAATTTATCCAGCGTAAGAGCGTAAAAAATTCCAATATTTCGATCTCCTGCCGCTTCGTCAAAATTCATCTGAGAGACTTCGGAGTTGTTCGAGCCGACTGCTGAGCATCTCTGCTATCATCTAGATCTTTTGATTGTTGAATTCCGTTGAGAATTGACCGAATTACGATCCATTGAACACGCGCTGCAGGCCATAATGTGAAATGATCGATTTCAAATTTTCAATCGTGCGAGGCCCAAATGCATACGACTTTTGCTAACGAATTTTAAAATAACGACAAATCTCGTTAGATTTACTTGTTCGTTACATATTCATGATTTACAGTATAGCTGAAGTTTGTTATAACAGAAATGCACTCACACCATACAAGCAACACATCATGACTGGCATGTGGCCCATGACTGAGTGCCTTTGGTTACATGATTGTACATGCTCTCCCACAAGACATGGTCCATTACACATGTACCAGTAAACGAAAACAGTTCCATACAACAGGTCTACCTTGTATGGGTTCAAACAGGGACATGAACAATGGTTTGCTATATCATGAAATCCACTAAATGCGAGTTTGTTAGAAGTGGAGTCATAGTGCACCAACAAGGTCGTCGAATGTCTCGTCACCTGAAAATCTAAAAGCGTACGCGAGGTATTATTAGGCCACACGTTTTTATTTCTATGTTTCTCGTCACCTGAAAATCTAAAAACGTATGCGAGAGGTGGAAAAAATAAAAAATGACCGAAAAATAAAAAAAGTTTATTAGACCTTTGTTCACACTAAAATCCACCAATACACCATGAAAAATAGCATCCATAGTTAGCAACTAGTGTGTGGTAGGAGATTCTGTCACAATCCGTGCATCATGTGCATGTGCAGCTAGATTGATCAAAAAAATGCCGTCCTTGCATCATGTGTCGCGCAGGCCAGGCCACATTATGTACATGTGCATGAGTGTGCTGGTTCCCACATGCACAGTCAGTGCAGCACAGTTTTTTTCTTTTTTTCTTCCAGACTCCTGAATCGTATGCGCGCGGGTGACGAGAAACATAGAAATAAAAACGTGTGGCCTTAGGCATGACGAACGAAGGCATATATTTCTCCATCATTTCTAGGTCATTTTTCACAAAAATCCCCAGCTGAAGTGCCTTTCACAGGCTAAAAAAAACAGCTTGAGACGTGATTTTCGTTCGAGCGCCATACCTCCCCTCCAGGACCTCGGATTGCGTTTGGGTGGCTTCTAAACAACAGCGGAGAGTTTGCTAATGCCGATAGATCTTTCAATGAAGCGATTCGGTCAAGTATTCACGAAGTTATGAAAGTTTGAAGTCGCCCGGTTGATTCTGCATACCGGGTTAACGAATATTCGCCATGAGAAATATTCGTTCGAATGTGTCAAACCGAACGAATATTCGAACATTCGGTATATTCGTTTCACCACTACTGCATATACAGGTGGAATCCTGATAATTCGAACCTCAAAATGCCAGGAAAAAACTTCTAATTATGCGGACATTCTAATTATCCAAACATGAACCCACAACACAATATGTATGTCAAAATTCTCTCATGGTCACGCAGAGTTGCGCTATGGACCTTAGACACAGATTTCATGGATACTGAACTGACCGGCACAGCCTGCTCATGCAAACTGAACTGACCAGTACAATGTACAGTGAACTTCGAATTACAGTTTGCTAACTTCGAATTATCAGCACAACTCCCACACGTTTTCTATGAACTAAGTGGAATCTGTGAGACTTCTAATTAACCGGACATATCCAGTTCGAGGTTCGAATTATCAGGATTCGACCTGTACTATGAAATACAGTGGTGGACAGTTACTCTTAACTCGTTTCCATATGTCCTTTTCCTTTCTACAAGTAAAAGGTGTTGCAAACTACTTGTTACAAGATCAAAGTATGTGATCTTAGTTTTCACCAACTTTCACTCCATGTCTGCTTGAAGTGATGCTGTTGCTTTTTTCTAGTGTTGAAACGAGCGTATCTATAACAAACGAACGATCAGTTCCACTACCGAGCAAGCTATCGAGCGAGCTAACGAGTTTCATTGATGTGACAAAAATTGCAAATAATCATTTTTTGGATATTTTTTCTATTACAGTTCGATTTTTTCATCTGGTTCAAATTATCACCGCCGACATTTGGGGTTCCTGCTGCTTCACTTCGGACTGCTGTTTGGTGTCGAGATATTTTTCAGCGCCGTCTTTGAGCAGCCTTTGTAAGAATAGACTGTTTTGCAACGATTGCAAGTAGCCTTGTTCTTCGCTGCATCGCGGGAGAACTTCCAAACGACTGAGCGTAACTTTCACTCGAATGCAGAGTTGACCGAAGCGTGTCCTGCGACAGGTTAGCAGATGCGGAACAAGACATCAGTGGAGTCCACCAAAGCTGCAACGACAACTGAAACAACTCAAGTGTCGTGCAGGTATACAGTCACTGTAACTGTGAGTGATTTTCACTTTGCTCGGGATTGGACTCTCGATCGACCAGAGAGTTGTACAATATTTTACGACTCCCCGATCGAAATGTACTGAAATATGTACGGAGTATGGTGTACGGTGCTCGTTAGTGCAAACGAGCTGGCCGCACAAACGAGCCGAGTTTCTGGCGAGCGAGCTAACGTGTACCCGGTGAGATCGTTTCAACACTACTTTTTTCTACTAGTATACTTCAAATGTGGTCTCTTGGGTTCTTCTCATTCACTTTGGGTTTAGTCTCATTGGCAATTCTATGATTTATTGTGGTACTCCTGCCCGTACAAGAGGTTTCTATCACTTTTATTCGTGATATCTCTTCTAATACAGGAATATGACCTTAGACACTCTCCTACTTGTACTGTATAACAATTCACGTACATTGTAGCCGTATACTAAAAACCTACACACAATTATACAATATGATTGAGCTAAGCCTAAAAGCCTAGCTCACGAACCTGATGGAGGACGACATTCGTGTCGGGGAGAAGGTAATATCCTCCAGACAGCAGATGAGATTCAACCCGCTCTGGTTCAGACTCTAAGCATTTCTCAGTAGCTTGACATGCATCGCAGCACAGACACCCGCACCAGATGTCGTCACGAAGGTAATGCTCACGAACAACTTTTACTACACCACCTTTCTTCGTTTTCTTCACAAAGCTCTTAGTCAGCAGCATCTTGGATGTCGATGTTGGTACCAACTATAGAATGTCTTTCAGCTAACTAGTTCTCCTTCTACTCACATGCCTACAAAGCTGCGCTACTTGCTTATACTTTATAGCTAAAGAAGCAGCAATTGCATGAAAACAAATTTGATCAAACAGAGTTGAAGAAGAGAATATAATAATATAAACGCAAAACAACTATCTATGCATTATTTTTTCAAATGAAAATGTGAGCTCTGCGCGATTACGTGTACATGTACGTACATGCATGGTACGTGTAGTAGATCTACGTTTTTTGGTGCAAAAAAAACTAGATCTACGCGGCCGTGGCACGTGGGCTCAATCGAGCGCGCATGTACGTGTACGTATGACCTGTGACTGTGTTAACGTGTTGTTGTGTGCAGTGCATGCACGTCATCAAGAGTCCATAACCCCGCCCCGCGGCCCGGGGGGTTACGGGTTATGGACTCTTGACGTCATGCAACATTACGAAACCAGGCAAGACAACAATGCATGAGTTAGGCCGCAGGGGAATCCCCTGACCACGTGTAGGCTACAGCAGTAGAGTTTCAGTCGGGGTGTACGAGTACTCAAGAGTACATAACCCCATGGGGTTATGTACTCTTGGTACTGTCTGTGTGTGTGGGACTGTGGGTATTGACTATTGTGCTTGTTGGGTAGCCGAGGGTATAGTAGTCACATACAGATAAAGCAGATATTTCCGATGATCTCCGACTGATACAGTGACTCGTAGATCTACCTGGCTCCGGAGTCTATATCCATTTAATACCATGATTACCAACTAATGCAGCGGATTATCATTCCATGACACAGTGTCTGTAGATGCCAGCAGGGACTCTGAGTAGTACGGGGGGGGGGGGGTATTGTACTACTCCCTGGATGCCAGTCATCTCTGTTCGCATTTCCTGGAAGTTCCTGAAGCGGAGTATCGGCTGCCTTGCAAGCTTGGGAAATTGCCGGATCATACCGTAGTGAGATCGCCGTTTTGGCTCAGTTCAATACCGTGCCAGGAATTCTGACACCTGCATAACCGTGCTACATGATTGTACTTCACTGTACACTCTAAATGACTTCTGTTCACATGGTTTAGCCGATGATAGATTTGCACTGGTCTAGGCGTTCCCCAGCATATCACGTGGTACTCCCTGAGTGAGACCTTGCCATGGAGTAATATCCGCACTGCCGCTGATGGACTCATATCCACACTACATTCATTTCAGCAGCACACGCAGCACAGAACGTAGCGGCACAGAAGACAGAAGAAACCCGGCAGAAATTATATGTGTGCGTGTGTGTGCGGGGGGGGGGGGGTGCCGGTGTGTGTGTGTGTGTTTACACGTTTGTGCCATGTGTATTTGCGTGCTCCTATGTTTGCATGTCGGTAAATGTATCAGTGCAAGTGCGCAAATCAACAGTTATCAATTTGCAATATAAGCGCAGGGCTTGTAATGGAGAACGGTATGGATCATGTCCATGCATGTTTGACATCACACAGTGTGGCACATAAACACACTCTGTGGTACTAAAGTCTGTGATCCTGAGATCTAAAGTTTAGACTCACTCAGTGTACCAGGAAGCACAAAATTGCAGTCCTGGTACCCACTGGGAAACTTTGTGCTACTGATACAAAGAAAAATAATAGGCAATGTACATGTACCAGGTAGTTGAACAATTATAAGCCCAGTCTCTTCTAGAAGCCCTGTCTCTAATATAAGCCCGGGGTCTGGACTGGTTGAAAATATAAGCGCGGGGCTTATAACGGAGATAATACTGCATTTAGTTACTATTTACACTATTTATAAAACGTATGTGATTCAGAGTTACGGACATTTACTGCCACTGCCCGGTCCCGGACCGCCCGAGGGAATGAGGTATGGCTTTGAGTCTACTTCTCTACTCTAGCTCTGTTTAGTTTAGTTTTAGTTTTATTCCAAGCAATCATGGCTGGGGCAGCCAATGACCACTGAATAGTCTGTGCGTGGCGATTGCAGGGTTTTTATAGCCAATCACTGCTACTGCTTGTGCACCACATGATGTCACGTGCATGGGGAAGTAGCTTCTGGATCTGGTCCTTCACTCCAGCTCCATCAAACCAAGGCTTCTCAGACACTGTCACAGTACATGATAGGGCCGTAGTATCCAGTCCGGCCGGTCAGGCCCGGGTCCGGCCAGCCAGGCCATGGTCGGACCTTGAAAAAAGTTGACCTACCGATGCAAAACTTGGTTTTCACATCAACAATGTTCATTTTCGGTGCAGTATCCCATTTGGCCAGACCATCTGAAACCCCGGTGCTATGGTCCGGATCATGAGCTGCCTGAATAAGAAAATGAAGCCGGGACTATGACTTATGTAGCAGCTAGTAGCCTGGTACACTGACTGTACACGGTCTGCGCAAGTGAGTAGTGTCTCATGATGATACAAACTAGTGCTAGCGTTCACTGGCAACTAACCCCTCGTGACTGTGGGTGTACTGTACCAGGGTCTTTGTAGGTGTACTAATGATTATGTGTAGCTGGTTACTCTATACTACAGTCAACTTCGCTAATAACGACTGCGGATATAACGACAATTCGCGAATAACGACAGAATGTCCATGCCCAGAGCAAAGTTCCATCCAACTGTAATACATATAATGAGACTTCGGGTATAACGACACTTCGCGAATAAGGACACTTTTTTGATGCCCTGCCGAATGTCGTTATAAGCGAAGTTGACTGTATAGCATCTACTTGCCAACGGGAAAATTAATTTACAAAAAAACATCCACAATGATTATGTACAGTCAACTTCGCTAATAACGACTGCGGATATAACGACAATTCGCGAATAACGACAGAATTTCCATGCCCAGAGCAAAGTCCCATCCAACTATAATACATAATTATAATGAGACTTCGGGTATAACGACACTTCGCCAATAAGGACACTTTTCTGATGCCCCGCTGAGTGTCGTTATAAGCGAAGTTGACTGTAGTCATAAGATTAAGAAGACCCGGCAACCTAAGAAGACCAACCTAAGAATATCACTTCCGTCCACTCACGGAACTGACTTGCTTGAGCCGATGATGAGGGCGAACTGGCCAAGCAAAGCACTGAGTGAGAGTGAGACAGCGACGACCCCAGAAGTCAGCACGCAAAGGGAGGACGCGGGAAGACCAGTGCCCCAGTGCGGGCACTGTGCACTGCGGTGCCGGCAGTGTCAAGACGTGAGCTGTTACTATACTAATACTAGTTACTTACCTGTTACGAGTACAGTGAGTAGATCTACTGGCTGTAGTTGAAGAAGTGTGACTGGATCGGGAGTGCAGTAAAAACCAGGGAGGCGACGACTACTCCCCGGTAAAACTAAAAAAGCCTGTAAGTGTTTTCTGATGTCAGTGATGACGCAGGTACAGCTAGTTCGCACGTGCAGCGTGCCAGACTGACGGTGCATGCTCGTTTGAGCTAGCTGAGCCATGGCATGAGTGTCTACAAAAATTCGGAATGACTCACAGTCACACTATCCGTTCCTTGACCTTGGACTTGGTTCGCCTTCCCTATCCGTAGCCAAGCCGGCCCTAGGCTTAGGTCGTTACGGTTAGAAGCTGCGACACAGCACACATCGAGCGGGCACGACAGGATTTCCTTGTCAAGGCTTGTTTAGGTCGCATGGCACGAAAAAGGTGCTGCAGTCGAAGGGCAGACTACAGTAGTCGGGGCTACGTGCGTAGCGCCTGCACATCCGTCATCGGGATCAATGACTTCTTGAAGTAGACACATCTCACTGTGCATGAAAGACTTTTAGTAGCAATGCTGGGGACTGTACATGATTATTGTGTGAGATCTACCACTACCCTCCGAGATCCTGAAGGCGAGAGACGGGCGTCGGTGGGATAACCACTTTTGGGATCGATGGGAGAAACAATGCTGGTGCATTTAGCGGCTACTGTTAGTTTGAAAAATAACCTTTGCAGTCTCCTGAATAGAAGTAATTCCGGATAGCGTGGAGCAGAGTCAGTGCCATGAACAACGAAGATGAAGCCTTGCATCAGTTCATGCAAGAATGCCAGGAGGAGCTGGTCAACGGTCTATCACAGGAGCGGATTGGGGAGCTGCTTGAGTGGCTCAAAACCCGTGAAGTCCTCAATGCAGTCGAGTGTGAGATGATAAAATCGGCTGGACCCACGTATTACCAGTCCGAATCTCTTCTAAAAATACTGCTGGCCAGGGACACACGCGAACATTGGATACCACTCTGGAATGGCATAGCTAAACATGCCCCACCGTTGCACGCTAAGATCTACCCTACCATCGGCGCGAAGCTTGGAGAGAATGCTCTGGCTGGTAAGCGAACCGACTCTCCTCCCACACACACACACACACACACACACTAAATGTCGTTCGTATCATGTAAAACACTACTTCGAAGTACACGACATATGTTGCGGGAGTCAGCAGGACACTATGGCAGTGCGGAGGAAGTCCGATCACCGATTTCTGCACGTGCTCCGGAACAGCAGTTACATAATCCGATAAAAACATCTTTGCAGTACAGGTGGAATCTTGATAATATTGTTCGAATATGGTTTACTTGGAGCATACATGTACATGTACAGTAGTAGGTGAAACGGTTCGGATAAGGAACCGGTTTTGGAACCGCCAGCTGAAAAGAATCGGGTACCCGTTCCGTCGAATTTCGAACAGAAACTCGAAAAAATCTCGTTTTTGTTCAAATACAATCATGTACACGTCAAGTCTACTCAAGATTTTAAATGCCTTGCGATCCCCACTCTTCCAAAGAGTTCTCTGGTCATATCTTCTTCGCACTTGGACTCTCCGATGTCTCATTCTTGCTCGTAAAAATTTTTTTTTCTAAAAAATAATTATCGTGAACGCATTTTGTCGGTGTGGAGAAAAGAGTGCATGGAACTGATACCCGAACCGTGGAAAACAATGCTGGCATTCGGGTACCCGAACATGAAAAACATGGAACCGTTTCACCCCTAATGTACAGTCAACCTCGTGAATAACGGCCCCGGGTAAAACAAAAACTCACGAATAGTGACACAATCTTTGGACCTAGTGACCATTCAGCTGCATACTCTCAGCCTAGCGAATAACGACAACTCACATAGAACGACACTTTTCTTCTGTACGATCGAAGGTTGTTATTCGCAGGGTTGACTATCGCTAAATTAGAAATCCTTTGCCAGACCGATTTCAGTCACTGTATGATACGATTCCCGCATACTAGTATTATAGCAATGTACGATAATTGGAACCGGCCTCAGCCTGGACATGTGCACTCTATTAGTACCACGAAATAGACCTACTGGCTACATAGAACATGTGTGGGATTCCTGCTGGTAGTTCGAAGTTAGCAAGGCATTATTATCCAAAGTTCACAAAGTTCAAAGTACACCGCACGCATGACCAGGCTGTACTGGCAAGCTCAGAGTTGGCTGCATGTGTGTGCGTGCGTGCGGCATGCATGTGCGTGTGTGTGTGTGTGTGTGTGTGTGTATGTGTGTGTGTGTGTGTGTGTGTGTGTGTGTGTGTGTGTGTGTGTGTGTGTGTGTGGAGTATGTGGTGTGGTGTGTGTAGAAAAAAAATGGAAAAATGAAAAATAGGGATTCACTGGCCAGAACAAGTCACTTCAAACAGCTGTGTGGTGGATACCAGGCTAAAAATAATGGCGGTCAATTCATCAGCCTTGAAAGTTGTGGAATGGTGTAATCCCAGCACAAGTTGCTATGTCTAACATAGCTCAGTGTTCGCTATCATCGCTTCCACGATGGGCATGTCTGAGGTCTGAGGTGTGTGTGTGTGTGCGTGCGTGCGTGCGTGCGTGCGTGTGTGTGTAGTAGTAGTAGCCGAGACTGGTTGGTAAAGTAACTCCAATTTCACTTCAAGGTACCAGTGCATCTAGTGTCTGCTTCTATCAAAGCAGCTTGCTGTCTATACTGGTTACCCCAGCAAGTGTAGGGTGTGCATAGGTAACTAACTGTCTTGGCCGTTTTATGCCGATGTACTCTGTGTGGTGTAGACCAGGTGTGCATTGGTGGTCGATTCACATGGCTTCGCCAGTTGTGTGGATTAGACAGTTATCTGGCGCAAGTCTTGATCTGTCTCATTCAGATCCTGTTCGCTATCGTTGCTATAAGAGAAAATCTGTGGGTGCACATCCAGTGCATTTGCAGATTTGCGTGCTTCTCTTGCGATGGGCGTATACATGGTACATGGTGTGTGTATGTGCGTGTGTGTGTGTGTATGTGCGTGTGTGTGTGTGTGCGTGTGTGTGTGTGTGTTTGTGTGTACATGCATGTTTGTGTGTGTGTTTTCATAAAATTGGTTTTGGCTACCTGGTCCAGGTTTGACTGTACCAAAGGCACAGCCTTCCGTCGCATCTCGTACCCACTCTTTCAAGAAGCACAGCTCGTCTGGAAGAAGTAAGGTTTGCTGACTGGACTTCCTAGAGCCAGAAGAGTTAGCGATATTTCGGTGCAGGACGACAGCACTGCAGCAAAGTCAAGGCTAGACTGTTCATGCCTGTATATCATGTTACCACCACGGAGATCAACCGTGTACAGCTGATCTGCGTTTAAAGGTATCACTGCCGTCAATCAGGCAAGGGTACAGTGCTGGTGTAGCTAAAAAAACAAAACAAGTAATAGCCATGACATACCCAAACCTCATTGGTGTGCGATGCACCTAGCTCCGGTAGCCTCATCTTCGTATCCAGACCATGGTACTTGCGCTTTGCTCTGACTATACACACACACACACACACACACACACACACACACACACACGTGTGTGCGGGCATGCATGCCCCCCCCCCCCCTCTCTCTCTCTCTCTCTCACGGCATCACCACCAAACCTCAAGCAGCTAGTTTTCAATACGAATACACTTGTAGACAGGCTGCCACGATAAAAGAAATTTGACAACTACTGTGTGACGTAGTCATTTTTATGCTTAGACCTCTCTGCGACTGGTTATTGAGTCTGTGTCCCCTCATGCTCTATGTTAACCAGGCCACAGTGTCGCTGGTCCACCCGGTGCAGATCAGGTATCACCGACACCCAATAATGTGGGACCTCATTCTGTGGGTGCTACATCCTCTACTGCTATTGGTGCTAGTGCTGCCAACCTTCCCACCGAGCAAGGCAATGCAGACTTGCTGCAGCAGATTGAGCAGCTTACCCAGGAAAGGAATGCTGCTCGAGCGGAGCGCAAAGAAGCACTCGCTGAGGTGGAGGCCACCACTGCTCGCCGCTACCAACTGGAAGAGCAGATCACAGCAATGAAATATGGCTCGGAACCACTGAAGAGTGAGCTAAGACTGCTAAGAGATCAACTGGCCAAGGTACTAGCTAACATCTTAGCTCTATGTTTGCAACTTACCTTGCCTTGCATCACAAAGTTCTTGTACGTGCAATTTCATGTACATTGTGCTTTGCTTTGGTTCATGCCTTCATGGTGTTTCTGCTACTGGCTGTGTGTGTGTGTATGTTTCCATCAGACCATTGTTGACCGTGATGAAGCAATTCAGCAAAAGGACCTCTATAGGGATCAAGGAAGAGCGGCCACTGAAGAAAACCAGGCGGTGCATAAGATGCTATCGGGACTGCAACGCAGCCACCAGGAAACTCGAGAGCAGATGAAGAAACAAGTAAGCTGTATTGAGGTGATGTACGTACTCGAGTAGATAGTATTATAGAATCCACTGCTAGCCTCAAGTCAGACTTCCATATTGTTGGCCTGTCACCCGTTTTACATTCGCTCTAGAACTGTGCGTATGCGGTGGACACGTAACCGTTGCTGTGTTGCAGACTTAGCTGAAGGGTGGAAGCCGGGACTAAGCACAAACATCCACTTGAGAAGGTTCAAACTGTGTGAAGCAAGTACAGGTTCTATTAGTAGACAGCACGCAGCATATACCGACGCTGCATTAATGCGTTTGAATTTCAACACGTAACTGCAACCCTGCTTGCAAGCATGGCTGATCATCGGTTCGCAGTTACAATTACATGTATAGTATACACATATTGTGTGCACCCCTTCGCTGTGTCTCTACACAGATGGATTTCTACGAGACAGAACTTGACCGCGGCCGATCTCGGCTCCAGGACTTTGGTGTTCAAGAGGCGATGTTATTACAAGCCCAACAGGACATCATCCGACAGAAAGAGATGCTGGCCCAGCTCAGGCACGAACTGGACAGGTCGATACCGTATGAAGTCAAGGACGGCCGCCTGCAGATCCGTAGCCGTTTGCTAAGCAGTACTGGAGACTCGGGCGTGCACGAAAGAGGTGGAAGCAGTGATGTGAGCAGTGCCACGGTTCAGATTATGTATGGTGGCCATGATTGGGGCTTTTAGTTGAGGGGGGGGGGGGGTATAAATCCATGCTCACTAGGCAAGGAATGGCGGCGTAGCACTGGAACTTGAGCGGTGTGTCTGGTGATTTGTGTCATGCTGCAAACTCAAGTTTGCAGTTGAGGCATTATTGGTATGGACAACAACAATAACACATCACTGGTGCGTAGCCCTCATGGGGCAATCAGGGCGGGACACCCCCCCCCCCCTAAAAATGTCGACCTAGATTTAGCATGTACATAATGACTATGTATGACATTCCCCAGCCATCCTACACATATGCAGCCGTGCAACCCCCCCCCCCCCCCCCTAAAGGGGGGGGGCGGCGGCGGCTATGCCCCTGCATCAGGCAGCTCATGCTGGTCACTCATGGTACAGACTAGAGATAATACTGAGATAACCACTGCTTAGGTAAGTCTTGCTTGTTGGCAAGTCCCTAGGTACATGTATATGCTTTCCTGTTCATGAGCACTCAGAGACAAGCACTGCTAGCTTCAATGATTTAAATTGCACTACCAACACCTAAGTGATGGTTATACTGTGGCTGGATGGAGGCATTCGTTCTGTTCTTATTTATCTCCACTCTTGGCAGCTGTCTCACTCTGGCGTCTGCGTCTATCCATGTGAAATGGAGATCACACTCAACGTACAGGATGGTAAGTAAATAAGTACAACGCAGACAGTGGTGTGGGCTGGACGATCAACATTTTCAGAACAAGGCGAGCTTGCGCAAGCGCTATGATCTACGTTGCTATGTATTCTGGTGGAATGACGTTCACATACATGATACTTTATTGGATACCGATAGGCTTTTGTGTTGTGCTTCCCAGCCTTGCTTTCCAGAGCAGAAGACCTTTGCTCTTGGATACTTGAGATGGTGAATATAATCTCTGCATGTATCAACTGGTGATTGCCGTATGGGTGACCAAGCACTTAACAGTTTGTCCGTTTCACCGTTTGTGCGTGTGTTGTCACAGTTGAGCCGGGAATCACGTTTGACACTGGTGTATTTGTGCATGGACTGGCCCCTGGCTACAGTGCCGCAATGGATGGCCGCGTAGCCGTGGGCGATCGTCTCATTGAGGTAAAAAGGCTGGTATGGTGAACTTCTGATCTTGAATTGCAGTGATGTACGTTCTTCAAGCAAAGTTATAAGTCATTGTTAGCGCACGCGCTCCAGTTGTGATGATGCTTACTTCGGGAACAGAATCAAGACACAAGGCAGGTCACTGGTGGTTATTATTGACTTGCCTGCTGCCTATGGTATTCAGTGGATTTAGACTTATTTTGTGCTGTTGTTGCTGTTGTTGTTGCTGCTGCTGCTGCTGCTGCTGCTGCTGCTGTTGTTGTTGTTGTTGTTGTTGTTGTTGTTGTTGTTGTTGTTGTTGTTGTCGTTGTCGTTGTCGTTGTGGGTGTTGGTGTTGGTGTTTTTGTTGTTGTTGTTGTTGTTGTTGTTGTTGTTGTTGTTGTTGTTGTTGTTGTTGTTGTTGTTGTTGTTGTTGTTGTTGTTGTTGTTGTTGTTGTTGTTGTTGTTGTTGTTGTTGTTGTTGTTGTTGTTGTGGTCGTCGTCGTTGTTGTTCTCCAGATCAATGGCGTCTCAACTTCAAACTTGACGACTATCGGTGAAATGGTGCGTGGCTGCCGTCGCAAGTTGAACTTGGTCGTACAGCGCTATATGCTTGTGCCCAAGCTGTATTTATCCAATCTCCCTCCGCTGCCATCCTCCACTGTCATCCCTTTTAGAACTCCAGTGTCGTATCCATCACCGGTGGGTGCCTCTATAGGTGGTGCTGTCTCTCAAGATGGCTACCCAGTGGACAGAAGCTCACTAGCAGGTAGTGGTAGTGTTGGCCAGCAATCTCTCTGCTCACACAATTCTGGTCTCTCCGTCAAGTCTTTCCACTCCATGCATGACAATGGCTTCCGTGGCAACCATTCCTTGCCAAATTACTACCATGCGTCTCACTTACACCCTGCCAATAACCACCCTGCCAACCACCAGGCCAGCGCTGGCGACCGACAGTTTGCTTTCTTGACAGGACCCGTCGTTGCCGCCATGGCCAACAAACAGCGATCGTTCAGCCCGGCTAGAATGCCGGCAGGAGTAGCAACGCAACCAATGCCAGGTGGAAGTCCAAACGATGCACACACTCGTACTGCCAATCACCCCCTTCAACCATATCAATCTTTGACGACCGTACCTGGTACTACGTCCCATCAGCCACTGATAAGACACATGTCAGCATCAGACAGTCAACGCCACCAGGAAGTCTTGGCTAAGCCGGTTTTGCTCAACTCGTCAGACGCACCTCACTTCGGCGCGCGGGATAGTCCGCGCCACCCACTGCAACTGAACCACTACACCAGCGTGCCTGACCTGGGTCCGCACGAGCAGATACCAACGTATCACAAACCGCGAATACGCCACGGTACAAGCACTGGCATCCCACCTCGCTTCATTGACCCGCACGCAGCCGCAGCACACAAGCGAATTGCCCGCAGTACCGATTCACTGCCACGCGTAATATCCAAACCCAGCGATCCTACTCAGCTGAATCTGAGAACGGTGTCTCCCATTCCGCAGCAGCCTGCCCCTCGTCACCGAGATACTGGTGCTGGTGAATCCAGTAGTGGGTCAGAAACCAGTGGCATGGAGATGGAAATACCGTTTGTTCGTCCTATTAATGGTCCACTGGACAGCATACCAAGCAGCAGCAGTGTAACAACTGCATCCACTAGTGTTCTAGGAACGGAGTCTTCGCGGCTGACGGTACGCAATCCACCGCAAGACATCACTATTCCTGCGATTGAGCTGCTGCACTCCACAGATGGTGGGAGAAGTACTGTTCCAATGAAGCCTGAAATAACAGTGAACGGTGCCAATCTTACTCAACGTGAGGTCACACCAATAAAATTACGCGCTCCTCGGGAAGTGCTCAACAAGCTAACTTCAAGGTGAGAGGGGCTGCTGACAGCGGGTGTAGGAACTATCTCCATGCAGGAATACGTCTATGTGGCATTGCTCCGCATGAATCATGTGTTAATCATTGGTTGTGTGTCATGAGCTGGTCACCCAGGAATTCCTATTGAGTAAAACTGGTTCTCTTTCTCTCTCTCTCTCTCTCTCTCTCTCTCTCTCTCTCTTCCCTCCTCTCCCATGTTTGCATGATAGATACGAGCCCGGTACGAATAGAAGCGTTGGCTCATCGAGTAGCAGGGAGGTGATTCTTAATCGCAGTTCAGAAGAATCTACTTTGGATGGGTTCAGTATCCGAGGAGGTCGGGGCAACGGTGTCTTTGTCTCTTCGACGCCGGCATGGATGTCAGAAGATGGTCTGGTAGTCGGTGATCGGATTGTGTATGTAAGTACATTTATCTGTCAACTGGGATACCATATGGCCTCTGATAGTGTACATATATAGAAGGCTTATGGCTGGACAAACATCGCCTGCAACAACAACACCCAGTGGCTTTGAGAAAGCAAACTCATGATCGACTCTCCTGTTTTGTGCCCAACTTCACAGATTGGTGGTGAAAATGTAGAGAATGCTACATTTGAGCACTGCCACTTCCTCATACAGTGTTCGCTGGTGTACGGCAGCTCCCTGGCCTTCATTGTCGACCATGACTTGCCAGGTAAGAACTTCTAAGAAGTTAGAGGGATCCGGAGACATAAAGGAAGCATCAATGTCAACCAAGCAGGCAGAAGTTTGCATTTCGATGCGGGCTGATGTCACATTGTGCCGGACACCCGACTTGCATGGGGCTCATGATTGGTTATCTCTCTAGTTTCTGTCTTCTTGAAATCTTTAAGAGCTATTTAATTTGCTGTCTTTTTTCTGGTAGTTGTTGGCCAAGGTCCAATAGCGTAATCAAGGAATTGAAGACTTATTTGCAACTGGCCCGGTCCATTAGCACCCCACCCCCTCCTTTTGTTCAAACTTTCTCAATGTGTATTCACTGTGTATTGGTCCTACTGTGCATTCATGTTTTTGTACAGGGCTGAGGAAATTGGCAGAGGGAGCTCGGGACAACTTCTATGTCAGGTATGGAGTATATAATTATGACGCCAATTAGGACGAAATCTAGAGTGCTATGTGTCTAGGCACGGACGTCGACACCTCATGAATAATTTAACAAATAGAATGGATTCGGATGGAGAGCCAAGGATTAATTTATAGAAAAGAAGAAAAAAAGACCAAGAAACTACAAGCTTAAATAACCGACGAGGAGACAACAGTCGTAAAATAGCAATGAAAAGTATCAATTGTGCACTCATATCATAACCATGTATAAAACAATTTAAAAAATGAAACAATTCCAGAACGTTTTCTCGTGACTATCATCAGTGGAACATCGTCACATACCGTAAAGTACCGTTGATCCGCCCCCACGCCATGTCGCTTCCCAGCTGGGTTTTCGGCAGGGGGCGGGAATTAGATCAAGGCTGTCAAGTGCAGTACGATGTACAACAACGTAGAGGATCAGACTCAATGTGCTGAATTGTGCACATTTTGATCCTGGATTGGCAAGTATTGTGTACAGCAGTGCATGCGTCGGTTCAACATCGTATTTCGTTGTATACGGCGAAGTCGCTTCACAAGGAGAAAATCGACAGGGGGCGGGAATTAGAGAGGGGGCGGATCAACGGTATTTTACGGTAGTAAGAATGACTAAAACAACCAGTTATATAGCTAGAATAATATGAAAAGAAGCGTGAGAATGCAGCAGCTAGCGCTTAAGCGGTTACGTTCTGGAATTGATTGTTTTATACATGGTTATGATATGAGTGCACAATTGATATTTTTCATTGCTATTTTAAAACTACAAGCTACGAGATAATGTCCACTAACACCACTAGTTACTAAACAATCAGCTCATGCGATAAAATTGCATGACATTGACTGACGGTACTGACGTTCTACAACTAACTGGCTAACAGCTCTAGCGCATCTTGGATGCGCACTCCAACAGCCTTCCAACTTGGAAGGTTCTAAGTTATAGAAATAACATAAGGAGGGGAAGGTGAGCGCAACCAAGATCAGCACGAGCTGAAAGTTTCAGCTGTGCAGGACGTTGGCGGATGTTCATGCATATCGATGACGATACTGGCAAGACCATTGGATAATACGATCAAACCATGATTCAAGGACGCAAAGATACATTCCACACAACTTGTGTGGCTCAGAAGATGCGAAGATCAATAAAAGGGGAAGCCATGCGAACACGAATCATGCAAAACCGAACGCCTCAGTAAAACAGCACTGTTGTTCGACGATGACAATTTCAAGATGGACAATAAACAGCGGTAACAAGAAGCAGTTTCACATAGTACCATCCGTCAGTGTTGTGTAATGTTATCGCAAGAGCTGATTGTCTAGTAACTGGTGGTGTTAGTGGACATTATAGCGTAGCTTGTAGTTCCTTGCTCTTTTTAAAAAGAGAATATGTTTTTTTTAAATTTTGAATTGTTGACATGGAAACCTCGTGAATACTGCTGTTATACTTGATTTCTACTTCAAAGTGTCAGCTTTACATGTACCTGTTCATTCCCATTTCCAAAATCAATGTAGGACACTTTGTTGAAAGAGAAAGAGAACCCGTGTATACTGGTTCTATTGCCGATGTTTCTGCTGCTGTGTATGCTGCTTTTTATTGTTGGTGGTGGTGGTGACGGTTGTGGTGTGATGCAGGTGCGAGTTCAACTATGCACGCATGGAGGAAGGCGAGCTGGAGATCAGCCGTGGAGACATTCTGCACGTGGTGGACACCATGCACGAAGACCGCACGGATTCCTGGTTTGCCTACAAGATGAAGGGGGCACAGCGTACCACCGTCGCCGGCATTGTTCCAAGCAAAAACCGGTGAGCAGGAATTACTCCGCATGATGATGCTGTGCAGGAATTACATGGCATTCATTTCCCTTTCCTCTCTTCCTCATCTTTCCTTCCACAGGAGAGCTCCTCAATAGGATCCCACAGCTTTTAGCCTTTTTGGTCAATCCTTTAAAAAATATCAATCGATCAATCAATTATTCCGTATCATGTGGTGATGCACTTCCGTCTATGTACTAGGACAAGCTGTTCAAGTTTGCTTCACTCTCCTAACTGCATGTAGAATGTTTCATTCTCCTTTCTGCATGTACAATCATGAAATGTCTACTGTCAGTGCCATTTTATCTGAACTTCTGTCCGGTGGGTATTTCTGAATTTGCTCTGCTGGTGACAGGGCCAGTGCGTTGACGATACGACGTAGGAGCTCACAAGTGTCTCGAGACCTTGACATGGATGACCCGCATCCTCCCTTGCAGCAACGAGGTGCCTCTCCCAAGCCAGCGGTGCGCCGAGGAAGCTTGAAAACCAACTTCAAGCTGAAGAATCTGTTTTTGAAGCGCATCCCTAGCGGAGAGGATCAACTCGCGGTACCACTGCCATCTACAGCTCCAAGTTAGTACTGTGCTGTACTGTACTGTACTGTACTCAAGTTGGAGATTAAATTTGACTACAATCAACTTCGCTTATAACGACACTCGGTGGGGCATCAGAAAAGTGTCTTTATTCGCGAAGTGTCGTTATACCCGAAGTCTCATTATATGTATTACAGTTGGATGGGACTTTGCTCTGGGCATGGAAATTCTGTCGTTATTCGCGAATTGTCGTTATATCCGCAGTCGTTATAAGCGAAGTTGACTGTAGTAGATTTTATTCATCTCGATGATTGAAATTACTGAATTGTACAATTGGGATTGGTTGACTTGCCTGGGGAAGCAAAGCGGCAATGGGGGAGAGGAGGTAAGCACCAGCCTCACTTTGCGGAGCTCATTGAAACAAGAGGTCTCTCACACCACCTGCCGTTCACGGTCAGAAATCAGAATAGACTATGCTGCATTTGCCTTCACCTTGCCCGTATGCGCAACAGCTGCATGTTGGTCCTGTCGTTCAAAGTTTCAAGCTGGTTTGCATTCGCAGTGAGGAAACTGTGTTCAATGGTATTTCTAACATTTGGAATGATACTGAACTCTTGGTTGATACGTGAAGTGTTGGACTTAGATGTTCTGGTGTCTGTCTGTCTGTCTGTCTGTCTGTCTGTCTGTCTGTCTGTCTGTCTGTCTGTCTGTCTGTCTGTCTGTGCCTACTTGTAGTGACAATGAGAGATAACATCCCTAAAGGATACAGCAATGTTCAGCTTGTGTCATGTAAGTATGTGTACCGTGACTTACATACCTGCGGGAGTGTGTGTGTAGTGCGTGGTGCGTGCAGGCATGTGCGTGAACACACAACGAGGGGACATGTAACCCGTCGGCAATGGCAATGTACAGGACAGGGGTGTGAATGTGGCAGTAAGAATGACAAACTAATCCCTTACTCTGCCTTATTGCACAATGACGGGTGTGTTGGCTGTCCGATTGGTATGTCTCTACCAACGGTGCACATACACGTATGCTTCTCTGAGTTTGATTAATCACTACGGCGGGACCATAGAAATATACCCAAATGCTTCAATCCAGGGACCATAGAAAGGTACCCACATGCTTCATTCCAGGACAGTATTGCTTTGTGTCTGGCTGCACGTTCGTACATGTGAGATGAAGTGCTTGTGTTTCTCTCTTCTGTTTCTTGCAGTCAAGAGACCTCGTCCGGTGTTGCTTCTGGGAGTGTGTGTGGAGTTCTTTGTCAACCAACTCCTACAAAATTACCCACAAGTATTCTTTCGTGCTAATCCCGGTAAGGCAGCGTGCTGTCGACTGTTTTTTTAAGTAATTGCTTTACAATATAATAGTGTAACCGTGAATCATACGATCATATGCGCCATGCCATGCACTGTGGCATGATTTCAGGCAAATCCCACTGCTAGTACGCTAGTACTACATTGGGCGCTTTCGATTACACGCATTTCGGTTAATTCTAGAATTAGTTATTGTTGATGCACAGTTTGATTACACAAAAAGTGACAAATTCCGTCGTTAGAATTGATTTTATCCAATTCCGTCAAATCCGTCAATTCTGAAGAGAGGGCGGAATTTCTCTAATTCTGGCGCCAGAATTGCACAGTCGGTGTGTTACCGGTCTGGTCATGACTCAAGCGCGCGAAGAGCCTCCCTGGCCGGCGTGTGCCCGATGCTGGGTCCACGTGCGCGCGAGGGTGTACGTGATCTCTTTTTACGATTCATTAATTTTGTTTGTGACATGACATGAATAAAATGCGTTGTGAATTCCAGTCGTTTGTTTACAAGGCCGGAATCCGCTCATTCTGGTCATTCCAGAATTGTGTAAACGTGTAATCGAAAGCGCCCATTGTATTCCTCAAAGTGTTGCAGTACATTATAAGGATGCTAGTATTAGATGATCTACAATTGTAATGCTCCGGTACACTGTATGTACATGAGTGTGTACACCAGGCACTCATTCAAGTAGTGCTACTGGTGTGTGTGTGTGTGTGTGTGTGTGTGTGTGTGTGTGTGTGTGTGTGTGTTTGCATGGTGTTTTTGTGTGTTGCAGAGCTCTTCTCCAGCGGTTTTGCGGTAAAGGCTGGACTAGAGAACCGTTCGATATTGAAGTGCAGTCCACCGCTGGAAGACACTGCCGCCAGTAGTAACTGCAGCAGCAGTATGTCAGCGGGTTATCAATGCCTTACCATGCAGAGTATCACAGGAGATGATGTACGTACATGGATGACATGATACTTTTTCTGTGGATCAGGTTTTACTTGTAAATCATGTTAGGCTGATTGCAGGCTGCAATCAGTATGTCTAACATGCTTTTTGCCATACGTGTAGAACCCTGTACATTGTTTTCACACCTTTGTCATTTGACTAGATTTGTGTAGAAACTAGAAAGTGATCATGGCATGTGGACAGTGGAACCAACATTGTTGTTGTTGTTGCTTCAAATCTTTAGTCTCACGATGGCCTGTGGCCAATAAGAAATAGTTGTTGCTGTTGTCGTCGTCGTCGTTGTTGATAATGCAGCGTCGACATTGTATACTGGAGTTCCAGGCTGGCTACATCGACCTGTTGGAGCAGTGTGATCTGCATCCCATTGTCCTCTTCTTGCAGCCCAAGTCAGAGAGAAAGCTTCGGTGAGTGCAGTGTTTGAGCGGTTGACCTGACCCGCACCGCAGAGCAGAACTCTATCCATGCTGCATACCTTAGAGGATTACCATGTACACCTTCTGTACATCTGTCATGGTAACTTGCGTGTGCGACAATAGACAAAACAGTAAACTCTGTCGACGGTATTCACTCAAGGACGCACCCTGATTCTTTTTGAAATACCTGGTCGCATGAGGGAACCAGATAAAGGAAGATTGGATCAGAGAGGTCTTATTGTAATGCAAGTAGGTTCAATCCTTCAGCGCTGTCCTGGATAGATTCCGTGCAATTGGTGCCAATATCGATACTGCTCATACGCGATGCACAACCAAAAGCAACATTCCCCCAGTGCTGTGGTTTGGTATGTTGAGCTGCGGATAAGCCTGGAGAACACTTTCTCTAATGCCTAGATGCCGCCTATTTTTGTGAAGGTTTGTTTTATTCGTCAGACTGGCCAGTGTATTCATATGTGTCCCATTGCTCCTGGTCTTACTCTGCTTACTCAGGTTGCTGGCAATGCAAACAATGGGAAACGACACGTCAACAGTGGTGTCGCGTGAGATGTTCGAGACGGCAACGGATGACCTAGCCAAATGGAGATGCAAACTCACAGGTATGCCGCCGCAGACTGTTTGGCATGACACCATCCAGGCTATGGCAGTGGTGCTATAACACACATGTGTGTGTGCGTGTGTGTGTGTGTCTGCCCGCGCGCGCGTGCTTGCGTGCGTGTGTGTCTGCGTGACCCGTTCTGATATCCAACTCCACTTTCCCCGCATGTGCAACTAACACTGGAGAAACATGCCTCTCTCTGTTGCTGTTTCAGGGGTCATCGACGTCGGTACTGGTATTGATCGCACGCAGCAGAAAGTGGTGAACCGTGTGCAGGGGTGTCAGCGCGGGCAGAATTGGATACCTGTGCGAAGTGCTATGTGAGATACAGGCGTGCAGCTAGTCGCCTGACTTGTATACCTAGTAGTCCCACCCGCATGCTGTTACAATAGTTGCCTTTTTTCTCTTTGCCTCCCCCCCCCCCCCCCCCACACACACACCCTCCCACACACACACACACTCCCTTACCCATTGCATTGTAGCAACAAGTAAACACATTACCTAGGATGTGCTCCTTCACGTTAACTCAGAGTAGACCTGTTGAGAGAATCATAGGATGGTGATCAATTCAGGATTGTGTTGAAATCAGCTTGACTTGATCTACTACTAGTATCAAAATTACATTTTCTATCTACTTCTACTGGCCGTTACGCGCCCGATTGGTTGAGAGACTCACCTCCTCTCCCCTGACTCACTTGTGAGGTCTGCATTCGCCACTAAGGTGAACAGGCATAGTGGTGGCCTGCAGATGCAAAGGCTAGTTTGTGTGTTTCTGAACATTCAAGCAATGCCGACGCGGATCCCGCGAATATTATATTATTATCTACTTCTTTATGGTTTTTCAGACTTGGTTGCCCCCCCCCCCCGACCTCTTCCCGTTGATTGGCAAGGGATGTGGAGTAAATCAATCCGCAAGTAAAATATTTCCGACAGTGGGTTTTGTGTTGGTGTGTAACACCCTACTTTCCTGTATTGCCTATGCATATCCCGTATGCCCTAGTAGACGTCATGGCACAAAAGTGCGGAACTAAAACGAAAAGAAGTCGACTCTGCGAATACACAAATTCTATCTACAATCGTTCGCCGATCCCTAGCAGAGTTATGTACTGCTAGTACTTGCTTTTTGTTGATCTCCTGGGATATATTGTGACATTCCAGTATGGCTGTAGCCGGGTGCGTATCACTTCGCTTTCCCCGTACAAGTATGTTTGACACTTAGTAGCTTGATGAGAACATCATTTGAGACTGGTAAAGTCAAGTACTGGAAAGTATTTTCTTCTCTGCTTTCTTTCCCCATGTATTATTATTCATGTTATCATGTACCTTGAGCAATTCTTCTTCTCCTTTTATATTTTTTATTTTCTTCATTTCAAATTCTAGTAGATATCAAAGATTTCAAATTCAATTAGTTTTATAGTGACATACATCCAACTGAAGAGTATTGGAAGAAAAATGTCTGTGTTTCAAAAATCATCCGCCTTGGCGCTCTGTGTGTGTGTGTGTGTGTGTGTGTGTGTGTTTGTGTGTCTCAAACGAATCCCCCGTTTGACGGAGGATGTGTCAACACCAGGATTATCCTGACAAAGAAGCCAGGACTGGACACAGGGTAGCATAATCATTCTGTAAAGGCCAATATTCTAACGAGCCGCGAATCATTGTAGCGATTTCCTAAATTGACCGGTTTACTTGTACCAAAGGTATAAACGATTCTCACCCAGGATTTAGCTCTTTGTAAGGCTTTTGCAGTAGTCTATCTCCCGAACGGCCCCTCTATCGCAAATAACTGACTTCACTATAGTAAAACCTGTGACTAACGACCACCTCTTGGGGCCAGAGAAAGCGGTCTTTAGTGGCAGGTGGTCTTTAGTTAGAGGTTTGCACCACACAGCCATACTATGATTGAGACACCATCCGTGCCTGGCGAAGTGGTCGGTAGTTCCAGGCTGGTCGCTAGTCACGGTGGTTTTTAGTTACAGGTTTTACTCTATACGTTTGGGCCTGGCTCATGATCAGGGGCTAGCCGGGCTATTAAACATAGACAAATCAGATAATCAGAGACTAGACTCCCTCAGTGTCCATTCGACAGCATTTTACACAACTCTTCCACGGATGTTGAATATAAAAAAATAAATTATAAATAAGACACAATATAAGGAGTCCAAGCGGATGCGTTTATATACATGGAAGATAGGGGTAGAGCTAGCGATAGCGGTGTGGTTGTGCATTAGCGATGACAGCAGAGGTTGTAGGAATTATATATAAAAAATATGTTAAAATGCCTTTCGGCAAAGATGGTTGCAGTGGTCCACAATGACTGTGAGTTCCAGGTTAGTAAGTTAGAATGATGACACTGCACTGCCATGGCGAGTCGGTCCCAACACACAGGAAGCATCACGAGTGCCAATATACTGCGACAGCGTTAGCACGGGAGGCAGCGTAGCTGCTGGCTGAGAAAGTTACACGAGTGTGCGCGGGTCCTGGTAGAATTCACTGTGCGAGCGGATTGCTGCAAAGCCCGGATCGTTCAAGAAGAATTGATATAGCTGACTGAACGTGGGCCGCTCGCGCTCTTCCAGAGACCAGCATTTCAGCATCAAGCGATATGTATGCTCTGGACAGTAACTGGGCCTGGCGAGACGATCACCTCGGTTTTCTAGCATCTCCAGCACCTAAACAGATGGTCAAATCAGAGAGATTGCGACATTCACATGCTTAGTACACTGCTCTCCAAAACACTACATACGCATCAAACATCTCTTGCAAAGCAGCTGTTACATGTGTAGTTATACCAACAGCTGCGTGTAACTGTTACACACAGTGATTTCGTCAGGTGAAACGTGCAATACTGCAAGAGTTGAATCTCTAATGACCACAAAGAGAAAACATCCATCATTACTCAAGAAACGCGGTATGTGCAGCTGACGTGACACAGCATGCTGACTTTGTCACTAGTGACACACATCTACTAAACGCGACCATAGGTGTCTCTGTCTGAAGAAACCTTTCTACGGATCAGTCAGAAGAAGAGGAGTGTATTAAATTTTGCAGTAAAGAGACCATTGACTGTGTATCCTAGGAAGGAGTGGTGAGTAACAAATCACGAAATATGATTCCATTTGCTCTGCTCCAACAGATAGATACATAAATGTTATGCTAAAACAGGGGACAATCTCACCAGTCTTTTGGTAGTTGGTTCACAAAAGCTCACAGCAATTCAAAATATGGACAGGGCGGACTGAAAGAAAGCCTACCAAAAGTCCTTGCTTTATAAAGCAGATTAGATAGCTTCGATTGGACTAAAATGATTCCCAGTGTACGTCTTTACTCTTTGGGCTGGACCAAGAAAACGACATTGGCACAACTGTCCAAAAGTGAACAAAAAGCAGCGGCGAAAACTGTTGAGGAACAACTGGCGTGTCCAAAGGAGACATATCATGGCTACGGAAAAATGCATAGCGTCACCTGCTGTAAGTTGCAAGTGTTTGTGTACGAGCGTGTGTGTGTGTACGTGCGTGTGTCAGCTCAGTTGTGCGGGCGGCACTAAAACGAGACGTACATGCACTAGTAGTAAGAGTGTGCAGCGCGCGATAGGGTCTTGTCACGACTCGTTTTCAACATAACCTCATTTTCATGTACATTTTCATGTAGCGAATGTCGCGGCCTGCACGCGCAGCTACATGAAAATGACGTAATGTTGAAAACGAGTCGTGACGGACATTTATGTGGCGTTGCACACTCTTGTTTATGGACTCTTGCTAGTAGTACTAAGCACAATGGACGCAAGGAGAACCAGCACTTACCTCCACACCGCGCATATCAGCATACGGCTGAGCTCCAAACGAGTACATCTCCCAAAGAGTCACTCCATAACTCCACACGTCTGATGCACTGGAGAATGTTCCATAGTTGATAGATTCGGGAGCATACCTAACCACAGTAAAGTAACAGATGCAGTCACAAAAGAATGGCTTATTCGGAATAAAACTGAAAACCCAACTACACTACTGTCGTGGACATTGAAGTCTGGTGGAATGACCGGGGCCAGCGCCCTTACTTGCTTTGTGTGTACACGCAGCTGTAGAAGTGCGCTGCCAGGGTTGCTTGGTTCAGAACACAATATTTTGCTTCTTTCTGGTCTCTATACACTATAGGCCACATTCTAGAAAGAACATAGACAGCAGAAAATCCAAAATGCCACATGCAAGATTGATGCACTTTCGTCAAGTCTCCTTACCATTTGACAGGCCATCTACCACCTTCTGTAGCTCGGTAATAGTCGCTGTCTGTACCATATGCTCTGGATAAACCGAAATCACTGATCTTGGCCTGCAGTATACATAGCAGAACAATACAATATACACAGGGAGTGGGTCAGGATTGGCAATAGCATGCAGTAGACATAGCTCTACAATTGCACTCCTGGTGCAGCTTTCCTGCAGCAACGATGGTAAATCTTCTTTTTCGTCTTGTTCTGTTTGAAGTTCAATTCTAAATGATGGGCTTTGCACTGCAGGCCGTGCAACACACACACACACACACACACGGGCAATGTGGCAGGGCCACTGAGCAAGGTCCTCCAGCTGCTGGCACAGAAGAGGCCACAGTCGCGTAGGTGCTACTAGTCACTGTTGTGCGATCGGGGGTGTTCACTACACACCACTGATGCACCTGGCATGACAATGGCAGAGTAGCATCATAAAGGCACTCTGGCATATGTGAACACAGTATCCGTAATGCCAGACACTGTGCCCTAATGATATCACATGCAAAGCAAACGTCACATACTCAGAAGAATCCCATCTAGATGCACGCGTACAGAGCTAAACGCAATCAACTAATGATCATACAAGCATGACAGTCACAGTCTTAGCATGTGTACCATCAAGTACTTCATGTTGATTGGTACATTCACAAAATGATACATGTTCTGACACACCATTTTGTCACTACCCACCTGAGTCATAGACGATAGCAGAATATTTCTGGCTGCAAGATCACGATGGACGAATTTCTTCGTCTCCAAGTAAAGCATGCCGTTGGCTATTTGAGATGCCCACAACTCCATGGACGAGACATCAATACTATCCACATGGTCAAGCAGGTAGTTTAGCAGAGAACCCAGTGCAACCAATTCTTGAACCTAAGAACCAACATTGTGCAACAGAAAATAAGGCTTAGTATTGCATTCATAGCACGTAACAGCAGCATCATAGTGTTTGCCAAGAACCAGAACATATAAATACAATGAAACTTCAGTATGAAACACCCTGGATAAAACATACAGTGGGGTACAAAATACTTTTTTTAGTACCCTACAGTGTGCAACACCAGTCATTGAACTTTGCATATAGAGTACTTCGGCTATACCGTAAAAGCCCCTGTATACGCCCACTCGAAATAACGCCCACCCTCCGTGTACACGCCCAGTCAGGGGAAGACAACACTTTTGTTTCAAAATAGCGCACATGCCCATGTATACGCCCAGGTATGCCGGTAACACCAGTACATGTACAGGTACTGATACCCAATACTTACTGCTATCCCTATTCCAAGTATACGCCCGGTTCCAAAATAACGCCCGTGCCCTTGTATACGCCCAGGAAATCGAGGCTGCTATTCTATACGCCCGGGGGCCTATACACGGGCTTTTACGGTACTTTGGCTATAATAATGTACAGACTGTATGGCCCTTGGAAGCACGTAATGTTTTGCTGAAGTTTCATGGTACATGTTTGCCAAACATGAACCCGGTAAATGAATATTCCTACGCGGTACATGCACACGATGAACAAGCGTCTGGTGGAGAAAGAAGAGCTCAGCCGGCGGCAGGAAAGGCCACTTACCAACATCATAGGCTTCGATTGCACAACGCCGATGAGCTTCACAACACACGGGTTGTTTAAGCTCATCATCACACGGGCTTCACGCATGAATTCCTGTGTATGCCAGCACAGACATTATGCACAAGAACAGGATCTTTAGTAGACTGAGCACAATCAATCATACAGAAGCACATGCACTACATTGCATGCAACTGGCATGAAAGGGCCAATCACATAAACAAGTACACAATATTCAGTTGTGTCCATTCGCCATCAGATTCTCAAAACTGAACAACTTACACGTTGTCCTGACGGAACATCGTCTCCACGCAATGTTTTGACAGCGACATCCATCTATCACACACGTGTGCACACACAGGAACAAAAAAAGGGAAATACAGCTTACAAAATGTACAAGTTTAAATACATATCCAATCATTGCCACATCTATCTTAGGAAAAAATAACAGCGCAAGTGCAGCCACACACAGTATGAGTCTGTTACCAGAAACCCTTGGGGAAAGTCCCTGGTTGCATAAGAGAACACCTTGCATGCCCAATGAACTAACACCATGCGCAGATAGCAGCAGGTCCAACGAGGACTGACAGTGTTCGGGAAAATCACGGAAAAGAGAACTTCGAATGGCGAGTAACATCCTGTCATACGCGAAAGTCCCAGCCTCAGTGGCAAGCGAAGCCCCCGGCCAAGCGGAACTAGTAAGTGATGACTTCTACCATCAGCCTTTGAGGTCATGATTGTCCTATCCTGTAACAAGTTATCCTTTCACCCATTCACGGCATAGTCCTTCCCCTGTCTGTCGCGCAATGACGAACGGCGTCATTCCGGCGTGTGTGTGTGTTCCACGTCAAGGGTGAGTCATCCCAAACAAGATTCCCTTCTTGTACTCTGCTGTCCTCCATACGAATGCACCCACAATACAATACTGTACAATGAGGACTATTTGCAGAGTATGGCAGGTCCTGACCGGGACTGACAGTATCCCAGTCACTGAGAACAGAACTTGAACGACGGAGAAAGTACTGTCGACGGCGAAAACCTCGGCCGCAGCTAATGTACGTACCTGCGTGTACACATGGCATGAACACACACACACACACACACACACACACACACACACACACACACACACACACACTGCGATGTTAGCTTGACCCAAATAATTTTTTCCTCACCATTCGACCATCACGTTGACGATAACTACCCTTGAGCACGGCACCAAACTCTCCTTCACCAAGCAGACGTCCAAGAGTGACGTCCTCGCGATTGAGTGTTTTCGAGAGACTTCCACGACGGGCGACGGCTGGGGGTGGCGGCGGTGGTTCTGTATCGGATGATATTGAACTGAAGTGTCCGTGGGGCGGAGGTGCTGGAGACGCAGCGGATGGTCTCTTGCCAGAGGCCATGCGAGTTGGCGGTGCTGGTGACGGAACGGGCTGCGGGAAGGTATTGGCCCCTAGCATAGGGCCGGCAGCTTGAGCTGTAGCCAGAAAAGAATATATACATGCAATATTATAATTATACCAGCACGGAAAGACTACGCAGACACAACACAGTAATGGTGATTGTGTACCAGGTATGTACATTTTAAAACGTGCTCTTCAACTCCCCCCCCCCCCACACACACACCTTCGGTCTTGGTGATTCAAAGGTACAAGTTCGTCCTATTTTCCAACACAGAGAAATGGAACAAGATTCCAGTGCAACTCTGTCCAATATGGAGTACTGGGTGAACAGAGGAAGAAGTGTCATCATATCTGGAAGGGGAAATTCCCAGTACACATTCCACGTGATTTCTCTGCATGAAAGTAGCGCAGAACAGGTTGCTCACACGTTACGGAACGCGACGAGTGATCAAGTGATACTTTGCATCGCGTCGTTGTACTGTAGAACAGAACACTTCTAATCTTTTTTAAATAACTTGGTATTAACGCATGCTCCGCACGCAGAGGCATACACGACCCACACACAGGCACAGCAATTGTTGGTTGGCGAAGGAGCTGGCAGTGTGGGTATTTTGCAAATCTAAAATAGTGCAATGCCCATTTCGTCCCACACATTTGTACACAATTTGCGAGCATTTTGACATTGTGCACTGTGTTTATGAACAGGAAGAGAAATAGCCAACATGTACTTACGAGATCTTCTTGAAAGCTGATCATCAAACTGAGTAGTGCATAGAAAAGGGGAGAAAATAAAACATTGTTTTTATTAGCTCTAATAACCAACAGGTCAGTAGAATAACATAGGTGTAGAAAGTACAAGTACATGTATCATCCAAGTATCTTAGGACAAGTTTATCAGTTTAGCTTTCGAAAATTGCACCTCCCCAGTATATGCTGTACCTAAGTTAGTACCTGTTGACGGATGAGCCACCGAATGCCTGAGCCAAAATACATGTAGTTTTGAACCTGGATCAGAGACAGTGCTGCTTCACTGCATAGGGGTGGTGAACGTGCATCCCTGAGACCCCCTTCGCAGAGCAGTTCCCTTTGTGGATGCAGGCAGCATGTACTACAATGTTATGATGATCGTGACACTAGTGGACCTTCATGCACCAAATGCAGTACAGGTCAATCTTCTATGAAAATGTTACAAATTTCTTTAACACCCATACTACATGAAACTACATGATGAGAAATTCTACCTACGCACACTTACTAGCATGGGGCTGCCGGCGGCAGTGCCAGCACGATCGGGACGCACTGGCTCTAGCAAGGTCGTCCGAAGACCATCCGACCGCACTTTATAGTAGTCAATCAGATACTCCAAGCCATCAAAGTAGGGACCATCATCAATAAAGAATTGGTAGTCGCCCTGATGGAAAGTACACAATCGCAGAAGGAAAAGAGAGGAAAGTTGTTACTGTGTGTTGAAGCAATTTCTTTTGGTCTTGAAAACAGCAGAGTTTGACTACCGTAAAGTCTTGTATAAAAGCCGCACACTAGAATAGAAGCCGCCCTTGAATAGAAGCCGCAATTTTGGGCCCATCAAATCACACATAAGCCTGGTTTTAGTGTTGAAATACATAAAAATACCTGTCTTGTATAGAAGCCTGCAAAATTTCACCAAGAAAGTCATAGAAGCCGCGGCCTTTATACAAGACTTTACGGTAAATCAAAACAGTCTATCTAGAACTTGGATGTTGAGGCAATAGTATTTTAAAATTATTAAAGAAAGAAGACAGGACCAATAAGTCTCTCATATTAGCATGCTAGTTTGCATACAATTCCTTTGAATCCCAGGGTGCTCTCTGAATCGTGGGTGCAGGAGCTTCAGTTCCACCTGAAAGCTACCTTCAAACTACGGGGGAAAGTGGGGGCTTTCATATTCCGGGCTGCACGGATGAAGCAGCATACCAGTATGCAATGAAGGCAGCACACTATGCAGCTACCCATCAGAAAGAGATCACAGTTACATACTGTAGGTTTTGAGCTCATCGTAAACCGTAGTAAACTGACAAAAGGCTAAACAGCCCTGCATGATCGAGGACAACACATCCCTAACTTATAGGCACCACAGTGGCACAGTCCCTGACAAGATCTGAACTGAACTGCACTGCATTGAAAGCTTAATTTCTGACGCACGGAGCTAGTAAACAAGGGGTGGTATGTCTGGAAAGTGGAAACAAAATGAAATTGTGGAAAGGAACCACTGCCAGCAATACTCCAAACACAAAGTGTATTTCAAGTGCAGTCAGTGTGCCACGCCAACTCACAATGGAGCAGATTTCATAGTGAAAGCATTCTCCCATGAAGCAAAGAGAAAGCGCGTAGAAGCCGACCGTGCGAGAACTTGGACGGATCATGAAGGTGCCATCGCGCATGCCTGTCTTCTGCAACAGCAGGACAGCTCCCTGGAGGAAAAGCAGCAAGAACAAACAGCACCAGGGCATGCAACTAGTTAGTGAAATTCACCCTACACATAAAGCGATGCTGAGCGCTTCAAAGCCCGGGCGGTGCAGATACCGTACACTAACTTTCGCAGACTCAAAAGCGACGTAAGTACCTATCAGTGCATGGGTAGAGAGATCCACTACTATCAGGGCAGGCCAGTACTGCAAAACATAAAGGCCCCATTCTGCGTTCGATTTGCTGCTTTTGAGCTGTACACTAGTGCTAAATCTATAGCAAGCTGGTGTTGACAAAGGCTAAAGTATATATGCATTGTACTAGTACAGAGAGGTTGAATTCTTTATTCTCACGATGGCACCATAGCCACAGAGAGGTTGAATTCTTTATTCTCACGATGGCACCATAGCCACAGAGAGGTTGAATTCTTTATTCTCACGATGGCACCATAGCCACAGAGAGGTTAAATTCTTTATTCTCACGATGGCACCATAGCCACAGAGAGGTTGCAAGAGCTGCTGAAACAGTGCTCAGTAGGCCGAGTGCAGAGAATTTTAAACATAACAAATTGGAAGACAAAAGACCACTTGAAATTAGCTGCTACTCAAGAGTACCATACCCATATAGTAATCATCAGACAAGTGATGATGAGAAAGAGAAAGCTGCAACGCTGGCATCGCAGAGTATAGCAAGCGCACAGGGAATTCAGTGAGTATTCTAAATAATTGGCCGTAAAACGAGCAATGTCCTGACCAGGAATTTGCTGCAGGAGGGTGATAACGGATAACGCAGGGGTTACTGTTGGCATATACGGGTTTGTGCTCAAGGTGTGAAGAGAGGGAAGTAGTGTCATGTAGACTGTTAGCTGCTTGAGTTGATATGACTCAACTCTTCGCCTCTTGAAAAGCACATTTTTGATAGAGTAGCAAGTCTAGGTCAATAGAGAGGTTCCGCACTACGTAAAGTTGAGCAACTCTACGTTAGTGGGCGGGGAAAGCCCATGAATTCGCGAGTTTACCCTCCACTTACGGAAAGTTGTCTATGTAGAGTACGTAGATAGGGCTCTGATAACGTAGCTGGTCCGCAAGTGGATTGGGGTACAAATTTATGACTCTCTCCCGGTCGATCTGGTCGTAAACTGCCGCGTTCGGAGTTGCCAAGGGCAACTACGTGATTTAAAAACTCTGTATGGCGGAACACAGATTCGCATGCAGTTTACGTAAGACTTTCCGCAGATCGACTACGTTTTTTACTAACGTAACGTTATCAGGAACCTCTCTAATGGGAAAGCATAGTTAGTAGTATTAGTTACTGTAGCAGTACTAATCATACCTGTCGGTTGAGACTGCGATGCAGCCAGTCTCGCCGATTGCTCTTCGGTGGAGGAGTATTGGCATTGTAGCGTTCTAGATAGTAGAAAAGACACCATAAAGGGGAATCTCATAGAAATCTCGCTCAAGGGTGAAATTTCACTTTGCTGTCGTCTTGTTCAATCCACGCTTTAGTGAAGACGTGTACGGTTGTCATGCATGTAACTATAATTATTGTTCCTTGATTCTAGCCTTGGGCGGATATTGGAAACTTTGCTGATAGCTATTTGAAAGGGGCGACAAGTGCACTTACCATAAACGCGCAATTAGTGCCCCCCCCCCCTGGCATAACTAAGTCCAATCCAGCATGAAAAGAAGAAGAGGGTCTAATGGTAGCTCCACATTATCACAACTTAGCAGACACTGCAACAAGAACTGCAATTTTGATCCTGAAACCACCAGGTCAATAACATGGACAAGAGCATCAGCAAAACGACACCAAGTGTGCGCATATGCGCTTGATTACAAGCCTGAGGGGAGGCACTATTCTAGGCAGAACTATATTTTCTCATTGGCTCTCAGAGACAGGGGTGCTATTTGAGATAGGGCTCTAATCACTTGCGTAGAGCATATAGAGCTTTTTCAAGGTTGTACCAACGGTCAATTTTGGGGTCACGCGCGAGAATTTTTTTAGATCGCTGGTGAACAGGCACAGCCCAGTTCACGTTCACTTTGTATGGGAGTGGATGCCTGGAGGTGAAAGAAGCAGTAGAATGTCACTCTACTGGATGTCTGACACTCGTGTTGAGTCAGAGCAGTTGCCAGGAAGCCCTTCCATGGCTTGGGCGAAAAAGAACAAGCTTCAGAATCGCTCCAAGCGCTGGTGGAGCCGAACCTGTCACATTTCGTATACTAGTTTTCGATGCGTTTTAACATGCGACCTGTTCAACACAATCTCGGGGTGAGCGACGGGGCGGTCGCGGGAACGGCATCCTTGAAAAAGCTCTATTAGAGGCGGCAATTTCCTGTTTCAGATCAATGTATACCTTTTACAATATTTCAATATTAGAGGCTCACTCTGCCAGGTGAGGTAGCACTAGTACTGTACGTTCGCTCATGTAGTCATGGCAACAAAGACATGAACTTACCGAGCAGCTCCACAATGTGTCCCTGGCCACATCTCAGAGCAATGTCGTGCGGTGTTTCATTCTCCGGTGTGCGCGGCTGCAGCGGTGCCCCGAGGTTGAGCAAGAGCCGGCACATGTCAACGTAGCCGCAAAGAGCCGCTTCATGCAGCGGCACCCATCCTGACTTGGGTGCACGATCTTGAGCATCACAGCCGCCTTCTTCAATGAGCATCCGCACAATGTTCAAGTAGCCACATGTAGTTGCAAGCTAATTGCAAGTAGCCATCCCAAACAAGCAAACAAACAAACCAACAAACAAACAAACAAACACACATACACCATGTACCATGTATTATTATTATTACACCTTCCAGTGGCTAAAGATGAATAAGTGCCAATATAGATGAGGAGGGGGCGTTTGCCAGCCATGGCGCAGAAAGAAAGTACAAGAAGTGTGTACGCGCCCGTCGCAAGAGAAGCACGCAAATCTGCAAATGCACTGGATGTGCACCCACAGATTTTCTCTTATAGCAACGAAAGCGAACAAGATCTGAATGAGACAGATGAAGACTTATGCCAGATAACTGTCTAATCCACACAACTGGCGAAGCCATGTGAATCGACCACCAATGCACACCTGGTCTACACCACACAGAGTACATCGGCATAAAACGGCCAAGACAGTTACCTGTGCACACCCTACACTTGCTGGGGTAACCAGCATAGACAGCACGCTGCTTTGACACACACACACACACACACACACACACACACACACACACACACACACACACACACACACACACACACACACACACAGTGACACAAACGCAATGGTACAAGCATAATAATTTTAGTGCTGAGGGGTTTGGAAGCACTAGCAGCCTTGGGTGGGATTCGCAGAAGCATTCTTGAGATACCATGCACGAGCTGAGGGCTTCGAATGGGGAAACGCCTGATCATACCCACTATAAAGCTGACGGTATCACTGCGACTAGCTGTTCGTAGAAGATTAGCTAAGCACATAATAGGGGCGACTCTCACAACCCGGTGATTAAATGTACACAATATATTTACTGAAGAGGAAAAGGTGACTAACGGATGCATTCGCAAAGTGTTCAACGATACCGCTGGTTAGATACCGTGGTGTCCATTTGAGTAACAAAGCTGACAAATAAGCAGCCAAGAACCTTTACATTGTAGGTGGAAGGTACTAGGCCCGGTCTAGGGTAGCATGTTACTGCATGCCCATACATGTATAGGGAATGAGTACATCAACTAACATGGCTACATGTGAAAAGGTCCCCACCAGCCAGCGTGGACTGATAATGGCATACCTTAGAATCCCGCGGATAAGCCCACCTGCGTATAAGCCCATGCCCGCGCATAAGCCCAGGGTTTGTTCGAACATCACAAAGCTTCATCGTACAAGCCCATGGGCCTAGGTCATACCGAGAGTCCATAAATTATGGACTCTTGGCCATACCAGGTACGTAGTCATGCACATTATAGCTTTTTTCGTACATTTCAGCACAATCATCGGTTGTTTTTGTTTGCACAGTGGTTTTCAGCAATGTACTTCTCACTTCCTTGGTACTTTTCAATAGCACAACTTGGTGTCGGCGTATAAGCCCATGCCCGCGTATAAGCCCATGTTCTCGTATAAGCCCACCGAAATGTCCTTGTGAAACAGATAAGCCCATGGGCTTATCCGCGGGATTCTACGGTACTGTAAAACCTGTAACTACAGACCACCGTGACTAGCGACCAGCCTGCTACTACAGACCACCGTGACTAGCGACCAGCCTGCTACTACAGACCACCGTGACTAGCGACCAGCCTGCTACTACAGACCACCGTGACTAGCGACCAACCTGCTACTACAGACCACCGTGACTAGCGACCAGCCTGCTACTACAGACCACCGTGACTAGCGACCAGCCTGCTACTACAGACCACCGTGACTAGCGACCAGCCTGCTACTACAGACCACCGTGACTAGCGACCAGCCTGCTACTACAGACCACCGTGACTAGCGACCAGCCTGCTACTACAGACCACCGTGACTAGCGACCAGCCTGCTACTACAGACCACCGTGACTAGCGACCAGCCTGGTACTACAGACCACCGTGACTAGCGACCAGCCTGGTACTACAGACCACCGTGACTAGCGACCAGCCTGCTACTACAGACCACCGTGACTAGCGACCAGCCTGCTACTACAGACCACCGTGACTAGCGACCAGCCTGGTACTACAGACCACCATGACTAGCGACCAGCCTGGTACTACAGACCACTTCGCCAGGCACGGACGGTCTAACATTCATATATGGTTGTGCGGTGCAAACCTCTAACTAAGGACCACCTGCCACTAAAGACCGCTTTTTCTGGCCCCTAGGGGTGGTCGTTAGTCACAGGTTTTACTGTATATCACATTGACAATTGCTGTACATGCCCTGCATGGTAGCACATGGCCAAGAGTGGCTCCTTGTTTCGGGCCATTTCGCTAAGCTGGACTTGGGTCAGTCGGTGGGGTTCTTCCCTATTTTTAATCTGTGTGGCCAGCATTCAAAGCTTCGCACGGCTTAGCTCTATTTTCTGCAGACGACCCCCAGCACCATCAGGATCTTGTTGTATCATCTGTGTCAAGCCTGTCATGATTGTCTGAAGCTATTGTCTGTGTTGCGGTTGACTTCACTCTTTAGTACTATTGACTGGCCTTTCGTACAATACCTATTGATGTCTAGAGACATACTGTCTAGCCTTTCCCTCGTGCGCTTATTGATACACTATCCAGCTGTCCAGTGGCTCTCCTTCCACGGCTCTTTACCCTGCCATACTTTTCTTTACACTCTTAAGTTCGTGTCTTCTTTACAATAAAATCAGTTCAGTGACTGACGAGTTCGAGATCACAGCAGATCTCACCAGACCCCTGCTATGCGGGCAAACCAGTCTGATGAGGTGGTTCCATAAAGGCATCTGCCATCGAGTGCCATAACGGTAGATCCATGATTCTACCCTCTTTTGTACACTCACAGCTAAGTATATTTCTGCTGCTGCAAATCAACTCTGTGTGGCCTTGTGTAAAGCAGCCTGCATGTACATGTATGCCAATCTCTATGGAAATGGTATGACTGTAGTTTTTGTAATGGATCATCATTACAATGCATATGTATTGACTGAATTGTATGTTCACTGTGAATTCAGTGCGAGAATGAGAAGTGAATGAACAAAATTGACGTTAATCATCATACACACCCACACACATAATATACACACATACACGCAGACAGGCGGACAGACAGACAGACACACACACACATACATACACAGACACACAGACACACATACATACACACACACACACACACACACGCACCACACACACACACACACACACACCACACACACACCACACACACACACACACACACACACACACACACACACACACACACACACACACACACACACACACACACACACACACACACACACACACACACACACACACACACACACACACACACACACACACACAACTAAAACGAATCTTATCTACGCACCTTGAGCGCTGTGCTGCCATTGGTATCTCTGATGGTCGGGTCTGCCCTGTGAGACAAAAGCACTTTCACCACAGACTCCTGCCCGTTTCGAATTGCCTCTAACAGAGGTGTGGAACCATGCATGTCCCTACAATTCACATCTTGTGGTCGTTCAGCAAGATGTCGCAGTATGATGGGTACACTTCCTTCTGATGAAGCCTGATGCAGAGAAGGACCACCAAACTCCATTGCTTGCCTTGGGGCCTCGATTGTTGGGGGTGGTCCGCCACCAGGGGCTGCAGCTGTCAAATGACAAGGAAGTCCATCGGGCTGAACGCGATAGTGTCCAACTACAAGGTCCAATTTCTTGAATAGAGGACCGTCGTCTATTCGAAGGTATCCATCCTCGCGACTTGAGATTTGATAGTGGTATACTTGGCCTGAAAAGACCAGCGAGAGCACGTAACCCGGGGAGCGTAAACTCTCACGGACAAGAAAAAGTCCGTCCCGAGGCTTCACCTGGCCAGAAAGTAGTAACTTCGTCGCATTTTCGCGATTGACTTTGCCATGAAAGAATCTGCTGCAGTTGTCCATCTCTCCCCACTTCGGCTCATTCACCTCATTGCTGGAGAAACCTATGAGCTGAACCTGGTAGCCAGGCCCCAGTGGGGTCAACCAACTTCGTTGGCTGGGATGGGAACGAAGACGGGGACTGACAAATGACAGCTTGCCTTCCCTCTTTGCGGCGAAACGCAAAAGCAGAGGCTGTGGTCCGTTCGGACAACACTCGTTGAGTAGATCTACGACTTGTAGTTGTATCTCGACTATCCGTATCCAGTGGTATCTGCAACAGGCCAAAACCATGCGAGTCGTAAAGAAACAACTCGTCCGCGGTACAAAGGACTTCCTGCGACCAGGACTCCAGGAGCCGGCGCGATAGTGGGATCGGGCGCGCCCAAAAGTATTCGACGCGGCTATAGCGCTAGCATGCAGGTGCTCCTCTACAACTAACTAACTAAGTAGTTACTTACTTACAAGCTGCTGCGCCTCACGTCATCCTGCCGCTGTCCGGCAGTAGACTCTACGACAGTACGAGCACCTGCGCTGCATGCATGCTGTACTCATGACGTCGATTGAGCTGTGATTCTGTGAAGCCTGTGCATGTGATCGCGATCGATATAGTTCTGCGTCCCGGCCGAACAAAAAAAATCCCGATTTCGAAGATCCTACAACAAGCTAGCTACGTAGCTAGCTGAGAGCTCGAGTGTAGAAGTTTTTGTTGTTGTTGTTGCTGTGAGCCAATCATGAAGATTCTTCCGAAAAGATACCTGCTGGAGCAGTTCAGAATTGTTGGCATCTTCTGTGTGCCACTTATTTCTTTCTATTATTATGGATTATTCTTTACCGATCGTGAATCGATTGACAAAGCAATCAAAGAAGGTTCAACTCATACAGATTTTGACCAACTTGAACACGATACAGAACGTGTTGTCCAGAGAATGAAATTATACGATGCTATTGCACGCAAACGGGACGAGCGTAGAGCCAGCAAGGAGCAGCGTAATCCTCCAAATATTTAAGCTGGATTGCCGGTAGCAGTCGTGTTATGTCTGTAGCTGTCTATTGCGTGCACTGCTCTGCAGCCATTCCAGGTGATGTTTGCTGAGCTGAGATGACACCCAATTAGCTACATATACTGACGTGGTACGGATATTTCGTCCAGCATACACTTGCTTGTGGATTTCTCCGTTCCTCACTGGACCACCATCACCTCTGGGAAGGCTCCTTTGTTTTCTCGGCATCTTCCATGCCGTTGTGAGCGACCTGGATGTGAAGTGCTGTGTCTAACCTGCTGCTGTGCTAGAAATCAAGATTTTTTTCAACGCTTGACACAGTGACGTAGAACATAGCCAAGTGGCTCTTTCTGTCTATTGACTTAGACACTGACCCGTTATACGATGCTATTGCACTCAAATGGGACGAGCGTAGAGCCAGCAAGGAGCAGCTTAATCCTCCAAGTATTTAAGCTGGATTGCCGGTAGCAGTCGTGTTATGTCTGTAGCTGTCTATTGCGTGCACTGCTCTGCAGCCAGGCCAGGTGATGTTTGCTGAGCTGAGATGACACCCAATTAGCTACATATACCGACATGGTACGGATATTTCGTCCAGCATACACTTGCTTGTGGATTTCTCCGTTCCTCACTGGACCACTGTCACCTCTGGGAAGGCTCCTTTGTTTTCTCGGCATCTTCCATGCCGTTGTGAGCGACCTGGATGTGAAGTGCTGTGTCTTATCTGCTGCTGTGCTAGAAATCAAGATTTTTTTCAACGCTTGACACAGTGACGTAGAACATAGCCAAGTGGCTCTTTCTGTCTATTGATTTAGATACTGACCCTTCTTTCGAACCATTGTCTTTATTTTATGTTTTCCACCTCTGCTCTGCCTTTCTCTTTGCCCTCTTTTAAAAAACACATAGTGATATACAAGTCCAATGTAGTACCGAGGTTTCCTATTCAAACAAACAAAAAACAAACATCGCGTCGTGGCGGGTGGGATTGAAGCCACATTGACTGATTGTGACCCCCCTTGTGGTCGTACAAAATACTACTAATGATAGCAAGAGTTCATTATGAACTCTTGATGACAGTGAGTGATGTTGTAGAAGCAGCTTCCATCTACGATTGCAACCTGAACCATTGGGTAATAGTGAACTATGCGACGTCCTACATGTAGTGTTTCAAAATACTCTGTGCTGTTGTCACATCGTCAGGCTGAGGCCACAGTCATGTTCAGCTTGTACTTCGGATGTGTAAGCATTTAGAAACAGGATCTAGTTTTTTTTTAGTGTCAACCAAGCCTCTTGTACGGGCAAAATACTACTCCCTGATCTAAACTGATCTAGCAATGTCGCTCTAGCTCTTGAGTCTTGACACTGTAAAAAAGACAGCATTCAACAAAATCACCTGTAAAACACTGACCCTGCATCTGGCCTGCTGTGCATACCGGTATAAATCATTGTGTTGATGGAGGCTAGGCTACATCATTAATTGTAGTACATGGACAATGCGATAATTATGTGCAATCATGACTGTCAGATATAGCATGCAAGACTCCCAAGGCAAGAGTATACTCTTGTGTCTCTTGTAATTGTGTATACCACGATGATGTCACAAAAATCAAATGCTTGCTACAGAGTACAGTATGTGCATGTGGCTCCGGAGCTCCCGCCTGAACTGTGTGACTCGTGGACGTGTAGACCGCGTGTGACTACGTGTGGGAGTGTGACCATGTACCACTGAGTCTGTTCCAGCCCAGGAGCGAGAAGCTCTTCAGTTTTATTTTTCACTTCTGTTCAGCGATTTCTTGTACTTCACTTCGTCGAATTGCTTCTCGTTTTCTCAGTCAGTTTGAAGTGGGGCAGTTTCTTGCGCTGTTCTTTATCTGTTACCTCACTTTAGAAATTATCATGGTAAGTGAATTGTTTTTTTGTCTGTTCGGTTGTTTGGAATGGTATTTACTGGTACATTTTCATTGAACTTCTGCTATTCTTCAGGAAATTTACTTGGTTGTAAGACGCAAATCTACGAGTGTCTTCCTAGAAGCAAAGGAAAATTGGAAGGTCCTTTCCATTAAAGCGCAGTTGACTGGAATTTTGAATGTTCCTGCGGCTAACCAGCAATTGCACAAAGATGACACGGTGCTAGAGGATTCCAAGACTCTCTCAGAATGTGGATTGAATGTGAACACCGCGAAAGCACAGTCACCAGCACAGTTGGTATTGGCGATATTGGAGGACGGTACGTATTTATGTGTTATAGCCAGAGATTAGTAAAATAGCTTCCTCAGAGACAAGATTGCTATTAGTAAAATACAGTCAAGCCTCGATTGGACGAACTTCAAGGGACTGAACAAGTTTGTTTGTCTTATCCGGAGTTCTTCTTATCCAGATCTGACTAAAAAATTGATGTACATGTCATATGGGCTGTTTTTCTGTGAAATTGCATGATGTGGCACACGTAAAGCATTTATTCACAGCATAAGCCAGCAACAGAATCTGATACAAAATTAATGTACATGTAACAACCTCCGATCCGCCTTGTAACATGCTGTCAATTCGTTTTTCCCGTACAAGAGGCCATGGTACCGTGGCATTCCGCGTACAAGAGGTGATTCGTAATTTTTTAACATGAATCATTTCTTAACAAATCGGTAAAATATCTCCTTGCCAGCGCCTGCAAAAAGTCATGTCAAATTTCGTTTTGCCATTGCCGATGTTCTGTCAAGTTCGCCTCCAAAATTGAGACTGATATTCCTTCAGGAAGTGACATTGCAAGAGCTTTCAGTCTTCATGTGCGCGATGTTTACGGTAAAATAGAGTATAAGAGAGTCATAGCCACTGGTTTCAACCTCCAGTGACAACACATTTAGCTGAAGAGGAAGCATATGATAGCTACATACTGGAAGCGACGCCTGGGAAGGAGGAATGTCGGTGTTTTGACCCTGGTATTGGCCAAACATTGGCAATTACTGAATTTACTAACAGATGTTGATCACAATTGCATACGAAATCAGGGTGATGCACCTATTGCTATGCAAGTTTGAATGGCTTGGATGAACATATTCTTGATCCAGTCTTTCTGGACGATCCTGGATACGTAGGGTCTCTTTCTATTGAAAACTGACTTGAAATTGTGGTGCTAAGGCCTATTTTACCATGATAAGAAATGACCACAACAAATAATATGCAGAAAAATTGCCATTTTTCAACTGCCCCCTGCTTCCCAACACCAAGGATTATGTGAATGAACAACCCACCATTGCAATCTAGGGACATTAGTATTACATTTTTAGAGGAAGAAATGGAAAGATTCGCACCTCGAACCCTACGGAAGGCTTTTTTACTTTCGTGTTAAATAATGACGAATCACCTCGTACAGTGCTGGCAACTGAAATCCGACCCCCTGAGCGGTGCGCTCACATCGCAAAGACCCAGCACGGGATGGTGAAACTACGAAACGGAGACCGCTAGAATGTGAACCCACCGCTCAGGGGGTCGGATTTCAGTTGCCAGCACTGTAGTATACTTCAGCATGCTACAAACCACTGTACACCAATCTTTGTATGCGCGCGGTACCAGAGACAGAACTGCTGTGTGTGAATGCATTTCGCAGTTTCATTGAGCAACACTGTACATGTATAGTACAACCATAGCCATCAGTGCTCACTTCAATTTCCATGTAATGTGACTCGTGTTCAATGGATTTAGCATTGTTGCTATGGTGGTTGCTATGGATGCTGCGCTCGTTCTCATTGGTCATCGCTTGCCAAAATATTATTTCTGGTCGAGATTTGGACTAAGGCTGCAACCACACTAGGTACAAAACCACGTACAAACGGCATTACAGTAGAAATCGTCATGCCGACGCGTGCGAAATGCAAAATGCGCTTTGTAGGTTTTCAGCAACTGGCGCACCCCTGTAGAAAGCCACGTTTGTCGTTTTCGCGCTCCATCTCCTGTGTACAACTTTGTTTTGTACCTGGTCGTCGTACATAGCATCAGCATCTGCATTGTTTTTGAATTTCCCGGTCTTTTCCAGCGCATGGCACACGCTTTGTACGGCAACGTCACGTGCTGGTTGCGTGAAAACGTCATCTATGCAGACCGAAAAGTGTAGTGTGGTTGCGTACCGACTTGTACTGAAATATGCATGAAAATATTTAGTACTGTGATTTTTACGTAGTGCGGTTGCGGCCTAACCGACCTGTATTGCACCTCCAGCCCAGTTTTAATAGCATTCTGACAATGCTAGGCTTTCCAGGAAACCATGTTGGCGCCACTACTGTTTACTATTCCACACACGGTATGTATGTTATAATGAAGGTTGGTGTATGACTTTGATGCCTCAAATCTCTGGTATCTTTCAAGATTTTCCTTCCAAACATTCTGTGTTACCTCAGTCCATACAGGTCTTTCAGAAAACACACGAAGCAATTTTTCCGAACTTAACTTCTCTTTCTATCAGGAGTACTGGCTTGCAACGTGTACACTGCATATTCATTAATTTATCATTGGATTTGTTTTGCTGCTTTGTGTGCTCAGGTGAGGAGTTTGAAAAGCCTGGTGTTACTGAGTACTCCCAGCCTCCGGATCTTCCGGACGTGATGAAGCCACAAACGCCGACGACGGCTATTACTCAGAGTGATTAGTCTAGTTGCTAGTGTACAGTGTAGGGTTTTGCTCACCGAGGAAGTTTATTCTGTGCCTGTCCTCGGTCAGTATAGTGCTGTTAATAGTCTCCTGTGCTTCTTGTCTTTTGTTCTCAGTCTAGTGTGTCTGCTGTGCCGCAGTTAGCTTCCTATTGATGATGTCGCTTTTAGTCTGCTCTGTATATTATCCGCTTTCTATTTCCTTTTTGGACTGTATGCAACATGTACAGCAGTTGTTACATGTTTTTTTATCATCATTTGCCTCTCTTATAGTTTACTACCGTCCAGAATGATTTCTATAGTTGCTTTGTGTTGGCTGAAACACTATCACCATCATAACATGATTGTATTCTTTGCCGAGATAATTCACCCATGCAATACATTTCATTTTGCTCTCATCAAAATCTCATGAAATGGTAGTTATTTTCGCTACTACCAATAACAGTAATACAACGTCATGCTACTACATTATGGTATGTACCCGGACATGTTGCAGCTTTGAAAATGAAAGGTTTGATGGACAGTCTTCATGAATGGAGGCAGTGGCAGCAAATGAATTCAGCCTCGCGCCATGGATAAAGCACAGCTGTGTTTACTGCTTGGTGTCCATTGTACACTAATGGCAGCTCCTGAGGTGGTTTTGAAGGCTGTCTTGTTGAGCCCGCAACTGATCAGTCGGCTTGGGGCATGTCTTGGAAGTGATATGGAGTGGGATGTGGACACCTGCAGGTCTGGTAATACGTATTCTGGAAACCAACAAATATTCGGTGCATATAAATTTTATTTTCGGTGATTTTCGGCTTGACGCCTGAATTAGTTGCAGCTGAAAATTTGATCGGCATGGAGAAATTCGCTGAAATGTTGTGAACTTGGTAACTTACAGTATCTCATTGTAGTACCGGAAGTACACAACACTGCTTCCATGATATAACGTTTAATGTAGGGCAGTTATGTATGAAATAAATCCAATTGTCACTTTACTAGAATTTCTTGTTGAACTGTGCTGTTTATACCGGTAACAACCATGCACATGCCACCTCACTTTACCACTTCGTGCCCAGCGGCTGTTCTCAGCTTCCTGCATCTGGAGCATTTTAGTGCTCGTACTGTAGTATTAGTAAAAATCATAACCTACAGGTAGGTACATGACTTGTACATGATGGAAGCTGGGTGGGGTCACTGAAGTACTAGCATAAATGTAATTAATACTTCGAAGTAATTATAATAATGGCACTGCATTTAATATGAGTTAAAATCAGGGATCAAATAATATTCAATATGATCATAATCCAAATTCTGGGCGTCGATGTTCCTGATCTGCGCGTATGCGGCCCAGCCGTCAGAGATGATGCGTGAGCCAGGCAGAATCCACAGGAAACAAAACTTTGACAAAGGAAACAAAACTTTCACACGAGAAAAGAAGAAGCATAGTGAAAGTACACTGAAAACGCGTGTGACAGTATACCATGGTATACTGAACACTGGGAAAGTGCGAAATAATTTGGGACCCTAAACTGCATGATTACCCAAATTCCGAGAGGAGGGTTCAAGTACAAGACCTATTAAATGTTATGCAACAGAGATAGGGCAGACAGGACCCCCAAAACACACGACCATGAAAGGGTGGCGTGTTCTTGCGGTACTTTACAGTACATGATTGTACAGTAGAACTCCCTTTATCTGGAGATTGCCCACAACTAGGAATTGCACGGCCGCTTGCAGCTCAGAACATCCATGCTGATTGCGCGAATTGCATGGAGGTAAAGCCACTTTTAGCAATCGACTAAATATTTTTTTGGTGCCATTGGTTGTTCAAAGCTATTTTTTTGTAACTCAATAGGGTGAGAAAAGTGTCTGATGGACGGGAGTGCCTGGATATGGGGAATCCGGTTCGGATTAGGGAGTTTTAGCGTACACATACTAGCATGGCATGGTACATGGTGTGGACACGGTGCAGCAGGAACTGCCAGGCATAAACGCCAGGATGATTAGTTTATTTATTTTATTTATTTATTTATTCAACATCTTATGGCTTCCGATTAGTGGTGAAACGAATGTCAAAACCTACTAGTCGAATATTCTTCAGCTTAACGAACGAATGAACGAATATTCTTTTGGTAACACAGATGACATCACATGCCCTCCTCTCAGTCATTTGATGGATATTGTCAATACTAATGTATTATTACTAATTTATTAGGTATGACAAACGGTAGTGCCACGTAAAATATACTGCCACATATTAAAAAGGCTACTTCAAAGTTCATAAAATGTTATGTGCAACATAATCATTGGCAGTCCGGTATGGACACACATGTGCATGCATGCAGTATAAAGTCACCGGCAGGCTGTACGCACTGCACTGCACCGTGTCCGGCGTGCATGTATGTACAGACACTGCATTCGAAGTGACGTAACGAATACTCGAATGTGATTTAACGAATATTCGAATATGATAAACCGAACGAATGTTCGAATATTCGAATATTCGTTTCACCACTACTTCCGATGGCAGCCAAAACGGGAAGATGTGGGTGATAGCCAACCATGGTAAAAGAAGGAGAAGATTATACCGGTATACATGAAAAGGAAACAGCCGAAAAGCTATATTGATTAGGTTTTTTAATTATTATTATGGTGCACTCAGTCATCAGCAGGCCCTCAGATTCAAATTTAAATTCTTTCAATGATGCAGAAGTCTTCACTGAGTCGGGAAGTTGTTAGTTTAGGCTGCAGCTGGGAGTTTCACACACCGTTACAGTTATACACAGGCAACACTTCTCGTAAATCAGCAGGATCTCCATGTATATAGAGCAAGCTGGATAAAAAATTGCAACACAAACCTTTGAGAAGGCAGAATCAGGAGGGCACGATCACCAAGTACTCGTAAAAGTATAATCTTTATAAAGAGAAGCAGAGCACGGTCGATGATAAAAAATGTCATGTCGAATAGCGTAATCTCGAGTAACGTACGTTAGAAATACACGAGTACAAGATATTTTGCACATGTAGCTAACAGCAAGATTCTCCACATTTGAAGCCGCTGGATAAACTCTGCAGTAAACTTCTTGAATGGAATAAGATAAAACATTTCACAAAGGATAGAACCGGCGTTCCGATAAAAAGGAGATAACAACGGACATGTGACACAGTTCGAATATTCAAAGTGATACGAGCACAAGGAGCTATTCAAGTTTCTATTACCTTTCACTAACTTCCAAGCTGGTTTCTTTTAGGTCGGATTCAAATTGGCCATTGGATTGCTGCGCACCATTACTTCCATTGTGCGAGTCAGTCACGGCTTCAGTCACAGCACAGCTTGTGTCACTGTCTTTTGCACGGTACGATCTGACGTTCGCCTGGTCAAACTCGATATTGTCATCACTATCGACAAAGTCATTCTGCTCAGCTTCCAAACGCTCTGTGCTTTCTCTACGGTCGATTAGAAACTGTGAGCCAGCAAACAGCAGGGCAGACATAGCACACCACCCAGCTGAGAGGCCAAACATGACGCGAGCGCCTTGCTGTTGATAGATGATGCCGCCGAAAACACCGCCAAATGCAGCACCAATACCATACCAGATTCCACCAAGTATGCCTTGAAAGGTCGTCTCCAGGTCAGGCGTAGCAATACGACGTGCATACTGCACAGCACACGACCACACTAAAGAGAACGCCAAGCCGCGTAGCATTTCCAATGGCAAAACCCACCCCACATTGGTTGTAGTCAACATCGTATAAAACGAAATTCGAACCACAAAAAGGGCAAAGACAACATAAAGCGTTCGAAAGTGACCAAGTCTAGCAATAATCCTGTCGGAGAATAAGAACATGGGAACTTCCGAACCAGCAATCATGAAAATTGACCAGCCAACTAACGACTCTGAGGCACAAAGCTCCTTCAAGAACCAAACCAGAAAGAAATCGCAGCCTCTCGCTACAGCCAGACTGAACACGGCTAGGAAAACAGCACATGGCCGTGGGCGAGAAAAGATCATCCGCAGTCCACTCATAACATTAACAGACTCCTGTTGAGCATGCGATAGCGCTTTCCCTCGAGACTGGGGTGTGTGACGTGCTGGAAATAGACAAATGCCACTGATGACTGCAGACAGAGCAATGAAAATCATGAATCCTGTAAAATGAATAGCATACTCGCCTTCACCGCAGCTATTTGCGTCAGCGGCGGCAGCCCAAGATCCAGAAACAGCACTACCAAGTGCATAGCCTGCCGCACCCCATAGCCGTTGCTTGCCGTATCGTGATTCTCCACTTTGCTTGCCGCTATCGACAAGTTTAAGAACGGCTGCATCACTAAGATTTTGAAGGGCTCCACCGAAGAGGTGCGCCAGTGCAACCAGGAAGGTTGCAAGGATAAATGCTCGGGTACGCGCATTGGAGTCAATGGTAGGCACACTGCTGACGTTCTTGCTTTGCAGTCCACTTCTACCAGCAGTATGTCCAGGACTGCTGAGTTGATCTTGTTCACCTCCAGTTGAAATGACTTGGTCAGCTGCACCTATACCGGTTGCCTGTTGTTCGGGCATAGCACTAGTGACTGGTAAATGGGCTGAGGGTTCTGTTGAGGAATTCACACTTGGCGACAAGGAGTACACAGATGATGTGTGAGGAGGATCAGGTGTATGGGTGCTATTTAACGGGAGGCGGCAAGCATAATCATCCTTCAAGCAGGCACCAGGTGGTGAAACTGATGTTGGAACAGCATATAGACACGTATGAAACACTCCATAGGACAGCAGAGTTAGCACGAATATAAGCCGCAGGCTCCGGTATTTGTCCGCCAAACCACTCCAGAGCGGAGCTGCCCAGAAGCTGATGAAATACGGGAGGCTGAGCAACACACCACCCTGTGCAACTGTTAAACCAAGCTGACGATAATATACAGGCAAGAAAGGCACCAAGAATCCACCTCCGAAGTTCATCAGTAGATAATGAATTTTAGCCGGCAAAGCGTTGATATCAAGAAGGTCCTCCATGAACGTGTAATGCTGTTTGTGTGACGCTCGTCCTGAGCGAGGCAACTTCCATGCACTGCAGTATTTAGTAGGATTGTTTCGGAGTTTGACAGAGTCCACACCATCGTCATTTGAGTCTCCGCTGGACAGTTGCACTGTCTGAAATGTCTCCTCACCATCACTGCTCCCGGTGTGCCGCTCGTCTGTAGCTACCCGCTCATACTTCCCTCGTCCCTTCCTCTGACTACTAAGTGATGGCATCGCTGAGGACGTTATTATGAGACTCTTTCGTAATACTTGTACGTACACCGCATAATCAACATCAAATAATTATAATTTTAGTAGTCAGCGAAAAGCGCTTTGCAGTGACGATACTACTATCAGATTGGGGCAATCAGAGTGTTGTGCCTCAGACTTTTACAAGGTGCTCCACAGGTCTTGTTCTGTACCAGGGAGCTTGCATCGAGATCCGCCGAGTTCTCCCTTCTTTCCTTCCACTTCCGAATGGATCTGGAGTATTTCCGAACCAGGCCATGCGCCATGACAACAACAAGCAGACAAACACAGTGATTTTTTTGAAGCTTCATGACCAGATGACATGTACATGACTGTGACCAGACTTTCAACGTCACCATGATGTCATCTACAGGTACAATGCCACGTGACGTGACTCAGATTGTGAAGTGCTACTCATGCTCACAGAACAGTCTTCCGACCAAGTGTCAACGTTGCCAGGGGATATGAAACTGGGTGCGAGCTCCAGGTAATCTGTCACTCATTTTTGCGATAACATTTTTGTTGTTGTAATAATTTTGGTACAAGACTGTTTTCTACATGATTGATTCCAATCGCTCGAAAACAATAGTAGACATTCAAACAGGCGTCGTGAAGAATTTTAGTGTGGTGTAATGGTGGCTTCCCTCATTGTATTCATTGCAGTAGACATTCATGTAGATAGTTGTAGAGTTACATGACGGATCACTAATGGTGCTCACCAAATCTTATCTCCGTTACGTGCCTGCACAAACGGTTGGCATCATCAGCAGCCAGAAGTGCAATGGACTCTTCTGTAAATTTACTCATGATCCTACTGGCCAGGCAAAGCGTGGCTTCAACAGCAAGCGATTGGTGGCAATAACTGGTGCTTTGGAGAACATCATTCTCTGGGAATGCAAGAGTGGCGAGAAGGTGAATATCTGTCAGTATAACTGCTGCTATGGGCATATCAGCTGTGTCCTTGTAAAGTCATTCGATTATAATTATGATGGTTGATTTCGAAACGAATTGATAGCACTACAGTCCATTCAGAAAAAAATGAACTTCTAGCTTTTGGCCATAAATGGGTCAAACTTTGAGTTTTTTTACAATTTTTTTTGGCAATCCCCTATGGAATCCTCTTCCAATTATGTTTCTGAAGTTTTTTTGTCCAAAAAGCAAGCCATAGCAAGAATAGGATTTCGGCCAGGTTTTGCCCCAAAAGCACAGAATTGGGAAAACCATCAAAATCCAGGCCGTTTGACCCCGCCTGGCAACAGTGCATTCTGCGGTTCGAACCCCAGTTCAGGCACCCTTTTTGGACCCTTTTTCAAATTTCAAAGTTCGCAGCACTGCACTGTGTACGATGAAATCACGAAAAACCGCCAAATACGGGAGCTCGCCAGAGCCAGAGCCCATCTTTTTATGAATGGACTGTAAGTGCGATTGTGAGTGGTTACGTTGGCCTATCGCATGTGATTACCATTCTAGTCTCTAAGAACTAGACTACAGTAGAATCGTGTATTGCATTTCAAAACATAGATTTGTGAACCTGATCTATATGAACTTCTAGCACACTGTAACTCTTACAGCAAATGCGACACCAACCAACACCAACCTGGCACAGCCGACACATGTACGAATACATGAATAAAATAAAATATTACGGCCCAATTTACGGGTCCACGTACAGTGCTGGTAGAGAACCACCTTGCCGCTTCCATGTGACGGCCGTCCCATGATCAGGCGTGAGATGCAGCTCCTAAGCGATGGTAGAGGATAGATCAGATCTACCAACCAAAGGCCAAAGACCGAAATCCCCTTTGCCGCATCCATGTTACCCTTGTGCCAGGTCACACGTTCCCAATCCACTGTGAGTCGCAGCATGGTTGTACCTGTTTCCCAATATTCAGATTTATCATACGTGACCATTGAAATTGTTATATTGGCCCAGGGTAGTCCACGTAACATGCGAGTACAGTAATCACAATACATATGTGAGATCTAAAAATTGCTCATTTGTACCCACTCATTGAACTTTGCAGGTCGGGTGCCTGTGTAGTTTGCAAGTCAGTCACCAGCATTTCCACTCTTTGCCAGTCTGGTTGGGCCTGCTTCCATGCAACCCATTGTAGTTTTACACATCCTTACATTTAGTTCGCTTTCAACCAGTTGACACGCAGCTGTCCCTAGTAGCACTGTGAATCATTGCAGTCTCGAAATATTTACCTCAAGAGTATCCTTTTTTTAGGAGCAACAGATGACAAGCTACTTGCCATCAATTTTCTTTTCATTACTTTTTTGTGCTGAGGAGGGGGGGGGGGGGGGGGGGGGGGAGGGGTTGTCATCTTCTGTGCCTTGTTTCCTTTCTTTGAAAGTGGTCTCCTGATGCTGACTATGCTGTACATTTTCTTCTTTTTAAACATGGAGGCTGGGCTTTGCTTACCTATTAGCTATGCACTTTCTCTACAACTATTTTGTATGTTGCTTGTGCATGTATCAGGTGGCTACTTTGGCGGGTGGCAAGCATGAGGTGACTAAGCTGGCTTTGTCACAAGATCAAAAGCTGTTGGCGGCTGGGTAGGCTCCTTGTGTTGCATTGGTGTGTTTTGTGCAGCAAGTTTGGCACTACAGTCGACCTACCCTTATAACGATATTTGCGTCACACCAAGAAATATTGTTATAAGGGTAATATTGTTATAGGGGTAACTGGTTCATTTCATACACATACGTCATAATGCATGGATTTTGTTCATTTTTACACTCTTCATAGCATAAAAAACTGACGTACATGCACATTATGTGCACAGCAAGGTGCCCACTGGTGCCCCATTGCATGTTGTCCTGTCCCAGCGACTTATCAAGTGAAGCTTGCCCTACCTGGATGGTGGGCTCTACATATTCCCTGCTAGATATTGTTATAAAATGGAAAATGCCAATGGGTCAGCCCATTTTATATCGTTATAGGGGTAATATCGTTATAGCAATATTGTTATAGAGGTAATGCATTGTATACACAAGTCAATGGAGTGATTTGGTTTGGCAGAAAAATATCGTTATAAGGGTAATATCGTTATAGAGGTTATCGTTATAAGGGTAGGTTGACTGTATATTCGTGTAGGATCCAAATAATGGGTATGCAACCCCTGACAAGAATGAACTTCTGACATGTGCTTCAAGTACTTTATATCTTCTGAATGTCATGTGATACGATCAGTACAGAGGAGGGTAGGATAGTGAAGCAAGGCTGTGCAAGACTGAGTACAGAGGAGGGTAGGATAGTGCAGGCTGTGCAAGACTGAGTATAGAGGAGGGTAGGATAGTGCAGGCTGTGCAAGACTGAGTACAGGGGAGGGCAGGATAATGAAGGCTGTGCAAGACTGAGTATTGCTGTGTTTGTGGTTCTTGTTTTTAGTTACGCCGATGGTTCGATCAAGTTGTGGGATTTAGTAACCCTATCATGCCGTGTCACGCTAAGGTTAGTATGAGATGCTGGCTACCGGGGTGTTCTGAGCAAATGTTGTACATATGTCATGTGGCTGGATCGTAGTCGGAGAGAGAGAGAGCATTGGTTTTTGAAAGGGTGTGAGTTCATTTTAGCTCTATACACGTTGCACAGTTGTGTCTACATATTCCGCTGCTACCGCTGCCAGCGCCTTCACTGCTACTACTTGTGTTACCGAGGTCAGCCAGCATGACGTCGTTTTCTACTTAGTGTGCTCTATGCGTTTGGCTTCGCCTTCACAGTAGTGAAAGCTGCAATATATTACTGCTGTCTATCTTTTTTTGTCTACATATATAGTGGTCACAAGTCTGCTGTTACTGCACTTCGCTTCAACGGCCCAGGCACTGTGCTAGCTTCAGGCTCTCAGGTATGTTTGGACAGTATTACAGGTGGGTTGAGTGACTTGGCTTCCAGCACAGTGGAACTTCAGTATAAAGAACCCTGGATATAAGATACTTTTTTCGTTGCATTAGATTACATAGCACTGTACTTTTGTAAAGACACTGCATATCTGTGTCCAGTCATTTGACCTCAGATATGGAGTACTTCGGCCATAGAGTACTGATTTTTACGTCCATTGCAAGTACGTCGAAAATGCTGCGTCACCATCTGAATCATGACATTTTCCATGGCAACTGATGAAAACGCGGGAAATCTGAGTGTCCGACGCAGCAGTGTCTGACGCAAGCAGATTGGCTGCGTTGACTCTGCCACTGCAAGCACTTGCATCAAAAACAGTGTATTTTGAAAATAGCGCAACGTACCGTACTCTATCGTAACGATTTGGTTTGCCACAGAGTGGTTTTGTGAAGTGCGTCAGGCCAATATGGTTTCCGGTAGAATAGGAATACAGCAGCCAGCAAGTACAAAAAAACGAAGTTTACACCTTTCCTCTGTGTGAATATAGTGTATTTGTAAGTCATATTTTTAAGCCGAAATTTGTCATTCTATTCGTCCAGCGTTCCTCACATTCATCTCACACGTACGTGCCTGTGTTGGCGTTTCTCTTTCTGTCTATGCTTTGCTGTTTGGTTGTGGCACTGGTCAGCTACGCTTTCTGTGGTTGAGGTCTCTTACTGTCCTCCTTGGGATGTTTGTACATGTGCCTATATTTTCGTACATTGTTACTTCAGGATACTGATGTCATAGTGTGGGATGTAGTTGATGAGAGCGGTCTCTACAGGTGAGTCATCTGTATTCTGCTGGTAACATTTGTGCAGGGTCTCGTGCACTCACCTCTCACTGCATCGGTGCGTTGATCCTTGATTGTGGACGCCTTTTTAGCATGTGAAGAGCACATAATTTAAACCTTTGAAGATCCGGATGAATGAACTTGATTGTGTTCTGAATGACGGAAGTGCATCCTTTTCACACTTGTGAAACCTACACTGTTTGGTAGGGCGTCACAAGCGGCAGGGTGTGTATTTCCCTGTCTTGCCTTCTTTGCTTTCGGCTTTCTATGCATCATCAATGATTTTTGGGCATGTAGCGCTAAAGAGGCTTCAGAATATTCTCTGTCTAGATAATGTCCTTCTTGTATGTTCTTTGTTTGTCTCGTGCAGGTTGAAAGGGCACAAAGGACCTGTCACAGATGTGTTGTTCTTTCCGGAAAAGAATGTTCTCATTTCAAGGTTAGAGTCTGGAAATTTATTTTCTCCTTCTCCAAGTCGTTTCTAACCGGTCTGCTGTCCTTATGAATATGTCACAGTCAAGATGATCATGTCTTACTGTGTGCAATCTTGCCCGTCTTATCTCTGTTGTTCCTAGTTCCAATGATACATTTGTCAAGCTATGGGACTTGACGACGAAGCATTGCTTTCAGACACTAATCGGTCATCGTGGCGAGGTACGTTTCTATTGGTTGACGCATGTGTTTCATTTACAAAATCACTTGCATGCTGAACAGTATACGATGCCTGGTGCTGTTCTGAGGGTTGGTGGTGCATTCTTCCGTTCTGAAGAGGGTTATTGAACCACAACGTTATCAAAAAGCTGAGCAGATTTCTTTTGAGCAGATTGGAGAACGGGAGATGTCTTGGAGCTAGGCATCGGATCGTTAAATGACTCAGTGCTCTCTCAGTTTGGTGCCTAGTTGCACTCTCTGACCCGTACATCATCTAGTTACAGTGGTGGACAGTTGTTCATAACGGGTATCCATTATGTTCTTTCTTCTATCTGCAGTCATATTGATTTGGTGATACTTCAGTTAATAAAATCTGAAATATTCAACTGGCTGGCTGTAGACTGGCTATACCTTGAAATGCAACTCGGTGCATTGCTTTGCTATTGTACATGTATCACACAGGTAACAGCGCTGGCATTGGTTGGCGACTCACTCAGGCTAGTCACTGGCTCAGCAGACCAGGAGCTACGGATATGGGCAGTCAATGACACAACAGTAGAGGTATTTCAAAGCTACCTTTTGATTGTAATACCCGTGTAGTGTGTGCTGCTATGTAGTGCTCCATTCTCATGAATGGTCTTCTAAAACAGTGCTTGAAGAGATACTATACACTATTGTGTGCATGTTTGCTTGTACGAGTCGTATTTGCACTGGGCGTAACTGCTGCATGTTCTTCCTACCTCTTTCTGTTTGCATTGTTCTGCAGAGCTCTGAAGTTTCCACTGCAGCATCATCGACCACATCAACAGCAGAAAAGCCAGAGGCTGGCTACAAGGTATTTGATACTAAGCACTTCTATCACATGACCATACAGGGCAGCTATGCTGGTTCCAACTCCACTCAACCCTTGCATCCATGGGTCACATGATGTCGGCCATGTTGGTTCCACTGTCCACGTGCCATGATCACTTTCTACACAAAGTTAGTCTCATGACAAATATGTGAAATCACTCTATAACTAATAGCAGCGCATGTTGTTTAAATGTGCAGCATAGTGTGATGATATGCCTGTTTGACGTTTGTATTTGTCCACATCTCTTTGTGCAGTACCAAGTACACTGTGAGCTGCTTGGCACGATTCAGCGCCAAAGCAAGGAGCGTGTGCTAATGCTGGCACTGAATGAGAATGGTACTCTGCTCGGTTGCTTAGTAAGTCATCACAGTGCAGTGTGTATCAATGTACAGTGCGGTTGTTTGGCAGCACATGCGTTTTCTTGCATTGTGCCAGTGGACAGTGCGGTTGTTTGGCAGCACATGCATTTTCTTGCATTGTGCTGTTGTCATCATGATGAAATCCCACCTTGTGCTGCAGTTTTCAAGGAGACAAAATGTCATCACACTTAGAGGAAAAGATTCAAAAGAACAAACCTCAGACTCCTCACAAGCATAATTTTCGGAAGTGCTTTACAAGTGCACTTTCACACCGCTTTGTTAGGTGGAATAAAGGCAAAAAGAAAAGGAACAAGAGCAATGGATTTTACTTTGAAGTCCAGCAGAGAGGTGATAGAACAGCACAGAGAAGAATAGCATGAAAGTACACTTGTGAAACGCGTTCGAAGGCTTTGCTTGTGAGGAACCTGAAGAGTTTGTTCTTGTTCTAAGTGTGATGTTGTGCTGCAGTCATGGCTATTCCATTTTCAACAAAGAGACAGACAGAGTGTGTGTGTCTGTCTGTCTGTCAGTCTGTGTGTGTGTGTATGTGTGCGTCTGTGTCTGTCTGTCTGTCAGTCTGTGTGTGTGTGTATGTGTGCGTCTGTGTCTGTGTCCTTTTTGGAATATCATTGCACGTGTTTTTCTTCACATTCGAGAGTTTACGCTTCAGTTTTTTTTCTTCAATTTCGAACGTGAGAAAAAAAAGCGTGTTGAGTCCCTTTTTTCACAGTGAGTGAGAACTAACGTGCGTTGAATCGCTTTTTTCACCGTGAGTTGGCCATCTGTCGGGTTGAAATCTCACTTTACAGCATAATGGGCACCAATTTGGCCGTGAGATCTCATTTTCAAAATTGGAAAAAAACATGAAGCGTAAACTCTCTATATTGTACTGTTGACAGGGTGCTGACTCATTCTTTGAAATCTTCAAAGTTCGAACTGAGGAAGAAGTAGAAGCCCATGTCAAGCGGCGAGTGAAGCGTGCCAGAAAAGCACTCAGGTAACTTGCTGCCTGACTGCTGCTACTCTTTATAAAATGTCAGTCCTGTTGTTACTGCTGCTGCTACTGCTGGTGGTGGGTGCTCTTGCTCTTGCTGCTGCTGCTGCTGCTGCTGCTGCTGCTGCTGCTGCTGCTGCTGTTGTTGTTGTTGTTGTTGTTGTTGTTCTTGTTGTTCTTGTTGTTCTTGTTCTTGTTGTTCTTGTTGTTCTTGTTGTTCTTGTTCTTGTTCTTGTTCTTGTTGCCGTTAGTCATGTTATGTGAGCTTGAGCTTGATATTGTTTCTCACACAAGACTGGTACCATAGAGACCTTCCCTCCCCCTCTCCCCCTCACTCTCTCGCACATACGCACACATGCATGCAGGCACGCATGCACACATGCACTTTTGCGCTCATTCACTCTGTTCTAATTCTTCCTTGCTTCTACTCTCATTGCAGGGAAAAAGAAGAGAAGGGCAAGGCTGTGGTATGTCCTTTTCCTGGCTTGACTGTATGACATGTCTTGAGCACTAGTAGATGAATCTTTACACCTCTGTAGAAGAGTGCACACTCGACTTTCAACTTTGCCCAATATCTTACTGCACCTTTCTCCGATGAGCATTGTGTCTACTAGTAGATCAGGACCGTTTGCATCAAATGTCTGGTCCATCTGGAGTTCCTTCCTGTTCTGGTGGCTTTCCCCACTCACTCACATTGATCATGTTTTGCTGCTCACATACATGCCTGTTTGTTTCAAGTTTCCTTGATGAATACCTGAGCCTAGGTTAATCTTTTTACAGGTTTGTTGGAAGCAGGTTTATGGTGGCCAGGCCATTACCCACTACCCGAACACCCGGAACAAAACTCACTGTACATGTATTTGAAAGTGATAAGAATGGTTACGAACCAGTTTTGGTCATTCCTCAAACGCGACCTGGGACGAAAAGTGGTCAGGCCATGGCGCACAGGTCTGACAGCCGTGTGTTTACACATACACGTAGTTTATTTGTATCTAGCATTCTCTGGTGTATGTTATTGTTTGTTGTGATAGGACCCGCAGCCAAAGGAAATTGAACGTTGTGTAGATGATGAGATGTCACCCGTGTATGTTCAGCATGCTGACACAAAGATACGGTAAGGCCATTGACAAGGAAGTCCTCTCCTATGCTATCACACACGGTTGTCAATCATACATTCATTCATTTTCTGTCTTCTGTGTATTGTGTCGTGTACTTGTAGCTTCTGTTTGGTGACTGATTATAATTATAGTCTCGGAGAGCCAGGGATAGTATTGAAAGTCATAATTTTACTACTCTGGCATGCTATGTCACTGACTACAATTGTAGGAACATGTACACTGTACTAGTAATGTATTAGTACATGGTGGAGACATTTTGTGTGTACCATATGCTTCTACAGATTATGTTTGCCAACTTGTTTTCATATCTGTATTTCTTTGTGTGTATGCATTACAGCTCAATTGATTTCACTCAGCTGGCATCTGGATCACAGAGGGTGAGTGTATGATTGCTCAGCTTCGAGTACGGAGCCTTTCTCATCTGTTCTACGGCACACCCTGGCAGGCACACTGGGGGTAGAGTCTGACACTGGTATCTTAAAAATTGTTGCTGAATCCTCTACTGCATGCCTGTCTGCTTGTTCATGGCTGCTGATGCCTTGTGCCCGTTGCGATGAGGGATTACTAGAGGTTGTGGCACAATTTCATCTGTTGCCAGTACTTTTGTATTTAATTTAAATGTTGTCATTCTGCGTGCAGGTGCTTTGCTCACGGAATGACAACAGTGTGGCGGTGTATGAGCTGGATTTCTCTGAGAAGCCCCTGTCCAGTCAGCTGGTGTCCAGTGTAGTATCCGCTGGTCACAGATCTGCTGTGAAGTAAGTCCTTGTATTACATGTATATGTAGAAAGTTTCCCCATTTTTGCATGATTGAGCATGTAATTGTATGCGCACAGCATTGCGAGTTGGTGAAGTGTCCTGCGTACTGACATATGGTCCATGCCAATAAAATGACATCATGATCAGATGATGCTGATCTTTGCTGATAACTGTCTAGCCTTATGCAATGTAGCTAATCCCACTGGTACTGGTAGATGTACCACAGTCCTGTAGGTGCAGGAATATGTGCATGGGCTCCGTTGCTGTTGAAATCGCAACATCTTCATGATTGTCGATATGAACTGGCCGTAGACTCCCTCAGGTTGCATCATGTTATTGTAACTGCATGCTTCATTCATTCCGTATTGTATCCTTGTTGCCTGTGTGCTTGTGCTGCTGTGCTTGGCATAGGGCCATAGACTTCAATTCCGACGGTTCAGCATACCTCACGGTATCGCCAGAGTCAATCAAAGTCTGGAACATGTGAGTAGTACAGTACTGCCCTGTTGTGTTACAGAGCTAGCGTGTACTCCTGATCTGTTCTATCGTATGGGATAGCCCTGGATCTGATCGGCTTCTTATCACCATTGCCGCATTGCTACTTCATTAGCTTCTTTCTGGGAAGAACCATTCTTTGCTCATACTCCACAAGTACAATGTCGTCAACGGCAGCATCCACGGCCATGGCATCAGATACTAATTTGGCTTTGTCTCGTTTTGGGCACAACTTGACAGAATGGTGGCTGGCTCCTCATAGCTGCCTTGTGATGGGTCTTTGCAGACCAGCTGGGGCTGCCGGCGCTGATTGCAAGGTAACCCAGTTGCCGGCTTTCGCTGGGGTCCCCCACAAAAGCGCTGGCTGTCCAGTGGCATTCTATAAGTCGTGTTCTTTGTGGACTCGATGTTCGCCTGAAGTCTTTTATTTTCTTTTCAATTGAAAATCTCCCCATTGGAGAACTACAGTACCTGCCTGCTAACTGAAGTTTGAAATTGAGCCAAAACTGGTTGGGAAAGCTTCTGTGCCTTGAAAGAGCAGTGATGTGCACCATGCATTCCTTGTACTTCTGAAGTATAGCAATATCTTTATTTAATAGGTTGACGCAAACTCTGATGTTGTCTGCTGGCGTTGCTTTTCTTCTTTGTAGAGGCAGTCAGCAATGTATACGCACACTGGAGTGTGACTATGCACAAGCCTGCTTCTTTATGCCCGGTGATACCCATGTGGTAGTGGGTTGCAAGGTAAGAATGCCATGCTGTATGCAAGGTAAGAATGCCATGCTGCACGCTCTCTGGTATTACCGTCACTGCTGTCAAGGTCTGCTACCAGTGGGTGTTGTCAGACGGTGGATGCTACTTTTGAACACACGCAGCACGTGTACATGTATTCAACACAATGCCGACTCCTACTACCATACAAGCTTTGACCAGCCTGTGACGTGGTCCATGGAGCAAATACAGTAGATAGATGGAAGTGGACGTTATGATGTCATGCTCCACGGTGAAGCGTTATTGCAAAGTTGCAAGCTTTTTCGAAAGATAGACCCAGTGGACATAGTAGTAGTAATACCAGCCTTTAGTGACCATTGCGATAAGAACCACCTGTACTTAGGGACCTGTCGCCTCAGGTGCCAGACCATGTACCGGCATACATTTGGACCTGTGTGATACTACCCCCCCCCCCCCCCCCCCCCCATGTTGGTGAAGGCTGCTCATCAACATTCTCTACGCTACAATGAGCCAGTGTGTATTTAGTATTTACATTCAGAGCTTGTGTATTTCAAAAGCGTCCTGTGGGTGTTGTGTATGCGTATGCACCATTCTTTGCACCAGTCTTTGTGCATGTTGTGAACTATAATTATTTCTTCTGTTGGTGATGTGTGCTTGCATATGTGAGCGTGTGGGTGCGTTCGTGATTGTGTGTGTGGGTGCGTGCGTGCGTGCGCATGCACGTGTGTGTGTTTGTGTGTGTGGGGGGGGGGGGGGGGGGGGTGCGTGCGTGCGCGTGTGTGTTTGTGTGTGTGTGTGTGTGTGTGTGTGTGTGTGTTCGGTACAGAATGGTTTTATTAAGATGTTCAACTTGGCCAGCGGTACTACGCTAGAATCTGAAGAAGCACATAGTGCTGCTGTATCATCATTGTGTCTTGCACCAGACAAGGTGAGTTGTTGCCAGCAACACCCCCCCCCCCCCCCCCCCCCTCTCTCCTCGTTCTCAACTACATTGTACAGAAGACAGCCGATTTGCATACAATAACCTGGATAGGATTGTCACAATTGACACAGATCTGTGACAGACCCTATATGAGTGAAGCAGCTTGTGTCTCTGTTGATTCTTCTGAACTGTGACTCTGCATGTACGGTTGTTTTGTTTCTACAGCGTGGCTTTGTGAGTGGGAGTGCAGATAACACGGTCAAGTTCTGGGAGTTTGAGCTCGTCCAGGACGGTGAAAGTTCCAAGTAAGTGCACTATGTGCACTATGAGATCTTAGTGATACAGCACTTTTATGTGTGCGGTACTTGAACCAGTGCTACAGCTGTCACAGAAGAACTCTCGAGCTACTTTAGTAGCTGGAGAAGTCATGCCATGATCGAATCGTTGAGTGCATTGGTTGCGTAGCAAGGCTGTGAGGCCCACGGTGCACAGTAGCCTAACTAGCCTCTTCTGGATTTCTTTGGATGTACCGTAAAGTACCGCCAGAGCGCCCCACCATCTCATCCTTTCGTGGTCGTATTGTGGAGGTGGTCTGCTGTCTGTAGGTCATACGACATGAACCTTGTACACATATTGCACGTTTTGCAGAAAATCCGTACCTTCGAGCGGTCACAAGCTCCACGCAAAACCCTGCCAAGCGTGACCTTAGTACACTAAGATTCTCACATCGTACAAACTTCGTTGCACTCTGCCATACGATTTTCCTTTCTCAGGCTGTAAAATCAAGGTGGGGCGCTCTCGCGAGACGGGGCGCTCTGGCGGTACTTTACGGTAATGGCATGCTCCTGGATGTTTGACTGATGTGAAACACTTTCTTTTTGTTCTCTTCGTGTGCCTTTTGTAGGAAGCGCCTGAGCTTTGCCCATGTCAGGACACTAGAGATGTCAGACAATATCCTCTGTGTCAAGTTCAGGTGAGTGTGCTTGTGCATGTCTATGCAATGCAGACACTACATTAAGTGATGAAGTTGTACGGCTGTGCTTACTACTACATACCGGTATGTCCACATGCAGTACCGCGTGTGTGTGCACACGTTCACATACGACTGCTGTAGTGTGCATGGATCGATATTACATGTACTTATTCAAAATACTGTGCCTTCGTAGCAACTTGCATGTGCACATACCGGTATGTAGCAATCACAGGTGTATATCTTAATCAGTGCATGCAGTATGCGTATGTGCATGCAGATGTGCATGGAGTATGCATACATATATGTGCATGGAGTATGCATCATAATTATGTGCATGGAGTATGCATAATGTGTGCATGGAGTATGCGTAATAATTATGTGCATGGAATATGCATCATTATGTGCATGGAGTATGCGTACGTTGTGCATCCAGTATCGGCAAGTTTCTACCAGAGCAGGGCAAGCAGTGACACCCAGAACTCATTCTCTTCGTTTATTTGTAGTGCTCTCACTGAACAATCTTCTTGTGCATGTTGTTTTGATCTGTGTGTATTCCTGTAGTCCTGATCAGCGGTTGATTGCTATAGCATTACTCGACTTCACCGTCAAAGTGTTCTTTGCTGACTCGCTCAAGGTATGTAGCACGATGAGCAAGTAGAATATTTTATGTGTGCATGTGCTCTTCTCTCTGCCCTTGTTCATAGTGCTTGCGACACTTATTCGGCCATGTCGGGGAAGTTCGGAAGAGCAAACTGATTGACTGAGTAGCACACACGTGTTATGAAGTTGTCTGTTACACCGTACTAGTGTTTCTGTCTGTGTCTGTCGAAGAATAATCTGGCTTGCTATGCAAGGAAAAAAATGACTTGAGCGGGCACAGTAGTAGCTTGGAGTACGTAATCCTTGTACAGTAGAACTCCCCTAATCCGGACTCCTCAGATCTGGGCACTCTCGTCTACTGGGCACCTTTCTGACCCCTCTCGAGTCATGAAAAAGGCCTTTCAACGAAAAACAGCACCAGAAATATTGATTGGCATGAAGTCCTTTAAATACTTCCATGCAATCATACTGCTTGTATGTTTCTAGTTACGGGCAATTCCAAGTGATGCGTAGTGCCCGATCCCAACCTGCCCGGGTAAGGGGAGAGTATAATTATTGTTTAGACTGGTCATGCACTTTTGAAGTAGCTCTTTGCTGGGTCATGGATATGTGTGTGTGTGTGTGTGTGTGTGTGTGTGTGTGTGCGCGCGCGTGCGTGTGCGCGCGCGTGCGTGCGTGCATGTGTGGTTAGTTATAAAATGAGTTGGTTTTGCATTTGTTTTCTTGTTTTGTTTTTTCCCGCTCCAGTACTTTCTCTCCCTGTATGGCCACAAATTGCCTGTCATCACAATGGACATTTCATTCGTAAGTACTTTCAAGTGATAAGCAAATGTCTGTGGGACAGTCATGGGCTGGTCCGTTCACCTGCAGACATGGTCTTAAGTTTAGGAGGATAGGTCCAAAAAGAAAGAACATTATAGCCAGCAGAAGCTCTGCTATTGGTTGCCTTTCAGCTTTCCTGAAGGAATGATGCCCTTCTGATCCAAGCTTGGCGTTACATCCTGCTGATCCTACTCCACTGACCTTGTCCGGTACGGGACGTCGGGTTCAAGATCAGATAGGGACGCCACACGCCTGTGCGCCACGCACTACATGCTCAGGCATTGTCCACCGTACGCCAAACCAGGCGGCCGCAGCACAGTCCTTCCAGATATACGTACATGCATGACCCAGGCCTCCAAATTCATTTTCAAGTGCACCATGGTGCTCCTGAATCCGTTCAATTCCCTCCAGCTTTGGATATGTGGTATATGTACACCCGCCGCTCCCGCCGAGTGACATGGTTGATATGGGTACATTGCCCGGTTTGTCCATGCTACACGTAGTAGGTGCATGCATCCCCATCGCTTCCGAACTTCATGCACTAACCAAAGCCATCCAGATATGTGACTCTAGTACAGGACTTGTTAGCGAGTTGACCACCTGACACCAGCTTCCGCGTGGTCCATACCTTCGAACTCGGGCAACGGCGTCACTACATTATTGTAACCTCATATTTCGTCTCAGCAGGGAATCTCATTTCTTGTGTCACTATTGCCACCATCACCACAGCTGCTGTCATTGTAGGTTCCTCACTACTGGCACTCTTGTTGTTGTTGTTGTTGTTGTTGTTGTTGTTGTTGTTGTTGTTGTTGTTGTTGTTGTTGTTGTTGTTGCTGTTGCTGTTGCTGTTGCTGTTGCTGTTGCTGTTGCTGTTGCTGTTGCTGTTGCTGTTGCCTTCTCTGCCGCTGTTCTGATTCTTGTTATTGTTTTCCTCAACAGGATAGTACACTACTTGTTACTGGTTCAGCTGACAAGAACTGCAAGCTGTGGGGTCTTGACTTTGGTGATTGTCACAAGTCTCTGTTTGCTCATGATGATAGGTGAGCGCAAGTCTTATCTGTACACGTACACATACTTGTGTGTTTTTTGTTTGTTCACAGTGTGCCTTATCTTGGCTGGCTTGTGATTGCCATGTTACAAATTGCATTACTTTCCATGACGTGCCCTGTGTCCGACTTATGCATTGAAAACTGCGGCAATACGCCCAGTGGGAAGGCAGATTTTGCCTGTGCCTATGGTGAAGTAAAATAGAGCAAAAAAAACAACAACAAAAGCATTTGCCATGCTCCAGCTCATACCCTGTAGTATCTATCTCACGCTGAGTGCACCTTGTCACTTTACCCTATCACTATTTACACGCAATACACTCAATAGCATAGTCATCTTATCCAATATGTTTGTATGTACTGGGTATTATATCGTGACTTTTGTCTTTCTCTCTGTTGTTTCCCCCCGTTGTCTTTCTGCCTCTGTGTACAGCATAACAGCAGTCAAGGTATGTTTTTTACTTTGCAGTACCTATATGTAACTACGTATGCTTCCCGTTTGTGCATTCAGTTCTTGAAGTCCACATGGTGTGCATTTGTTCTATTTTCATTGTATCAGATCACATCCTCCTCTGTGTCCCCTTGTGTGTGTGTGTGTGTGTGTGTGTGTGTGTGTGTGTGTGTGTGTGTGTGTGTGTGTGTGTGTGTGTGTGTGTGTGTGTGTGTTGTCCTGTCAGTTTGTTCCGAAGACACACTACTTTTTCACAGCCAGCAAGGACAAGACAATCAAGTTCTGGGACGGTGACAAGTTTAAGCACATTTCCACACTCGAGGTGAGATTGTGGGTACATATGTACGTGTGTACGTGTGTACGTGTGTGTGTGTGTGTGTGTGTGTGTGTGCACACGTTCGTGCAATCCCAATAGTTCCCGGTGGTCAGTGTGTTGCAGTGATATACAAATAATTGTTATGTGTCCTTTTGCCTTGTCCTATTGCTAGGGCCATCATTCTGAAGTATGGTGTTTGACAGTGAATCCACGTGGCACTCTTCTGGTGTCAGCGTCACTCGATCGGTCACTGCGCGTCTGGCAGAGAACTAACGAACCAGTTCATCCGGAAGACGAGCGTGAACAGGTATTGTGCTCATGCCACTTCCTACACAATGTTCTTCAGAGCTTCTGCCTGCGTGTTTGTGCAGCACATTCAGGTACAATGGGTCTGAGTTTGTGCTGCTTGTCATGAAGAAAATAGACTCATATGAAATGCGATCCTTTTCTGTACTTGTAGTTGATCGTTTGTGTTTTGTGTTTTGCTTGCTAGGAACGAGAAGCTGCTGATGAAGAAGCAATGGCTGGCCAGGTTACGAAAGTGGTAAGGTTGACTGCTGCGATAGAATGGAGTTGCTCAATTAGTTGGGCTATTCCTCATGTCCTAGTGTCCTAGTGTCCTAGTGCAGCTTGTACACTGTGGATACTAGTGCCAGTATTGTGTGTTCATCATGTCTATTTGTACACTGTGCACTGTGCACTGTTCGTTCTAGTACGGTTTGCAGGTTCATTGTATACTAAATGATATTCTGTGGACAAATCGAATGGACGAAATCCTATCACTTCTCTTGTGAATTCCATTTTCTTTGTTATGTGGGTTGCTTCTTTCGCTTGCATGGTTAATTGTTGACATTCATTATGCTATTCATTAGTTGAGGGAGTTGACATTGATTGTGGTGTTGTGCGTTGTTTGTGTCCTAGATACCCGGAGAGACAGAGGGTGAAGCAGAGTTAGCTGGCCGTCAGACCATTGACACAATAAAGGGTGTAAGTACACAATCATGACTGTACACATCATGTTTGTATGCAGGGTGTACGTACACAATGTACGCCGCATGTTCTACTCCTACCCATTCTTTGCATCATTCAGTAGTGGAACGATTTGCATGCCAGTCTATCAGTCCACCTTCCCCAACTCTTACTTGCTAGAAGCTTGGCTCACAACAGGCAAGTTAGTTACAGATAGTTGCATTGGACCAACTTCTTTTACTCGAGGCACACTGACCTGCTGTTGATGCGACACAGCCACCTTCAGAAAGAGATTATCCCCTTCCTGCACATGTCACTTTGTGCATTTCTAGTACCTGTCTTTCTACACACACACATGTCTCACACACCTCTACACACCTGTCTCACACCTTTTGCACACCTGACTCACACACCTGTCTCACACACCTGTCACTTGCATGCTCTTCTACATCTACGTGCACACTCTTTTGTATTGGACGTGACACTTCACATCAAATCTGCTCTCTGGAAATAAAAGCGCCATCACTCTTCTTTTTAGGGAACTCTCAGCCCCTAAACCAGGTCTAGCTTATGTCACCATCTTCATCACAGTAAACCCTTTCTTATCCAGACCTCCCATGTTCGAACACCTCCCGCAATGGGGGTACCTTACAAGAAGGTACCCCTGTCAAGTCCTTCTCCCTTTTCTTGCCGGTGAGCCGAACTACTTCACAGCGTAACAGGTCATAACTACTGTCTCCAATACGGATGCTTGTGAATGACATCAATCTTAGTTCAGTGAGCCCCAGGGAATGTATCACGTGTGTCTTATCCAGTATGGATGTAGTGTTACTACATATACTACTGGTACTGTTTCCAGGTTTAATGGCATGATTCTGCAATGTATGCATACTGTGGTACTGGGGTGCATGGATAAGAGAGAGAGAGAGAGGTTCTACTGCACCTACAGTGTATGTGAGCCACTGCTGGACACACTGTACACACTGTACACACTGTACACACTGTACACACTGTACACATCTGCAGCACTAGCAGATAGTATGATCACACTGATTGACGTTCACTGCATCTTGTATGCTACCTTCTCCCGTCAAGGCTGAGCGGCTTATTGAAGCAATCGAGATTGCGCAAGCGGAGCGGGCTAAACTGGACGCATGGGCAGCTCAGAAAGAGAAATCTTCAACTGATGTGAGTACTTGTAGAGAACCACACCACAAGTTGAACCTCCTGTAGGGTATTTATATCTCCTGTCATGATTATTTTGTTGTGTAGTCGTCAGTGCAAAAGTCCCTAGTCTGGTCGAGAAACTATTGGCCCGAGGCGTGTCTTTGCAATGTTGCAGAGGTGTTATTGGTGTGAGTGGTGGGAATCTGTAAATTGATGGTTTGTTTCTCTGTAACTACAAACATCCGTTACTCGTATTGGTTGTATTTGTGGGCTCCTTCAGCTGCTACTCTGTGACATTTGCTGCTGCATGTTTCTTTGCCGGTGTCATGAATCCATATCTTCTCTGGTGGATGAGCATTGCGTTGACATTGAGTTTCTCTGGGATCATGTGCACACGTATGATGGATGCATACGTGGATCTGTCGTTGGGTGGCGCATGCGTGCATCGTGTGTGTGTGTGTGTGTGTGCGTGTGCGTGTGTCTGCGTGCATATGCGTTGATGATACAGATTGCACGTCCCGAGCCTCATCCAATGATCATAGCATACGGCTTAGTCACGGTAAGCTGTTCATGGTGATGATTGTATTCCTGCACTTATGTCCGCTCGCAAACTGTGTGTTGCCAACTTGTAGAGGGTAGTTGTGTGTGCATGGACATGTGTATGCTTGCGTGCGTCCTGGAGCGCCTCAAAGGATTGCATTGTTTTCTATTTCACTGGAATTAAGTTGAGCAGCAACGTTGGTCTATAGTTTTCAATGGATCCTGCTGATGGCTCCTGGCCGAAAATTTGATTGAGATACAGCAGCTGTAATAGTAATTTGCAGCGAAGAGACCACTTACTTTGGTGATGATGTAGGGATTTCCGTGTTATGAAGTGTGGCTGCAGTGGAGCCTGTGCACCTTACCAAATGTTTTCAATGGAGTTGTACAACTTGTGTTTGTTGTGTATTTGTTTTGGCTTTCCTATCCAGCCGGAGCGCTTTGTACTGGATGTGTTCCGGAAAGTACGATCCAGGTGAGCAGTCCTTTCTACTGCACTCCTTTTATTGCCTGATTTAGCGTTGTTATCTAGTGATTCACCAGCATTTAACTACAGACTGATAATTCTTTGCTATTGCCTACTTTCACTGTATTCTTGTTTTGCATCCAGTGAGGCGGAAGAAGCTTTGCTTCTGCTGCCGTTTTCGTACGTGGTGCGATTCTTGAAGTTGCTCGACTTTTGGCTCAAGGTAAGCTGTTTGCAAGCCAGGAATAGCTCCATTGTACAATTTGTACTAGCCACTGCACTGTAGGCGTACCTGTTAAATGCTGCGTTCCCTCCTTCTGTGACTGTACATGAGCACACAACCGCAGTGGTCGTGGGTGCATTCAATCACACTGTCCTTTCCCAGGTTTGAAAATTTTCAAACGGCCAGAATGAGCCGATTGTAGCCATATAACAATCATTGGAATTCTCCAGGACTTCTATTCACGATCCACTTGAGAAAGCTGTGGAAAGAAATCATGTAAATGCCTAAGAGCTCATAGCCCCCAGGAGTATGCAACTCTGATCTCCTAGGTATGGATGCTATGCGCGGCACACTGCCGTTCTTATGTGCATGTAGCCAAATTATGATCACCTCCTCCCGCTTGATCACTGATTTGCCTCGGTGGGTTACTAACCGCGTGCTCATTCAACTGTGTGTGCTGGTCTGTGATGTGTTGTGTGTGTGTGTCTGTCTGCAGAGTGCCTGGGAAATTGAGCTGTCTTGCCGCAGTGTGTTCTTCTTGCTGCGGTAAGAAGATGAGCATGATTTATTGGATATGTAACCTATGTGCTGAGCAAGGCTGTGTAGCTGATGCCCTAATTACGTTTTAAGTTTCCACGTGTGAGTGTGGGTTTACGGTGTGTCATTATTTCTGACCAGCAGAGGTTGTATTGCTATCTCAACACTTTCACATTGAATCTTGTACCTGTTACTTCCAGTCCTGTTATCATCAAGTTCTGTTAGACCTCACCGTCCTGCTGAAGTGCAAAGTAGCCACCATAATGATTATTTAAACCCGGATGGTGAGGTAATATAAGTAAAGAGAAAGGACCAATAAGTTACCAATAGGTGTTGGAGCTAAAGATTAGAACATTGAAAGAATCGGTCACGCAAGACGGTTAATTCCCAGCTAGGTGTTGGAGCTAGGTGTCACATCGTCGAATGTCTCAATATCCTTGTCAGTGTTGTGCCTTGTTGTCGCACTATCTGGCTGTATATTATCTCGTTACCTTGGTGGACTGTTAGTCAGAACTCGTAACTTATTGGTTCTTTCTCTTTTCTCATAGTGATTATAATTCTATATTCTGCATTGGCCAGTACATGTAGTCAGTAGCCACGATATGCGAATGTACTGGGTTGGTCAATAGGCACCATACATGTACATGAGTATGCTGCATTGGTCAGTGAAGAAAACACCATCATGCCCTGTGTATGACTATGATGGAATGGAGGTAGTCACTTGTTATAATTATGTACTATTTGAATGAGTCTCCCTGAGTGTGTGGCGTTAACTGCTCTGTCTCCGTCTCTGTCCCTGTCCAGGATTCACCACAATCAGATCATCTCTACAGAGGCTTTACTGCCCGTTGTGGACTCGCTGAAAACCAACACACGCTCGCGCCTTCAGCAGCTTCGGGTATGTTCTAACAACACTCGTGAACTGTGCCACTATGTTGTGCAAAGCAGTCCTTCATTGTAATGAAATAGGCGAGCAAAGTGTGATAAGTGATCCTTGAGCTCTTTAGGACTTCTTCAAACACAGATAGGCACTGTTGCTGCAATAGTGCTCGCTGCAACATGTGCAGAGCTGTTCACACACTGTGGACGAAATGGAACGAGCTGTTTGTTGTAACTGCAAGTGTCATGCCGAAGGGCGATCGTCAGACAACGAAATTTTGTCCACGTTGTCGAGGACTTGCGGAGGAGTACATGCACTGCCCGTCTCTCTCTCTCTCTCTCTCTCTCTCTCTTCTAAACTATGTGCACGACTTTATAAAGTGGACTTTAACAGCTGCCATCAGAGTCAGTATGTTGTGAGGTCACTGTACCGCTGTGAGCAAGGGTTTTGACTCGTTTTCAACACCAGAGAATCTTTTCTAAATGTCTCCGGCTGTCAAGTTGTGAAGTTTGAGCAGAGAAGTTAGGACTGTGTTGGTTTGAGCAGAGAAGTTAGGACTGTGTTGGTTTGAGCAGAGAAGTTAGGACTGTTGGTTTGAGCAGAGAAGTTAGGACTGTGTTGGTTTGAGCAGAGAAGTTAGGACTGTTGGTTTGAGCAGAGAAGTTAGGACTGTGTTGGTTTGAGCAGAGAAGTTAAGACTGTGTTGGTTTCCAACTTTCCACTTCCCATCAGCTATAATAGTACCCTGTGTCCGTATTGCTGCTGTTGCTGCTGCTGTTGCTGTTTCCTGTACACATTCATATATACAGGACTCGATCGGGTTCAACCTGGCTGGACTGAATGTTGTACAACGTGAGCTGGAATCACGTTCAATCTATCTGTTTGCTGACGCTGAGGAGAAGAGGGAGACAAGCAGAAAACGACGCCGTGCAGCCGTGCGAACGTTAAGTTAACCCAAACTTCCGCATGATCTGGCTTAATATGCTTGCTAGTACCTGTGGCAGAAAGTTGTTGGCTTGCTGCTCACTGCAGTGATAATTCATTGTGAGCATCCCAGCATCTTCAGAACATTCACTTTATGCTGAGCATTGGCGAAATCAGGTGCTTTCTCCCGAGTCAGATATTTTTTTTAACCCTCTCTTTGCGTTTTCAGTATGGCTCATTCTGAATGAACTTGACTCTGAGAATAACAGACACTTTCACAGGCTAGTAGCTGTTGGGGAGTGTTGCCATATGCCAAGTATGCGTGTAGACCGAATTGGTGCAGGGAAGGGTAGAACTGAGACAACGGTACAGAAGACCCATGATCGACTCTGTCACAAGTGGCATGGTGCGTTTACCGTGCTGCAGACCTGTTGCTTCAAAGAAGTTGACACAGGGAGGGTTGTGCTCGTCTGCTCTCCCTCATCAGGACAGAGGTAAACTACAGGTACCACGCACTGTGTACTGTACTGTACGGCGCAGAGTTCTCTTGAATTTCAGTAGTAAGACTTCAATCTATTGGTCATGAGTAAGTTCTAAACAATATCCTGTGCCAATGATAACATTTTAAAATCATTTAGGAAAGAAAGATAGGCATCGTCAAGTCCCTACAAGAATGAAGGGTATATTAGCAGGTTAGTTACTGCGAACAGGTTTTGCAATACAGACCATTGTTGGGAGAAGAAATTTCCATCTGAGAGACATCGTATAGAACAAGTTAGGCCATCATTTAACTTGGGGATATATTCTCGCAGGTTGTGCTACTTAACGCTATCATAGTGTGATGGGAATTGTACTAGAGTATCTGTATTGCAGAATCTCGGCATACATTTAACAGCACCACTTTCTCCTCTCTGATCAGTACACGAACGGAATCAACGCCTTGCGCTGTGTGGGGTAGTTGCTGAAGGTAGTTTTGTACCTGAAACAACAAGTAAGTAGCAAGTTGCAGATATAGAAGTAAGAACATATGGCTGTGACATCGTACTCAGAATAATGGGATGAAAATGTGATTGCCTGAGTAGCTGTCGGCGATGATGCGACAAGTTGAGAATAACTGCCCAAACTGCCAAGACTCGGTGTTGACCTTAGCGGCTGCAGTTGTTTGGCGGTGCTCGGAAAAATGGCTCAAGATTTGAAGTGCTGTGTGTTCACTAGTGTTCACCCAAGCAGTGTGTGTCCCAGAGGGTTGTTGTAGACTCTGTCAGAGTCTGTTGTCACAGTTTATTATGAACATGGAACACTAGCACACATACATTGGTTTTAAATACACTGTGCCAAATAACAGTGCTTAGATCTAACATGAACTTCAAACCTTTGAAGCACACAGTGGCACAGAGTAGCAAATTTCCCAATGCAGAGCACAGCAAACCTACCATGTGTGGTTGTGCATGGCCCTGGGTACAAACGTTGCCAAACAGAACAGCAGCCACACCAGTCCGGCCAGCGACCAGGTTGCTATTGCCCTGTAGTTAGCATGCATACACACACACACACGCACATGCACACACACACACACGCACGCACGCACACACACACACACACACATGAATATTTGATTGTGTAGGATTATGTGACGAGCTTCACTCACAGAAGCAATTAGATGCAGCACTCTGGTGTCATCACTGGTATACAGTACGACTTGTGAACAGACTACAGAGAACACCTTGTACACAGCAGAGTTAGATGCCCATAACATTGATCTTAGCTTGAGAACAACTTGTGACGGGCGAAGGGATGAGAACACCCCTTGCACCATTTCCACATGGTTTGAGTAGAACCCTACAGCAGGGTAAGAAGTGGTTCTGACTCCTGAGACGAGTGAGAGCGTGCGTTGCACCTTCAGAAACATCAAGTAAGATGCTGCGAAATACTAACGAACATGACCACGCTACTGTATGATGAGATTTCCTCACTCTGTTTTACTGCAATATAACCATAAGGACTGAGAAGGTATTCATTAGTTTGAGTGAAAGATGGTGTAGCAGATACTAGTCACAGTGAAGTTTGATTGCTCTTTTCAAAACCTGTGTTTGGTGTACCACGCCTAGATTGACTATCACATAATGCACATCCATACCAGCCAAGCCATTCTGTAGCTTCACCCAGGTAGTTAGGACATGTTACATAGTCGAATAGACCACCACGGGGCATGGCATACTTCTGTGCAGAACCATCATCTGTGCAAGGGACCACAGCAACAGTACAAGTAACAACCCAAATCAGTTATAGGTCAAAGAGCCAACTTCCACAACTACTTATTTGATCCAACCGACAACAAGACTAGCAACACTGAGACAATTCAACTGTCACAAATTACAACAAAATCACATGGAAGAAGTCCTTTCACTTTGTCCACCGCTCGTTGCGTGACAACTTAGGGTACGTTTGGTTGGTACGATCTAGAACAGGATGGAACAGCCTCATGCTAACCAAACAGTACTCCAATAACAGAGTTCATTTTCACAAAACGAGCGCCGAACTTGGTTGTATTCAGGGAGTAGTCCAATAGTATTGTACTACTCCCTGGTTGTATTTGTCACAATGTGCACGGCTCACTTCGCACGGTACAACGAGTACATGCCACATCAAACCAAAACAAAGAACAAAACTTCTCTGGCCTCGAGGCCTGAGCAAGCGGACATGCATGCATGAACCCAAACACTCGCTCTTATCTCAACAACACTTGAAACATATTTTACTTAGAATGCTGGGCTCCTGGCGTAGCCGTCGAAGCCGTAAATCAGCCCATCTGTTCATGATGTATCCAACAAGGAACAGAACTATTCCGATTATGAAACGTGGGTCTCTACAGGCACCAGACAAACACACCGTGCCCACACACACACACACACACACACACACACACACACACACACACACACACACACACACACACACACACACACACACACATGTAGGCATGCATACACAAGAACATGCTCATGTACGCCGGCACAAATACACACAGCACAGACAATTATCGTTTGGGCAGCATCATGTGCACTAGCTGTACGCTCTCAGAATGTGGAGACTAAGAACATTCAGCCTGAAAAAAGTAAAACACATCAGAGGCTGTTGCGAACATCGCACACTCAAAATACATCCTCAAAGTAAGAAAGCCTGGACAAATTTCAAGAACGTCTTTGCTTGGAACCCAATCCTAGGGCGCATGTACCACTAGCAAAGAAATCTCTCGAGTGTGCCCGAAAATGTCTTAGGTTTCACTGAAAGACTCAAGGCTAGCTAGCTGTGTACTACTAAGCAGTTGATACTACAGTACACTGTAGTAGAATTTGCTGTAGACTTGCTGGAATGCACAATCACGCATGGTTGCACGCTGACAGAGGCAGCACACTATAGTGCCTGGAATAATTATCGCACTTCAGCCTCGTCCTTGGCCTCAAGCTGAGAACACTGGCTGCTACTGTTTCAGCCCAACTCACAGTTCAGTTCAACTGTATGTACAGTCACTCACCTGTAATAATAGTTATCATATTTCGCTGAACTGATCCAGTCACTGTTGATGAATGAGTAGAGCAAGTTTGGTGCAACAGTACCTGCAACAATTCTTCACAGAGAAGAAAGTTCACAAAGCTACATTGTAAGTTAGACTTGATTAAAATGCATTGTGCAATATCAGTAATTCACTTACCCAAGTTGAACATGACTTCGGCTGTAGCGCATCAGAAGAGGATGCAGTAATCCCCTGCACATAGTAACACCACCGTACAGTAAGAGAAGTATGAAAAGTACATGTATAATTAGTCTGTACGAGTATAATAAATTAATAATGTATATGTATGATACCGTGCAGTATGAGAAGTATGGTCAGTACATGTATGATACCGGTAAGTATGATAAACACAGTAAGAAAATATCATACTGATATTTTAGCGTGTTTCCTTTCTACGAGACACTACTAAAACAGGCTTGACTTGCCTTCCCCCAAGTGTAGCTATGTGTGCCTTGTCAAGCCGTCCTTATTCGCCAAGCTGCCATGGTACTACAAAAGTCTGTCATTGCCTAGACACTCCTGACACAGGTAAGATGTGCCCCACACCATGCTAGCAGTACTAACTAAGGTGCTATTGTCACCATGCAGCTACACACGTATCTTGGTATGTACATTCTCCGGGTGATACAATGTATGGAAAACATGTCATGCCAAATTTGATACTTTCATTTCGAATATTCTTGGAGCACTTTTAGTACAAGTACAGTCAAACCTCTTTAGGACGAACATCAAGGGACCGATGATATTTGTTCGCATCGGATCAATATCCATATGTGAACACACAGGGTTTTATCCAATACAGTTACGAATACTAGTTCTTCATAGGCAAACATTTGTCTTATCAGTGTTCTTCCTAACGAGGTTTCACTGTACGCTCAAACTCCCCTAGTCCAGACAGCAACCGAACCCACTGGGTTACCATGGTTACGTGCTGTCATGTGTTCTGTGCTGCGACCATTAGGAACACACTTGCACATGTATATCGGTACTCGCACGTTCTTCCACGCCACAGCCAATTCATGATGTAGACTGGTCTGCTCAGGTGTGGGCTGGATGAGGGGAGTGCAAGTGTACAGATTACTTTCGATAAGTCAACTAATTTGCCCTCGAGCTAAGCAGGGCACGTTTGACGTCCTTCCAGTGACCATGGCGACTGGCTTTGCAATCAAATCACCGCAGCATCTCACCTGTGTACATAATGTGCAAGCCACATAGCCAGAAAGACGTATCCTGTGTAGCTGGTGTTGTTCTCACCGTAAGCGGCATAGATCTGCATTAGAGGAAGCAAAGTCACATGCATGTATATGTACATACACGCATACATGTGCACATGTATGCGTGTACTGGGCAGAACATGATGAGCATTCTTGGCATACCCTGGCAACCAACACATAGTCATTGGCTACACGACGGTCAATGATCACACTAATAGGTAAATCATTGCTTAAAGCTACATGCATAGACTACTATCGAGTAGCGTTAACATCTTTGTCATGTGACTGAAGTGCACATGACATGTGGACAGTGAAACCAACATGGCTGACATTGTGTGGCCATTGATGTAGGGATTGACTGGAGCCGGTTGGAACCAGCATGGCTATTCCGTATGGTCATGTGATAGATGGTGTGTGACAGCTCTATTTCAGTCTTACATGACTTGTATACGTTGATGATATTCATATCTCTATAAAAGTCTCACCATGACAAAGAAAAGGACGCAGCAAAACCCGTCGGAGGCCATGTGACCGAGACGCTGTGGTATCATTGGTCCCCAGCCTTTCTTCGGTGCATCACTAGCGTGCTTGCCGTATGGCGCCGGTTCCTTGCATTGCGAGAAGTATGTGATCACGGCTAGGAGAAACCCGGCCGCCACAAAGCCATAGTGAACCCAGAACCTGGCCTTGCTCACATCAAACACGTATGGTATCCCCTGCACAACATGGAAAAATCCAGAAAGCAAGAGTAAATGTACATGGCCGTTAGTGTATAGAGCTGCCCTGTGAAGCTCTGTTAGGAGTACGTACAGTTCCCATCGTTCTGCCCCCAGTGAAGCAGTCCCAAGACATCATCCGCACACATTCAATATTGGAGATAAATCTCTTGCATCTGTCTGCATTGGTGGTTGAGTGGTAGAATCCTCGCCTGCCACGCGGGGGGCCCGGGTTCGATTCCCGGCCAATGCATTGCTTTTTTTTAAATTTATTTATTCCAAATCTGTGATGATATTGTATAAAATGTATTCTTTTGTGCCATTACAATATCTCTAGAAATATAAACAATACTGTAAAAGCGACAAACTTTCGCTGCGTGCAATTTTCCGTTTCCAAGAATTCCGCTGGTTCATGATGAGAAACTTTCGCGATTTTATCTTTTCAGTTGAATCTTGTAGTGTCCAGAACAATGCAAAGAGTAGTTTGCGGCGATTTATAGTCGCAAGTGTGGGACGTATAGTGTGGGATCATCGCGAAAATAGCAAAATTTAAAACACAGAACGCAGAGTACTGTAAAACCGGAAAGTCTAACATATTAACGACCAATTTTTTTCGTTACTTGAAGAAACTTTATCGCGAACCCGGTTTGAGATGTCTGTGTAAAGATGCGCATACAGATGGGGAATTGCACATCAGAGGTTCCGCTCCATGTAACACTGTAGTGGCCCTACATTTTTACTGCATAAATAATGGTTATTTAGGGGTCGTCCGTAAATATCGAACTTTTTTCACAAAACGAAATAATTTCGTTATGGGGTGGGAGGAGGTTGACCAATTTCGTTTCAGAAAACATTGATTCATGTACATGGCCGTTGTATATGCATGTATATCAACATTTTTTACGTTCTGAGGGGGAGGGAGGGAGGGGTTGGGTCTAAACTAAAATAATTCGTTTGGTGAAAAAAGTTCGATATTTACGGACGGCCCCTTATGCAGTAAAAATGTAGGGCCACTACAGTGTTACATTTCGCTTCACCTCTTCTGATGATGCAATTATGATTATACATCAGAACAGAGTTCCTTGTATAATCAGTGCTGCCAAACCGTCCGATTTTTCGGACAGTGTCCGATTTTTGAAGGCTCTTCCGAAAACCGGTCCGAAAAAGGAAACGTCCAAAAAGCAGCCAACATTATCAGGGATCGTACTTTCCTATGCAGAAGTCCTGTATTTTCACTTTTCAGCGCAACTGAAGGCACAAATCACTGTACTACTGTAGTACTAGTAGTACTGTAATCATGTTATATAATTACTCATGTACATGTACATGAAAAAGGGCTAGCGCTTGGCCGGCTGTGGATATACAGTGCTGGCAACTGAAATCCGCCAAGGGGGTCGGATTTCAGTTGCCAGCACTGTAGTTGAGAGTTGAGTAACATGCCTGGGTACATGTACACTGTACAGTGTGTGACCACACTCATGCATTCATTACAAAATTCATGACAACTAACTTCGGGGGTGCCATATCGGTTACCATGACAACGGAACGATTTTTCATGGTATTTTGGGCAATATTTTGATTCTCTGGAAAAAATTGCCAAAGAGAAAAATTCGCACCATGGTACCATGTGGCCAGCCTCAGCGGTGACGGGTGTCCGATTTTGGGCGAAAATTATTTGGCAGCACTGTATAATCGTCAAGTATACCCTAAAAATCAAATTTTCACCAGTTGTAGTCTTCGGGTTGTTGAGTCGAATGGTCTTGGTTCGAGGAAGCTGAGACGCTCCCTTCCTCCTTTATTCCCAGTCAAACTCGCGCACTTCCACCGAAACTGGGTGACTGCGCCTTACTAGATAGGGATTTGTATGGAAAAAGTCACTAAAAACACCGTTTCGTTCTTATAACAGCGCGGATGACCGCGATTGGTCCATATGTTGTAGTCTTTTGGCCACTGAGTCGACTGGTTTTGGTCCGAAAAGGCTGCGATGCAGCGTTCGGCCTTTTTATTCCCAATCGAACACGGTTGAGTAAGCGGTCACGTGCTCATTTACAGCCTGGTTGGGTCCGTTTATGTCACTCAAGTTGAACCCTTGAACCAGGGAGTCGTAAAAGCCTCTTACGACTCCCTGCTTTGAACCTTTGAGTTGAACCTTGATGTGAAAATTGTAGCCTGCAGGCACGGTGACCAGGCGACTGGTGTACGCATGAGCACGTGACCGCTTACTCAACCGTGTTCGATTGGGAATAAGGGCCGAACGCTGCATCGCAGCCTTTTCAGACCAAAACCAGTCGACTCAGCGGCCAAAAGACTACAACATATGGGCCAATCGCGGTCATCCGTGCTTTTATAAGAACGAAACGGCGTTTTTAGTGACTTTTTCCATACAAATCCCTATCTAGTAGGGCGCAGTCACCCAGTTTCGGTGGAAGTGCGCGAGTTCGATTGGGAATAAAGGAGGAAGGGAGCGTCTCAGCGTCCTCGGACCAAGACCATTCGACTCAGCACCCCAAAGACTACAACTGGTGAAAATTTGATTTCAGGGTATGCTTCCTTTTTTTAAAGGGGAAGTTAAGGCAAAAATCAAAATTTCACCAGTTGAAGTCTTCGGGGTGCTGAGTCGAATGGTCTTGGTCCGAGGAAGCTGAGACGCTCCCCCTCTACTTGAATCCCAATCGAACTCGCGCACTTCCACCGAAACTGGGTGACTGCGCCTTCTAGATTGGGATTTGTATGCAAAATGTCACTAAAAGCGCCATTTCGTTCTTATAAAAGCACGGATGACCGCGATTGGCCCATATGTTGTAGTCTTTTGGACGCTGAGTCGACTGGTTTTGGTCCGAAAAGGCTGCGATGCAGCGTTCCTCCTTTATTCCCAATCAACATGGTTGAAGAAGCAGTCACGTGCTCCTGGGTGCCCAAATCACCTGGTCACCACGCCAGCAGGCGACAACTTTCACACCAAGGTTCAACTCGAGTTCAACTCGAGTGACAGGAGTGCACCCAAAAAAGGTCAAACAGGCTAGTAAGTTGTACCCTGCAGGCACGGTGACCAGGTGACTGGTGTACGCAGGAGCACGTGACCGCTTATTCAAGCATGTTCGATTGGGAATAAAGGAGGAACGCTGCATCGCAGCCTTTTCGGACCAAAACCAGTCGACTCAGCGTCCAAAAGACTACAACATATGGGCCAATCGCGTTCATCCGTGCTTTTATAAGAACGAAATGGCACTTTTAGTGACATTTTGCATACCAATCCCCATCTCGTAAGGCGCAGTCACCCAGTTTCGGTGGAAGTGCGCGAGTTCGATTGGGATTCAAGTAGGAAGGGAGCGGCGTCTCAGCTTCCTCGGACCACGACCATTCGACTCAGCACCCCGAAGACTACAACTGGTGAAATTTTGATTTTTGCCTTAAATGCCAAAATTACAAAAATGTTTAACTTTCCAGTAGTGCATTCGGAAAACACGCTACAGTGCAGTACTATAGTATACAGTGCGTATCGGTTAGAGCGTGGTCGTGTAAAGGAATATACCGCCTACAAGGATGAACTCTCATGTTTTCATAATCATGATATGGGTTTCAATTGCACATTTATTCTTTAATACAAGCAATTTTATCGCATGTTAGAATATATTGGTCCTAGGAATCGACTTTGTGCAGCGAAACATGCCAGATTCGTACTAAGTATATCGCCTGTGGTAATAACATCTGTCCGACGCAGTTCTAATCTGACTCGCGTTGCGTCGTTGTGCTGCAGGTTCAACTGTTGTGGTCATGTACCTCATGTTGCATAGCCACAATGGTAAGCCTATAATTATGGGACTATGACCAGCGGCATGCACAGCCAACACTACATGCACGATGATCCTTCTGCCTCTGCGCAGATGCATAATTTTGATATGTCATACTTGATTTATCGTGTGTAAGAAATATCGGGAATAAGAATAGAAAGTCGTTTTCCCCAGCCACCGTGAAGTATCTCGGACTACTCATCGACGAGCATCTCACCTTCCAGCCGCAAGTCGAGAAGGTCTGCGGTGCGGTGTTCGGCAAGATTGCCGCCTTCAGACATGGCCGAAAAAACCTAACACCTGAAGCGAAGAGGACGTTCTATTTATCCATTGTGCAATCGACTCTCGACTATGCCAGTAACGCTTATCTGCACTGTCTCAGCGCCACCCTGTTCAATAAAATCGTGACGGTCAGTCACATAGCAATGAAGAAAGTTTTTGGGTTTGACCGTATGATGTCTACTGAAATTGTTCTCCGCAAATATCATCTCTATTCTTTTGAACAGCGCACAAATCTTAAACTCTATGTTTTCGTGTACCGCTGCTTGACCCCACATCTTGCTAGTCCCCTTCTCCAATCCTTGTTCCAGCTTAGGGCTGCTGTGCCTGGACACCAGGCTCGCACGCGCGGCCAGGCACAGCGCGCATTAGTTCTTCCGCCTGTTTCTACGCAATATGGCATGCGTTCTATTTCTTTCCTGGCGGCAGACAGATGGAATGCTCTTCCCACTGACTGCCGTCAGGCCCCGTCTCTTACTCTGTATGTAAACATGGTAAAAATTCACCTACAGTCCATTCAGAAAAAAATGAACTTCTAGCTTTTGGCCATAAATGGGTCAAACGTTGAGTTTTTTTAGAATTTTTTTCTGCAATCCCATATGGAATCCTCTTCCAATTATGTTTCTGAAGTTTTTTTGTCCAAAAAGCAAGCCATAGCAAGAATAGGATTTCGGCCAGGTTTTGCCCCAAAAGCACTGAATTGGGAAAAACCATCAAAATCCAGGCCGTTTGACCCCGCCTGCAACAGTGCATTCTGCGGTTCGAACCCCAGTTCAGGCACCCTTTTTGGACCCTTTTCAAATTTCAAAGTTCGCAGCACTGCACTGTGTACGATGAAATCACGAAAAATCGCCAAATACGGGAGCTCGCCAGAGCCAGGACCCATTTTTTTATGAATGGACTGTAGGGTTCCCAGTAAAAAGGCAACGCCTGTTGGGACTCCCCTAGTAAAATAATAAAATCTACTACTACTACTACTACTTTTCAATCACCCACGCTATAACCTATACCTACTGTATAATAGTAAAAAAACAAATAAATAAAGCTAGCTACGCTGTAGTGCATGCAGTATTAGTCTACTGTTAATTTCAATTATTTTTCATGCACTCACTTCGTTGATAGCATCCACATCGTTTCCTGTGTCATTTGCCATGGCACACCCGCGGCGCGGCGGTGACTGCGCCTGCAGCTAGACTCACAGGCGCTAGGCGTGATACAGCTCCGGTACTGCGGTATTGGATATTCACAGTATTTACTAGTTCTGTAGTAAGTAGTATGAGAAGTGACTAAGTATTGAATACTGGGGACTTACTGCACAACGAATCGGGTCAGGCTACAATTGTAGGGAATAATTGTGAGAAGCAGATCAATTTGCTGGAGCTGGGGAGAAAGAGCCGGAGATCAGCGAGACGGAGCTGATGCAAAGTTGCTGCGAAACTAACGTAGAGTCTCTACAACAGTACAAGTCAGTGCCACGAATCGATGATCTATTCCTCTTTACAAACTTCCAGGGGCGATTGCTGCCCCTGCAGGCCTGCTGCAGTGGATTTGACGGGAGCAGGGAGATGAATGCACCAGCTGCTGATGCAGAGAGTTTTTACGCACGTGACGAATGTACCTTCTGCTTTATCCCACTGCATGCATGCACGTGATTGACACTAGCGGCAATACAAGGACAAAATCCGGTTTACAATACAATGATCTTGTGCGCTGGTAAAAATAAATGAGTGTCGCGAGTACCATAATTATTTGACCCATCTGCATGAACACATTATACTGTAAGACATGTTATTATAACGAGTCGCAAATTTAACGATTGTCCAAAATTCATAGGTTAACGAGAAGATATGTTAACGATCTTGGAGTATTCTGCCACATCCACACACAGCATATATGAAGCAGTAAGGCCTCAACGGATTTTATTATAACGAAGAAATGTCATCCGTTAAAACGTTAGATTTGCTTCCTCGTTATATATACATGTCTTACAGTATCCACCACATCGAGAGCATTGAGTTGTGGGGATAGGAGTGGTTTGTCCATCGCTCTTTTGTAAGAGAGTCACCAGTCAGCCATGCAACCAGTCGGAAACAAACTGTGAAGTTAGGGTTCCCTGTAACAAGACGGCAACGTCTGTAGGGCCTTCCCTATCAAAATAATAAACTCTACTACTAAACAATTCGACTAAGTGTCTCCGGGTGCGGCACATGCGTCTTTTGTGTTAATCATGTAGAGTGTAGACCATGGAAGACTACTCTGCTATACATGTAACTTGTAAATGCCACACTGCACCAATATTACTCACAATCCTGTTTAGCCCAGCCCTGGCCTGACAATTACAAGGGAAATCACCATCCCACGATGAGGATTCCGCTGGCCCGTATGAAAAGCAGTCAGGGAAAAATATTTTACTGGTCCCTGGTCCTGGGCTGTGCCAGGAGTACATTGGAGTCCAGACGGGACCTGGGACATGATCTGCAGCACGGCAGAGTGTACATCACAGAGTCGCATACTGAACAAACGGTTCCAGGACTACACTGTCTGCTTGACTGAAGTTCTCAGCAAGATCTATGGCTTTCTGTGACTGTCAGGCCAGATCAAAGCCAGAGGTCACAGTGTCCAAATGGAGCCAAGGTAGTAAAACAGCGGCAAAAACCGTGAACAAAGGGGTAATATGCATCTATATAATTATGCACATACATCGCACAGATTAAAAAGTGAAAATAAAAGTTGCCGCTGATTCAATATCAAAACTCATCTAAACTGAAAAAGTATATTCAAGATTGCTTCATGTCTTATCCCGCAGACCAACTGCAATGATCAATGCAAAAAATGAGAGCAATACAGAGAGAAAAGACTTTGGAGACAAGAGGATCAAGTTTGTGGCTGTTAGCGCACAACAGAAAAGCTAATTTAAAACTTGATATGAAGCTGCGGCCCAACATTCAAGCTAAAGTTTGAAAAGTCAACTGTCAGGAAAATAATATGATTGCGATATTCTTTACAGTACTGTCTACAGGGTCTTACTGGGCACTTTGGGTTACTTTAAATACAAGGAACGTTCCATTGCCTCGGCCAGCTCACGGTCAGAGTTGGATAGGGAAACACGTCGAATCTTCTGAACGGGACCAGTGTGTGCAGTGCGGGTCATGTCCTTGAAGCTGATAAGGTACGTTATTTCATCCGCAACAAGCTGAAGTTTCTCTTGTATGCGACTTTCCTCCAGAAGGACGCTATGCTTGTCCGGAAAGAGATGCCACTGGTTGGCTACCGGGTCTTGCCACTGCCAAGAATGTGTGCCGATGCCAAAGCCAATGAAGTCATCGGCTGTAACGCCTGTGATCACAGCTGACCTTGCTTCATGGGGAACTTGCGCAACTCCACCATCTCGACTGCCATCCCTCACTGGGATGTCAGCAACAACATTGCCGTACGCAGGTAAACTGTTTTCCGGCGCTGTTGCTGCAAGGCGTGTGCTGCCAAGCTGTTGATATCCGCTATTGGCAACATGTGGGGTTGTACTGAACATCTGGCCAGCACTGCGTGGTGTGATCACAACATCATAATGATCATCCTGTCCGTTACGATATTTCCCACGTGTTCCGTTGCTCCATCGCACAAAGACACTCTTTTCAGCTTCGCTGACATGGTACACAATACCAGTATTTGCCTCGCCACCATCTTGGTTTCCCCAGCGCCAGTCGGGACCTCGCCGCACCTCCACGCCGGTTTTAAGCTCGTGGCCAGACACTCCACGCTCCCCATTCTGTAGCACGCGGGGCTGATTCTCCGACAACACCTCTAGATCAAACGAGTCCTCGGCACCGTAGCGGTAGATATTACTCTTGCTGGATGTGTCCCAGAGCACCCTCACAACGCCGGGTCGATCATGACTGATAACAGTACCAGTGGCATGATGGTCCTGATTACCCCACTTCCAGTGCCGTCCTCGGCAAACACGAGCACCATGCGGGGGCAGGCCGGCGACGATTTCGTCTCGCTCTTGTGAGCTGTCTTCTGCCATGCACTCCAACACCATCATGCCAATCAGAAGGCGGAATAGGCCGTTCAGCTCTGCTTCCTCTACTGCCTCCCCAAGCCCTACCAAGAATGCACGGAGGGCTTCCTGCGATTTCATTGCCTGATTGTTGCGGCTTTGCAATGCAAATCGCGTCAGCAAAACCTGCCGTCGGAAGAATGTACTTAGCTTGGTGACATCGTCAACGATCACGAACATGCCGTTTGTGGAGGTTGCTATGATTTCGAGCAGCTCCGGCTCACAATCGCCGCATCCTACACATGCCACAGGGATGCCATGCGGCAGGCCACACTCTCTCCATTTTTCACCAAATGCAATGGCCTGATCCAACACTGCCTGCCTTGCCTCAGGTGTTTCCCCTCCTTCATCCGTTGGCACACCATCCGTCATGAGTATTACTCGAGGTGCCAGCTTCTGACGGTCTCTGACCGTGACAACGCCGCCCCTCTGTATGATCTCCTCCATGGCTTTCAGCAGCCCTTGCTTCATTGGTGTCCTGCCACCAGCAGTCAATGTATTCACAGCTCGCTCCACCGCATCGTAATCGTGACCCAAGGCGGACACCAGGCGCACTTGCTTGCCAAACTCCACGATGGCTACATTCTCGCACAGCCCCGTCTGACGGGACGTTTCACGGACTCCCGCTACAAACGTCCTGCACGCTTCTTTCAGTTCGCGCATACCACGTCCAGCCATCGAGCCGGACGTATCCACGCACAGGATAGTATCAAGAGGCATGGTGATGGTCGGCCAACCAACCCCGTTACTTGAAACTCTGCCGGAGCCGAAACAAACACTTGAAACAGTCGATGAGTTCCTTCGTAAGTCGTAGCACGGATTTCAGGGCATGCCGGCAGGCCGGCTATCATTAATTTTATAAAGCCAAGTTTTAAAAGTGGCTTTTACAAAAATAATCATGTCTTATCTATCACCAGTCACCAGATCAGTGCAGTACGAGATACTAGCTCTGTACTGAATGTCTGTAGTGTAGATCTACTGTCTGTAGTCGAGTCCGGGGTGGTGGGGTTTTCTAGTTTCCTGGTCAGTCATGTCAGTACACAAAAGTACAAGTACACGTGACCAAAAGGTAGAAATCAGGGAGTCGTATGACTCCCTGGTAGAAATCCTTCGTCGCATGCAGGGTAGATCTAGTACTGGGTAGGGTTGACGGTTGTAGGGCCTAGGGACTACAGTAGGTAAAAAGGGGTCTGAAGGAAGGCTCGCCGGAGTGAGCATACTTTTGGTGTAAATCAATGGCCTCTACCGATCTTCATATCGAGACGGTGGACGTGCTCTAGCAGGAGCTGATTATTTCATTCCATCGATACAGAACATATCCGGCGGGCTGGCACATGTATACTCGGGTTTTACGGTATTCATGTATTGTTACTTGTGCCATCGCTCTTGCGACTACAGACTGTCAGTGCAGACTGCATGCATATGGATACCAACCAATTACTTCATGGACAAGATTCCCATGAAACTTTCTGTGTGTGATCTGCAGAGCTAGAGTTGCCTCTATCCAGTTGTGTGACTTGTTGGCTAGCCTATACTATAGTTTCAAACTTTCAATTATTTTGGACCGAACCGGCTGAACGTAGCGAGAAGAGTGATCCATGCAATCAAACGCAACTCTGGTAAAAGATCTACAACCCTTTTACATCTCACTGTCATCTGCTCTCCTCTCTAGGCTAGCTCTGTGTGTTGTGGCAGAACGAAGGCAGAAGCAATCAGAGAGCAGAGTGCTACACATGCCACGTAGGGCCCGAAAGACAAGAATATACAGTTTAAGCTGATAGCGCAGTGCAATAGGAGCAAGGCCATATCTGGTGTGTAAGACTGACACATCATAGTGCCAAGGGAAACCAAAAACAATCCTAACAGCGCGGTTAGCAATACGAGTTAGTCTATCATGTTGTGTGGTGTGAAGGCAGTGTACAAACGCATTAGAACCATACTCAAGGTGTGCTTGAATAAATGAGCAGTAGAAGGTCTTTCTCGCAGCCGGTGTCAGATTGTCCCTGATCTTGCGGAACATGGCAAGTTTTGTTCCGACCTTTTTCTCAACTTCAGTGACATATGAGGAGAATGATAGATGTTCTTCAATGGTGAGGCCAAGATACTTCACCGTTGGTGTTGGGGATATGAGGACATCGCCGAGCCGAAGGCAGATGTTAGGAGGAACACATTTTGTTTTTTGTCTTATGATGATAAATTGAGTCTTGGAGTCATTAAGATTGAGACCTCGGTCACGTAGATACTCTCTGATGACAGATATGTCAGCAGAGAGATCATCAGTGAGGTTCTGCAAGTGCCTGCCTTATACAAGTACAGGTACATAGACACGTCGTCTGCAAATTGCCGAACCTTGCTCGTGATGGTACATGATGGCAGAGCTCGGACAGATAGGTTAAAGAGGGCAGGACCCAATGTTGACCCTTGAGGTTACTGGTACACCTCTTGTAGGTGTGTACTGTTCACCTTCCTGATACTTCGTGACTACTCGTTGGCGACGGTCACATAGGAAACTAGCT